CGATTTAGATGTAATTTTGCGGAGAAATCCGTTGAGAAACGGAATTGCAGCGCGCGCGAAATGGCTTTACCGTTGCTGTGACCGCCGAAAATGGAATGCACATATGCCTGCATGTGCGGTATAGATGCGGAACGCGCATCGCACCGGCTCCTTGCAAGATCCCCGCAACAGAATCCAGGGGGATAAGAAAGCGAAAACGGCGAGCGGCCGAATTCACAGCTGTACTTACACATGTGCCGTGCAAGGGTAGTTCAGTCGATCACACACATCTGCCTACTGGGCTGATGGTTGGTGCTAATAAATTAATTAATCCGATCGATTCGGTCGCAATTTCGTTCGGAATTCGCTTATACAAATCCGGCGTACTCGAGTTGATAAACTTGTTTTATTGAAAGATTTAATGGTTCCGCGGAACAAACTGCTGTAAATAAATTACATTTTTTGAATTGACCTCGCACGCAAAACGACATCTCGCAAAAGGCGGGTAATTGATTAAGTTATAAATAATTTCGGTGCGACATGTGGACCCATTATGTAGGTCAGAATAATTAGAAAAAATAAATGTATTCAACAAACAAACCGGCGAGATATTAGGCGAATAATGGAGTAACTTATACAATATAACAGGCAATTATGGATATCGATAGGACGGCTCCCGCCAATAGTTGTTTAGGGCGGGAAAAGAAACCACCCCGTCTTTGTACGCGCCTATATTTCGTAAGATAATACTCGTCTGACCTACACAAGATTTAAAATCGACCATTCGAAATTATATCCCGTCACAGTTTAGAAGAAAAACGATTAATATTTTCGAAAGGTATTTCACAGAACCGGCTCCGATTGTTTAAGGGCTGAAAATCGCAGCACAAATTCAAAATTGTATATATTCAATTCGAGTCATAACTGACCTATTAATACAATTATTTCGTGCGAAATATTATTCGGATGATGAATGTTTACGTTTTGAACTACGTTTCAACCACTTTGCAGCCACTTTTGACGATCTTGCGGTTTCGGGCGAGACACTCCCATGAATCCCACGCATAGAAATATGCGAGAAATAGCACAAAACTCAATCTTATCCGCAGTGTTGATTACCTCCAGATGGGCATATTTTAACGGTTTTTCAGCGTGTTATGTTACATCTGTTTCACGACGGCAGAATCAACTCCTGCATCGTTTTATTCAACACGAACGCTTTTGCTGGGAAACAGAAAAATCAGGGAATAGGGTAGCTAAAAGTACGCGGGAGACTTAATTAAGTTCCTCGATCGAAAAACAGCGTCCTATTGGTAAATATTTAAAGGTGAATTTTATAGGGAAAAAAATACTAAACAACAGGTTCGCTTTTGTGGGAGTATAATTGAAAGGGCCGAGGGAAACAGGTTAAGGAATTTAGGCGCGCGTTTTCGAGGAGAAAAAAAAATCACAATAGTTTACCTAGACGTCGAGATCGCCGACCAAGGGAATTAGATGAAATACCGCCATCACCGTGAGATGAAAAGATGAAGTTCTGTGAAAAGAGGCAAAGCAATTCAGTTTTGTTGCTCCTTATCCCATCTTGAATGTCAAATTTATCTTTATTTGTTTGGGTGATTTACAAAGGAAGAACAGCATTAAAACAGCTTTTTATTTCAAAATCAATGCTTCTCAAACCAAACAAATATGCTCACTTTGTTAAATTGAACGTCGCATCGAAAAGTGAGTGAAAAATCTCAAGATAATTGAATTGACTTTATATCCTCGTTTTCTCGTAAGACTTAATCAAACCATCCGCGTCATTGGTCAACTGTGTTCAAAAGTTCACTGACACATCTGTATTTTAATGAGAAACTAAATTTCCCAAAAAATCCTTCCAAAAACTAGCTGTACTATCGGAATCAATGGAAGAATAGCCTGTTTAATTTACAGCTTTGCTATCGGCATCCACTTTAAATAAACAACAAATTTAGACTCTATGGAACTAGTGCGAGTTATTCCGCAAGTCATTAACATACGCAAATTTAACTCCATCTCCAAGCATAATTCCGCTGTAATTAATTATATCGATATCGAGAGAATACATTCCGAGTTAGAGTCAAATTAATGACGGTGTCCCATCGCCAATTAATCGCCCGATAATAAATCTTAGACAATCATCTTTTTGTTTCGATTTATACAGTTTTCCAATAAATCGGAATCCATCGGCTCGCAGAACTGAATAAATACGAAGGGAGCGAAAAATTCGATCAGTAATTCCTCTATTTGATCGAACTTCGGCGAAAAACGGTTTTTTTAAAACTCGTACAGATTAGAATCGCGCCGCTTTTTCAAGGGCAATTGTTGTTATTTTCGTGATAGAAACGTTAGAAGGCGAAACTGAAAAAAATAAATCTGGTTTCTAGGTACGGGCCGAACCGGTGAGACACAACACCGAAACCTTTTTGAAAACAAGTGCTTAGAAAATAGTCGAATAACTCGTCCGCCGACAAATAGATGCAGTCTAGGGGGATCATTTTTTATTTGTTTCTAACGCCGTTGTATCCAACCGTTCGTAACGTCCCGAACGCTAATTTATTTTTTATTCCGCCGGTGATTGACGTGCCGTTCGAGCGGCAAGCCCGGCGTTAAAATAACGAAACGCCATTCATATTTCGATAAAATGTATTTACAATTCATTTATTATAACTCGGGATTTGCAACTCCTCGTGAGGTTAACGTGCTCGAATGTATACCTGGTACTCATTACCAAGTCAGATCCGCTCTAAGGCCAAAGGAACTTCACTTACTTACTTACTCTTCTTTAGAAATTTACTACAATATAAAATTTAGCCCTAAATCACTATTTTCTTAATCAAACATTAACTTATAACCATAATCTATAGCTTACTAACTGATAATTAACTGTTAAACTTTATACACAAACAACATTTTAGTTATTGTTAAAACAGTAAATTAATTCGAGTTATTCTAACATGAACCCTCTTCAATGGAGTCGAGTAATTGTTCCCGTTGAGCCACGGATACGTCCCTGCGCGACAAAATAAACTGCGTAAGAAAGGTAAGATTTTATTCTAGTTGTACTTTTTGATTCCTTTCACATCTTCGTATAACCGCAGTGTAACGAACACAGCATTCCTCAGTGGAAGAAGATGCTGGTACTCTTGAAGAAAGAGATGGTGCCGGCACCTGTGTTGCCAGATAACCGCACTGTTATGGTTATTAAAGAAGATTTTATTGTTCTTGATGTATTTCGAAAGAAGAGTAAATTACTTCAGTAAATACACGAAAATTTATTAGATGGTATCTGTTAAAAGTATTGGTTTGATATTCGAAAGATTGTGGTTAATAAAATTTATGTAGCCCTTAAAATTCGAATTCTTCTGGACGGGGATTGTTTCCTGAACATCGTTTTAATTGATGGTGTTTTAATTTTGATACCTTTTTATCTTTTTCACATGTATTGTAGGCTAGACCTGTTCCATTTGGCGGGAAACTACGGACTGGGTGGGCACTTATCTAGCCTTCGGAAACGACCTGGTTCGATGCAGAACAAAATTCCTTACCTTAGCCACTTGTTACCCGCCAAATTTTTAGGAACCCATTTACCATCCGAACGCACCTGTCTCTGTCGCAGATATTCTAATATTCGCACGGTTTTTTAAAATCAGCTGATTCGCTCGTTGCGGTTTCTTTCGCTCCAAATTAAAGTCGGGCTATTTAGCATACTAAATTTTATCAATTTCGAGCGATTTGAGTAAAAGTAAGCTGCCTGCATTTTCGACGTAGAATCGAACATCCAACAACAAAACCAGTTACATAATAAACTCACTTGACCACTTCGCTCGGAAGAAATTAATTTAGTACCTACCTACCTTTTTTATCTGTATTATCCTCCGTAGGGCTCTTTAGAGTTTTTTCTAAGTGCCGAGGCGAACGATGTAATTGTAAACAGCTTTAAATTAAAACTTTCGTTATGAAGACTCGTTAAATGGCAGTAAAATATAAAAGAGTATTTAGAGTTTGTCTGATAATGAACTTTGTATGTATGCAGCCTACGCGTAACTGGAAAATGGTAAAACTGTATACGATTTCAATTATCAGTTTCTGGAAAACATGTACTTAGATGTACTTTTTGCATTATCTAGCTAACATGAATGCTATTGCAAAAATGCAAGTTCCTTGATAATGAAACTTCACGTAGTATACCCATTATAGAGAATATTTTACTCGACTCAAATGCACATTGAATGGTATTTGAATTGCCTGCCTAGGATTGGAAATTCACTGGAGATTATGAGGTAGTCGGTATCCGTTTGTGTAAAAAAATGTTGTCTAGGTATCGAATGCTGGGACACGGATTTCTCGAAATCAGCTGATTTTAAAAGTCCTTTAACAAAGCCCTTTAAATTTTTTCCCATCGGCAGGTAGGCTGGGAATAATTGGAACAAATCTATTGAGGAAATTTGGCGCGCAAATAAATTGTATCTGTAACGTTACTCGGAACTGATTTTAATGCTTTATCAACTATTTATTGTTAATCAAATTGTGTGTCTTGAGATATTATCTTGATATCTACAAATTATCGGTTTTAGTAAGAATATTTTGGGCTAAAAGAAATTGGTGATTTAACTAATAGAATATGTTGGTAATCCAACAGTAGAAACTTGTATTGGTAACCAATTAATTTAATTAATTAAAAAAGTGAATACTGGATATTTTTCTATAAAATAGGAGACTCTAATTGGGAACCAATATGAACAGGAAGAATTTTTATTCCGATAAACCAAAATGTTGCTAGAAAAAAATCCAGCAAAAAATTGTAACAGTTACATATTCAAAGATTGAAGAAATTTACTTTTGAATCATCTTCGACGCGCCATCTGTTGGTAAATAAAACAATTTCGACGATACATAACCACAGAAATCTGTTCTACACCTGGTCACAAATTAGTTTGTCAAAAAAACACTAGTGTGCGATAGCGCTGTCATTTTGGTCGTTTTTAATCTTCGAGCAGTTGGCTAACGTGACTGTCATGCTGTGAATAATTTTGTGACTTTTTAACCGACAAGAAAATTGTTTTGTGGAGAGGGTGGAGTCATTTTAAGTGTCGGAAAAAAATAGCAACAAGTGTGTGTATTTGTGCGTTGAATAATTTATAAACAATATGGGTTGTGCTATCAGTACCCCTGAAAAAAAGGCAGCTCTGGCGAGGTCCCGTAAAATTGATAAGGTCCTTCGCGAGGCTGGAGAGAAGGCTGCGAATGAAGTCAAACTGTTGTTATTAGGTACGTTAAAAAATCCGTTTTTCTACTTTGTTTTGCATGTGTTTTTGTTGTTGCAGGTGCTGGAGAATCTGGCAAGAGTACAATTGTAAAGCAAATGAAAATTATACACGAACTCGGTTATTCACAAGAGGAATGCGAACAATACAGACCAGTTGTTTACAGCAATACTATACAAAGTTTGGTGGCTATTATAAGAGCTATGGGTCAATTGAAAATAGATTTCGCCGATCCTAGTAAAACGGTGAGTTTTCCTTACTAATTCCAATTAGTGACTTTTCGCGTATCCTATTTTATTTAAAAATGTATACTCTTATCTACATTGGTAAACAATGTTCCTGGTATCCTTATCACATCTCATTATACTCTGTTGTTTTAATGATTCATTCAATGAATGAGCTCTACCATTAAAAATGGGAATTTTCATCTGGAAAACTCGATTGTATCATATTGATTCATAAGACATTCATGTTTTATTACTAATTAAATAGCATTTATCTCTAAACTGTTTGCCGCGATCGACTGAAAAAAAAAAACGTTGTTGATACACTCTATTATCGTTACTAATAGATTAAAATTGCTTGAATAATTGTTTGACCCCGAAATGCACTCTATCCGTAGGAAACAGCCAGGCAATTTTTCACGTACGTCAGCTCCGTCGAAGAAGGAGTTCTGACGCTCGAACTGGTCATAGTGATGAAGAAACTCTGGCAAGACCCCGGCGTACAGTCCTGCTTCAGGCGATCCAGGGAGTACCAACTGAACGATTCGGCCGCTTACTATTTAAACGCTCTGGATAGAATTTCGCACCCCAATTACATACCCTCCCAACAGGACGTTCTAAGGACCAGGGTCAAGACGACCGGCATCGTCGAAACCAATTTTTCATTCAGGAATCTTCACTTTAAGTACGTACCATGTCCCATCCATTTTAACATCAAACTAATGTTGGTATTTACAGAATGTTCGATGTGGGTGGACAGCGTTCGGAAAGAAAAAAATGGATACATTGCTTCGAAGCGGTCACAGCGATTATATTTTGCGTAGCTTTATCAGGTAAATTTATACAATGAAGTTACACCTCACGATTGTTTACTTTAATTTCTGTAGGTTACGATTTGGTGCTGGCCGAAGACGAGGAGGTCAACCGGATGGTGGAGTCGATGCAGCTGTTCGATTCGACCTGCAACAGCAAGTGGTTCGTGATGACTTCAATCATACTTTTCTTGAACAAAAAGGACCTGTTTGAAGAGAAGATCGCGCGCAGCCCGTTGACGATCTGCTTCCCGGAGTACCCGGGACCCAACACGTACGAGGCCGCCTCGGAGTACATAAGGAAAAAGTTCGAGAACTTGAACAGGATGAAGGACAAGAAGGAGATTTATTCGCACTTTACTTGCGCTACTGATACTAATAACATACAGTTCGTGTTCGATGCCGTTACTGATGTTATTATTAGGAATAATCTGAAAGATTGCGGGCTTCTTTCGTAAATCATGTCGTTTCACTCTGGCGAAAATTGGTTTGACAAAGGTTTGGTTTTTCATTAAGAGTTTTGGAAATTTTGTACGTTCGAAATTTACATACTTTTTTACGTTCGATTATCATCAAGTTATTGCTCATAAATCGCGAAGTGTGTACCTACCCCTTATTAGTCAATTATGTGTAAGACATGAAAAAAAATCCGAATTTGTTCGACTCGAATTCGTCCATTAAGTCGTAAAATTTTATACCGAATATATTAAACGCGTGAGCTTTATTTGGGCAAGTCCGGTTTTGTTCGCAAAAAAAATCACATCAAAATCTGCACTGGATAGTTAATAAGTCATTCACATGTAACAGTTATTTTCTCAATCTCTCTAAACGAATTGAAAAACTGCCTAATTGTTGACTACCGCACATTGTCAATTTGAATCAGTCCGAAATGGTAGCTGAAAAACCGTGTTTAAAGGTTGTTTACTTATTTATTGAGATGATTTGTTCCAATAGTTTGTACTTAAAGATGTTGGAGCAATTTTTGATAGACGTTGTTTATATATGTGTGCAAAAAATATAAAAAAGGAGCTATATGGCACATGCGCTATATTTTTTCTATTGTAGGTAAATATATTTATATGGATGTGAATCGGAGTAAGTTGAACTTGCTTTTATGTTTAGATACTTAATGGTATATATGTGGCTTAAACTTATTTAATGTTGTTAATGTAATGAAAATGTTTGAATATTTATAGCTTCTCGGATGCGCGGCTCATCGATTTTGGATTTTATTCAGCTCAAAGAAGCTATTTATATTTGACTATTTGGAAAATTTTAAGGTCAAAAATTGGATAAAAATTGTGTAAAAAGAAAGTTGACATTTGGTGGAAGTTCGAATTATTGTTGCAGAGCTTGCATAATTTAAGTCTCTTCATTATAAGTACACTGATTTACTCTTTTTATGCAATTTTAAAGTTTCTTAAATATTATTTATCTACGCTTAGTTTATACGTTTATAAGTTTGAGACAGTTAATGGTTTGGTGCCATTCTTTTTTGGCTCATTTCAATGAAGTACAGTCGCTCTCTTTTTTTTTCCAGTAGATTTTTTTTAGACTTCTTTTTAGTATTATAAATCATTCCTAAAAAGACTTTATAAATGCCATACGTTCAGTATTGAAATTTTTTATAGTTTTACAACTCAAATCAACATATTTATTGTAATATAATGTAAAGAGATTATATAGTCCATTATAAATAATTTAAAATGATGCCATGAAACGCGTAAAACAATATTTTCTTAATGTTTTATAGTTGGATTTGTGCCTTCTTGTTTTGATTACAACAAATTACGAAACTGTGGCCGTCTCTCTAAACAAAGTGCCAAATGATTAGCACAATTATATCGAGCAGAGTTCCATAAACTTCCCGCTAAAATCTAATAAATCGAATTTAATACACAAACACGAATTAATTTTTGCGGAATTTTATGGCACGCTTCTGTAGTCATTCGAATTTTAAATATATATTTTTAATAACAATTTTGATTATTTTTGATACAAATCGAGTTTATTAACGTTCACTAACACTTCTTGAGACTTATATATCCACCTGTAATTGTTGACTGTAATTTTTTTTTACTTTTTGTAATGTTACACATACTGATAGTTTGTAAGTGTATGACAAGTATACTATTCAACGATTAGTTGATTATTATACTTTGTTTGCAAATGACAAATAGACAATTTATGTAAAACTTCTTTATTTCTTCCTGGGATGGGGTGATTGTTCGAAAAATAGAGGTAACCTCAATAATATTTATTTATTTATAAATTAAAACAATACAGAGGTAAAGTAAACAATAATACTAAAACATTTTAAAAATAAATAGATTCATACATTTATGAGCAAAAATAGATAAATCTAGTATATAAATAGGTATCACTTTTCCAAATTATACAGAGAGTTACCGCACTTTCTGTCTATATTTGACACAATTTGATTATTAAAATTTATGCAACAAACAATAGGCAATTTCAAACAAAAACAAACTAATTATCGATTCGAGAATAGGGAAACATTGTAGCGCAAAACACTGCCCTACTCATACTTAACCCGTATACTAAGTAGGTTTATTTTTAAAGCAAAAATTATAACTGCTAAATAACGATCATTTTTCCGACGAGGCTTTAATAAATCGATTACCACCAGAATGTTAATGGTAATTGCACAACCAGGCCTATTAAATCATGATTCAGAATCTGCAATCTTAAAGCATTAGAATTCTTGTTGTGTGAATGTTATGAAATCAATTTGTAAATAATTTCAGATATTTAATTCACAAACTATTTAAAGTTTTAAATGTAATATTGTGATAACGGCCATGTGAATAACCAGCGTTTAATCACAATGGAAACAATTAAAATATGATTGAACGAAACATAGACGATTTTAATATAATTAGGCGACTACTTAAATTTTACGAGTTGTTAATTACCGATTACATGCTATATCACTTAAACCTTTCTTCGTACCCGAATGAATTATAGGTGTATTGTAACAAACTAGTTTATTCCCACTTAGCATACGTTATTGTTGTTAAGAAGCAGTCGTATAATTTGTATCAAATATATTCCGGAGCAATTCCAGTCAGAAAAGAGTCGCCCTGTATCCAAAATTAACTATACTTAATAAGAAAATTTCAGTTCTTGACCTAAACGGAATAGTACGTTAAACCGGGCTGCCAATGTCGTACTGATAGCGCCAAGTCAGGTACTGTGCGGCCTCCGTCATGTGGCGCAGCGAGCTGTTCAGCCCGTTTAAGTGCCTCCTGAAATCCATGGCGATTCTCTCGACCTTTCCCTCTTCCTGGGACGTTTCGTCTATCCCCGAATCGACCTCGTTGCTGCCGGACTCCGAATCGGTGTCGCTCAGAGTCGACGTGGAATTCGTCGAAGTCACACTCACTGAAGAGGGTCTGCGGTTGTGGCCTTTGGTCGCTGTATTCGTATTCACTGTTGGGGCCGCCGCCGGCGCCTTCGGCGCCTCCTGGCTCTCGCCGCCCCACAGCAGCGAGTCCTTCACGCCGTTCAGCATGTTGTAGATCTCGAACAGGTCGGTGGAGCTGAGGTTTTGGTGCACGGAATGGGACGATTTGGTTTTGGCGTTCTGGCAGGCGGGGTCCTGCTCGTCGCCGACTTTCAGGTCCATCAGCCGGCAAGGCACTAGAATCGTCTCGTCCATTTTGTTGACGGCTTTCACGAACTTCTCCATCACGTTCAGGATGCTTTGGTTGGAAAATTCGGTGTCGTCATGCCTGGCTATGCGACGCAAGCAATTCCTGTAACAACAAAATAATAAACGGTTTGAATAGGTACGTTATTTATACAAATAAATGCGATTAAATCTACCAAACACGTATTCTGAACTATATAAATTATTTGGAAATTCGCGTTGTGTAATATTTGTTTTTAATTTATTTGCAAGGACGTTTTTTTGTGGCTCGTAGTCGAGACAAAAAATTGTTTTGCTGAAGACAGTTGAAAATGTTACAAATCGTTACAAATTTGCATTTTTTTCTAAAAAATTAATTCATTTCCACAAATTATGTCATGAACTCGTTAAAAAAAACCCTATCGGCACGTATAAGTACCTACTTAAAAATTATCAATCCAATAGTTTTTCCAAAATTTCAAAAATTCTAAGGTTACTTATTGTCAAGGTTAAAGTTTAGCAGCATTTACACTCGAATTACATTAACAAAAATATTGTAATTCCTCCAGACGGTGTTTGTTTTATCATTTTGGATGTGAAATTTTAATCTACCTCCAACAACCAAGGCCGCACTTTATCGTATGCAGCGTCACATTACATAATTTCGCTAATAGCTTTCAGCGATACCTATTGATATGTTTCAGGACCGATTGATAAACGTTTATTTTTGTTTGTCGAGCAATTTGTGTCATACACCGTTTATAAATAATCACTTCATTATAGACGATATAGCAATAAAAACAAAGCGATTTTACCTAAAGTCAAAAAAATTGGCATCCAGTTGTAAAAAAATGGTTCTTTTTTCAGTTTTATTACTGTAATAGCGCAACAATCGATTCTATTAAGGAATTATGTATGTAGGTATTATTGCATAAATTCGAGATAAAACAAAAAAAAAACAGCCACGTATTTTCAAATGCATTCGAGACAACGATAAACTGGGTTTACGAGTAGTTTTGACCTTTGTTCTACGTGCTCCAATAATTTTATTAAAGACCAAACTCTTTCAGACATTTCACAAAAATTTTACGTTGTACACAAACACTTAGCTTGTTTTTTTAAAATGGCAATTTCCTATTTTTTGTATCGCGAAACATGAAATTATTTAAATTAATTTAATTGGCAGACTATTTGTTGATAATAAAGTCGACTGCATAAATACAACAATTTATGAAATACGTAAGTATTTGCACTTTTTTATCATTAGGAAGCACTTTTTATATTGATAGATAATTTATATTTTACTATCACTTTTCTACATCGAAGGCTCTTTACAGTGGAATAAAGAGAAGATAAACACATTTTCTTCTCATTAGGATAATTTCATTAAAAGAAGTCATTACTAATTATACTCAAGGAGATAAAGCAAATTTTACACGTGCACAAACAAAAAGCTGATCAAACAATAACTTTAAAACAAAGTTGTTGTTATAATAAATTTAAATATAAGAAATTCCATAATTTATCAATGTATAAAATTTGTGTTACCCGTCCTAGGACGGAATGTTAAGTATGAATAAAATTTATTTCGAAAAAAATACTATTTTGAATAGAGAAGCATATGTGTGGTGAATATCATATCGAGTGTGCGATTCCTTAATCTTATCCATATACAGAGATACTAACTTGTATGAAACTAAATGTAGTAATAATGCATTGTTGGTTTATCTACAGGTATCAATTCTAACGCAATAGTTAACGTAAATTTCCTAGTTGATCAAAGTTCAAACATTGAAGGTCGGTGAAGTTTTTTGAGGAATACAATTTTTTCGGCAATTACACAAGGTCCCCTCTACTCGGACATTCATTATTGTAATTTTTATTGCTTTTTTTGTATATTGTCCATTCTGAATAAAAAGCGTATTATAAAACACTCCTTCCGCAATCTCCGATTATTCTAGAAGTTGAAATTTAATAAGTCTAGAAACCCACATCATTAAATCTTTGCTAATGGGTTGTTTATGTTTTTTGCATGTAAATCGCCAAATCATTATACTATTAACAGGATTACCGGCTATTTTCCAAATAAAAAAATACCAAAATATAGACGAAAAAATTCCACGATGCGTTTAATCAATTCGAATTTTTGAAATTGTTCCGTGTTATTAAAATTTTTAGCCGTGAATTGACAATTCACGAGGATAATTTTGTGGGTCGCTTTCAGTTCTCTCACCTACCTCGTTTGTAAACAATAAAAATTGCAATGGACGTAACAATAATTAATCAAAAAATTCGGCTCAATAAATTGTATTCGACAAAAGCAATGACCCTAGCTAAGGACAATGGGAATTTAATCGAAGGGGGCATGCACGCTAGCACGTGTACATCACTGTCAATCATTCGAAAATATCAAAAATGATACGAGATTGCATTGGAAAATGTAGAGAAATCACCTTTCAAATTTAACACGAAAATTTCTTTTTTTATGACATTTTTATTTCACCCCGATGAACCGATGCAAAAGTCGTCGAGGAAGTAGCACTTATGCGTTTGTTAATTATTTTTGCTAATTCGCTAATTACGTACTTTACCCAATCAGCTAATGTGTAATCCACATAAAAATATAAACAGAGGCTATTAAAGTTTATAGCAGTCACAAAAAAACCTATTGAAACAATATTTTTATCCATTAAAATATGTAATTAAATAACTTTTGCTTCGCTGTGCGGTGAGCAATTTAAATACAATTACCACTTTTTTCTTTTTCAATTTATACACCCTAAACTTTATTTGACAGCAAATTAAATCATAAGAAAGCTATAAAACACTAGACAAAAAATGGCAAATTTTCATAGTCCTCTTCCTACACTATTAATTTTATTAGCAAAATTTATTGGTTTTTTTTTCAAGGTATTCATATTTGCTATATTCTAGTTGTGTGGAATATTAAATTACCACGCATGATTAATTAATAAACGTTTCGGATATTCGGTTATACAAAAAAAAAGAAATAATTAAATACTAAAACAATATAGATAAGCTTAATTGAATAGTTTTTAACAATCAGTGACGTTTCAAAATTTAATTGTCTACTTAATGGAACCCAAAACAATTTCCTGTATGGAGCATTCCGAAAATTTCATTTTTTTTTTCAGTTTTTCCGTTACAATTTAAAAATAATTTAGGAAATTTGGTGAATACATAATTAGTGGGAAACGATTAACATATTTTTTATTGGGTTTACGATAGAAGGAAACTGTAGCTTTCACTTCACTATCAAAAAACATTAGCTTCTTACATAAACAAAGAAAAAGCACATAGTTAAAGAAAATAATTGCAAATTTTATGTCACAAAAAAACGGACTATCCGTATTCAATAGCAACACAATACAATGAGCGGTATTATTTTAAAACAAAACTCCACAGCTTGTTTTCGTGATATATGAACTCAGCACTTTTTTCGTAAAGCGCTAATGAAAGCAATGAATTTTCACATTGGTATATAATTTAATTAACCGTAATTATAAACTTTACAAGTGTAGTAATTGTTCGTTGGGGACGCCGAGTATAATTACAATCAAAGTTAAGATGTACTTACATGCGTACGTACATATTTTATATGCTTGTTACAGTAATTTCTAGTGATAGATTTCAAAGAAAATTCTAGTCGTTTGCTCGTGTCCTACAGAAATTATCATAAAAAACAAATTTATTTAAATACGTTTTATCGTTTTTGTTTACTTTGATCTTGTTAGTAAATTTAATATGTATACAATTTTAAAATTTGTAATGTTCTGTGATTGCAATTAGCAGTGTATGAATTAATAATGAATTTTGATTCACAAAGAGGAATTTTTATAATCGGTTTTAAAAACAATATTTCGAAACCACACAAATATTATGGATCACCTTCTCGATTTAAATACCTTAATTATATTTGTAATTATTATTTCTAAAAAATCAATTAGTAATTAACTCTAATCAGAATTAACTAGTCAAAACAACATTTTCGTTTAATAAGTAATACATTAATTGAAATTGTTTAAATAAATTCACATTAGGAAAAAATTATTTTTAAATAGCCACTAATTAGCGGGTCAATTAACCTTTAGATAGTTCTAGTCAAATTTTTTTAATTGCCAAATTAAAGAGAAATGTGAATATTGAATGTTCAAGAAAAAATATGATAGGTCAATGGAAAGATAACGTTATTTTTCTAATAGTAAAGCAATTTACAAGAATCCTTTAAATTCCCAATTATCTAAAACTAATTAGGGTGTAATTTTCTTCAGAGCACAAATAAGGTTTCGATTAATAACAACTTGTGCGTGTTCTAGTAAATATGAAGACAATGTTTAATTAAATTGATTTTCGATTGAAACGAAAAAAAAATATATATTCAAAAGTTTGGGAAATTTTAAATCGTTGACAAAAAGCAATCAAAATAGTGCTGATGGTAGAAGAAAATGAAGGCAATTACAAGAATCGCACAGGTATAATTTATTTCGTAATTAACGGAAGCTTACTGTTCAATCAGTGAATCGTAATTGGTAGTTTTGAAAGAATTTAATAATGCTAACCGTAAAATAAGACTTTCAGTTCCTAAATGCGGCATGTTGTATGAATGTAGAACATGTAGAGAATTTCACTTTCCACTAGAATGGTACATGGTATATGATAGAAGAACTCTTCTTCCAAGTAACACGCAGTGTGACATCCGAAATGTACTCGGAGTAAACGACCTTCATTATAGGTTATATTAGCAATATTTTTATTTCTGCTCATAATCGACCACTTTCCCAAATTTTAACGTTTACACAGGCATTTACATATTTGAGCGGAATTAAAATTTTACAACTCGATAGGCTTTAGTACGTTGCAGGCTACTTTCTTAGAAAGCAATTTGTTTCAATGGATTCGAATAAATGGTTTTTTTGTATTAGTAGTAAACAAACTTAATATGTATGTCCATTTCTGAATGATATTCGTGAACAATGCCGCATTCCTCGGCGGATCTTAACCAGCTATTTATTGAAATAATGTATTGTTTTTAGAATTAACATAAATATAATGGTTTTCAACTTTTAACACCGGTATTGTATTTCTATTAATGTTAATTGCGCTCGATTTTGACCGATTTATTTGAAAAAAGGTATTGATTTTTATTGTCCTTCAATGAATTCTAAAGTGTTGTCGATTCTGTTCTATTAATTACTTTAATTGATTACCCTCGGTTTTATTTATTAGTTTACCATCAGTAATTGAACGCAGAATTTAAAGGTTTCCTTTGACGTAATTGCATTTTTATTTAGTATCTGTAAGGACATTTTACATGTTTCGAACAAAAAAAAAAGAAAAAAACATTATGTATCAAAAAATTAGTAGTAAATTTATTTTTATGGATGAATTTAACTACAAAAGTTTTACAAATTGATAAAAACCTGAATTTTCAATTAGGTACTATGAAATAGAATATTGTTAGTTAATTGAATTAATTTAAAAATTTTAGTATCGAATTTTATGTAGGTGTGCATAGAATATGCATGTAATTAACTAAACGTTCAGTGAATAGAAATTTACCCTAAATAGCATGCGAGTTATTTAACTGGAAATGCCCGAGGAACAGATTTTTGAAGTTATCTCACTGCTTTACCTAACAATTGATTTATCATTAGTGATTTGAATGGCGTATTCACAATAGAGTATCTTTTCGTATTTTAACATCAAATGCGCTAAATAAACAATCTAATCAAATTTCTTGATAATACTGTTAAAATAACTAAACAGTCTTTTGCAATTATACGTATAAATATAACGAAACATAAATATTGTGAATGAGGCAAAAACAAAGAAATATAGTGGCGCGATTTTTACACAATTTCAAAATATTTATACGTAATTATAAAATTGTACAACATGTTAATCAGCTGATTCAGAAAACAAATAAGTCGAAGCAATCTTGATATTTTTAATTTTCAACTTCGTGCCATCTACCTGGGTTCATTTAAAAAAAGAAACCATTAAATCAACATGCAAATTTCGGCTGTTAAACGACCGAAGAACTGTTACTGTTGGGCTTCCCTCTAAAAACGAGCTATAACATTACGATAAAAACCTACCATGCAATTTAGCTGATATTCGAGATCCGTTAAAGCCATTTATTATTTTTGTGACAAGTTTATTACAAGGATTCGCGAAATCTTAACCTTCGAGAGGCTCTGACGAGGATTCAACGCGAATTTACGAATCCAAACATAACTCTGCAATTTCAATTTTCGGATACCCCCGTGACGCAGCAGTTTTCCAAATTGCATTTATTCGATAACCCCCAAGGTTAACTAGTCGAAATTCGTGCAAGAATAATTTCAATGCTAGCAGGTGGGGAAAAAGTTCAAAATTTTATATTGAACTTAAGCGTTCGCTTTCCGATCGAACGCGAGTTTGTTGCCCGTTATGGCTAATATCCCTACGCCAATTATTTCGTCAGTACAGCTAGGTAAAATTACAGTTTACGGCCAATATTAATGATTATTATAAAATTCTTCTGAATCTATTAAAACTGCGTCCTCGATTCATTTCGAATCGACTTCGAGCGTTCCTCGTTTTTTTCAGGAAGCTGTATTGTAACAAAAATACGCAGAACAAGGACGTAGTGTTTTCGATTCGGCTGTAAGATCAACGAATTTGTTCAATGAAAGTCTTAAATATGCTTCCGAAGAGCCCAAAATCATGGTCGTACACTCTCAATTATCCAGGATATATTCCAAACTACAAAGTTTTATATTACAACATGAGGCGTTCGATTTCGAGACAAGGTTTTGAAATCGTCATTGATAATTTGGAAATCAATAGTTTTAAAGAGAATGTATAAGTTAATATGTGTAAAAATTGAGTTTTTTTTGAACTACTTAAGTCATGTTACTATGCTGTGCATACACCACAATCTTGTTGAATTGAACGTTCGTGGGATCTCCTTATCAATTCGGTATTTTTATTGGAACAAATCTCTAATGCAACAATCTTGATATAATGTTATGAGGTAATCGAGTTTTGGAAAAACATGAATCACTGGAAGTTTATCGTTTCTTTAGATACAATATTTAATTCGCGCCTGGAGAACAGTTCGCCCTGTACAAAAATATATAACTGTTCGGTAAATCGGCGATAATGACGAGAAAAATATTGTAATTAGACACGTCCACCAAAATTTAAATGCAAACCATTATCGAATTTATTCGAGTGCAAAATTAATGAGACACCCGAGAGTTGATATTGCATTGCATTCCAGCGATATAGCAGGAATTTAATCCTGCAAATTTATAGACAATCGACGAATCACCGCCTACTGTCATTTGCTGGGATCATCGGATGATCGGACGGATTTTTCGTTTTTGTCACAAGTCTAATTTTGGACAGCGTTTAAAAACAAACTTAAAAAACAAATATTAGTTCATTATTATAGGCGGTTTCATCATCAATGGACTTTAAATTTTTTCCAGAATTTATTATGTAATTTTAGTATTTATTAATAACGAAAAATGTAAATGTCAGTGTATCATAGTAGAGATTCTCGGTGACGTCCCCGTTAATTAAAAAAAGAGCGTTAAAGCGTGTAATTCGAGGATCGTATGATTGCAGCAAGGCCCAAATGGAGCGTCACGATTGGTCGGAGGCTACACGTGATTTTATCGACCTAAAACCGGCAAATGTAACATAACGTTAACATGTAACATTTTAATTCAAATCTAGAGCGATCCAGATACCTTAATTGCAAACCAACAATTATCCAGAATTTATCGATTAGAACAAAACATCAATTCAGGACGATCACAATTACAGCCAACTTTCACCTGCGCTATGCACAAACCTAAATAGCAAAAAAACGTAAACAAATAGAATAGTACCTGCTGTTCTCCAAATTCGTGGATATGTTCTCTACGTAGGAATTCATGGCTGCATTTTGATTTTCACTTAACATTTTGCTGGATCCGCTCGTACGAACCGCACGCACTCGAATATACAATTCGTGAAAAAAAAAATCGACGTTCAGCGAAAACAACCTTGCAGCGACGAATACACCCAGTCCCTGAGTGCGACTTCGAAACTGATTCTCGCTCAAATGTTCTCTTTTAATTTTATACGACGATGACGAGGGCCGCTCGGCTGACGCAGACCGACGAATCAGGCGCTCCGTCGGTGCTCCTCTCACCGCTCGGCGCCTGCGCCCGCCGATCAAGCGCTCGCTTCAGCCTTTTTCGCGTGGGTTCTTTTTTTTTCAGGCCGCGTTGCCGGCCGAAGCCGCCGCGGTACCGACCGCGGGGCCCGACGCGCCCGGAAGGAGATCGCCCAGCACCCGATGCAATTGCTCGAACGGAAGGAATTCACCACCCGGAACCTCCGGGCGCACCGGAACTCCACGGATTTTAAGTCAATTCGATACCGACATTACGCACCAAAACTAGTCGTCGCTAAATCTCTAAATCTCTAAATCTCTAAATCTCTAAATCTCTAAATCTCTAAATCTCTAAATCTCTAAATCTCTAAATCTCTAAATCTCTAAATCTCTAAATCTCTAAATCTCTAAATCTCTAAATCTCTAAATTTCCAAATCTCTAAATCTCTAAATTTCGAAATCTCGAAATCTCGAAATCTCGAAATCTCGAAATCTCGAAATCTCGAAATCTCGAAATCTCTAATCTCTAAATCTCTAAATCTCTAGTCCCTACTCTAATATATTCTACCCTGCATTGGTAAATACCGATTACAATTGGTTGCAGGTTACCAATTGGTTTCCTCATTGGTTATCCTCATCGTTTTTGTATTTATGGTTGAATATTTAACTATAATTTGATGGCTGGCAACATGGCGATGTTTATATATTTAATGTTTTTAAATATTTACACGCGAACAAGTGCAAGGATGCGATTACTTAACCCGTTTATCTGGCGGCATTATTCGGCGTTTTGTTGAATAAAAATTGTGGAATTTTGATTTCATGCCCAGTAAGGTGACAGGAAATGGCTGGAATTCCAGCGAGTGCGCTTCCTATTCGAGGTTTCAAGTATTCTTCATAACCATAATGTAGAACGAAAATAGAGCGTTTCCTCTTTAAGGTGATATTTGTGGTTGTAGGTTAGTTATCGGTGATGTATGTATAAATAAATACGTACGAGCATTACAAAGATTAGTGCAAATGGAAAAAATTTGCGATTAAAAATTTTGCAACTGTTGTTAATTTCCGCTTTGATTATTAAAATCTGATGTCATGGTAACAATACAATTTACCATCGCAAACAATGCGAAAGTTTGGTAAAATAGGTTCAACAAAATATCAGTGTAGAAAATATTTGTGTAATTTTTTGTCAATTTAAATAAACGAATCAACTTCTGCCGTATTTTAGTGATTTAATAATACGCGAATACGTGCAATGTGTATTGTATGTAAATATAAACATGCTAATGCCCAACTATATTCTTAAATCATACGTAAGATTTAAAAAACAATAAAACGCTTATCATTTTATTATTTTTTCTTCTAATAAGCTATTTAATAAAATCTATTTTTCAAAATGATTTATTCTTGTATAACAATGACAATCTACGAATTTATTTCAAGCATAAAATAATAATTATTTTAATTTAAGAAAACATTAAGTCAAAATAAGGTAGATACTTAATAAAACATAATAGAATAAATATATGGAAAATTATAGAAAAATATAAATTTTAGTAGGTAATCATAGCGGCAGTAACTAACAGAATAATTTGCAATTTTATTAAGCAATAAACTCGTATTTAATGAATACCTGTAGTCTTAATTTTTGATTCTATCATAGTTGCGGATTATAAATTATTGTATACATTAACTTAAAGTCTTATAATACGATAAAATCTTATCAACACAACAAAGTAGGTAGGTACAGAGTTTGTTACTAGGTAATTGGACTATTGTGTAACTAGATAATTTTTCCAATAAATGTAAATTAAAAAACATCTGTTGTTTCAACAAAATTTATAACATATAATATAAATTATCGCAGTACAACATAATTTGTTACAATTATTTTATTGTCGAACAACTCGTTGTTTCTGTTGTTTCTATGTAAACATTTTCTAATTGGAAGAAAGAAGAAGACGCCCTGCGTTATCATGAATAATACACTTTATCGTTATCCATCTATAATCACGAATAATTAAGAACAGACAGTCTACAACACGTAATATTTCTTTATTTATAAATCGAATGTCAAGGAGAAAGGAAAAATGTCAATAATGGAATTCGATCATTTATTGATAATGTTCATCGATTTACTGAATGTATAGTAAGGTTAAGTTAAAATTGGGGAATTGTAAATTAATAACGACTCTTCTAGAAGATTTTTTTTTGATTCTTGGATATGCAAAATTATTTTCTTTATCCAATAGTTTTACCGAATTGGCTCTTATGGGTTTATGGAACAAGGTTGTATTGCCAAGTTTAAATTGTCGAGCAGATTCGCTAAATATAAAGATTAAATTGCATGATGCAAAGTTTTTATTTAGAGTTTACATAATATCTCTAATAAAGAGACGATTTTTTCATAAATTTGTTATAAAAATGCCCCAATTCAACTAAAGATAATTTCCAAATACTTACATTTTCCATTAGCTTATTTGGAAAAATTGCAAATAAAACCATATAAAAGATAGGTTTAATTAAGGCTAATTATAGTGTAACAACTTATATAAAATATCAATATATTATAACAATTTTCTGGTTTCTTGTATAAAAAAATGAGTGATATAAAAAGCATCGATACACAGTTTTTTATGTTTATAATTTTTAATTACTGTTACTACATTAGCAGCATTAATTAACAAACTAACTTTTTTTGAGCTAATCGCTCTCCTAAATGCAATTTCATAGTATAAACGGGTTCACAACAAATTAATTGTGGTAAATATTCAATCGGTATTTTAATTCGCAGATTCTTGATAGATGTAATGTGTAGAAAAAAGTAATTAACTTTTTTTTTGTTGGTGAAAATTGGTTGCGCAGTAATGTGATGCAAATGAGTCAAATGTTACAAAACAGACAAGGCTATTAACAATATTTATATCCTAAAAATGATCGGAGCAAAATGACAAAATTGGAAAAATATAAATACAAACTTCACGTGGCTTTTTAGTGATTACAACAAATAGCTGAGTGATTCCATTGTGAGTGCGTCAAATATGTGGTGTGATTACTGTGTAGCAACCAATTATTATATTATATTAATTGCGATATGAACGATGCTCGAAAGATGAAGAGCTTGTCAACTTGTCTGCAACGCATATAAATAAACGCACGTTTCAACCTATTTTATGAAACACGGAGTAGAATGTTTTCATTTCACGTGTTGAGTATAGTTCGAATTTTTAGCGTTTTTATTCCGCTAATAAGTGCATATCTTCGATATATAATCAATGCACTATATGAATGAAATACAATAAAAAAAAGTACGTCGTAAACACCATACAAACCATAAATGTCTGAAATATTTTACCTCTTTGTCAAGGTAGTGACATACTTAGAATGTTACAACAAATAATGAAATCGTTATAGTCGCATAAATTAGTTTAAATAAAACAAACAATGATATCGTGTATTGGATGTAGAATTGTCAAGACATAGGGTAGGTAATTGCCCTGTTTAGATCTGAATAATTAACTTGTCTTGTTACTTACTAACCGAAGATTGTCCAGAAGTAGCATTATTTATGAATGTAATTTACACTCGCTCAATAATTCATGTAACATAATTGTTAATCAATATTCAAGCTCAAAAATACACAATTGAATAAAACATTAAACAAGTTTATAAAGAAAATTGAAATTAAATAAGTTATAAAATAAAAATGCGTTCGTAAGTACAAGTGAATAATAACATTAAGGTAGAGGTTGTAGAAAATTTGCTCAACAATGTTTTTAGATCGTTAATAAAATAATTTCATACTTTCTAATCTGAAAATGAACAGATAAGTAGCGTAATAAATTAGTTCTTGGAAAAAAATTAAGTTGTGTGATACAATACCCGACTTATTATATCAATGTCAATATTGTTAGTCAGTTGCAATCGAAACAATTATACAAGTATCGTCAGGTGATCGAAATTTTTGTCGAAATTCATTCGTTAAATATGTTACGCAGCCCAATCTCTACTTAGTAATTACATAATTACAAATAAGTACTGGGTTTCATTCCAACTAACGTCAAAATAATTAAATATATAGTCGGTAAAAAATTTCGCATATCGTCAATGGCAAAAAAAAATGTTTTTTATATTCTTGCACCTAGGTACCGAAAATGCAGATCCTTTCCATTCAAATTTTACCTACGTAAATGACAATGCTTCGAACAAAGGCATAAACAAATTAAATAAATTACATGGTCAGCTAATGGAAGCATAATTTGTAAGAATATTATATATTCCTAGAATTTCCTGAATATGCAAAAAGCAACAAGACATGGATATTCATTAACCTATTGTCTCAAATAAGCACAAGCATTCCAATGTAAAATAATTAAAGACAAAAACGAAAAATCATTAGGATATATTTGACCGGATAAGTACTTACGTCTTATTTACGTCTTACGATCAAATTTTGTATTATTTATAAAATTAAATAACTAGGTACTTTTTATAAATGTATAAATCATATCAGTTATCCAGCTGGTAACTACCTAATTATTTTATGAATTAACCATAGGCACGTCCCAAAAAAATGCATTTTAGATATAGTACCTATACGATAATTTTCAGTAGTAAATATCAATAAAGTTATATTTTTATAAGGGATAAATATTTTTTATTTAAAATTAAAAAAAATTGCAAGTACTCCCCAATTTTATCATTTTAGTGGTGCCATCTTTGAACAACGAACGCAAACCTAACTAGCAAATACAGAAAACGCTAACATTTTATTTTCATGATATAATACTAGATGGCGCAAACGTTCGAAATTTAAGCGGTCATATTCAAAACATTAATCATGAGTAGGGAAATGTATTATAACAATCTTTTATTAGCTTGTGTAAATTAGAAGAAAAAAAATTAGACAAATACTCTTAGTTTTGGCATCAAATTCAACTCGAAAAAATTCTAAAAATTAAATTAAAAAAAAAAACCATGAATTGTTACGCCCATGTATTATAAAGCTGTTTTTTCTAAAATGTACTTATTACACACGGGTTAATGTTTGTATTGTAACACCGCGCGTGTCACGCTGTAGTTTCCCTATGCCAGGTGCAAAATTTTGTAGTATATGATAGTCCCGTATGCTTACATAGATATTTAACAACTGTCTTTTTTGTGTATCGCATATCAAACTAAATGTGTACGAGGTACAAGATGACCCCTCGTTCAAATCATCGTACTCGAACACCTTTCTCGCCCGCTACAAACAGATAAACGTCGAATTAAAATTAGAAAACCGAAACAATGGAAGAGTTTCGTCAAGTAAATGCACGGTTTGCTCCGATCACATGTACTATCTAACGTCAGCTGTTCCTAAGAATATTCCGAGGAAATGTACAAACACGCGGAAAATCGATCTGATCCGCGAAAACGATTAAAAGGAGAGAAAAACTACGCAAATGGACCAGAGACAAAGCCGAAGATCCAGTTTCCCACTGACGGGGGACCCAATCAATATATCGAATGCGTTCGCTGTCCTTGACATAAGAATGTGCAAATTCGATACCTCAAACTTGGAGGTTAATCGCGTGAAATAAAGGTCACATCAATAATTAAAATGTTCTTGCAAATTATTAAATAATATAAAGGAAGAGAAGACAACATTCACAACAAATCAAAAAATCTATATTAGGTTTTCGCGTTCAAGCGACAACCTGAATAACTCGAAGCGATTTAATGTATCATTTTTAATTCATATACTTATTGATTTAACTTAACTAGATATCCGATTCTGCTGCATAAAACTAATGCACTTCTAAAATAAATTATTTAGAAACAACAATCAGAGCCTATCGATTTTTAAAATTATCCTTCCAATGCAATCCAGCCGTTTCAGAATTATTCTGAAACGTAATCCACACGCCTATGTTTTAGACGACCACCCCATGGTATATGTATGGTATTATTATACGAATACACGCCGCGACGCCGCGCTGAAATAGGATAAATGTGGCGAAGGACGAAGAGCGCGACTGGAGGACTATAAGGACCTCTAAGTAGAGGGAAAAGGAAAGTACGAGAAAATGGCAAGCTGGAACGAAGTGTGCGTCAGAGTTTAGGGAGAATGTAATATTGTTTAATGGGTTAGAGTGGGGCTGGATAAATATATAACGTAACGTTTGTAAAATGGAAATTAAAAGATGAATGTATAGATTTATTAAATTGCGTATTTGGTTATTACGAGAAGCGGCGGTATAGAAGGGTATATATAGCGTATAATGTAGTTGTTTAGTGTAGTAGTCGCCGTCGGTCGTCCCTTTTTAGGGGGAGTCCGTATATCGCATAAGGATGAGGAAAGGAGCCGTGCAGAGCTAGAGCAGAGCAAAGAGGGAGGTTGAGTATCGCGACGGCTTACAAGCGCAGCACGAGGGAGAATCAGGCAACGCGCGCATAACCACCTGGCGTCGTGCCTTCCCCCATTCAATCCAGTATCGACCGGCTGTCGAGTTACAGTTTTCGAGAAATACAAATCGAAATTCGGGCCGTCTAAAAGTCGAAAGTGAGCACGGCACGGGGCACGGGGTGCCTAATCGAAGATCGAACCGAAAATCGAGCATGCGAATCGACTAGCCTGCTGACACCTAGTGACGATCCCACAATGGTGGCAAACAACGTCGGGGATGATTTCGCGTTACCGTCGACGTCGTCCTCGTTGTCGTCCTCGGTGGATTTGCCGCCCTCTCGGCGTTCCTAAATCGAAACGGCACCGCAAAGGGAGCGACGACGACGACGACCAGGCGAATTGTCGGCCAGTGTTTGTGCGTCGTTACCTTACCCGTTGGAGGCGGCGACGGAGACAGCGATAGCGACTATAAACACGTTTTAAAAGTCCCGACCGCAACCGCCTCCCGAGACTCGAAGTCAAGTGTCAGTGATTTTGTTGTTTTTTTTTTTGTTTTTTTGGAAGTTTCCGTTGTCGGTGTTTACGTACGTCCGATCCGGTTCCAGGATATCTCTCAAGTCTATCTCTCTGTCCGTACCTCTACCTTGATGCGGAAAGTCGGCATGGCTGGTAGTGACACCTTCACTTCGGTGACGTCCTTATGATGGAAAATATTGGAAAAATGATAGAACAGCAAGCATTAGGTGAACAAACGGTCGATTCTCCAGATAGTAGCGCGCATGCGGTAATCGCCGGTGGCATGGAGACGCAGGTTGTCCGTATGAGGCTCGTGTCACGCGCCGTGGTCGAAAGACGTCTCGTCAAACAAGAAGAGGCTGATGGCCCTCTTTCCGTTATTGTGCAACCTCAAGAAGAATCCAGGGACTCGGAGTTACTCAGTCCCGAGAAACTCAGCCCGGGATCCGTCACCGTGGCTAATATGATAGACAACAATGATTACCGCACCTTGAATCCCGAACCAACGTACCAGACTCTAACCTCGGTGAACGGCAGGATGTCGCCTCCGGTTTACAGCCCGAGTTCCTCTTATGCCACGCTAACGCCGTTGCAACCTCTGCCGCCCATATCGACGATGTCCGACAAGTTCGCGTACGGTCACGCCAGCAATGTCAGCGGCTCCTTCACGGTGATGCAAAACAATTTGGGTCTAGGAGTCAATGCTACCACACCTTATACGATGACGAACATGGGCATGACTCCGCCGCACAATTACTCTTCGCCCGGTATAGGTATGCAACAACAATCGAGTCCAATCAGTCCTCAAAGTACGTACAGCCAAAACGGCCTGCCATCGCCGCAGAAAAGCATGTCACCTCCTAGTTACGATTCACCTTACGGCAACCAACGTGATATGGTACCGCGGTTGCACAGCCCACAGTTAAGTCCGCCCTCTGCCTCGTTGAACTCACCTGACGGTACACTCGTCACCAATTTTAGTTCTACTACTTTAAATGGACTAGGTTTACAAAATCACCCGCCTACCTTAGTGCAGATAGCGCCTCAGCAAAGAGACTGTTCCCCATCACCTCCTGTGGTTACGTTACAAAGTGGTCCTGCGGTTTCTGTTAGTCAACAACAACAACAACAGCAACAGCAGCAGTCGATGCAGATCACCACGAAAACTTCTAGTCCCGGATCGCTCAGTGTTCCTGCAATTGCAGCGGACGTCGAAGAGATCAACACTAAAGAACTCGCTCAGAGGATAAGTGCTGAACTGAAACGGTATAGCATCCCGCAAGCTATATTTGCCCAAAGGGTGCTGTGCAGGTCTCAAGGAACCCTCTCCGATCTTCTGAGGAATCCCAAACCTTGGTCCAAACTGAAATCAGGCAGAGAAACGTTCAGGAGAATGTGGAAATGGTTGCAGGAGCCGGAATTTCAAAGAATGTCCGCTCTCAGGCTTGCAGGTTCGTACATTTTTTATTTCACTTTATTCGAGGTAAGGTTATCAAAAAAAATGAGAACCTAATTACATCTAAAAAGTTCTCATGATCACAATCTATTGCAAATAGAACACATTTTAAAACGGACAAAAATATCTTGGTTAACTCCGTTTTAAATATTCTATTTGTATTTGCATTATATTTATTATACAAAATTTAGCTACTTTCCTCAGTTTATACAAACATACATTCTTCGGCAAAAATATTCACGATCGATACGAGAAGTGTCGTTACTGAATAACAACCCTAAACACTGTATTAGAAACGGCATAGTACCTAATTATTGTTATTAGATGGAAACGTAGAAACTCGAAATGGAGTGTCGTTTAAAAAAAAGGAGGTCGTTTTACCCTAAATAAATTTAATAAATTTAGTTTATCTAGGAATATTACCTTGAGAATTATACGTTTGCAACGTTTATTTGTATTCTATTAGATCCTCTTTTAATCCTGTATATACATTTCTTCCTGTCTATAGCGAATTTTTATTTCAATTTTTTGATAGTATAATTATTGTTTCCATGTCCGCGCTCTTTTTAATTGCTATATAATTTCGTTTATGGAAAACTTCATTGTTCAGGACAATATTACACATATAATTGAATCATTTTCCAAATAATGTCCTGGACGTACAGCCGGCAAAGAGTTTTTAACATAGCACTATAATTTCATCCCCCGTTTGTTTTTTCGAATTTTTACGCTTTGAAATAGTAAGCCAGGATGACTCAATAGGGGTTTCCTCGCTATACATTACATTCATTTATTTCAGTCCCACAGTGTAATCCAAAACCGCACGATATTCGTTTTAATTTTGATGTAATCAATCGGGCTTCCAATTTTGTACCCACTAGAGACTTTTTATTTACTCAAGCAATTTAAGGAACCACGCGAAATTACGTATGGCCCTGTATTAAAATCGATAGTTCGATTTAATCCGCTTCGAGAAATAAACATTCAACACGTACTAGGTTATAAATATTTGATAGATGCAATAGGATTCATTGTTTCATCCTAAATTCATAATGTTGCAATTCATACATTGCCAGTAATTCTAGCGATTCTATACAAATTTACAAGACGATTAGATCTGCCTAAATTTGTAAGTATTTTTGAATTGGTTCACTCTTGAAAATAGCAAATTTCATATTATATGTCTATAACGTTCTATGAATGTAGCAGTTTTGTAACTGCAATTCGTATCTTTCCATTCCATTTCATCCATTTTCTCCTTAATCCTGTTTCCCACTCAACATTGTATAAAGAATAACGCTAGGTTCTCGTTTCTCGTATACAGGGACATAAACTTGGATATAGCAGTTCTCACACGCAAGCAAATCGTAAACAGATAGTGATATTTTACAGCTTTACATCAGTTTATAGACAAGCTAGAGTTTCAATTTTGCCAGGTTTTTTTGACGTCCTTTGTAGGGTTTCGCATTATAATTAATAATTTGAGATAATTGGATTTTTTGTGATTAATTTTCACGAAAGTCTTCTTTACCGGTAATCAATCAATTTTTGTTTAATTAGGTAATTGATAGCGCTCTTTTGAAATCTGGATTAATCTCAGCTGCTCAAAGAATTCATTTAGTTACACCCTTATTTATTAAATATCAGGTTATCTAATGAATGTAAATTAAACGTCATCCAATATACTTTCTAGAAAATTAAAATAAACGGGGGGTTCGAAATTGCGTTGTATCATACACAAACTTTCATGAATTTAAGTAAGTGTAACTTTCGATCGATTTACAGTTGTAGGCTTTATGTGCACAATTTAAAACACAAAAAAAAATCAATAATCGGAATTATTTAGCGATTACAATTAGAATCCGTAATTATTCGAATTAACGTACTTAGTTCATAACGCTAAAGTTCAACCCATATGTTGTAAGAGGTGAATCATCATTTATCGATTTTTGCCACTTTTAACTTCGGAGGGGTTGAAGGAGATGACAATGGTCTGCGCATGTCCCGTTACCCTGTACATACAACCTTTTCACGTTGCCAAACTGCCCGCAAGACACATTCAAAATAATAAAAAACTGAATAAATTTAGTAGAATAAATGAACTCGCCCTATTCCCGGCTTAATGTAAATCTTTACAAGTAGATAGTGTAATTTTTTTAAGGCAAATGGATATAATGTTTGTGTTTATTTAATACTTTGTACTTAATTTTGAAGATTCATTCCCGTAATATTCCTATCTGTGTTATGTAGTTTTGAACGTAGGTTTTAAATTTTAAAAATTTAACCAAGAGCGAAATTTGTCGGTTATGAACTACCTGGCTCATTTCAAGGGCTATTGCCAGTACCCTCTTTAGTACCTGAAGTTCCCCATTTCAAATAAACTACCGGTTTTATTGTGACAATACGCATATTTTTACTTCTATTCATCAACATACGCAAAAAAACCATTCAATACACCGAAGCTTTCACGCAGTAATTTCGTGCCCAATTTCGTACCGGCTTTTTCTTTTAATTCTTTAAATCGTCCGTCATTAACCACCTATCGGCAAATCTCTAATCCAGCAGAAGCCAAATTTATTTCGTCATAACTAATTTCAATAACAAAGCCGTGCGGTAACGCAGACTGTCCATACATCTACCTAGCACCCTAAACTTCGCAACCCCATGTAAAAAACAGTGAGGGTTATTGCCCTGGAAATGACATGTCCAACGTGGCGCTTTCAACGGAATTTTCGGGTTCGAATCTAATTGAAATAACTCCCCGAACGTATCGGTTATTCGAGCTTTCAGCGAAAATCGCGAGCGACGCCGAAATTATCTAATTGTCTTCGTTATCTCCGGTATCAGAAACGTTCGTAAACAAAATTCGGAAATGTATACGTGTGTTAACAATTTGCGCGCATCACGCCTGCGATTCCAAAATAAGCTGAAACAACTTTATTAAACCTTCACCCCGACAATAATATAGCGAAGATGGCGAATGGTTGCATATATTGTTAGTTCATAATTATTTTGAAATTTCTTGTAGTTCTTCTTAGTTGTACCTGATGGAAATTTGTAGAGTTTGTTCGGGTTTTTTTCCAGCGTATTCTTCAATGCAGGCCCAATAAAGTTGTTGGGTCAGAAAGGATACTTCCAAGAATTATTAAGAAGATAATGTCAAGTATCTTTTGTAAAACCGATTCGGGTTTCTAAAGCAAATTTATGCAGATGCTGAGCCTATTGAATGGTAAGGAGAGGATTAAAAATGGCATAATCTATGATTTCGGATGAAGCATTCTCGAAGTAAATGTTTGATTAATTGAGAACAGAAATAATCAGCATAGCAATAGCACTTAAAATATTTAAATCCAGGCACCAAAACGAAGAAATAAGTCAGTAAAACAAAAATTGCTCAAATAACATCATTTTATCATCGGAAGAAGAGTTGAAATAAGCATATCCGTGCCACGAGTACTAGTAATTCCAATTCGTTTTTGAATTGAAATTCGAGGTGTGAATTAGCCCAATCAATCGGTGACAAATGGTAATTATGAAATAATGCTGTATGCGCCTTCGCCCCTTGGTATACGTATAATTGATGGTGTTAATATTTAGTTAGTGTAATTGACGTTGTTGACTTCTCTCTTGTTTCATTGCAGACTGCCAGACGCGCAATGTAAACGTGAGGGCAGTCAACGCCAAACGAAGAAAATCATCTTCATCTTCGTGCTTGTGAGTTTTAATTGTCTGTCTGTATCGATGTTTTGCGCGGCTATACACTCGTTTAAAATTTGTAAAATCAAGACGTTTTATGGGCTCGACTGTAAAACGTGATTTTATGAAATTTTTTTTCTAATGCGTAATGCATGTTCTATGTTCATAATTCAAATGGTTGATTGCATGTCAAAATTTGATGGGCCTAAGGTGTTATGCAACATTCACGTCTGGCAAGTCTGGATTCTGCTTTGTGAGATGTTCCTCTGTCAATGGTATCGACTTCATCCAGAGTTTCCAAACGAAATGATAAATGTTATAATCAGAAAAAGGTTTATCGATAATGCGTTAAAAATAAACATTCCAACATGCATGCGAAATTGCTGTTACCCAATCGCATACTCACACAGCTCGCGAGCGCAAAAATTGGTTCTCAAATTTTGGCAGCAAAATGATATAGACTTCACCTTTTTCTTAGCATTATTTTGACGTGTGTCAATTAAACATACTATTAAAAAAACCAAATCTACATTTCTTACGATGAAAACTATATGCAAATCATACCCAAACCACCTCGTTTTATCCTTAAATTAGTATTTATTTCATTAATTTTGGATTTCTTTTACAGCTGCGCAGATACCTCAACGAGGCAGTAAGTATTTTTTATATCTACATCTAGATAAATTTTCTTTGAAAGTAAATTAGTGCTTGCTTAGTAACGTAGCGGTAGTTAGTTACTTAAAAAATATTGTGATTTTTGTTAAAGGTTGCAAACGGAAAGAAGACCCGACCACGAATCAAGAACCACTCCCTACCCCCAAGAAGCCGAGATTAGTTTTTACAGACCTCCAACGGCGTACACTCCAAGCTATTTTTAAGGTAAGCTGCAGGAAATTCTCCAAACCGCAATGCTTTAATCCCGATGTTTAATTTCGATACAATAATGACAAACATGTTCGTCACAATTGCTTTAATCCATTCGCGTGCACGCGGCTCGCGTGTGTATCAATGTGTACATTACTCTTAGCCCATTTGTATTGTCGCATATAAAACAAAAAAAAATATATAAAATATTTATTCGTCCTTATTACAATTTGTTTAATTACCATTAGTTTCCTTAAAATAGTTCGGCATACAATTCTCTTATCGCTGTTCTCAAATATTGATCTTTTCTCGACTACATGTCACCTTCCTGTATCCGCTCGAAGCAAATTTTTATTTCACCTCTTCCATTGTCGCGGGAATAACATTGTTCATTACCAGCGGTGCTCCGCTGCTAAATGAATACCGACTGAGGTAAAACGTTGTTTTCCATTAACATGCAGCTGTTCCGATTTCCAATCAATATTACATATAAACAACGATTGCGATGCAGCGCGTGTGGCAGATAAATTAATCGCGTCGCATTTCTTTTCAACAATAAAGCTTCAAATTAATTTATCGCGCGAAAGGTCAATGGAATTTACCGTTTGCGTTGTCGTTGGCAGGAAACGAAGAGGCCATCGAAAGAAATGCAAGTGACAATAGCGAGGCAGTTGGGACTCGAGCCGACGACGGTGGGCAACTTTTTTATGAACGCCCGAAGGAGATCGATGGACAAGTGGAAAGACGAGGATCCGAAGACGTCGCAGGGCCACCTCCACCAGCAAATGTCGCCCGGCATGGATGACGATTTAGATCAGGACGGAGACATGGACAATGATATGGACGATCACGATGATGTCTTGTGACATGCATTACGAGATCGACAGTTGTTATTGCTGTGACACTTTGTTTAAGTGTAGCGTTGTCTAGGACAATTAGCATAGTGTAGATTCACCAATTGTGTATTTGACCTACAAGTTCTTTATTTCCTTTCCGTTTTTGGTTTTCTTTGCGGCGAAATGAGAAACTTCAACAAGACAATCCATGTAATTGTAAAAACGTACCAATTGAATTATTTTCGTATGTGCGAGCTCGCCGGTGTATTCTACAAACAGATTTTGCTTCAAAAGCAAACATTTTCTAATACAGTACAACTGTGATATTTACTATAAAAATATTGTTTAAGAAAATTTACGCGAAGATATTTAAGAAATACAGTTCGTTTCGATAACGACGCTCTCAATTTATATTATTAAAGTAAGATTCTTTTTAAATAAAAAGCTATTTCAACTGCATGTAGAATAAGTTTCCGCACGATCTGATAATCTCCAATAAATTGATTTTTTAATGATAGAATTCAATGCAAACTTTATTTAGATTATAATTATAATAGAGAATGTTTGTAATAATATGTAAGTAATCAGAATACTCAGCTAATCAGTGTAGAATATACCAGAAAGTTAGCATATACCTAATAGTCGAATAATAAATGTTAGTATTGGAGACAATGTTAAAAATGTAGTCGTAACTTAACTTAATTTTTGATAAAAAAATCATTGCATTACCATCACAAACCACACATTCCTGAATCTAGTGTTCTTCACTCACAAATTTAGTATAAATTTTTGAAAAAAAGTGCGCTTCCGATTATTTATTTTTACGGATTTTGTATGCGTGCCTTAATTTTATGTTTTTAATTGATTTCCATACCTCTTTACATTCCTTTTGGTATTATTGTTTTATTATAATTTGTGGTTAGAAATTACATCTTCAACAATCATAATGCCTACTAATAATTTAAAATATTTTAATGGCAAAACTGAAAGTTTTACGAAGGATAATATTGTTTATTTTATGTGCTAAAGCAAACTGTTTGTTGGTGATTTGAGTTTATTTTTTGTTTATTTTAAGAGACAATCTACCTACTTTTGTATGATTTTGCACGTTTTATTATTTATTTTAACCTTATAGGTATTACCATTTCTTTTGAGAATAAGAGGACTGAGACTTATTTTTTAGGATTTGCAGTGGGTGAAGTCCAAATTAAATTATATTAATAGATACGGTGATTTTTTGTTATCTAGTCAAACTGTATATAATTGTTATAAGTTGCCCCTTTTATTTATTATATTTATTGAAAAAAATTATGATAAAATTAAGAAAGCTTAGGTTTATAAAATTTAGTAACGTTAAGTTATAGATTTAAATATTAATTAACACCTATATTTTCAATCACTCATACGAATTGAATCATTGAGTTCATACCAGCTAATTTATTTGTTATTGGAGATTGATAATATCGTTTGTTAATTTACCATAAACACGACCTGATTAGTCAAAGTGTTTTATTTCTACAGGTCAAATACGAATAATGAAATTTCTACACAAAAATTGTAAAATATTAATACGCTATATTTTGGTAAAAATCTAAAGTTTATATTTTAGCACAAATAAAATGGTCTGTATATAAATATGGATAGATGATGTACAAAATAGCATTTCAATTTTTTGTGAAAAGTAGAGTGACAATTATTTCCCATTTGCCACAGTATGAAAGATACTTTTTATTTCGTTTAACTGTCTACCTTGTAATAACAGTAACTACTACAGGAATGATGTTAGACCTTAAAAATATTATGTCTAGTAAATTACAAATGATTTGGATAATTCTTTAGGAAATCTTTTAATGTGTTAAATATTTTAAAAACAAATTGTGCCGTTTCACTCTGTTACAATTTAGGTCTATTTTAACAACTCGTCTTTTATATTAAATATTATAAAAATGTCTCAATCTAAATCAATCGCTTTTTGCAATATATGTTTATTTAATCTGAAACAAATGATGCTTATATTTTTATGTTTTCTGGAAACAGAACAATTTGTCAATATTTTACTATAATGAGCTTATCAATTTTTATATAATTTAGATGCAGATTTGTTTTATCAAATCCTCAAGTGCTAAACAAAATTTTTCTTGCTCGAAGAATTTTTAAAGAAATTAATTCTCCGGTTGGGCGTTAAAAAATCCCCTAGATATCAAATGAATGTTGTTATTTCGATTTTCTGTGTACGAATTTGAAAAAGAAAACCCTTAATTTATCCAAATTTTTGTAATGTCGCATTATCATTTATATTTCTAGATATTGAAATAAGCAACAACAATAATACTGTTAAAGAATTTGTAAATAGTGCGAGACAAGAAATTACCTATTATTGTTGGGATCACTTTTGCTATAGATCATTGAAGAAGGTCATATTCAAATCATAGAACTTGGTTCATTTTTATATAAAATTTATATGTAAACTATTGTAAGCATAGCTCCCTTTTTGTTACTTTGTGTGATAATATAATTTTAAAATAATTAAAAAAAAACACCATTCGTGGAAAATGATCCACGGTATGCCTTAAGATGTTTACTAAATGCATCGGTTTTTCTGCCTCTACTGAATTTTATGGGTTATTTTGCAAAGGGTTTAATCAAAATGTTTACACTATCATTGTACCAATTGTATTACCAATCAAAAACAGTTTAATAAAAAAACGGGAGTAATTCACAGTTTTTGTTACGATACAAATATTTGTATGCATGGGTAAAAAATCTGATGCATTTAGTCGTTGTATAAATCTAGTCAGCACGCCATTTTTTTCTGTTTTTTTTATGTATTTTCCCGTTATTAGTCTACATTTCAACGAAATAAACTCTACAATTCGCCATTATTTTTATTGCTTATAAATTAGAATTAATATTTTTATAACTAATAATTGTTTTGTAAATTTCATCGATCTCTAAAGAGTTTATTGAGTTGATTGGGAGATAATATTGTATTAATACTCTAGTAGTGATTCAGGGGTTAGTAATTTTCCGTTTATCCGCTCAAACGAATCAGATTTGGCCAGATTTTTCGAGTTCTTTTGGCATATGTTTTCGAATTGATAAGTTTCTGCACGATTAGCACTTAAACAATTTTTTACTTCAGCAAGTACGAATTATTAGTAAGATCCGATGGATTTGGGCCCATTTTTAAACTGTTTTCAAATACACTCAAGTGGACTTTTAAATACTTGAACCCAACTGAAGTGGTCGCTAGATGTACATAATTTTTATAAATAATTGATAATTAAAAATTATTCTTTTACAGTAAAAATTGTTCATTGTGCACTTCGTTTATTGTATAATCAATGTAATTGATCGAAGGGTATTTTCAGAAAGGCATTCCCAATCCCAGCAACTAAAAGTATTTTCTAAATTTTTAATTTTATACGAATGTTCTCGACGCTTTAGGTATTGGGCGATTTCTTTCCAAAAATATTGTGAATATTTTTGAAGAATCTGAGAATATCCTGTAAATAACTGGATGCTTCATAGATTTCAATGTTATTTTTAAATGGAATTGAAAACATTTTAAAAGGCAAAAATCTGTTTAAATGACGTTTTAAAAATCTGTTACAAACATAAAAATTTCTTAATTACCTTGCGATATAATTTTAGTGCAATAGATGAAAAGTGTAAAAATGGCAATACCATATCCCTTCAGTGTACGTTCGTGATTTTCACGGAGGTACACTTCTGTAGAAATATAGCGTTGATTAAAGAAATATTGAAAAAAATATATTATAGTTTTGATTTATCGACCTTAGTTCTTCGCACAACGCAATTATGTCGAATTTTACCGGCATTTTTGCTTTACCTTCCTCTTCGCTGATATCGTCTCACCCCGGTAGAAATGTTAATACAGTGAAAACGAACAATGATTTATGCAAAATGGAATTCTCACCTTTAAATAATGTTTATTAATGTATGTTCTACATTGTTCGCATGGGATTATAACTCGAAAGTCGAGAATATATGTCATTAAGAATCGTTGAGCTGCGTAAACGTCAGTGAGTGCATTTTTATTTGCTCAGGGTTGAAAATACCACAAGATATTCTTTGTTTGTCGACGATAGCCGATAAGGCGTTATTAAATGCCCTCTCAGATATTCTGAGCAAATAAGAGAATTGGTACTATCAGTACCACAGATGTGAAGTACACTTAAACTGCTATTATGGTTACAAAGTTTGTATTGTTGCTCTTTTGCGTTTATCCCATCAGTGGTAAGTAAAATTTCATTATTTAACAATTAATAATTACGTGGTATATTTTTTTGTTCCAAGTTACAGTAGGATAAAATTAAAATTCGATTACGATAATTTATTGGAAATAAATAATTTTACAAGCTCGGATAGATCCGAATTTCTGAAAGTGATATGCAAAATTTGACCCTTGCGTAATTAGTATATTAGCATTGAATAAAACTTTCAAGGATAATGAATTACCCTTTTCGGAATTAGACTAAATTTTAATCGGTTTCGTTTTATCCGAATCTGGGTCAAGGTTCCGAAATTTCGCCGGCAAACTCGTGTTCGAAAAAACGTCCTTCCTTCCTACTAATCCCTATTAATTTGCGCAGGGATCTCAGTGAACGAGAGGAAGCAGTGCTGCGATTTGGGCACGAATTTCGCCTCCGCCGGCAATCCTTGCAAAGATTTCAAACCGGAATGGGCCGGGCCGAAGCTATCCCACGAGAAAATCTGCCTGGCGACCGCCGATGTTTGCTGCAAAAAGGAAACCCGCGAAAAGGAATGCCTGCAGGGCACAGTGGACGCCCAAAACGGAGTCGCCTGCCCCGCCGAAGACAGCGATAGAAGAGTGAGTTAAATTTTTCCATTATTAAAATCGCGCCCGAACAATAGAATAATTGCATATTTCTTGGAAACGCGACAACACAATGCATGCCTACATCTACATAATAACGACGAAATAACTTGTAACAACAACAATTAAAGAACAAGTTACTTCAATCTGCGCAGTAATCCACATGAAACTCATTATTTGATTGCTTCGAAGGTTTGTTGCGAGGCGTGCCAATCGGGCTTGGACAGCGCGAGAGCGAAGGAGCCTTGCTCGAATTTCGGCTTAGGCGATCCTTACGACACCGCTTTCCAGAAATGCTGCGAGGAGTATTCCAAAACGGTCCCATCAACAACCACCACCACCACTGCAAGAACCACCGCTGCTCCCAAACCCACGTCGATCCCTTACAATTACTTCAACACACGTAATAATCTTCGATTTAAATCAACGTGCGTTTTTCTCGATATTAATTCAATCGTTTTGTAGCTGTTGAGAACATTTGCGATTCGGACGTGTGCGCCCAACTCTGCGAGCCGGTGGACGATTTGCAGTTCAAGTGCGATTGCTACAAAGGCTACACTCTGATGGACGACGGCATATCCTGCAGGCCGGAGAAGAGGATACTCAAAAAAGGCGGAAGGTGAAACTGATGCACCAGGCAATTGTGCGACAACCAATTATTCTTGCTATTTCAGATGCGAGCAAAGCAATCCTTGCGATCAGGATTGCGTTGATACGGGAATCGCAATAAAATGCTCGTGCCGGGAAGGATATGAGCTAGCGGACGACAACAGGACTTGCAAAGGTCGGTAGATATTAGGTATTGTGAATTGCGATTAACGAAATGCTTGCAGATATCGACGAATGCGCGAGGAATATGCACGATTGCAGTTCGCCTGGGGATTGCATTAACGAAATCGGAACTTATTCGTGTTACGATTCGATTTTGGACAACGAGACCATCGATTTCGAAAACAAGTGTCCCAATGGTTACAAATATAATTTTAATAAGTTGGTTTGTGATGGTGAGCATCATCTTTGCAGCTGTATTTTTCTCTACTTCGTTTTTTTGCTTTTGCAGATATCGATGAGTGTCAGTTCGATTTAATTTGCGATCCTCCAAAAACTTGTATAAACACGCTAGGGTCTTTTGAGTGCGTTGACGAGAACGTTCCCAAATGTCCTCCAGGGTTTCATTACAAAGCAGCTACAGAAACTTGTACCGATATTGACGAGTGCATTACTGGCAATAACGATTGCAACAAAGAATCGCAATTTTGCTTGAACACCCATGGAAATTACACCTGCGTCGATAAAGCGTCGAAAAATACTTGCCCGCCTGGTTTCAAGAAGAATTCTATCACCCACCTATGCGATGGTATAAAAATGAATAAAAATTAACAATTTATGCATTCATATTAAAATAATTTTAGACATAAACGAATGCGAAGAGGAAGATAACTTATGCGGGGAAAACGAACTGTGTGTAAATCAACCTGGAGGTCACACGTGCGTTGTACCTCATACGAAACCAACGACAAAAATTACCACCACAACTGTAAAATCTACAACAACCAGCACACCTTCCACTACACCTACAACTAAAAAAAAAGACTGCCCTAAAGGCTACAAGTACATGGAAGACACTCAAGTTTGCGCTGGTACACATTTCATCCTTCAAAATCCATTCCATATACATTTGTACATTTTTGTTTAAGATATAAACGAATGCCAAATCGGTACGCACACGTGCGGAGTAGCCGAAAGGTGCGACAACACCATAGGATCCTACTACTGCTCGCGATTCTTCGGCTGCGGCACAGGCTACACTCTAAACTACGACAACGGCCTGTGCGAAGACGACGACGAGTGCATCTTAGGCACCCATCACTGCAACGAGCTGGGGCCGAATTTCAAGTGCAGGAACACGTTGGGCTCGTACCGGTGCGAGCCCGTGAGAAAATACAACACGCACGCTACTCACACCACTCGCACGACCAAACCAACTAAACCTACGACAAAACCTACTACTACTACTACTACTACTACTACACCAAGGCATTATTACCCTCAGACGCCTGATAGAAACGCCGCTGCTTATACACCACCTCCAAACCGAACACCTGTTCACGAACCGCCTTTCGTATCTTCTAAGGCTTATACAGTACAAACTACTCCCAGCACTCGCCAGCATAATTACCCTCCAAACGTCTATAACACTACTCCAAGAAGCAATAATTCTATTAACGTAGCTGGTACTATATTACCTATAGGCAGAACAACTACTTCCACTACAACAACAACAACAACAACTACTACTACTACCACCAAACGTCCTGCACCTTATACAGATGGTACTTTACCGTATTACTCACCTAAAATTCTGACAACTGTCGACGAAACCTTACCGTACTACTCCCCTAAATCCACCACGCCTAAAACTACTGTTACTGTCGAATCACCCACGGAGAAAACAACACCTGCGAACCCATTCTACGATGTATTCCAATACAGGAAATGCTTACCGGGTTACAGGATCAATTACCGGGGATTGTGCGAGGATATTAACGAATGCGAGAGTAATCCGTGCCGCAGAAACGAGAAATGCGTCAATTACAACGGGAGGTTCGAATGCGTGCCTCCGATGCAATGCAAAATCGGCTTCGAATTAAGCGAGTCCGGAGATTCCTGCGTCGGTGAGCAATTCACTAACATCAAACTTATTCCGTTCAATTTATTTATCTCGTAGATGTCAACGAATGCTCGAGGGGAAAGCACAAATGTTTGCCATCGCAGATTTGCAAAAACTACCAAGGTTATTACACTTGCGAGTGCCCTCCGGGCCATCATTTGAATAAAAGAACCAACGAATGCGAAGATTTGGACGAGTGCAGAATGTATAGGGTGAGATATAGCTTAAATATTCAACAAGGCGCCGATTTATTTCTACTTATTTACAGCCTTGTCGCTTGTCGTCTTCGCAATGCGTCAACTTGAAAGGATCCTTCAGATGCGACTGCAAAACCGGCTTCAAACGAAGATCCGCCAATGAATGTGAAGACTTCGACGAGTGCGTGCAAACGCCAGAGCTCTGCGAGCATACTTGCGTCAACACCTGGGGCTCCTACAGGTGCAGCTGCAATCCAGGTTTCACGTTGAACACAGACAATAGGTACGAATAAAACATTTAATAAAATAAATTTAACGCCACAAAAATTTTCAGAACGTGTACGGATATAGATGAATGCGAGAGATTTAAAGCCTTATGCGTAGGTACTTGCAAAAATGTTCCTGGTAGTTACGCGTGCGAATGCCCTCCAGGGTATAAACTAGGAAGCGATGGAAGAACGTGCATTGGTAATATTTTATATATTAAAAAAGTTTAAATTGGTATTAGAAATATGAAATTGTAGATATCGACGAATGCGAGCAGAACGTTTGCCTTCAAGACGAAGTCTGCTTGAACACAAGAGGAGCGTACAAATGTTACAGGATAAATTGTCCCGCTAACTACGAGAAAGATAGGCAGCACAAATCGTAAGTTTGCGTTAAAATTAACAGTTCTAAATTTGACCATTTGACCATCGTAGGCGCTGCAAAAGAATTCAATCGTTATGCGACCCCAGAGACTACCAATGCCTCCTGATGCCCGAGCAATACACCTACCAATACATCACGTTGGTGTCCAACTTACCTCTTCCCCGCGGCCACCTCATTTTGTTCCGAATCAAAGGGCCCGATTGGTACTCGTCTCGGGCGGAATTCACCTTCAAGATACTAGACGTCGTGTGTCCACGTTCGGTCGAGAAAGTCCACGATGGGTTCTTCACGAAAGTCAACGAGCCGTTCAATAGCATGGTCCTGTACTTGGTGAAGCCCATACACGGGCCGCAGGAGATCAAATTGCAAATCGAAATGCGGCTGTTCCAGGGCAACATCCTGATAGGAAACGCCGTCGTTTACATTATTGTAGTAGTGTCCGAATACACGTTTTAATTTCACGTTGAAGTTTGTAAATATCTACTTAAACTTGTTCATGAATCAATACTAATTTTAGGGATTGGTAATAATTAACGTATACTTTTATAAGTAATAAATGTTGAAAATATTTTGTGTTTTTTTTTGTTGGATGACTTTTAGGAATTATAGATTGGACAAAATAAAAGGCATCGAGTAACAATTATTTTGCGTATTTTATTGTAAATGCATCTGGTACATTAACATCATAACAGGTAAATGATTTTTGTATTGTATTAAGTAGTCAATAGGTGTTCCAAGCGATTATGTGCTGAAACACAGGAGGCAGTGCTATACGGTACAAATCCATATTTTCATGTATAATAAATTACGAAATATTAATGTGAATTATGACCACTGTTAGCAGAATATTGAACCTGCATTTATCATATTTATTATATTTATCATTTTGAATATATATGCATAATATATTTATCTTAAACGAAATAAATAGAACAAAAATGTATATTTACAACGTGACGACATCGGCGTTGGTATGCCCACATTAAAATTATCACTTAAAAGACTACAGGAATCCTACAAGATTTTTATATTAGCTTAATTTTGAAAAATATTGAATTTAGATTGAAATTCGGAATTGATTTATCAACGTAAACGTTGCTTTCTGATTGAAACACCGCATTCAACATATTAATCTAACCTAACGCATTAGATAGTTATTAGTTCAACACTTTTTATCAAATGATTGAATTGTTGTGTCCAAACTTTATACATCATTTTTTAAGTAGTATACATTTATTTTTCCAGTAAAAAATATCATTAGCTCTTCGCTTAAATTGAGGATAAAATTCGAATGCCGTTAAAATCGACGAAATCATTTCACTAAGTATACCAAACTAACTTTTACCAACTATTAGCTACTTTGCTCTTAAGCTCACTATCCTTTAAAACTAAAAGTAGGTAAATTTACACCTTAAAATCTACTAATTAACTTTATTTCACAATAAGCATTCTATTTGACAAGTACAGGTACATAAACTCAAGCAGTTTTCGAATTTATTCGTAAGTATATTGTGGACAGTGCATTCAACAAACGGTATTAAATAAGTTGGAAGACCGTTTAATATTCTACAAATTCATGCGTAAAAATTCTGCCGGAGACATTTTTAATTTAATGTCGCTTGTTGAACTGTTCGGAAGATTTTCTCCGGGGAAAAAATAATTCGATTTTATTGTCAAAAAAGGTTAGCTGCGAACAGAGATCAGGATAAAAGGCTGGTAAAGCAAATGATTTGTGAGGTGAGTTGTTCATTATTTAGCCCGAAGAAAACGCGTCGTTTGTGGGTTTAAAATTAATTGCAGTAAATATTAGATTTTTCATTCTTCACTTTATATATTTTTCTTGTTAACAGTGATCAGTTGATATACATTTTTGAAAATTCCTAAATATTGTTTCTTTTTTAACTAATTAAAAATTATACATATACAATGTTAAACGAAACAAAATTGCCTTCGATTAGTGCTTCAAGTTGATTCCAAAAATTAGATTTATCCAATATAATTTTTATTTAGTTATGATGAGCAAGTTACATTTTCGGCTTTAGCGTCCCTTGCAGACGATTATCGATTGTTCTATATACAGTACGTTATTTTAAATCTAAATTTTTGTGTTAATTAGCACCTATAAATGTGAGTGTACGTTATTATGTTCTTACTAATCGGTTAATACTATAATAAATTTCAGGTACACTTTTTAATTATAATGAAAACACGTAACATCTAGGTAAGTACCTAAAATAATATAAAGACAATTAGCAGACAGGCAAAATCTTAATGTATTTGAAGCGCTATTTTGATTTATTGAGATTTGCTAAATAATTTTAATCAATCTGGAACCGATATTTATTTCGATCAGCTTTTGCCCTATCTGCACTGAGCATTACATAACTAAATATTTATTTCGGTACTAATTTGCTACAAAAATTAAGATCAATAAGGACATTATTTATACGTCATAACGATTTTAAATAGATAATACTTAAAAAAATTATTATATTACATATTTTTAATATTTAATAAAAATACAACGAATTACATTATATACAAATATAGTTGATTCATTCAAAAACACTACTGGCTACTAATTAGTACTTAATTTAAAGTAAAATAATGATAAGTACACCCAAACTCTCGAATATTACCAAATTTTAAAACTGATTTTATTGCTGAATCGATCGTTATGACACTTCGTGACCAAACCGATCACGATTGGCAATTATTTATGAATCTCCGTGCTATCACATACATTAAAATTAACCGCCTTAAAACTTATTGAGCCGCTGCTAAATACACTGAATATCAAAAAATTTGCCATCGCCCCTCAAAAACCAAGTAGGTACTCTTCAAAACTGATCGTGACAACGAAAATTGGAAGCTTCTTTATTGCTTTAATTATATCAAAAACCCAGTTCAGTGCGTCAATTATCACCGTTTGGAACGTCTACGAACTGCCCACATTTCTTATATTAGGCAATTTCAATTACCTCTGATGGAACACTGATGGAAATGTTAATACTTTTTTTTAATACATAACTATTGTATAGTAAAGCGATCTTATTTTATTTATAGTGCGCAATTCGAAGCCGTTCCTATCATCTAAAATTTAATGATAACAATTATTCTTTTGATTCACAAACAATTACTACGGAGTAAATAAATTTCATCCCGTTCCTGATATTTGCTGGTTCAGATCGGACATTAATTTTCTATTGTAATATTTGAGTGGGTACTCATGCAGGGTGTTTTTGAAAATAATAAATTCCCGCAATATCTTTCAAAGGAGCGTAGTATTTTCGCGTACATCCTGCATAAAAAAATATCAGGAATCGTTCTGTATAAATTTATGAGACTGCCGCGACAGTTGGTACACACACTTTTAATTAAACGTTATTTAACAGTATAACACTGCCTAGTCTCATTCCCTTCTACTCTAATCTAAACATACGACAGTGTATTTATTAACTGATGTCGCAGGAGTTTCGAGCATGGCTCTACAATCTAATAAAATGTCTTTCTTATTCGATGTCGCGAGTTTCGCTAGCGCAAGGCGACTGCCCATCGAATTTGCCGGCAAGCTCGTCGAACACCGGTTAAATTGCCTAAATGCTCCATCGGGTTTTTGGTGGAGTCGGATGCTTTCGAAGCTGAACAAACCGATGAGGAGCTCGCATTCGCTGCGTTTTAAAATGTAACCGGCAGGCGCAGGGTGGTGGGTTCGTAATAAATGATACAATTTTCCGTTAGAACTCGCAATATTACGGCGGAAATTAACTAGATACAACGAATCAATGTGCTATATTGCGAGTGCTATTGACAAATTCGCTTTGTTGTTGTGTTACCCAATTTATTTAATGTCCGCATGAAAATGCAGCATTCAGATAAAAATATGTTGCTAAATTTTTTTGTTCGCTTTTGCCGTACCATGCCGATATTTTAGGTGCCGAAATGGCACTATAATAAATTGCTTTAAATAACTTTCAGTCTTGTGTTTAATGTAATTAAATGGTTAGTGGTTTTATAAATCCTCAATTGCTAAATTTATTCGTTCGTGAGATTATTAAATTAGGCCTTGTGGCAGTGGGACATGAAATGCCTCCTATTAAGAAAGTTGCAATTATTCGTTAAATACGAACATTTGTTTAGCAAAAATATTTTTATGTTGAATAAAATATTTACAAGGAAAGTGTTTATAATTTGAAGAAATTAATGTTTTCGATGTCAAATTGAGGTGTATAACAAATCTAACCATGTGATTACTTAGTTTAAAAATAAGTAAGAATTGTAGTAAATTTCGCAAAAAATTTTTATCTGGATGTATGCTTTAAGTAAATCAGATAAAGTGCATGACAATTTAGTTGCTAATAATAATTAAAAAGTACCGAGGCCAAATTCTTATACCGTTCTCTCATTACTAGTTTATTCAATTCCTTATGTTAACTTACTAGAGTCTACTTTTTACTTTTTACTTTTTTTTTTCAAGTTTTATTTTATTTTCGTAGCACCATATTCTTAATTTTACTAACATGATATAAACGAATAAAAATTTACCGCGTTCATCGTTTTAAATAACAACTTTCTAAGAAGTAAGTTAAATTATCCCCATATCATTTATACGTATAAAGAATAGTAGGCAATTTTAAAAATTCGTAATGTTTTTATTTTTTTTTTTGGAAGTATATTTATTAATTGATTTAGGAACTGACAATTTTTTTTTGTCTGGAAGACACGAAGCTCCAATTTTTTTATCATTATTCAACGATCCTATATAAATTGACCTAAATTCATTTATTACTATTTCGAAATTTAAAACACTATCGACATTTTTAAACTTATTATAAAAAAACAAACATTAATATTTGGGCATATCCACATTTTTTTTGATGAAAAATTAAAATAATTACCGTGAACTAATCAAAACTTAAGAATTGGGCCTCTTACTTGAATTATATTCACGTTAGTGTGTTTCACACATTTGTCCAAAATGTAATTTTTCATTAAACTTTACTGTCAGTAGGTGAAATTATCGATATTAATTCGTTAAAAAATTACCACTTTAAAAACGACTAATCTACGTGTACGTCGCTATGTTAATATGATGTTATTTTGCAGTGGACTTAATATAAAATTGATATGGAAGATAAATATTATTTTATTAGGGCAGTTGATTAGGTATTTATGTACGTAAAGGATAATTGTATGAAAGAAATCTGTAAGGTAAGTAACTCATCAAAGTTCAACTCAAGCTCGTGACAGTTAAATGATTTATCGTCAGATATGATGTCAAAAGAAGTGGGGTAATCTTATGGCAGAAATCAGTTGATAAAGTGGAGATCTTTTGAACTCATTAATTATTACATGAAAAAAAGTTTTGTGCTAATCGACTGACCTAATTTAATCGGAATATTTTGGCACAGATTTGGACAAAATTGTAAGCACGTCATACAGCATTTCTATTTATTGATAATAATTAAATCTAGACGCATTTTTTGACGTTTTGACGATGAACGATATCGTTTTTACAAAGTTTCCGTACACACACGGATTCATTCGATTGTCACTCAACGATATTTATTCAACAATTAAAAATCAATCTATTGAACACTCGCGAACGCTACGAGTGTTTCCATTATACACCCTCCTAGGTGGACCAGCTGCTTCATAAAATCTCCTCTGTTATAAATATGAAAAAAATATATCCTCACGATTAGTCCGAAGTAGAAAAGATGCGAGTTTAGATTTGCTATTTGACTATAAAAAACTTATTCTAAACGGATAGTGGTTACGAGAAATTTGAATGGGATACTGGTGCATTTTGCAATTACAAAATATATTTTATAATATACCAATCCCTAATGTAATATTTGTAAAAATTTAGAAAAGGGGAACAGTATTTAAAAAGTTTTATTTATGATCGATATTCTTTTATTGTCTCAAGGCGACGACGATTCAACGTCGTGTTCTTGGTCTTTTATAGCTTTTGATTTTCAAAAAAAATCGCAACAGCTTTTAACGCGTTTAGGTCCTATTTTTTACTTTTATATAATATCATTTGATCTTTTGATTTTCACATTATATTTTGAACAATTTGATTTTTCTTCACATTCATAAATATTGAGATAATATGAAGTTGCCAGTTCCAAAGCTTATTGTTTCACTTTATTACTCACAAACCACATGTGTTAGTCACTTTACTCCAGTTCCGTAGGCCTTTTCGTGGAAGCCAAGAGGATATAAATTATCCAATAAGTATTTTTTAATTTAATTTTTTATTTGCCTCGATATATTTCTATTATTCTATCTTGATCGACGTACTCGAAGATATGAGGTGCATCCATTAATATGCCTACAGTTCCTGCTGTAGTTACTATAAAAAACATATACAACTGAAGCCTGTCGATTACCATTGCCACATACTTCCAGTCTTCCCGAGTCTGTAACATCAATCAAAATCTAGCCACCTAGCTCCCTATATCTTCATCTACAATTCGAACCCACTTACTTGTATATATAAATCTTCGTTGCGCAAATGTTCCGCTATGAATTCTACAGCTTCCGTAGCTTTCGACGCTTCCGGAGACAGTAGAATGGAATCCGAGCTTTCGCTTTCTCTTCTACAACTATCGCCGCCGACACCGACGCCCAAATCGGCCGCATTCGGTTTTCTATTGATCTTGCAATTTGGATGGTGGTGCAAATCCGACAGTTCCATCACTTCCACCTTGCTTTGCGATTCGATCGAGCTGATGGAAAACGGTACGTTAGAATAACCTCTCGGTGGCCGTAACGTGGAAACTTGCCTTATATTTTTCGGAATGTCGGTCGGAGAACCGTACGGGTGAGGGGGCACGCCCATGCCGGGCATCTCCATCATCCATCGTAACCTAGTTTTGCGAGGCCTTTTCATAAGTAACATCGCTGGTAAATAATTTAGGAATACGGTTCTAATCCAGGAAGGCATCCTAAAAATGGCGAATGCATTCGTTAGATCATTTTTACGCTTTAATTGATTTTGTACTACAACAATAACGTTACCTGTGCGTTCGAGGACCTCTAAAATTCCAATTTATTATTACAACTGTTACTAAAATACTGACTGTGTTCATTATAAAAGTAAAAAGAAGGTATTTTGCAATTAGTGGTAGTACGAGTGACGTTGGCGGCAGGATTTTCGACACCAGTAGCAGGAATACAACCAGTGACAGCAGGATACTTATACCCAATGTAACCTAAAATAAATTCCCGTTATATATGTACACTAAAGAGAATCGATAAACAATCAACAATACCTTTTCGCCTGCCTCGGCGGGTAAGTAAAAAACGAGGACGCAAAGGAACGAAATCAGCACGGTGGGTAGGATCAAGTTCACCGTGTAAAACAACGTCTTCCTGCGAATAATTATGTAAAATGTAATATCCGTTTCGGTGGGGTGGTTTCCTTCGTATATGTTGAGGTAGGCTGGCACTTCAATTATGTCCCACGTTCCCGACTTCCAATAATCGGACAAGTCCACGAAGTTTTTATTATTGTACAGCGCTAGCGAGACTTGATCGCCATTAAACGTCCATGAGCCGAATTTCATAATGCACGTTTGTTGATCGAAGGGGAAATATGTTACATCTATGGTACAAGAGCTCTGAAATTACCGAAATATCTTCTACATAAGAATTTTGCCATTAAAATTATGGTGGGTGTACCTGGTATATTGCTGGAGGAACCCATAAAACTTCGCCATTAGGATAAATTAATACGTTCGATTTGTATCTAACCTCGTAGTTTCCGTCAGCACTGAAATTTGAATAATATAATGCATCGAAAAATTTATCAACCGGTCCTGGAGATGTTCCTTTGTCATGAATAAAAAAAAACAAATTTCCACATTCACCTCCTGTAAGCTGGTATTTAATTACTTATCGATTTCAGGGATTAGCAGGCATGTTTAATAATTACTGTTGTTTAGGACAGCTTCGTATTTCGCGCATTTTCCGAGGCAATTTTCAAGTTCATACGATATTTATAAATAGGACGATAAACCACAAATGATACATCATCCAGATTGACAAGCACTTTTCGTAATTACTTTTAAACTTTGCAAGTTAATTTTTCTATTCAATCGAGCCAACCGGCGCTTTTGAAACGTGATTAATGTGACTGAAAAAATCTACTTACTTATTAAATAAAACTATATCCGGCTTCCAGACTTTGTCAGGTGGCAGCCTGAGTACCGCAATTCCTCCATAATCGGCTTCGTCCCATTGCAGTTGGTAATCGTTCCATACCTAAAATTAATTCATTCGAAAAAATGCAATTCCTGATAATAGAAGGTTTCTACGCACCAATCGTAACCAGACGTTTGATTTCATTATTTGATTTTTTTCGTTCTGAAACAAACCGTAAATTTAGTTTGCACAAGGAATTAAAGTGAAGTGGGGCATCCTGATCAAAAGTAATAATTTGTCGTTATAATACGCTTAACAGAAGAATTATCACATCAAGCACAAACGTGCTAAAGCTAAACAGTTATTTCAGGAAATGCACCACTGAGAATAAATGCCTGAATTATCTTTGGTGAATGAAACAATACTTACGACATTGATAAGTTGAACAAAGGCTAAGCCAAATCTGACATCCACCTTTTCAGTCATATTCTGAACAGGCCGAATGAGTTTATTGTAACCCCTAAAAAGATCACGAACTAAACGCTCTTCATCTTCAGAACAATTACCTGAAAAAAATTTTTATGTATATGTAATATGAGAATTAATTAAAATGCATTTAATTAAAAGATATTATCTGAGATGGTTAAGTATAAATTGGTGTAATAATTGTATGTATTAGTTTTGGTTTAATTTAATTCAATATTATGAATGGTGAAACTTTGAGGAGTTAAATTAGAAACATTGGACGTATTAGTGTTGAAATTACGAATGGAAATAAAATTAGCGATGAGTTAATTCATTGATAAATGAATAATAATAAGCGAAATGCTAATTAGTTAGTAGTATTCTTTGTCCGATGAGATTATTAAAGGGGAGGGGCAGTGTTTACATGTCATTCCCAGCATGGCAGTGGGTGTGCCTTTGATTGAGCTTAAAATCTATATGGTCATTCTTACCTATGAGGACGAGACAAGAAATTAGAAGCAAGGAAAGGATTCGATGGGCCACGACGGCCTGACACATAACGAGGTGCATGTCACTCAGGATTTGTACTGGATCATCGAGATCGGCTTCTGTACATCAAATCCATCGCTCGAGATCCGGAGTAATCATCACCAGCGGGAACGGGACACCGCGGACCGACAGCTAGCGCGAACTCAAACGTTTGATCCGGCGCAACACTGGTCCGCACCTCTCGCACCGGCATTTTCGCGATACCTCTGGAACATCCTCGGCTGGCTCGATCGCGGAATTCTGATCACACTCTCATAGGCATTCTGGGAGAGGAGCGTGTATCGTGATGTTAACGTTAATATTACGCTGGCTCTCCATCGTGTTTATCCGTGTTTTGGCTAGATGGCAGGACGGCAGCGCAAGACGACACCCTTGGACCAATCCAAGCGACGGTTTTGGATCATATCGACCGATAGGGGGTTGTTTCCCGACAGGAGCTTGCGCGTTCAATTGAAAACGGACACATGACACCGTCTCTCCGTCTCGGGATTTTTCCTTACATCTTGCTGGTGCACACTGAGAAAAATGCCCTAATAAGCGAATTCGAATAGCCCCGAATTTATTACCCCCGACCGGTCGCGGCGCGCATTATCGCAGCGCTCTATTAATCATCTTCCTAATAAATTCATCCTATTTTCAATAGACAGTTGATTTGCAATTATATTAAATTTATTTATTCGCTTCCGTAATGGAAACGTGGAATACAGACTGTTGGATAATTCAATTTATTTCTATTGTATGTTCCAATTTGCTATTAATAATTCAGTTTTCAACGCAGAGGTCATAAAAATAACACGACGATCCAACCGGGAAATAACACTGGGGGTGTACAAAATTCGTTTCGAACAGACTGACACCGATATTTTAGGCAGAAATAATTCGACAAAGAAAAACAAAAAGAATTGGAAGATTTAATAAGAAAAAATAGTATCACTCAAGAAATTTGTACTTGGCTACTTTCAAAATAAGAAAAATTTTAAATGTTGCTGATTAGTTAAGTAAATTAATTTTCCTACGTACCTTTTTAAGTGTAATCCTTAATTTAACTTAAAACATTAATTAAATATCATCAGCGACTAAATAACGAGATAAATTAATTCCAATAACAGATCAAATCGAGCCATTGCCCACATAATTGACAACGAGACAACGATATCTGGCCTCTTCCAGATGGATTCCTGCAATGCCTATTGGAATTTTTTACGCTATTTTTTGATTAGGAGGTAAATAACTGGATGATTGGCCTCTAAGATATCGGGGATCCAGATTTTGCTTCTCCGTTATTTTATTGATTCTCGTTTCATTATTAAAAGGCTGTTTATTGTTTTATTCAGAATAATCTATTATTTGGAATTAATAATTCGGGAACCACGCCCTTATACATAAATAATGATGAAACGGTGGGAATGGAAATAAAACTAGGTAAACTTGTCTGAATCTTTAATTAAAATTCATTTAACAAAGTTCAATCTATGTAATAAAATTTACAACAGTTTGGTAGAAAACAGCACTTTACAGTGATGTAACTATAGACTGCGAAGAACGATTTAATTATATTGAGATCAATTACTATCGCTAATCGCAACCTATTCCAACAGCCCATGTTCGAACTATTACATTTTGTTTTTAAAGTCATTATTTTAGTGACCAGTAATGGATTGTCATTTTCAAAGATTTAGTTAAATCCGAGCATTTTTAAATTAATAGATTTCATCTACTGAAAATATTGGAAAAATTAAATGACCTCAAGCAAAAAGCAACAAAAAAGTCACTATACCTATACGTTTTTTAATAGATTAAGTATATAGTTTACAGGAATACGCCATAGCCTTAGAAGATAAGGGAATTTATCATTTACTTTTCTTCTTAAAGTAAATTAAGTGAAGTAGTAAGACAAACACTGAAATTGCTGCAGATTAGGTAATTATATCGGTGAACTATACGTTTGTTTTATATAATACTTGTTAGGTTTTTGTTAGGGCCACATTTAATCCCAAATGTGTACATATCGAGTTTAAAATCTACTTTTAATAAAATGTACAGAACCCACGGTTGCATATAAATATGAGGTGATGAGGTTTAGTGTCTTACAGCTATTTATCGAGTAGTACTTACATTTACTGCAGTGCGGCCACACAAATTTGCCATTAAAAGAGGCCCTCCAAAACTGATGCTTAGCTTTAGCTTAGTTCATACTTCTCAATTATAATTTGAATAGAAGATTATAAACATTTAGATTACATAATTTAAGCTAGTAGCTAATTTTTTTAAAGTAGCTTAAATTTAATGACGGTAAAAGAAACATTGCTTTTTATTCAAGGTTGTTTTATTTTCAGTAGAGACAGGTATCTTGTAATTAGTATTACTGGAGAAATAGGTAGTTTATTAAAATAATCTTATAGTATACGGATATTATTGAAAAAGTTACATTTTTTTAAACAATCATTAACTATAGAAAATGTCCGTCGAATTGACAAGCGTTAGCACCTCATACCCTCAGTTTATTAAGCCATTAGGAGATATAGATGACACTAAGCGCTTACATATTCAAATATACAATCTTCATCTTCACGCGTTTCTTTTTTCAAAACTTAAAAGTTTTGTTTAGAATTACCCGTATTTGGTTTAGCTAAGTTGTTTTACTCTTACTTAAGTCTGGATTTGAAATAGCTAACGGTAAAGTGCAATCAATTTTTAATTGTCATCTTAACATTAATTTAATAGGTAATTAAGAACAGACCGACGTCACAATTCGTTCCGCAAAGGATTTAAGCAAAACCACTCAAGAGGACACTTACTTGAGTCATTTTTTAAACCTTATTTTAAAACCAAATTGTTTATTTAATCAGTTCTTATTTAGTAGACGTTCTCACGCCATTTATTTTAGTTATATATGTATAATATATATATTTAGATATAAGAACACTATAAACACTGTCAACTATGTTGTTTTTTTATTAAATTATTAACTTTATTTATGTTTTTTTTTTTTAATTTTATTTTATTTTATTAATATTTAATTACTAAGTAACAAGAAACGTCCGGTCTACAACCGACGTTTTCAAAGACTTGTTTTATTTATTTCTTACGAGTTATTTTCTAAATCCAGCCTTTAAAATAAATCAAAAGATTTATATATTGTCGAAATAATTTCCAAAATATTTGCGACGACGTATCCAACTCATGGCCGGTGCACATAATCTGGATAAGCTATCCCAAATCGATAGCATCATTTTAAAACGAGAAAATATCAGCATCCACGTTATTTATTTTTATTTAATGCATATTGAATATTAGTTTCAGCTACTCTATTAAATTGATTTCGAAAATCAATGCTATTTTTTTTAGATGTGACATTTTCTTTACAAAAAAAACTACGTAACATCTAATAAGTATAATTAAAATATTGTCATTGCAGGTATTATAATTTAAATGGATTCAGAGCTGGTTCTCAAACTGAACACTTCACTTCTGAGCAGGATGTACAGAACCGGCTTTGAATCGTTTTCACTGGTCGAAAAAAAAATCGTTACGTGTTTTATGTTAACTATTTATTAACCACCCTAATCGGAATATTAATACGTTTTCCAAAAACAAACAATATATTTGAATATATGAAAGAGAAACTTACACATCGCTGTAACTTTGGGCGATATAAGATTAAACTTTCGAGCTATTTCTTATTCACATATTTAGTTGGTTTTTTTATATATGAATTACAACTAATTTTTGTACGTGAAATAAAACATTTTATTTTTGGAAGCGAGTAGATTAAAGTGATATGTGACATCCACTAGAAAGCGCTAGAAACCTTTTTAATTTGTGACCTAAGCAGCGTTTATTCGAAACAAAAAAATCGCTTGAATTCTGTTTTATTTTTATACGATTTGAAGATGTTATGTTGAGATCTCTCTTTACGTAACTTTTGGCATTTCTCGATTCTTTATATATGGAAATAAAACCTTCAGACGAGAACATAGAAAATTTTGATTCACGTAGAATTTGGACCCTCGTACATATTGGGATTTATTCTGCACAACCTAAACTTTTAAAATTAACAACGGCTGCTTCAGTTTTATTATTTTTTTTTAAATAAACATACATCCAGCACGAAACGAACGCTACGCTATGTTAACTTACCAAAAATATTTCAATCTATGCAATTAAGCTAAAACTTTTAGTATACTTTATAAAAGCTACTAGGTTTGCAATATAACGTTTCAAATACAATTTTTGATTAATATGATCTACCGAAATTCATCAGTGTTCACATTATTTGTAAAGAACAACCACCATTATTAATTCAGTTAATGAATCAACGATAGGTGATGTTCAATTAATATGTAAGTGCTCTAAAATTTAATGAAAATAAAACTGCAAATAACATATATACTTTATCGAAACAAAGTCTTATTGAAGAATGTAAAAAAAATGCATTTAATGCTCAAAATATTGACTAAGAGTTTTTTGATCGGTGTTACCCGATGCATCACATTTAAGTGTGAACATAGAAAGCAAAAACCGTTTATAAAATTCTTCATGTGCATATTTAATTGTATTTACAACAAGAACATTTTTCTAAATGTTAAAAAATTTCAATTTCCCTAGACTAAAAGTGTTTCACGGTATTCTGAATTATATTTTTCAAATTTTTGTTAGTTAAATCACGTTTATTATTAGATATTTAGTCGGTATTTGTTTTAATGAAATGATAATTAATAACACACTTTAAAGTTAATGTTTTGTATATAAATGTCATTATTTAAAATCATTAATATTTATTGTCGTTTTGATTTAATAATTGAGTTTTAAATTGTTTTTAATTATATATGTTTAAAATTGACATCAATAAAATTATTGGAATAATGGCGTATTTTCTAGATTTAATTCGGTTCAAGAACTTACCTTTTTATCCTCTTCTTAAAGTAGAGAGCAGAAGAAAATCGATTAACAGATACAATTAATTAACTACTTTAATAGAATACTCTTAACATTTTCTTAACGTCGCAATATAGTAGGTATGTATATTAAATTAAAGCTTTTTTTCCGACCTCTCAAAAGACCGTAGAACACTTGAAATTTGCACTTTTTAATCCATTTTACACCAAATTATCTTAACAATGGTACGCATAATTATTTTAAAAATTTACAAGAAATAGTTGTAATTATAGTTTCAAAAACTATGTATTAGGAAGAATAACTCAATCATACCTGTATCCACGGTAATGAATGTAATGTCTTAAAGCATCAGAATGTGATAGATTAATTAACAAAGAAGAAGATTTTAATTGCCGAACGACAAAATCACAGTAGTGTAAGCAACTTGGACTAATTTAGTCGATTCAGTAGGTTCCAACGTAACAGGTACTCTCTAATTTTACCTATTCACCTCCCTACTAGCTATAATATGGCATCAAAATGTGTACCTGAAAATCTCGAAAAGCGATTAAGAGCCTCAACTAAATTAGTCTTCAGTTATTAGATTGAAGCTGAGCAGTTAGCATATCCAAAGAGCAGCTATATACAGAAATCTTTCATAAACATGAGAAACTCAACGATTAATTTGAATTATCACAGTATGATTATGTTAATACCCTAATTAACCTGATGAAAATAACCGAATCGGGTACAAAAATTACCATTACCAAATGATAGACCATTTACTAGATTATATCCTATTTAATATGTACACATTGGGCAAACGATTTTATCCACAAATAGGAAGACTTTCTATGTTTTTTTTTTGGTTTTTTTTGTATAAAAATGTCGAAAGCCGCAGCGACAATGGAAAAATATAATGAATTGCCCACGCAAGAGGACACTATCGACAAAAATCTTTAATGCAGATTAATTGTCAATCAAAATGGGATATTCACTACATTCGTTTTAATATCCTTTATGAATTTTTCAGATCCCGAATTGGCTCACCTGATGAAACTTGAAGCTTGTCCGTCCCAAGCCAGTCGTGTTCAAAAACGCCCATTGTATCGAGAATTAAGCTCGAACGTTATTTGGTTTCATCGATCGTTAATATCAAATTGGATTGAGAAATGAAAACGGTACGGCGAACCAAGCTCTATTAAAACGTCGCAACCCATTGTGTAGTATATGAAAGAGGAAGGTCACTATCCGTCTATTTTATTATTAATAATAGTAATAATATGGTTGGGATTTGCAGAGGGACGGGAACAGGGGTTGGCTACGATACTATGATATGGGGTGCCGAGAAGAGCACCGCTAACGTGGCGATGATAGTGAACAGAGTGAATATAATAAGGCACAGTCTGTCTACCACCATTGCCGCGAATTTCCAGTCTCTGGTGACGCAAGCGGCCTCGTCATCCTTTCGCATTTGATCAGTTATGAAACGGATCTCCTTCAGAATCATTGCTAATTCGTAATCGGCGCCGATACAGGCGTGATTCGCCACGATGGAATCGTGCAAACGAGGACCGCCACCGCCGCCTCCGTTACCGTTCGTTCCGCTCTCCTCGTTTTGCCTGCGAATCAAAAACACCAAGTCCACATTTTTTTTCTCTCTAATTTTCCTGCTTCAGCTCCAAAGTACAAGCGCCTGTAAATGGAGATGCTTATAAGGAATTGGTGCTTACCTATAAACTGTTCTAAAAAACGTAGCAGGTTGGAGCGGCGTCGGCGTTCCCCCGCCTCTATAGTTATGTCTAAAATCGTCGTCTATATCTAAAACATTGGCTAATAGACTTTTCGATGAGCGTTCCTTCAATTCGACTTCCGGAAAGTGCATCGGCTTCCGTTCGGCGGTCGCCGATCGGCTCGGGGACGATACGAACGAGTTCTTCTCGGTCGGTCTGTGCATACGCAATATCCACGGAAGCCAGCACAGGAACACCACTCGAATCTGAAACCGACCCGTTATTCACTTACGCAACTTAATGCCTGAAAACACAAAGTGGTTGGCAAATTGAATTGAAACTTCCCGATGAGGCCTATCTTCATACGTTCGCGGTTTTCGTAAATATATACCAGATAAAATTACGGACCGAACGGGCGGTTTCCGCTCTACTTGCGAAATGTATATTTCATCGAATTTCGAGTTTTGTTTCGAATATACACAACGGAGAAGACCACGAATTTTTTTTTTAAATAGTGTGCCCTAAAAAGGCGATTGACGAAATTTGTATTTTTGTCTGTGCTTACCCACTGGGACATCTCGTGCGTGTCGGCGTTCCTGTGGTGGTAGTTGAGGATGAGTATCGTGGAGACGACGGAGGAAGCGACCATGAACATGATGCAGTTGAAGTAAGTGCCGAGGAGCGGCACGGCGTCCGAAGTGGCAGGCATCGTTTCGGCGACCATGTTCAGGAAAACGGTGAGAGAGAGGAGGATCGTCACGCCGAGGGAGAGCTTCTCGCCCGAATCGGGCGGCAACGTGAACCCGAGCACGGCCATGGACGCGATGAGCACGCACGGTACTATCAGATTGAAGAAATAGTAGAGCGTGCGTCGGCGGATCAGGATGAAGAACGTTATGTCGATGTACGGCTCCGGGCAACAGTTGTAGTAGATTTCGTTGCGTTTGCCTGGTACACCTGCAACCGATTTACTCTTTCCTGAACTCTTCGTAATATCGCTTTAGTATCCCGGAGAATCATTAAAATCCTCGTTAAAAATTTTATGGAAGTTTTAAAACAACTTTTGTATTCGTACGCTATTATTTTTCGCATGGTACCGAAAACTATTACATTGATTTTGTTATAAAGTTTTAAAATCGCCAGACAAAAATTGAATAAAAATCGGTCGAGATTATTCGACGAAGTGAATCGGAGCTTTCGTTCCCTTTTGTTTTGTAGAGGTCAGTTAAAAATAGTCTATTATATTCCATATTACAAAAAAAAAGCTGGTCAACGTTTTTGAAGCAGGATTTTTCAACTCCCGGGTATAGCAGGAAATAGCGACGAATTAATAAATAAAAAAGTTGGAAAAACAAAGTAATAACTTACCCAACAAATCCCATTCGCCGTTTGTAATAAAACTACTCAAGTCTCCTCCAGCGTCATCTTGCAGTTGAAGGTCCAGCTGCAGAAAGGCGTAAGTTTAGAAAACAGGAATAACCCAATTCTTCTTTTTAGTTTCATTGGGAATACAGTAAGAGGGAATTTGAAAATCGGATTTGCACTAGAAGTATCCCAAATGTATTGTATATTACAAAATTAGCTCGAAAGTTTACTAATCATTATTAATGCAGGAACGTTAAATACATTAAGTTGGAACACAGACGGCTGAATTCGAAATACAAATGAAAACGAATCCAAAATTTTATTAAATAATTTACTTTGAAATTAAATTGAAGCGTCTTAATTTACATTCCACGTTTAGAAAGCCTACGTATAATTATTATTCTCTGAAATATAATGACATAAGGGAATTCTGTAAGTACACTTGAGGGGATGCGAATCATCTCTTGGAAGTATCTACTTATTGTATATCTCATTAGACCTTTTTCACAAAATAGCTGAGGGCTACAGGAAAACAAGACATTTAATATTTATACAACTCTTTAAATCATTAATTTATTCCAGTAATGTATTTAAAGAAATTGTATCCCTAAATTTACATTACGATTTAAAGGCAGCTTCTCTCAAATTAAAAAAAAAACATTCGTGTTTTTTTACCAACTCCCGAAAAATGAACGCTAATTGCCGTAGGATATTAGGGTGATGTCACTTTTACTACGAAATTTAAATTACGCGATCAAAGATAAACAAATTTGAGAATATTGAAGGCCTCGGGCCCATGAAACTTCTTTACCATTTAAAACATAATATACATTCTCCGCAAATATTTGATGTGTAAGTAATGAAATAATTAAAAAAGTTTCTGTTTTTTCGTCACAAAATTTCACCGAATATTTTCTTCTACGAAAACCTCTATATTTTTTCCTCGATTTGGTTCATTCAAATTCACAGAATTTATTGGAGGATTGTTATAATCATTGGTCAGTCCATGTTATTTTATTCCTAACCAATGAAAATATTAGTTAATTAATAACCACTATAGTAGAGAAAATTAAATTGATTTTATTCATAAAGTTGAAGAAAAAAGAATAATTTAGGTTTGTGAGGTAAAAACTTAACCCAAAAATGGAAAGTTTAATGGAAATTCTACAAAGCGAAGCAAATTGTTGTAAGAGCCATTGTTTGTTTGATCAGCCTGTCTCAAATCATTTGTGAGAGAAATCGTTTTTCTGCACAGCGGGAAAGGAATAATAATTCTAATTAAAATTCGAATGAATTAAGCAGGTATTTTCTCTATTTAATTAACCTTTATGAATGGAAGAAAAATGAATGAAAAACCAAAACCTCTACGATGCAAATGAAAGGCTAAATTGTTAGCTCGCTTAAAGCTCTACCTACATAGAATAATTTAATAACTTTTTCCGCTAGGTGTGTTTAGAACAAGTATTTAATTATGAAATTTTTCTTCCTAGTTTTTCGCTTCTTATTTTAATTACATCGTCAAAGATTCCTCTCCGTGAAACAAAACGAAATCTCCGGCGTTTCTTTTTAAAAGGAAAAATATCCGAAATTTTTGCCGGGCTTCGTTACATATATAAATTATTTTTCTTTATTATTGTCGCTCCGGCAGATCCTATTTCTCCGTAAGTATCCGAATTAAGTTAGCCTTATCTTTTTTTGTCACTTCAACATTCTAATTTCATCTTCCAGCCTCATCTCCTGTGCTCATATCAGCACTTTTTTTCTCAACCTCACAAAGATATAACACATCCAAGGTGAATGGAGGTGATAAACACCGACATAAAATAAAGGGATGGCCTAACAAGGGGGGAGTTTCTATCCTAATGTGGTAGAAAAGATTAATCAAATACGTCAACTCCATGTAGGAACGATGGGGTATAAAAAAAACCTCGAACAAAAAACCAGAAGCTTTGACTAATAGTAATAACATTAATATTAAAATTTGAAAAGGGTAGCGTGGATAATTCCGCGATAATTGCGCGCCCGGTAGGCGTAGAATAAAAGAAATTAATAAGACTTGAGTGAGAACGCTGTAAAACATCTATCCCGTCATGAGGCTAATTCAATTTGTGTTGAGAGTTTTTTCTATACCGCCTTGCAATATAAGAGCTACGTCGAACTGATGGGTGCCCAGAAAATTGTTATTTTCTCGGCATTGTTATACTGTCATGACCTAAAGCCAGACATGTATCCAACCTAAAACCGTTCCTGTGTTCCATCGCTCGCGTTATAATTTCTATTCTGGGAACAATTAGAACATGAACTAGGAATATTCAGTACAAAAAGCATTTCCAAACAGAGGCGGGATTAATGTTGGTGTTCAAGTTATTGTAAAAGAGACTGTATCGATCTGAACGGAGTGCACGTTGGAAAAAAAACGCCGCGATTCAAGTAAAACAAACTTTTCTAATAATATTAATGGCGGAGAAAAATATGACAAAATTTTAATCTCTTAAACTCGACTGGAACTTACCTGCAATCCATCATACGTCCAACTTCCAAACTTCATTTCGCAGCGTTGATCATCAAAAGGGAACCATGTTATGTCTATTTTGCACGTGCTCTTGAATATACCGGGTGGAACGTACAAGCAACTGCCGTTATTTCGGACGACCACGTTCGTGGGGTAGGTCCCATCGAAGCCTTCATCAGCGCTGCAAGAAATTCCACCAGGTAAAATAGCTTCGCCCGCTTTGTATAGCATATTAGAGAATATCTACGACATCCCCCTGTACGAGTATATCTAGATTCGTTTTGATAGTGAATAGAATTTGTGTATTATCAGCTGTACGAGACATCTGATGTAGAATTTCTTATCTAATGTTCTTACCTGTTATACATGAGAACATCCGGTTTCCACAGTCGATGGGGTGGAATACGGAGATCTTTCACCCCACCGAATTCCGAAGAATTCCATCTCAAATTCATATCGTTCCATTCCTAAAGTAACGAGGAATTTCGTCAGAGAGACAATTAATAAACGTTAAATCGTAAATCTGGCGAACTTACCAGTTTCAGCCAAATGTTGGTGATAAGGAGCTGATTTTTTTCGTCCTGTAACAAATTGCAATCATTTTTTCCTTTCCGTACGGCGATTTGGTAGGTGTTATTGATTTTTCTTCTTGCTTTGAATACACAACAAAGTATCGGTAAAATCCAAAATCCAAAACTGATTGGACTAATCTGTTCAGAAAACGGCTCGATCGGTCTTTGTGGTGGTCGGCATATTGTTATTAGAATATATTTCTTTCCGTTTTCTTCTTTCGCGTATTTACCAAATTCATTCAAAGTACAACAACATTCCTTTGAAGTTGTATTTACATTTCTACACTCTGACCATTAAATAAAATATATATCCGATACACAAATAGATCCAAGGAATTTACTCCGAAACGTCCCTATGATATATCCGAGTAAATCCCTTGGATTTGCTACAGTGGAAGAAAATAAAAACAAAATAAATCTTACCACATCAATGATTTGCATTAAAGTTAAACCAAAACTCAACTGGAGAGGATCAGATTCATTTGCAACAGGTCGTTCTAATACATTATAGTCGTCTAAAAGTTTACGGAGGAGTTTTTTTTCGTTGTATCCAGCCCAAGATTCTGAAACAAACGACAAAGAAACGATTACGCAATAAAATACGTGTGTTGGAATAACGGAAAACGTTATTTTCAACGATCACACGAGCAACTTCTAAGCATTTATTGAAGTTAGCGAATTGCCTGTGCTGACAAAAGTGCTTGATAATGTACGAAAAATCGATAATAACTTTCCACTTTTTGACACTTTCGGCACAAGTGTGGAAAATGGGCGCTTTCCGGTGTGATCGTGGGAAAAATTAATATCGAATCGAACGGTAATTTTCGAACATCTTGAATAGACGTTTTCGTTACTTCGTAAAGCTTTGAATAAATATCCAGCGGACAGGGCGCGGTCGATAAACTATCCGGTTAGCCGGACCGCTCAAAGGATTTAAAATTTTTTGCACCTTCTATAAAATACTTTTTCATGCAACGTACAAAGTTAAGCGGTTTTGAATTAAAAAAAAAGAACGAGTGCTTTTACTGACCATCAGGGGATTAAGCTTTGCTCAATAATGCATCATGTTAATGCGAATGCAGGATAATAGTAAAATAGGCATATTGAGTATCTATTCCAATTACGTAATTCAAAATGTCGATGTCGATCATTTGGCTTTATAATTAATTTCCGTGAAATGGCCACATTTTGGTCGATAACAGCATAACAATCACTATAATTGAGTTACTATAATTAACACTACACCTATATTTACAAAATAAGGTTATACGTTCCGCAGGTGACGAGATAATTGGATTAGGTTTACTAAATTTAATCAATTGTCTATTAAAATTAATAAAATTGCAAACAAGAAATTTCCAACTACCTGACTGTTGGTTATCATCTCCAACAAAATATAATGCGATTCGATATTGAAATGTTGGAAAAGCTATTTACTAAAAATCGTTCTCTCTTCTCCAGGAGATAAAGTTTGTATTGTCGAAAATGGGATATCGATTCCTCCTTTAGATTCGGAAGATACATTAAAAATAATAGGGATCCAATCTGTTCCGTTCCAACGACTGCTTTTGTGTCTAACCAGTCTTTCTATCAAGCAAAAACACACACACTCAAAAATTTAGTAACAGATTTTAAAAATACCTAAAACACACTAAAATGTCAAAGTTCGTTTGCGGTGTATTAAAATTCCGGGCGCGTACACGCCCGTTTTAAATCGAAAATTTAATCAAATCGAATAAAAAGAGTGAGAAGGCGTTCGTTTTAGATGGAAAATAAAAAAAAATTAGTTTACCGGTGTTCCGGTTCCTATACACTCGAAATTAACTCCTAGGATAAATACAATATCGAGAAAAATTGTCACCGACACAAATCCTCTAAATCGCCTAAATCCCAGAAAAGATTTTGATTGATTAAGATGGATTACGTGGGGTCAGATTGTATATAAATCAATCCTAAATATTTTTTGATGAATCCGATCCGAGGGCGTCCGGCTTGGAAAGTTTCCGTTAATTTATTGCTATTTCTAAGCAATTAATTCCCATAAAAAAATTACTGTTATAAGGTGGAATGTAGTTGTAGGTGATTGCGAATTGATGACAAACTCCGCTATTCTCGAAACAAATTTAATTAAGGCAACAATTAAATTACGCCCATAATATCTTGCCGGGGCATCGAGAAGGATTACGTGGAATGAAAATTTTGTCATTAAATTAATAAAATTAATTTTTAATTTAACAGCGCCTTTGTGGAGAGGAATTTTTAAAATCGCCAAGTTCGAAGTATACATTTATTAATTTAAAGGAAATAAAATTGAAAAGGAAAGTGAGGCCATTATCTCGTATTTTTTATTACCCTTCATCCAGGTAGGCTGGTTTTTTAAAGAACTTGGTTGAGTATTTTATTGTTCCTCTTTATATTGTCAAATTTTCACTTCTCCTTCAGTAATATATATCTTGTGCTTATTGTCGTAAATGAAAAGCAAAGCATCATTTCAGCTAATAAGCTTTGACATTACAAAGCTGCTCGTCGAAACAGCAATATTAACAGTCGAGACTTGAAGATTATAATTGCGAAATATTTTCAATATTACGGTTTAATGCGGCTTTCAATTTGCCAGTAATAAAAAAAATACACAGCGACAAGGGTTTTAAACAACTTCCCCGTCGGAAAATTTAATAATAATTCAATTTGAGCTCGAGTGCTCAAAATACGGATCTAAACAACTTTAAGTGACTGAAAGTACGTTGAATTATGTATACTTGATTTAACCTCTGAAGATGAAAGATTCGACTGAACCGAATAGAGGCTATATTAACAATTTTTATAGCTACAGAAAGAGGCGATATATCTATAAATTTCCTCGGAATGTAAAGCTCGATTACATCTGTTTCCTACAGAAGCGAAAAATGATTTGGCTGCGTTAAAAGAGTAAAAGCCCTTTCAGCACATTTGGCTTTGATTTTCTGAGTAACGGGTATTTTCCGCTTCGCCACTTCCCCCTGACCCCTTCATATCTACACTCACACCAGACAGACAGATAAATTGTTGAAGAAAATTCCGAATTAATCAGCGCGTTAATTTCAATTTCGGCAATGTACACACGACGGGTTCCAGAAATTCCCTAACACAACTCAGCACCTATCCCTATCTATTTTAAGTACGAAATCTAATTTGCGGAAGTTTCTAGATATCGAACTTAAAGCTCCATCAAATGCGAGTTAGAAGAACAATTAAGCGAACCAAAGCCAAGCGCCCTTTTAGCTCATACGAGAAAGGGTTGATATAATACAGCTAGTTTAAGAACACGAACGTACAATCATTTTAGTAATCGACTTTATTTATAATAAAACGACTACGCTAGAAACTAATTAACAGCAAAACGGTAGTGCATCGTCAAAGTGAAATAATTGATGATTGATTTTATCCCGACTGTCAACATTTCCACTGAAGCCATATAAATTAGGTAGACTGAATCAATTTGCGTTATTTATTCAGTCTGTTGTGGAATTTCCGGGACTTATTTATTGTTAATTAAAGCCAGAAAGGTTGAAATAACGAAATAACGTCGGTAATTTGAATCAAAATACGAAATTTCTAATTAAAACTTTTTTGTTTTTTTTTTGGGCGAAATTCGTTTTGCTCACGTTTCATTGAAAATTGATACTGTTAATAACGGCGGGAATCGCTTTTATGAAAGAAAAAATCCAATATAAAAATAAAGATTAAGAAGGAAACATGACTCTAGAGATGAAAAATTGATAAACAGCCGTACCACTAGGGGTGTAATTACATCAAATCGGCTCATTCTTTGTTCGGTGGGGAGGTCAGTGTCTCAAATAAAAGTATATAAAATATATATGGGCAAATAAGCGCGCAAAAATAAAATAATATTGAAATTAAGGTCATCAAATAATTAAATTCTTTTATCAGGGAAGATAAAATTTGTGATATTTCGAGGGTATATGGAATATTCATATTCGAAATACTGAATTGAGAAATATTTAGAGGGGAATTTTGTTCTTTCTAAAGAGCATTGACACTGACGAGAGTGAGTAAAGTAAAATTAGAAATGTTCGTCAAAGTAACGCTGATTGAAATATAGGTCACTGCTATCTTTAAATACACTTCATTTTAAAGGTATCAAAGGAATATAAAAAAAATACAATGTAGAACTTACTTATGTATTGATTAAAATTCCTGCAAATTTCTCTACTTCAGACGAAATACTACTGCATCCATATCTTTATAAATATACATATTATTTAAATTACTTTTAGCTACAGATTTAACGTATGTACATAATATTCTATTAATTCTAGGATACACCTAAAATACTGTCGATTTTCAATCCAACAACGAATTGAATCAAAAGTCGGGCAAATGCATAAAGTATCGAAAAATCTATTTACAATTAAAAGTAAAACCAACTAAAGATGACAAAAATGACACAAAAACTACATTAGCATTCAAAATATATAAAAAAAAATATATAACTACTAGCAAATATTATCAAAAAATACCATACTGAAATACTGAACAAGACAGAATAATTAAAAACAAAATAATAAACATCTACAAAAAAAGGTTTAAAGGTAATAACAACAAATTCTACGATGGATTAATTTTGAAGTGGATGCTAAAAATGGGACACCAAGATATTTATGATGCCTACCATTTGGTAGCGATAGACAGATGTGTAAAAGAAGTATGAGCGTCAGTAATCGTGGCCTTCTTTTGAAGTAGTAACAATGCTGCATTTCCATGAGTAGCAATAGCAGAACCAACTATCTTGGGCCAATGGTGAACGATGTTTTAAACATTTGCATTTAAGTTGATTTTAAAGCGATTTTCTTTTAACATTATTATTTAGTTGTTTTAGAATTTAGTTTAAACATTTCTTTAGTTTCACAAAATTTTAAATGCTCGAGTTTAGCGTATTTTTATTCGACACATATACATGTACATACATGCATGTATACCCGTGTATGTATTTCAGATAAATTGTTATACATACACTTCTATATACATACGATTAGCTACCGATAATTAGGTGAAGTTTAGGTTATATCATGTTTACTGTTTTGTTGTTAGAGTGAAGAGTCGTGTACTAAAACCAAAACCATGTCGAGAACCGAGTCGTAAGCTCCTCTGTCGAATTGCTACTGCGCTGCCGCTGTGCCGCTGCCACTACCACTAACGCCGAAACATAACGTTGCGCTGCGCTGCTTTCTACTCTTTTCCTTCGTTATCGTCTCTCACTCGCGCCCTATGCTCTGTTCTGGCTTTACTTCGGTCTGGTGCTGATACCGCCGCTTCTCGTTTATGCCTTCTGCTGCTGCCCTGCTACCCTGCTGCCCGCTGCCCGCCACCCTGACGGTGCTTCGCGCATCCTTTCAACCTCCGTGCTCTATTCTCCCCGAGAGCTCTACGTGAATCATGCCATACTTCATTTCTATGTCGAACTCGAACTCGAACTCGACTCTGCCTACTCACTACGCTCTATTCTCCTATTCTCTATCCATTTTACAAGCCGTTCGTACTACACGCCGCTCCGGCCGTATCGTGCATTGTAAAAAATTTACATTTAACCTCGCAACAATATCTCTGGTAAAATACCATGCGGAATCGTTATGTAAATTTCGTCTCTAATGCCGAAACTTAGTTACAAATAAGTCTCCTATTTCTCATGCTAAAACCCAGAGGCGGTTCGATGTGAAACCCACGGCTTAGAAAAATATTTTTGTTTTGCTTAATATCCCAAATGGAAACCCCGAAATCCAAATTTATGCAGTAATTTGTCATTTCCCTTCTTTACGGTTTCCTCAATAAAATTGAGCTGAAGGCCGAAATCCTTGTATTCTTTTATGCTGTCTATTCTTACTTTATTGCACATACATCTTCCGAGAACCGCGATTTATTATATGAGAGGATCGTCGAACTCGTACGTGCTCCCAGCAGAATTTCTGATTAGTCATATATGAAATTTTATCCGGAAAAACGCGCTCGAATCGCGCTCGCAATCAGCGCGATCGGATTTCGGAGAGCTGCAAAACGGGGTAGGTATAATATGTGAGGAGGAGATAATGGAAAAAATCGCTCGGAGCTCTCATTGAGCCTATTATAAAAAAAACTGCCTTTCGACGAAACGGGAAAATTCCCGCACAAATCCCGGACGGGAGTTGCAGGAAGTAGAAAAAAAAAAAGAAATCGACTGACTCCACGACAGATAAAGCGTCCGGTAATTTAATTCGTCGTGAAACAAACGTCTTGAGTTGTCGTTATGTATTATTGCAGTGTTTGACAACATCATTGATCGCGAGTAGGGTTAGGGTTAGGGAGAGAGAGATGCAGGACGTGAACCGATCGTGATGCGACAAAGGTTTGCACTTGCGCAGCGCTCATTGATTTCCACGGGAAATCTTCCGAAAGAAGCTGCAACAAACGAAGCAGCTGCCATCGCAAAAAGCGACGACAGATTAAAGTCACGTTGCATTATAAAAGTCCCCATTGAGCGGGGGGCCACGTGGAGCTTTCAGCTTTCCTCCCGCGTTCGGGCGAAGGGATCCGAGGCGATTGGAATGCGAGTGCATGCCGTTTGGAGGTGGGATGAGAAACGCTTCATTTTTTTTTTAATTGCAAGGTTTTTATTCAATGCGACTATTACACAATATACATAATACAGCTGGTGGTTTCGTTTAAATAAGTAATTAATGTAACACCTCCTTTTAATATCTATATCACATGTTATGACTACACGTTTCGCACAGTAATTGGAAAATTGCTGCCTACGAAAAGTAAATTAGTTACGTATACATTAAGCTTCCCAATAGAAAACCATCAACCCGTGAAAAACGTAAGATGAAAAGGAATAAATTGGAACAGAAATAGATTCTACATTAAGCCAGGGTAATCACTAATCGGAAATTATCCGAGTGTACGAACTAAATCCCTTCTTAATTATAATCGTAATGAATTATAAACAAACTGGAAAAATTTAGTCTAATTCATTACTCCAATTGAGTTAAGTTTGTTATTGATAAGGGTGTGGAAATTTTACACATATCCAATATCAGGGCTTGTAGAGTGATGGTTAATTAATGCAATTACGCCATTAATGTAATCCAAAACTGTCTCGAAATTAAAGTTAGACCCCGGGGGGTGAAATTTAATCCGGATGAAGAGGCACAACAAACTTTTGAGCATGAAGATTATGGTTTTATTGGATAAGTAAAGCTGCTGGTCCCACGTTTTAGTTAAAATCTATATTTAAATAATATAGGAAGCTCTGAGAAACAATTAGCGGGAATTTAATTTGATAAAAGTCACTAAAACACTTTCCATACTCCAACCTTCTCCCCATTAATAATGCCTAGAGACCAAAAAAACTACATCAACTGAAAATATTTATTAGTTTGACACTTTAAATAATTTTTGATATTAAATAGCAATTTTGTCGTAATAAATTACAGATATTCAGCATCAAAAATTAAAATGCAATATACCTATGAGCTAGATATACCTACTAATCAAAGTTGTAGATACAAATTCACAATGAAGTTTACAATTTCTATAATAAATGTAATCGATACCTTTGCCCTAATAATTTATAAATGTACATATTCTAATTGAAGTAAATTTCAAATTAAACTATCACAACTAGGACAGTAATTTTAGATTTTCCTGAATGGTCTACAACCTATTTTTGAATACTTGAGCACCTATAGAGATTATACTCTCCCTTTCACATTTTAACGCTAAATTGTCCTGAACAGAAAGCGTATATTGCACAACTCATATTAATAATCCGTTCGAAATTTAATAAAAAAAATTAACCAAAATATAAAAAAAAAATCAGCAAATATAATTCGCTAAAAGATGTTATAGAATATATAGAACAACTTTTATTTTAAAAGCTTCGACAACAGTATTAAATCTTTTAAGTATTTAACATTACATACATTTTTTATAAAGAAATTAGGACTTATAGTTAGAAACCACTAAAATTATAATGCAATTCGCCGAGTATTTAATCCCCACTTTGACCATATTATTCGATGAGTTTTAGCTAATGAAGAGCTTAGAGAGCTCATGAAAATTTCCATTAATGTAATAATGGATTATTAAGAGCTTGAATTATGAATTTCGCTTATTGATTGCAGTTATAATTCAAGTGGTGCCTACTGATTTGGTTTTGAAATAATCCATTATTCTATACACACATATAGTTTAAGAATATGAAGAAATTTTATATTTAATGTCAATAAAGAACTTGTACTTTATTATTGCAACTGTGAAGACCGAAAACTTGGCCCGTTCTCAACGTTAATAAGCACAACAATAACTTAATTAATACGATTTAAAATTGCCCACTGTGTACGAAAGAAGCAATGAAATAGTGATTAACTTTCTTCAAGTGAAAATTATGTTTCATGTCACTGCTAATTTCAAATGAATTTCAACAATTTTTCAACAAGGCTCCAAATTGTTGGTGGAAGACTTCGCAGCAAAGCTAAGTATTTCAAATGATTAGAGTTAAGCGGGGTCTCCATTTTTAGCCGCTTCACAATTCAATTAAAACGTATCATAAAGAGCAAATTCGTTCGTCTAAAAGACCGAATTTTTATAGCTCAGCTGCAAATTGTACAATTACAATTATTAATTTAAAAACTATATCATTGTGTCTTCGAAAATATTTTCGTTTCGTAGCATAGAAAAGGTACGTGTATAAAATATTTGGAAGACACAATTCGATGTAAATATTTATGATTTACATCTTGTAAAGTGACATTTTTTATATATGTATGTGGAACTTCCATAACTTGCACTTCTTTGTATGTACAAAACGGTATTTTGAATATAATAACTAGGTACATTTCGATAACTGAATTTTACAATATTTTACAATAAAATTGTGTATTCTATTACCATATCTTCATATTTGCGTTTCGTTAAATACGACAGAAATGATACTACACAACAACAATGTCGCATGCCAAAACAATTTACTTGGTAAATGTCTTGTTAATATTATCATAAGAAAGGTAGTTAAACTGGTGTTCGCTTGATTAAAGGCTACAAGAACTTGGACGAATATTTTACTCGAAATAGATGTATAAAAAATAGGACTATAATAACAAAAAGCAATTTATTTCTATATACCATTCCTGCATTCTTAGTAGCCAGTGTCCTTAAATTTCCAATAATATTTACTACTTCTTAATTCACATTAATACTTTGTTTTTCTCGTTACCATTACGTAGGTATCTTTGCAAAAGTCCCTTACACAAAAGTTAACTAATTTGACACTATGGTGAGTATAATTAGTACATATTTGTTATTTAATCTTTCCGCCTGGTTAAAGTGATGCTGAAAAAATGTCAAGTCATAAAAATAAATACTACCTACACACTAGCTAAGTCTGTTAAAAATGTAGTGGAAAATTTAGAGAAAACTTCGTAAATACACATATCTATCGATAATTACATACATATGTTTAATAAATGTTTGCATTCATTCAATTTTATTTAATTAATGTCTATTAGGCATATATTCCAACTCTAAAAGTCTCTTTTATAATAATATCATTATTATTACTTATACACCGCCGGTCAAAACAAAAAAACGGATAATTGTTTAATTTCAATCAAATATTCACCAATACCCGAATTGGTCCCAAATTTTATCAGCGCTGTCTCTTAGATATTATTCTTCTTCGACGTTTTTACAATTGGCATCGTCTCGACTACTCTACGCGAAAATTGGATAATTACTTGGCAAATTTAACTATTAACTTTTCGAATTTTGTTCCCACTTTTATTTATTCAATTTTTCAATAGCCTTCTCTGCATGCCGTATGATTGAACTTAAACAACTATCCTCGTTTTACGAAACATCTATTTAGAATATTTTTGTCGAACTATATTATTAGGTAGATTTACACATAAAAATTAGTAAAAATAAGAGTAAGTAGAAATCAGCGTATTTATTTACATGTTGACGTTAGGCAAATGGACGATTCAATTCCATTATATTTATTCGGGAATTTTTTATATTCTCACTAAAATATTTAGAATTTTATTGATTTGGAACAAAATAGGCGATTTTTTATTGGTTTTTGATTAAGCGTTTATGCTATATTATTATCTATTTAATTAACACACCTAACAACAATAATTATTTTTAAAATAGGAGGCATTATTACATCGAATATTCGGTGATATTAACAAACTAATTCGTTCATAAACTTGATGAAAACAAGTTATTGCAATTCACCATTTTGGTGTTTAACAGATGAAAAAAAAATGAAATGAAATCGTTACCAAAGTATAGAATATTTATCTAAGATTGTATAAGATTGTCCCAGATCATAGAGAAAATTATATAAGGAACTAGTTTAGTAATGCTAATAATTTTATTGTTATTACATACCGCCTAACTATTAATTTTAAAAATAGATTTGGAACATTCGCAGTGTTTTTGTGTAACACGTAGTAAGTCAGAATGTTATATATACAAGTTTAAAATAGCGACAATCTCGTTATTATCGTCTATATTATGTCTGTATTATCTAAAAATCACTAATGACATAAGAGTTTGAATACATCTAAGTAGTATCATCATGAATCACAAGCTTCTTGTCACTAAATACTTTCGACAATTCACAAATTTCGTCAGATAGATAACATTTATTTAATTTTTTTGTAATTTGATCAGCTAAGACGTTTAGAATTTTTTTAACGAAGAAAGGACCTAGAACAATTATGTTAGATTACCTCAAGTATATGCTATTTTAAGTCCAGAATCAATGTCAATGCAGTTAGATAATTGTTAGATTCGATTATTTCGTCTGTAAGTAGGTGCATTTTTTTTCGTTTGGTCAAACCACCACGTTGACAAAGATCCCCGAAAATATTTCAGCAATTTTTATTATCATCGTCAACAAGTACTTCTCCCATCGTCCATCGAAAATCACCCTAGAAACAACGATGAACCGCAATAATATATTGCGACATCCGCAACGCAACGCGGAGAAATACTCGCAAATTCCTTCGAATCAATTCACCCTCAAAATTCCAAAATACGATTGGCCGCCCTTCGACTTCGAAGTGATATATAAAAATTAGGCCGATAGCGTAATAGCATCAGTAACGAAGCGAAACCGTGATATGCCTTAGAACGACGCCTCCACCAGGTAGGTCCCGTCCAAGCCGCCGCCCGTCTGGTTCGTCTGCGCCGCCGACGCGGCCGGCATGTACTTGCCGCAGGTCTGCTGGTACCTCCTGGGGCAGCAGCGGCCGCAGCACGACTGCAGCAGGCCCATCGAGACGGCCGAATGGGCCGGACTGGCCATCGGCGACGGCGAGCCCGGCCTCTTCGGATGCCCGTTGTAAGGCACCTGGAAATTCACATCGACTAGTAGGGCTTCAACGGGTTATTTGGGGCTAATAGGTACCTCCAGCTCGACGAATTCCCTGTCGGTGGTTTTCTCGAGGCAGCGCAGCAGGTGGTGGTGCTGCAGCTCGAATATGTCTTCTTCTCGGTAGTTGTCGTCCAGTTCAATTCCTGATTCTTGAGCGGCTATTCGAGCTTCGGCTGCTTTCTTTTTGCTGACGAAAGCGGCGCCCGATGAAGCTTTCGCTATGCGTATCCTAGCCAGTCGGGCTTTCTGCAAAACGAGCCGGATTTAGGTTTATTTCAAATAAATTGTATAAGCGTGAATTGTACCCTTTGAGCTTTCCGTTTGTCGGCTCTCTGGTTTTGGTGGTATATTCTACTAAAATTTGATACGATTACTGGTACTGGCAAGGCGATTACCAGCACACCGCTCAAGGAACAAACCCCTCCGACTATTTTCCCCGCTATTGTTGCCGGTACCATATCACCGTATCTAAAACAGAATTATTGCCCAATTAGCGGAGCGGTATTTTTAAATATAGTGCAATGAATCATGTGAAAATGAATCGAGTGCTAACAGTGAACTCAGAAGCATCCAATTTTAAGTCTAAATCCAAACATTCAGAATTAAATATTTACATTTCAGCATTACTCAAAAAGCTTATCATATTTTAAAATAAAGTACGTAGCATACTTTCTAGATGAAAAAAAAAGTTATTTTTGGGTTAAAACTATAAATAAAACAATCGATAAAGCCAATATCAGGAGCAATTTACGAGGATGTTTTAATAAACCGATGATTAAAATGAGTAACAAACACTTATTTTTAAAACTTCACCGGAAGTTAACTTACCCCAAAGTGGTCATGGTCACAATGGTGTACCAGAAAGCGGCCGGAATTGATGTGAAAGTCTTCCCGACGTTTTTCTCGGCGTAAAACATAACAGTGGCGAATATAATAATGGCCATAGCTAAAGAGAAAACGAGAAATCCTAATTCGGAAGCGCAAGATTTAAGCGTATAACCCAAAATCCGCAGACCTTGAGAGTGCCTCGAAAATTTGAAAATTCTGAAAACTCTAAATACTCTCAGAGTAACGAACGCACCGGACACGTCGTCGTTGTCGGTGATGCCAAGACCGATGTAATAGGGAAGAATGGCAACAACATCAATGATACTCATTACCGACCTTACGAATTTATAACGATTCGGTGCTGCGAACATCCTGAGCAGGTATTCCGCCGTGAAAATCATCACACAGGCGGTATCTAAGCAGAAAAATACGATTTTGTAACGTTCACCGCATGGTAACGAACCGGCTCCGCCAGGTCTACTTCCACAAGGCACCGTCTCAACCACATTAGCCATGACTGAAACGGCTATAAAAAATCCGGTTACATAGTAGAATACTAAAGCTGCTGTCGACGTGTGAGGATTCTCGAACGCCCTCCACATCTTCTGTCTGATATTCGTCAGCTGCTGCAAATGCTGATCCCCGTTTTCGGATAATTTATCATCCATCAGCCTCTCGGCGTTCTCCCTCTTCCTGTCTCTGTAATCCTCGTAACAACAGTCTCCAATAACGTCGGGAAGTATGCCGAAGAAGGCCAACTCCTCGTCGTAGCTCGTCAGACATTCGTGTTTCGGATAATGCAACTTTCCCGTGCGGTAGTAATTCAGTATGTGCCTGAAGATGTCGGGGTCCCTGTCGAAGAAGTACTCCTTGACGTCCTCGTCGTAGAAGAACTCCCTCTCGTTCGAGCCCAGAAGCGTGTCCGGGTACTTCTCGAGCGTGTTCCTCCAGGTCTCGAAGCGCCGCCCGGAGACGTTGATGAGGAGCTTCTCGTCGTCGGCCTTCCTGCGGTCCTTCGGAACAGGCGGCGGCGGCAGAGGGTGCGTGGCGATGGGCACCCAACCTATGGCCGCCGCCCGCGCGAATGGCAGCCAAGCGGCGACCGAGGCCATGCTGTGAGGAGGAATGTTCGCACGCTACGCCCGAATAACCAGCCCCGAACTCACCGGGACATCCGCCAGCGCGATATCCGATCCACGGGCACCTTTCCGGGCGACGAAATTTCACTAAAACGAGAACTGAAAAAAAGAAAACGGCAAAACAGACACCGTTCCGTGCAGATGCTCCAGACACCGATCCCGCGCGGCCTGTTTCTTCGATTATCGTGGATGTCGATGTTTGTGTCGATGTCTATTGAGGATTTTTCCCACTCGACGGGGTCTATCCCTTAATTGACAGGCCGCAATCCGCATCCAGATGAACATATCAACCGATTCATGCTGTTTTCGCACTAAACGTCAACGGGAATCAAGTAAACATGCACAAGGCGTGCGCATTTTTCCATCGTTTTTCGAGTCCGTTTCGGTTTTTCAGCAACCCACTGAATCTGGAGCACTGTAACACTACCGCAGCGCCAACAGTCTAAACGGGGACAAGAGAGAGTGTATTGAGGGAGTCGAGGGAGGCGACCAAAGAGCGTGCTTCGAAATTTTCATCCAAGAATCGAGGACTTTCGCCGCCTTTCGCTCGGAATCGTCGGCTATGGAAAAATTGGGTCAACGAAATGGAAAACGTGGTATGAAATTATGCCCTTCCGCGGTTTCACGCACCCGCTCCGACACCGAATATACCGATTTAATTATTTACAATACGATAATAGAATTTAATTGGTGCATAAGTTTCCGGATAGATCGGTGGGATTTTCTATCGTGCCACTGTGTCGGAGCGTGTTTAGTCGAATTCTCTCGATCGCTTCGGGCATCGGCGTCGTCGCCGTCGCATCCAGCGACGCCTGATTTATTCGAAATTCGAATTTCCGTGCTACGCGCACGTGCGGGGCCATTAACACGACGCACGCTTACTTTCATCGATTCCTCCACGTCGTTTTGAACTATCCTTGCTCTTAATTTCGCACACATTACTATTCCGTAATGACGCGTTCGCATCGACAATGACACACACGTCCGAGCAGGCGTGAAAACAACGCAAATTTAAGAACAAAAATGTTAAACTTTTATTGAAAATTATTATAAACATTTTCCTTACAAAGCTAAATAAACAAAAGTAAGTATGACAAAATGTACAAAATTAAATGATAAAAATAAAATCGCTAAACGTACACTAAATTTTTATTACCGAAAATGATTTATACAAACAGGTGTATAACAACTAGGTGAAAATGGGATTTCCATATAGTTGTTACTCCGGAAAATTTAACATAACTAACTATATAATACAATGTATACAAAATGCGAAATGCAAACAAATCTAGGATATTTCGTAGATATACCTCTGAATTTGCCTCAACGCTGAATGATTCTTCCAGTCGATATTCCATTCTTACTACAACTAAAAATAACTACTATCATAAAAAAAATTCAGTCAATCAAAATCACCATTTTCGTATCATTAAAAGTATTAAAAGAAAATAAAACAGCGAAGTTTATATACAAGAACCGTTAGCTGATGAAACTAAATAATTTATTAGATTTACCTTAATTAGTACAAAAAGTAAGGATAACAGAATTTGGGATATTCGCGGAGGAGTTTTACTCTTCATTGAATACGAAATTCACCAAACAAGGACTAGCTGGATTAGCATATCTAACAGTGAAAAAATCATTCAGTTCACGTAGAAAAAGTTGGAAAAATCAATTCGAGTTTGTTCTTCTTTGGAGCAAACTAATGAGAATAATCGAGTACAAATCACTTATACATATTATGCGGTAGAGCATAAAATTTTCTTAAATTTTGATGATATATTTTTCTTATAAAATACGTTTTTTTTATCAGGCAATGCAATTACATACAGAATGTTTAATTCGTTTTTTTATCGTTTTAAATCGCAATTTTCAACTAAACACCCTGTATTTATACTTAACTCTAATGGTAAAATAGCAATATAAATCGTTATTTAATTGTATAAGTATTGCAACCATTATAGGCGATGGAAATAATATATTCATCAAATTTAGAGGTAACATTCAACTTATGTATAGTTGGAGGAGCTCCAAAAATTGATAATATCCAAATAAAAACCCAGTAAAATAAAAAATATATATACCAGCAGTAATCCACTAATTAGAGAGACTAAATTGATCATTAGATTGTTGGCTAATCGCTCTATTTATTGGATTATTGATACATTTTATGAGAATGAAGTGCTGCGACCAGCGAGTTAATCGTGTCGTGATTGTTATTTTTTTAGAAGCTCTCCATTATAGAAACTCACACGAAAGAATTAAAAATTTACAAAACGATCAAGTTACAAAAAAAAATTAAGTTCTTTATAATTACAATTAACTGTACTTTTATATCACAATAGTTAGTTAATGCCTAATGGGATGTTATTAATATAAAAATATCTTAAAAATAATGGTCACTCGAACGCTAAACAGTTAAAGGCATTATTATTATTGAATATTACTTACTAGAATTATTATACAAATGCTGCAAAAATATACCGAGTCATTAGATATTCAATATTGCTTATCAAATGAACAGTTTGACAAATCAAGTTAACAATCTCAGTATATCCTGTCAGATATGTTAAAATAAGGGTTTTTTCCGAGTTTAGCGTTTAAGTTACAATATGTCCCAAATTAAGCAGGCATTCCTAACGAAAACATATCCATTTTTTAAAAGAGAAAATAAAATTACAACGAACCTTTTACGGGAATATATTAAATATATAAAATAGCATCTAAGTGTTATTGGTGTTCTTTTTTCTTTCTTTAATGCGTTTCATTTCCTATGTAATTTTCAGTACTGCCGACGACGTTGTCGAAATACCAACAACGCCGATCCACAGTAATAACAATTGTTCAGTTTCGAATTGATTATCAATGTAAAAAATGTAAAGATATGGAAATTTCCGAGAGCAAAGTGATGCAAGGACCGAATCGAAAACAAAAGACCGCGCATCAATGAAACAGACACAGCGCTTGATTTTTCATCGGACTAACTGAAGAAATGGTAACGTTGATGCCCAAATTTCCGTTGTCTGCGAAATGCTGCGCAATGGAGTTGTCAAAAACCAAACAATCGCTGCCCATGATGGCGGACGCCACTCCCTCGTGGCTCGACCGAGGCACTGCTTCCCATATCAGCCTTCTTCGATTGCCGTTCAGTTCCAATCTGAGGAGCATTATCATTAGATTTATCGCTACGAATCTGTAAATGTCGCTTGCCTATACGCGAAGTGCTCGGCTTGCTTTCGAGATCCTATGAGTTGGACGATGGCGAAGAACTGAGTGTGACCGTCGTTTTTTTCTTGTTTCTCCAAGACGAGCATGAAATGGTGGCCGAAGCAGCTCTGCATCATCACCCAATCCACGGCGCCGGCCAAATTGATTTCAGTGGCTAGAAAGACGATGTCTTCGCCGTTCAGCGTGGTTATGTTCTTGTGAGCATGCTGAAGATGGACCATGACTTTGTCCAATTGACCCTACAAATCGATTGTTCATTAAATTATTCTTCGTAAGGTGAGTACCGAACTCACCTGCCATGAGCAAGAAGCACCAGGACAGGGACAACTGTAAGGACGAAATTCGCAAATCTCTTCGTGCTCCGCCTTTTCGTTTAGACCTAAGGACATTCTACATCCCGTGGCTTTGTGTTTACAGGGAAACATTAGGTTATTAGCAACTTTTTCCATGGCTAAATTTCGGATATTACCTACAAAAAACAATTAAACGTATAGCAATCGAATAGAATACACTAATAAGTTTATACTGACCTAAAGTACCTCGACAAGTGGGGCAACAGGATAATTTCGGACGACAACTGGCGCAAACCAAATGGCCCACCTGGCATTGCATTATCGGAGGTAAAACAACTTCAAAGCAAACTGGACATTCGAACAATGCAGCGAGCTCATCGGTGAGGGTTCCTGGGGTGGTGTTTAAGGTAGTTAGTTGATTCGTGGAACTCGATGAAGCAGAAGAAGTCTCGCCAGTACTGCTACCCCTGCCGCGTTTTTGACTAACTGCTTGAGCCATTTTTTACTAGATGGTATCTGTAAATAGACGAAAACTACACTGCGACTTTAAATCTAAGCAGAAATACTGTAAATTAGAAAACCATTCCTTTAATAATTAATTATCCAATACATTAGAGATCAAGTATTTGAATTAGTATTTAATTGGAAGGTTTCGTTTTAAACATTTACCTACAGTAGACCAAAAAAGTATTCGTACAGTTGCATTATGTTCTGGAAGTCCGCGTTCAGTAAACCGAAACAAGAAGTAACTAGCAAATTAAAATCTACATTTCAAGACTATTCTTGCAATCATTAATTAACATTGTTATTAAAAATGTAAAATAAAAAAAAACGAAAAATGTTTGCTTTATCCCCAAAATAAGTATTCGTACAGCAACGTTTTATCAATTTCTTGACTCTGTAGATATTAAATTGTTTATTGTTTTCGCCGGTATATTAGTATTAGGTTGAGCTCCTAGTTCTGTTTTCAAAATAATTCAAGTTTACCTTAAAATGCCTAGAAAAACTGAAGAAATAGATGGTGACTTAAAAAAGTCATCATCCATCATTTTATAGAAGGAAGATAATTTAAGGAGATAGGTAAAATTGTTCAAAAAACACATATTACAGTTCAGTACATTGTGAAAAAATATAAATCTACTGGTTCCGTGGAAAATAAGTCAAGATCGGGAGGTACTGCCAAGTTAACTCAACGAGATCAGAATTTCATTTATCAAAAAGTTAAAAAAATTCCCTTTGTAAGTGCTCCATACATCGTTTCTGAACTGGAATCCAGTACATGGCATAAGACCCATCCGGAAACTCTTCGATACCACATTAAGCGATTAGAATATAGAGGAAGAAGACCTGCTAAAAGCCAAGGATAAATAAGAAAAATCGAAAGCTAAGAGTGGAGTTTGCTAAGTGTTACATTAATAAACGTTTAGAGTTCTGGAACCAGGTTATATTGTCAGATGAGAGTAAGTATAACATTTTTGGATCGGATGGAGCCAAATCTGCCTGTTAATTGTTTTTTCATTTGTATATTTATTAAACGGGTAATTACACGTATAATGATTATAATACGAGTGTACGAATACTTTTTTGGTATACTGTATGTCAACAATTAAAATATACCTCATATTTAATTTAAAGCTTTCTTAAACTCTTTGTTTGCCACATTTACCAATGTTAACATATAATATTAGTATATCGTTTAAATTAGTTTATCAAATTGAGTCATTAGTTCTTTTTGTGTCACTTCAAAAGATTATAACTCGAAATTACGTTGTTATCAAAGGTTCATCTGTAATTTTAACTTTTTCTTAATTAATATGCTGTCGATCGGTTGTGTTTATTTTCATTAAAAAACTTTTACTATGAAAGAAACCTAGTATGTTTTGATAATTGACAATTGCAGGTAGGAATGGGATGTTGATTTATAATAGGTTAGCTGACGCCTGTAAATTGTGCAAATAGAACATAAACGGCTTCAATGTATATTTGCTCTACCAGGAACTTACATTTTTATATAATAGTCTGGAGATATGCAAATGTAATGATTGCCAATTAGGAATCCAAACCGACAGTACGAAATTTTATTTTTCGTCTGCGGTCAAAGAGTGTGAAAATCATAATGTTTCGAGTTGGAAAACGTTAAAAGAGTCCATAATTTTATAAAATAAACGTCCTCTCAAGGCCTAAAAAATGTTAAGACACCATCACTTATCACTGTTTTTACTAAAACCACCATTACAAAACACATTTTTTTCTAGACCAGCAAAATTTGACATTTATTTACCTTTCATCATGGTAGTCGCTAAGCCGGTTTCACACATTGACAGTTGACGTTTTGGTCTTTGATTATGCTCTCATACAGTACAATTTATTTTCATTATACAATTGGGTAGCATAAAAAACCAACAGACTAATTATCTCAAATAATAGTTTATTTAATCTTGTTAAGGAAAGTAATCAAATATTAACAGGATGAGGAAGTGGTTAAAAATGTTTTGTTCTCAGAAGAGAAGAAAAATGAGACTGTGACTTTTCTGCGTCGAGTTAAAACACAGGCGGCGCAAGAAATCAGTAGAAGGTTGATTTTTATTAAATCTAATAATAAAATTTTGTGTAAATAACAAACAAAAAATATTTATACTTTATATTTTCAAAACAAAAGGTACATAAAAAATTACCTACTATGATTTAAATTTGATTTCACACTTGTAGTTTGATTTTCTAATGCTTAATATACTTAACAAGAAAATATTCTAATATACACTTTATCAACATCGATATCTTACAATTTTATTATTCGTTGCTTCAACAAATTTATCTCAAGGATTCTGCTCTTTTGATATAAACATTTAAATCTTTAGTTTTCTATTTACTTGCGAAGAAGCAAACAATCAAATCATCAGCCTCAAATCATTTGGTCCGGTTAATTTTATACAATATTAAAAAAAAAAACAGCGTCCATTTTATGTTACTAAATTACGAGTATAAAACCATATATAGTATACATATAAAAACCAAATAAAGTATAAATTTTATTAAAACAATTATGAATAATTAGTCTATTATTCGCTTAGTAACATTTAGTAACGTTAAGCAACGTCGGTAAAATAAAAATAAAACAATTTAATTCTGTTAAAATCAAACAGTCTTAAACTAATTAATTTCCATAAAAGCATTCAATAACTTAAATAAACATGAGTGTATAAAATTGAAATAAACATAAGTAATTTTCATATCAAAATAGAGATGTCGAGACCAATAAATCTTAACTTCAAATATAACAAAATACTAATTTTTACACTATTCTTATTGTATTTAAGTAGAAACATTTTTTGATTGAAAGCTTATTAAAAATCGGAACAGACACTTCAGAAAAAAATTTGGCAGTCTAATTAATCAGTACATGAAATAGAAAAATACCGAGAAATTGTGGGAATCTCCAATTGTGATGTGTACATTCACCCTGTATATAAGTAACAAAGTAATCCGTTTAATTTTAAATAAGCCCTAATTTTAACAACTACAATGTTCGATTACGAACATTTTTAAACATATATCTAACGTCAAAAATATTGAATGTTTCATTAATCAATCAGTTAATAAATCAACCAATTTAAATCACTGGAATTAGGTTCAGAATAATCTTTTCTCGTAAGAAAACAGGCTGTGCACGTTACCTTCGGCCTGCGCTGAATGCGTTCTAATTTCGAATCTCAGCTTTCCCTCATACATCCATTCCCTAAAAAAAGAACACATATCAAGTATTAGAATCGACCATATTAAATCTTATTTACACACTAAATATACGCAATCAAAACATCGCTTATTGCATAACGCAAGAATTAGTTATCGCAAAATATATTTACCCTACAATTATTATAAACATGTTTATTATCAAATTGTTTTGAAATGTTGACAATATAGCTTATCAATAAAATTATCGGGCTTGCGTTTTTTGAACATCTCTCAATGAAACCAATTAAATCGAAAATAGCCATTCGGCGATACAGGAATTTTTGCTCGCAGATAACGATGCAGGTACTCACCTAAGCCCGTTCAAGGACTTGACTCCGATGTCCTGGCAACCGTGCTTTATACCGCACTGCAAATACGGCACAAAACGCAAAACTGACCCCTTATCGACGATGCTGCCGCTAACTCCTTGCGCCACTTTCAGTTTATCGACTTCACTGGAGCAGAAAAAAGAAAAAAAACTCCGTTCGGATCAAAGTTTAAACTAATTTGCATACCGCAAACAACATGTGGCAATACGTACTTGTGGAAATATCTATTCATAGCGGACCCCATGGCGTCCTTGCGATCCATGGCCTCGATGCTCCCCATGCCGCGGTACTTCTTCAGCCTCACCCCGTCGGAGAAGAAATATTCGCCGGGGGCCTCCGAAGTGCCGGCCAGCAACGACCCCATCATCACTAAAACAAACCAAATTAGACCATCCCGACGGGCGATTAGGCGATGATTTACCAGTCGAAGCTCCCAGCGCGAGGGCTTTGGTGATATGGCCGATGGACTGGATGCCTCCATCGGCTATGACGGGCACGCCGAAGTGGTTCGCGTACTGGCTGACTTTGAACACGGCCGTAGCCTGAGGTCGCCCTACCGCCATCACTTCCTGGGTGATGCAGATGCTGCCGCTGCCCATCCCGACCCTCAGGGCGTCCGCGCCGGCCTCGATCAAGTTCTTCGCTTGCTTTTTAGTAACGACTGTAAGCGAGCAATTGTAAGAAACGCGCTACGAATTTGATTAGAAGTATTACCGTTCCCAGCGATGACTTGGAGGTTCGGATAGGTGCTTTTGATGAACTTGATCATCTCTATTTGGTAGCTGGAGTTGCCTTGGGAAGAGTCTAGCACGACAACGTCAACGCCAGCTTGTACCAGGGCGGCCAGTCTCACTTTGTCCTCCTCTCGGGTGCCCAAGGCGGCGCCGACGATGAGCTGCTTGTTGTCGTCCTTCGAAGCGATGGGGTAACTTTTGGCCTTCTTCAAGTCAGTTCGAGCCATCAAGGCGATCAAGTTGCCTTGGGCGTTCACTATCGGCAGTTTGCCCTTTTTGCTCTTCTCCAGTATGTGGTTGGCGTCGGAGAGGGTCACCCCGGACTGGGCGGTCACGAGGCTCTCCAACTTCGTCATGATCTGTTCCAGTTTGATGTTCTCGAAGTCGTCGTCGTCCAGGAAATCGATGTCGCGCGAAGTGACCATTCCCACCAGCCTGCCGCCCATCTTGCCGTTTTCGGTGATGGGGATCCCGCAGAAGCCGTGCTCTTTCTTCACTTTGAGCACGTCGGAGACGGTGTTCGAGGGGCACAGGACCACCGGGTCGTGAATGAAACCGTGCTTGTACTTTTTCACTTTGCTCACTTCGTTCGCTTGGTAGCTGGGCAAGCAGTTGTGATGTATGATTCCGATGCCGCCGCATAGCTGAAATGTTATTGTAGAATTAATTGTGGAAGTGTAGGGGAAATGGGGTAACTTACAGCCATTGCGATAGCCATGTCGGCTTCTGTTACTGTGTCCATAGGAGATGATACGAAAGGTGCTTTTAGGGTTATTTTTTTCGTTAATTTACTCGAAAGATCCTAAAATTTATACATAAATAAAGAGTTATTAAAGCAATATATCAACAAACATACCACTTCAGAGGGTGGGAAGTCAATATAACCCGGCAATATAATAAAATCACTGAAAAAAAAGATAGTACAAGACCACTTATATTAAACATTTTTTATTACATACTTGTAAGTAAGCCCACTGCCTTTGTTAATCATATCCTCAGCGCTGAATCCATCCTCAAGATCCAAATCCACCGCGCTATTGTTGGAATTGTTGTGGTTTTGATCACCCATATTCTGGAATGGAATTAAAAACAGATCACGTTTTCGAGTAGCCTGCGAAGTGTCCAGGCGTTAAATGGAATTCATCAGTTCGCAAAATCCGTTTATAAATAATTCATGAAGCACGGCGATGCACATGCAATAAAACTTCCTAGTTTGAAATAATCCCGACTACTACACAACTACTTAACGTAATTAAAATGAATTTGTACGTCTTCGCGGACGTGCGTTTAATTTAGTCATCGATTTCGTGCGTTGCGTACTTACGTTTGAGTGATTTTTCTCGTTTTTCACCATTTAAATGCAGATTTATTCCCACGTGGTGAAAAAGACAGGTTAAATGATTTCGAAAAATCAATATTTCTGGAAACTGTTTTGTATCCAAACGATGTTTGCAATCGGTTCTTGCGAGGAATATTCTATCGCTAACACCGACAAAATATTGCCTTTTTTAAAACGTGTTATTTGCGTCTGACACCGTTGTTGATCTCCACTTTTATTTATTTCGTGCAAAATACAATCGCAGCAAAAAAACGAGGTAATTCTTCTTTACGCGAATTGATTTGCCTTCTACTAATGGCTGTAGAACTAAAATGCAAACAAAACTCCTGCACTATAGGCAATCAACATTACATTTATTTTTAAAACTATCAGTGGCACCCGTCAATAAGGGTGCATTTTTATTTCTTCATAAACACCTACACAATACACAACTCCTGCCAAAAATTATAAATAAAATAACGCATGTTTCTTAAGAAAACAAGTTTATTTCTATATATAATTTAAATCACAATTTGTAAAAGTAATAATAAAAATTAACTCACATTGAAATAATAATTTTGTAATAAAAAATGTTACAATAAATGGTATGTTTATATAAATATGTTATATATATACATTAAAAATTCGAGGTCAGATCATATCCCGAACACATTCAGTATCTAACTCTTGTATGAGGCATCTCATAAAAGCCATCTCCTTCCGTGCATTGTCGAACATGGTACGGGGATCACTAGCCATGCATCTCAAGCAATTCGGAGCGAACACCATAGCTAAGTTGGAAGCGTCCATTTTGGTGTGTTGTATAACCTCAGGCTTATTAAACGTCTGAAGGAACCTAATTAGGTAACATAATACAAGCCTATGCAACGTCGGCAGGCGTAGAACTAAATCGCACGCGCGCCGAGGAGTCATCGGCTCCGCCACGCAATCCTGATACAGCGAGTCCGGTATGAGCGGCTCGTACAGCTCGCGCAGCCACAATTTCAGCAGGTTCGCCGGCACGTGGGCGTCGCTCGGCTCGCTGTTCTCCCACAGGTCCATCTGCGCCTTCAATCGGTTCACTTCGTCCACGTCGGCCGACACGCGGAATATCCCCTCGGTCGTCAGACCCTGCAGCTTCAACACTTGCTGCGAGAGCTCGACCTGGGGCCAGGGCAGCCTGCGGTTCGGCCAGCGGCTCGCCTGCAATTGCATCACCTCGCGCAACGTGTTACCGAACATGCTCGCTTGGAATATCTGCTTTCGAGCGGCTTCGATATCGTCTATTTGGGGGCGCCTCGCGGTTCGTTTACCGCCTGCTCCTATTCTCTCTAATCTTTGGCACGCGACTGTCGCATAATGGTTGACCTGGAATAATCGTCGTTAATATTCCGCATTAATTTACATATTTTTATACTTACTTGAACGTGAATTGGCCATCTATTTACATCGGGGAACACCCTCGAAAAGGTAGGGTCTCTATGCCTATTTAAGTAGCCCAAGAGAGCCGGTTGGAATACGGGACTCGGGGGAACGAAAGCGAGCGCGATGGTGAGTAATTCCCAACCGCGAACCAGCGATTCCTTCCGAGGGTTCTCCGTGGTTTGTCTGCACAACTGCACGAACAGTTCGTCTCTAAGAAGGCCCTGCACGTGGGCCGTTCCGAGTATTTCCATCAGTAGAGAATTCAGGGAAGTTCCGGGCCTCGCTTTCCGATCTCCCATGTACATCTGAACTTGCCTGAACATTTCTAAAGCTTGACGAGCCACGGGTTTACTGGACGCCAACAGAGGCCTTTGCAGGCTCCGTTCCGACCAGCTGAGTAAATCACGAACACTTGCTTTCCTCCTGAACAATCCCCTTCCGCCTAAATTCAGATTGTCGACAGCGAACTTTTCCATATCGGCTTCCCGTTCGGGCTGCAACGGTGGCTCGGCCAAAGGCTTCAGCAGCGGTACAGACGGCCTCTCTTTCATCTCCCTGTCCCTCTCCCTCGGTTCAGTGCTAGCTGCTGTCGGGAGATTCAGGTATTCCACAGGCCGGTGGGACAATCGGTGGGGCAGGTAACTGCCCTCGGACTGGTCGGAATCTTCGTTGTCCGGCTCATGGCCCGTCAAGGATTCGCTGCCGCTATCCGAATGGTCGCTGTCGGAGTCGCGGCTGTTGTTGAGCAGGAAATGCTCGAGCGGAAGCAGCTGGGAGTCGTGCCAGTTGGAGTAGAGCGGAGCCTCGGCGCCCCTCTGGCTAAAGCTGCTGCTCCGGCACAGGTCACTGGGTTTGCGCCTCAATTGGGGGGTGCTCGCCGATAGGCTCAATACTTGGCCTCGTTCGGTGAGATGGCCCGTTTGCGTGGACTGGTGGCTGGTTGCGGCTGGCGTACAGTCCGTGTTGTGTTTGAGTGTTTGTAGCTTGGCCAAAGGGATAATATCGCAATTAGTAGGTTTATGCCATACTGTCTTTTGTGATGTAGCGTTGTAGTAGTAAAATCTAGCTGTGTTTTGATCGAAAAGTTCCCACCACTGGTTGGAGTCCGTTCGTTTGACAGGTACACCTTCTGGAGGGTCCCACACACATTCTCCTGTAGCCAAATTGGCGTACATGTGTTCCTGCGTCTTGGGCTCGATTATTTCTACCCATTCCACCCTGGAAAACGATAAATTTATTTAATATAGGGTGTGTCAATTAAATATTGATTGGAATACCTGTTGTATGAATTAGAAGCCATTCTATAACATTGTATCGAGAACTTCTATCTACACCAACCTATTGATATGTGTGATACCATTTTGATGCTATATTATTTATCTGTATTATCCTCCGTCATATCTCCAATAAGTAAGGATATCCAGAAAACCATAATAAAAACAAATTTAACCGCAGAACCATACTATCGTGTCAGCGCCATTGTTTATTTTACTGCCAACTGCACAACCCAGTTTCTAGTTTCCCCCAAAAAAACATAAACAAAATGACGTTTCTGTTCGCGCTGAAATACGAATTTCATCTGATATTCCGAAATGATCTAATACTTAATAAACCAATGATCTCATTGTAAATTCTGCTAATTTTAGCAACGCGAACGGCTTATCTCTAAATGTATTTCATTTCATCTTTAATTCCAGCTAGCAATGCTAATTTCGTGCGTTAATAAATCCAATATGCGAGGTATGTTTATTCATTATTTTAATTTTGTATTAAATTAGGAAACAATGCTGTATTTATTGTATTGAAATTAATAAAATATTTATCAAAAATATAGTTATTTTTCGTATAAAATTGCCATAAATAAACAAATGTCTTAAAACAATTCATGCTGGGCTTCTTGGGATTTTTAATTTTTTTTTGTAAATTCTCGTTCTTTGAATTTCTGTAGTAAATTGACAAGTACATAAAATAATAGTTTAATAGTAAATGTGCGTACTTTCTGAAATAATAAATATAATTGCATAAATAACACCAAGTGATAGTATGTGAAAGTGAATAAAAGAGCAAAAAAATCGCACTTTCAGAAACTACAAATAATTCTCAAAAAAAAACTAAATAACACATAAAACAAGTAATTTCACTTAATTAGCGAAATGGCCAGTTAATAGGGAGATGTATTGCGAGAACCCCCCCGGCCTAAGCTAGAAAAGGTCATTGCAACTCGCTTCAAAATAATATTTACAATCCCATTTAATACACACTCAAAATCAATTCATTAATATTCCTTACTTCATTATCGCAAGTTTGTAATATTTAACGAATTAATCGAGCATAAAAACGGTATATACAGCGAGTTATTTAAAAATAAAACAGGTGTTTGTGTCACTTAACGCTATACCTACTCGACTAAAGAATTCAATACATCTCCACCAAAGAGGAAAGAGGCATAATAACTGTTCGGGCAAGTCCCATCCTGCAACTAACTACCTGTTCTCTCTCAAGTGCGTTCATCAGGCTTAGTTGGTCTGCTCTCAGCTCGTTGCGATTTGTCATCAAACATACGGTTAGCTTTGGTGAACAATTTTGGCGATTTCAACGCAAATAACGCGATCTACGGTGATGTGATCATGGGAAATAGCAAGAAATAGTTCGTGTGAAGTCGAAAACCGCCAGTTACGATGTTAACAATATCGGAGAACGCTCTTTACAACGTGCCCATTATTTAAAGTAAGTAAAAACATTCGTTTTAGAATTTTAAACGTTTCTCTGTAACTACACAAAACAGGTAGGTAAGTACAGAAGTAGAATAATGAGCGTTGATATTTCTGTTCGGTTTATTTTGCAACATTTCAAATAATCGGAAAATTTAAAGTACTGTTTTTTTTTTTTGAAAGTACACTGCAGGTATTCCAAACAAATGTAGATACCTAGATTAAAATCTATGCTCGCCTATGTGATTAAGGTGTGACATGCATCGGTATATTCTAACATCTTTAAATCGTTTAAATACAACATAATAATGAGTTTTATGACACACTAACCGTAAATGGTATAGGTACATTCTTTACATAAGCACGACTTAATTACCCAAATTTCTTTTCCACTTTTGGAAACTTATTATACTCGCGGTTAGTGAATGAAAATTTCGCGAACAATATATCGAAAATTATCTAAGTTAACAAAATTTTATTGAACCACTTACAGATATGCAAAAGATCGTTTAATTTATTCTTAAAAAATAAGTACAATGTACGATCATCGCTGAAATATTTTTCTCTTGTAAAACTGTACGAGCGCAAGATATTAAAAAAAATCAAAAAAGGAAGTGCATCCCGCTTACGCACATGTTTGCAGGGGTTGAAATCTTAAATCCATGACCGACGCCGGCGCTATGCTATAGTAACCCCGTTACAGACTCATCCCTTGCGCTGTTTCCGTGGGGTTTTGTGTACGGAAGTAGTCGCAAATCGAAGGGGTCGAAAATGTAAAATCGCTCCGTCCAAAGGCCTCTCTTCGAGGCTCCTCTAACGGCTTAACGAGTGCAATTGTTAGTGCTTAGTTTAGGTAAATATTTAGGGAAACTCTCGCGATCGGTCTTCCAAATAATTAACCAGGAATGTTCAGCTGCGTGTGGCAGCTATGTGGATGGTAAGTTTGTTCGATTCAATGTTGCTCGTGTGGCGTAACTAAAATATTTATGTTTCGCTGGTTTGCGTATTATCGAATTCGACACGTATTTCGTGTGGATTAATAAAAGTGCATGCACAAGCGCCGGTTCTGGGAGATACAGGGCTGTAACCTAAATAAACCGCCCTACTTTTGTAACGATTGGATTCCGTGTACGAATTTACGTAGCGAAGAAGTCGAGTTATTTTCGAAAAATTCCTAACGAAACATTTATTTATATCATTCTTTACGGTCTATTTTAAAACAACAAAAAATAAAGTGCATCGGGTTTTTCAAAGCGTAAATGATTGGCATCTTAACGCGTTATTTTTATATATCAGCCCTGGAAATATTCTATGGAATTTATTCATTCATCAGCTGTAAAACTAATGATCCATGAATTTAATGTGCTGTAAAATGTAAATACCTAATAAATATATGTACCTAGTATAATTCAAGGTAGCATATGTACAGGGCAATCACTTCTGTGTAAAATGTTGTAAATAAATCGCGCTCAATATACACCCACTCAATTTATTGTGTACTTCTCGTAAACGCTCACAATTTATTTACAGGGTTGATCCCAGTAGAATGGAAAATAAAAAAGGGATCTTCCAAAATCAACAAGCAAATGAACAAACCAAAATCGAAACGTTCGTAAAGCATCCTCCGAACCAAAACTCATCCGATCTACAGCGCAACGTTCAATACAACATCAATTTGAAACAACCCAACTACATCGTGCAACAGATCAACCCGAATTTCCAAAATTTCCACTACGAAAACCAGTACAAAATATACAAGGTACCGGATGGTTTCAAGGCGCCCCAACATTTCCACGCTCAATACGAGAAGAGTGCTCAATCGCAACTGCAAAGAATCCCGCCCCAATCTAGTCTCGCGCTCCCGAATGCGTCGCACATCTGGGTGCCCCAGCAACCGTCGGGCTCCGTCGCGTTTCACAATCAGCCGGCCCCGCAATGCGAGTACCAGAAAATCAGCCCCCCGACGGCTTTCCAGAACCAAGCGAAGCCCGTCTCGGATAAAAAGAAAACGACCGGGACTTCCCAACTGAAGTCCCCTTCGGCCAAGCGACCGCCCGAGGCGCCTGTCACCAAGCAGGGATGGCTGCACAAACAGGGCTCCGAAGGACTGATGTTGTGGAAGAAACGGTGGTTCGTGCTGGTAGAATATTGCTTGTTTTATTACAAAGGTAAGTATTTTATATTGCGGTATTTTTAGTCGTTGTTTAGCTGGCGAGTTGTCAAAAATGCGCTATCGAATATTGCTTGTTTTTTGGCTGGCAAATTGAAAATACGTCGTTTCCAGGTCCCGAGGAGGAGAAGTTACTAGGCTCGATTCTTTTACCCTCCTACAAAGTGTCACTTTGCAAACCTGAAGAAAAAATCAGCAAAAAATTCGCTTTCAAATGCGAACACGCCAACATGCGGACGTATATTTTAGCGACGGATTCCCAAGAGCAAATGATGCACTGGGTGCAAGTTCTCAATATGGCCAGTCTGATGCAGAAAAATCAGTAAGTTCACGTTTAACCAACAAAAACAACCAGTAAACGCATTCTTTTCAGTGACCTCCCTAAACCATCTAGCGGTTTCAGCATCATCCACCAGCAGCAAATGAACGACAGCTACGAATCCAACGAGCAGCACTATGCAAAAACCAGCCTAAACCCCTCAACTCCTATTAATACTCATTCCCCATCCAGTAGTCTCCTGCAAGACCAATGCGTTTACAACCAACCGGTTTATGCTAACGCCCCCCCGAAACCGAGACGATTAAACGACGGGCTATCATCACCCAGTCCGGACATACTCGACCGGCAAAACGTCCAATACCTCGAATCCAGAAGCCTAAGCAGATCACCCAATCCCATATACTGCAAAAACCCCAACTACAAGCACAGCAGAGATTCTCTCAACGAACTCCAACGGCTCCACGACGTCGAACGGCGCACCCCCGAAACCTACGGCAGATCGAAATTAGACAACCGCCCGCTCGACTACGAAGACATCTACATCGAAGAAACCATGTACAAAAGACCCCTGAGTCCCGTAGCCTACAACCACGTCGTGAAGCGGACCAACCCCGCGCCCTCCTACCTCCCGCAGAGGTACCCCGTCGAGGTGCCGCAGTACCCGGCGCCGCAGATGCGCGCCAAGCCGGCCGGCGGCCACTTGGCGCGGCCGCACAGCGCCGATTTCCTCGAGTACGAGCTCAACCACAAGCCGGAGGAGCCGGCGGCGGCGCCGCAACGGCCGCGGCCCAAGTCCAGCCTGGACATCGACAGCCGCGCGGACAACGACAACGAGTTCTACTCGCGCGAGCGCTACGCGGAGAAGATGCGCAAGTCGGCGCAGTACTTGAAGCACGCGCCGGCGAAGTATCGGGCGAACGAGGCGCCCGAGTACGAGTGGATGCGCTACGAGGGTCGCGTGCAAAGGCCGCAGCCGGCGAGGAGCAAGAGCTCGCTGTGCGACGGGAAGCCTGACGGTATCGGCGATGTGAAGTACGTGGAAAACGTGGATTATTCGAAGATGTATTACAGCAAAGGCAGGAACGCCGAGTACGATCACTTCACGAGATCGGCCAGCGCTCGGCTGGCGCACCAAACCGAGAGGATACCGAGCGAGAGCAAAATGGCTTATAGAGATGGCGAAAGAAAGGTAGTTAGTGAAGTGCTTTAGAAATCGAATGATATTCATAATTGTATTTTTTAGAGGGAAGAATCGATGAGGAGGTTGCTGGAATGGAAGCAGCGAATGTTGCAATCGCCTTTGAACAGGAAAATAAAAGGGAACATATCGTACCGCGGGAGGGCGGACTTGTACAGCAACGACATCGGCTACAAGCTGTCGAAGCCGAAATACAACGATTCGTACATTGATGATTTTCACTCGAAAAGTTCGAATCAATACAACAGCTACTCGTCCGACGATGAAGGTACGTGCGAAATGGGCGTAAAATTATTTTGACGTCGTAAATCGATGTTTTTGAGACGATGCCGCTTTTTGTAAATTAACAATTTAATGTAGTTGTTAAAATAGTAACCAAACTGTTTAGTAACAATTTTATTATTTTCGGTTCATTGCCATTGCAAAATGTATTGTAAAATGCGGGAATTTGGGCTAAGTGTCTCACCTCTTGGATATTACACGAATCTTTCGAAAATCCTGTTTGATGATATGTAAAGATGGACATTTTTTGCGGTTGATTTATGTAAATTTTCTGTCAGTAGATTTAAAATTTAGTGGTTGTTGTGGGTGTTGGTTTTTTGGTGTACTATACTAGGACCTTCCTGCCTGAAACTCATTCTTATCTTTAACTAACACTTTTTATTTCAACATTAACTTAGGTTAATAGTCTCCTCTAATAACTAATTTGGAATAATGAAATTCACGTTGGATCATGTAAAAATGTGTAAAATTTTATGGTTGATTTAGAAAATAAGAAGAGCGGCAAGAAAATTGTTCAATCACAGGCAGGACGGACCTTGGACAAATTTACCAGTAACTATGAGTCACCTACACCCGCACAACCTCTTTCTACCACTGTACTTAGTACCTCCACAGAACGTGCAAAGCCATCGTATCACTTTAACTCGCATGAAACACCCTACACAAACGTTATCGAAAAGCTTTTAGTCTCGACTTGTCAGGACGGTTCTCAGAAACCGCTTAAATTTAGCAAAAAGGACTTAGACCAACTGTCGAATCTCTCCTCCGAGCTCGCCGAGCAAATGTCCGCGTCCGCCGTCAGCTTCGAATCCGAAAGCAACAACTCCAAAACCGGCGCAACCAAATCGGAACAGAAATGCGAAACGCCCGACATCGTAACCGTCGAGGAAAATTACATGCCCATGTCGCCGAGCAAGAGACTCTCATCGCAACTGGGCGGGAACTACGACAACGCCTTCGAAGTACTAGGCGAAAGCGTGAAAATCGACGAGAATCACTACGTAGAAATGACGCAAAACGCGGTCAACTCCTCTTTTTTATCCTGTAGTTTCGTCGCTCAAACGGGCGAGCAACCCATGCAGATTTTCAACGACGACAAATTAGAACCCCTCTACGTCGAACTCAGAAGTCCCGAGACGGCGAACGAGGAGGATTTTCCCGATATACTGATCACCCCCGAAACGAAATCCAACGCGAAATCGGACAGCTCCGATGCCGACGACGAGGCGTCGAAAGATTTAGACTCGTTGGACACGCCGAGCCAGCCGAGGTTCAGCTTATCGGACACGTTCAGGCCGGCTTCTTATTATCTGGGAACCGGCCAGGCGAACGCCGATCTTCAAGACAGTTCGGACAGCGAGCTGGTGTCGCCGCCGCCGATTCCATCGTCGCCTCCGCCGCTCGACGACATGAACAGCGTCAGCGAGTGCAGCTACACCAACTTCAAGTTAAAGGAAGACAATTCCGATGGCGGTAGAATAAAGGAAACCAAACGGAGGACGTCCGAAAACAACTCGATCGTTTCGAATAACACTGATGACGGTACGAAAACTGATAAACCTCAAGCGGATTTAGAACAGTACGTGAACCGCGCTGGTTCTTCGCAAGGAAATTTCCACGCCTACGAAAATCTGCTGCTCTCGCAATACGAAAGCGCGAAATTGGGTAAAGATTTAGCCGAAGAAGACAACGATTTTTCGGAAGTAGAAATACACGAGATTTGCCTGCCAGCGGCGTCGACTTCCTCGGAAATCGCCGGTTTATTACAAACCGATTCTCCGAATTTCTCCGCCTCGTCCGCCCCGTACTACTACTCCGATCTATCGATCACCCTAACAGACTCCCAATCCTCGTTGCTCACGCTGAACAACCAGCGCAGCACGCTCAAGTGCAAGAAGGACATATCGCACATACGGAACCCGATCAAGTGCAACGGCGACGGCGCCGCCACGTGCCGGCTCGCCGCCGAGGCGCGATCGGCGTCGGCGGACTTCCTCAACCTCGCCGACAAGCCGGGCCACATCGACGACAAGAACATCTACGAATCGAGCCCGGCGAAGGCCAACAACGCCGGCTTCCCGGCGCGCAACCTCTTCAAGCAGCACGACAAGTTCCAGCCGGCGGACGCCGAGGCGACGGTGCGCCGCTCGCACTCGCTCGAAGGGCTGCTGGAGGACGTGCTGAAGGACGGGCCGGCCGCCGCCGGCAAGGCCGAGGAGGCGTCCGAGGGCAGCTACCTGTGGGAGGAGGACGCGATATGGCGCGAGCGGCTGCGGTCGGCCAGCCAGCGGCACACCAAGTCGATGGAGGACCTGGACACCATCGGCGAGGCGGAGGCGAAGAGGAAGTCGAAGGCGCCGAGGGCGATCACGCGGGGCGTCACGTACGTGAACGAGAACTACGTGAAGGTGGAGAAGCACCAGGCGGACGCGGCGAAGAGCAGGATCAGGAAAGACGGCAGCTTCGTGTTGGATAGGGAGAAATTGAGGCAGTGGGATTTAATGTCGAGCGCGCCGTCTGATAATCAGGTTTCTGCTGCAGGCGCTAACCAAGCACAGGAGGGTAATAACGTTGTGGTGGAAATTTCGGAAGGCAATTTTCATCAGTCTGAAATTAGCACAGATCAACAAACAGGTATACATTTTGATGTTATTTATTTTAAATAGAAATATTGAAAATGTAAGTTTGGTAATAATAATTGTGAACGAGTTTTTGTAGTGCTTTTCACCTATTTTCTGATTCTACTTTCACCAAAAATCAACATCGATAACTCACATTGTCTTCTCGATATACATAAAGGTTGCTAAGTTAGAAAATTTTCGTCACTAATTTACTTTAAATTTTCCAACCTAGCAACTTTGCCTACAAAATAAACTACTTTAAATATAGTGCACCAACAATTAATCACCCGATATGTTTCAATTGATCTCGCAATTGCACATTAATCTTCTAGTAATTCATATATTTCATTGTATGGAAATTAACAAAGTACAACGAGTGGATGAATGTGTAAACTTTATTTAATTTATTTGTGGTGTTTATAGTCACATTTTCATACACATGTGGTAAATAAAATACGTGGAAAGCACTACTTCAAAAAATTAAAATGTCATAAAATAATACATACATATATGCATGTTCTCGTCGGGACACATGGTATAAATGTACTGTTTCAAATTTGTATTATACTACGTTATAAGATTTTTGTATATTGTATATTCGAGGAATTGTTACTGCCGCAAGTACCTAACGAATTCCATTATTTTTGTAGCGTCTGGCTCGATTTCCATGAATCCGCGCGATGCCAATCAGATGAGCACCTTTCCCAGATCGGTCTCCGCCCAAAAGACTTGGATCCCGTCGAATTTGCCGGCAGAAGCGCATTCTGTAACGAACCTATCCAGAAACAGCGATAAAGATTTCAAGTAGGTTCTCTAACACTCAATCTCCATGGCAACTAATAATTGTACTAATTTTAGTGCATCAAATCCAAGAATGTATTACGCACATCAATCATCTAGTCATCCCAACTTAACGCCAGCGAGAAAGGTAAGTTGCCCGATCGATAATAGAAATTCAATTCGCCCGAAATTCACCTCAATGAATATTTAAAAGAAAATTAATTTCATTAGGAACACTGGCCAATTAATGAAAAAGTGAGCGTATCCGCCGGTGAGTTACTAGGTAGAACCCATGAAGAACTCGTGTTGTTGTTAATACAATTACGTAGGCAAAGTTCGCAAACAATACAAGCCATTGAAAATTGTTACAATGAAATCGATACTATACAGGTTTGATTATTTTTTAAATATATCGCGCTCTTCCTACTACAAATCGCTAAAAGCATTCATGAATTACTAACATTGTTGGATCGGTAATTTGGTAAACTGGTAAATTGTTGCATTGACCTTTCATGACTAATCAATTAATTTACATCGCTTCATCATCTAAATCATTAACCCGTAGGTACTCTATTCGCTTAACTCATCCTGTATCAATAAACATCTATCATTGGGTTATTAAAGGCTAATTCAACAATAAATTTTTCAGGCCCAATTGTACGCAATGGATCAAACGAGAAGAATGGAGAATTTACAAAAACTGGAGCAAATCAAACAGCATTTATTAGAACTCGAGAAACAAGTAAGAACGATCCAGGAATCGAATCGACATCGCTTAATCAACTTTTTGCAGTACGAAAAGGGCAAGCCGCTGGTGAATTTGGTCGACAACATGGTTAAACTCGGCTCGCTTTATCGCGTTCCGCAAGAACGAAGCAACATCAGCCATCACATCAAAGACAGAATCGAATTCAACCAGCACATTCAGGAGCAGAGGCTCCTCGCCGAGGAGAAGCGCGACTGGAACCGATTGAACACCAGCCACCTGCACCTGCAGGAGAAAGTCCAACAGCTGTACGCCCTCGACAGGTCAGTTGAACGTCCATTCTAATAACAGTTAATACAACTAGCTGTTTAAGGTTAATCCACGAAGAGTCCGGCACGCTGCAAAACTTGCAGCAGGACAAGGAGGGCATCGAGCGCGCCTTGGGCGGGCTGCGGCATCGGCTGAGCAAAGGATTCAAGGACCCCAGCGAGATCGAGATGGCCAGGAAGCAGCAGATCATGCTCGAGAACGAGCTGATCAGGGTGCACTTCATGCTGGCGCAGAACTCGAAGAAATTGGAGGAGACCGTGTCGGGAAACGCGAAGCTCGAGCAAGAATTGATGGTGTTGAAGCAGAAGTTGCAGAGCGCCACGATGCAGAACACTCCGCAATACACCAATCCAAGTAAAAACTAACGAAATTATTAATGATGTGTGTATATAAAACGTTTGTTTTTAGGCGATAGTATAACGTGTAGTGCGGAAAACAGCCCTGAACTGGATTCCGACCTCCATAAAGTGAAGAAGAAGATCGGAGAACTCCAGCAGCAAAGACAGAAACTCAGCCTGCAAGTCCGGCAACTCACAGACAGATCTTCGAATTTGTCCCAGCAGAAGGTTCTACCGAATGATATTCAAAGCAGCAGCATGAACAAGAAAAGGATCCAGTCGCTCTGGCGCGAAACCGATTTAGACACGATGTCGATCACCGATCACGGAGAATACGACGCCAATTCTCCACGCGTCAAATCCAACCCACTGTACATAAACACCAGCTACAGAAACGAGGAATACGATTTCTGCCAAGACACCAACACGAATCCCTTCACCAACGACCACGCCACGACGACAGCGATCCCCCAAGAGAAGCAAGAAATCAAAACGGTGCGGATCGTTAAAAGGGAATCCGAGAAACGCCAACGGGACCGGGAAAAATCCATGCCGCCCGGCAAATGGGACGCGGTGCAAGAAGAAGACAGCTCGTCGGACAGCTGCAACGTCTTCAAACCGCCTCTCCACATCGCCCAAAGCGCCCCGTCTCTGCTCTCGTCCGCCGAGGATCTCAACGGATCGGGCGACCAGCGGGCCCCCGGCGACGACAAGCCGCACGAGATATCGCCCGTGTTCAAAAGCGAAGCCGCCCGGGAGATCATCACCGAGATGGCGATCCAGCAGACGCCGAAGCAGCCCAACAGGCGGATCGTGCCGAAGGAGAAGCGCAGGCACTACACGGCGCCGCACGACCAGTCGCTCCTGCAGAGCATCCAGCAGCTGCCCGACGATGCGGACAAGTTCGGGATGAACGGCAGGCGGGCCAGGGACGATTTGGACATGGAGCGGGCGCTCAGGCAGCGGATCGACGCGCCCGACGTCGTCAGATCTACTCTGATCAACACTGAGCTGAAGTATAACGAGAGAACCATCGATGATTTACTCGGAACGCCTAGTAAAATAAATATTCCGGAACGGTACATCCCCGAGCAACTGCCTCAGCTGTCGGTAGAGGAGCAGGAATACCGGCTGAAGAAAGTCGAGTCGATTAAGAAGATGCTGTCTGATACGACGTTTATAAGTACGAGCACTACTAATTTAAACGAAGGTGAGGAGTGACCAGATTTTGGGGTTTGTAATTAATTTAATCGTTTTGTCTGCAGATGGTCCAGAGACTGCGAAAGCTCCGACGAAGATAATCAACAAGGCCACTTCGAAGATGTGCGACGAGAGGAAGCAAAGGGAGCATTTACTGCAGCTCAATCAAATTTTGGCCAAGCAAGTGATGGAGATGAGCAAAATCGTAGCAGGTAATTTGTGGATGCTGTAAAGCCGCGGTAGTCGAGTTGTTTTGCGCTTGGTATTTACGTTTTTCTTTGTTTTCTTAGGTATCAACAATTCGGAAGAGAAGTAGAGTAGTTTCTAAGTTTCGTATCATTTGCTGCTTGTTAAAGGTTTGTTTTTAGTTCATTTTTTATTTTTTTTGCTTGCGTTACTTGCGATTTTTTTCAGCAAATAACTTCTTAATTATATGGAGAATCTTTTTTTTTTTAGAAAAAGCAACGGCGAGTATGTCCAATCAAAAGGAGCAGAATAAAGCAGAGGAAGACGAAGATTTATCGCCTTTAACACCCTTGCCTCTTTATCAACAGCGTGATAATTTTTACACTTAAATGTTATTTGTTTAATTTATAGAAATATTAGTTATTATGTGCTAAAGTACAAGTTAAAATTAAAATATTTGTTGTATTTAATTTTGTATTTTATTAATTTATATAATCGTGAAGATAATTTTAATTACCAATTAAAAACTGTGCCTGACAATAAAGTTCTTGTTTTAGTTTAGAAATTTGTGTTCATTTTATCCTGATTTTTTTTTTTAAATTTTAGATTGGATAACAGTAAGATAAATTCGGAATAAGCACGGAATTTTCCTATTGGATAATACAACAAAAAGTTAATCACAGAAGTTGATTATATAATATTTTAAAGGATATCGTAAATTATGTAACCGGCAGTATTTACATTTAAGACATTGTACGCGGACGCCTTATCAACTGGGTTATCAATCTCCTTCCAAGTGTTTGGTACACACGAAACCAGTTTCGATGCGTTTAGAATATCTTTTCCAACCACCAACTGATAAGAATTTATCATATTAAAATTTCAAATAATCGCCGGAAAATTAGGTTCACCGCGGTATAAATTATGCAGCGTGAGCTCGTCATTATAGCACAAAAATTATTCAAGATGGAAGTTTTGTTCTTAATTGGCTTCGTTATCTCGCCCTGTATATGTAGACTAGACATTCCAGTCCTTCAAAGGAGGTTCTAAAAATCCTGTCTATTGAAAACATTTCCATAAAACGAAGTGGCACAATGAATAAGGTAGCTTTACGAATGACTAGTGTTGCGAGACGAAGAACAGAATAAATTAGCATTAAAAAATTATAACAAATACTTTATTAGATAAATAATACTACATGGAATTGTCTGAAAATAGACAATCACATGAGTTACAATAATACATCTACATTATAGTTAGGTTAAAACACCTTCCCTATAATAACAAAAACTAATAAACTCAATGACAATCAAATAAATATCTTTACATACTAATTAAATACGTTCACAAACTAGAAAACTGTATAAACAGATTAAAATTTTGTAATGTATTGCACAATTGGAACAACAGTTACAATTTAACGACTAATTCTCGTCTATTCTTTTTGCTAAAAAAAAGCAATATTTTTTATGTAACTAAATAAATACCAAAAACTTAATGCACTATTGAAGAAATATTAATAATAGGAAAAAATACCAAACTCTAAACTGAAAAATAAAAATACAAAATTACTCGTAGATGTAAAAAAAATTGTTACAATTATTTAATTTCTCTTTTATAAAATATAGTAAGAATTCTAATATTTAGCTACATACATAACAGCATCAATTACGCTACAATTTAACAATTGATTTTACTAAAATAATGACCACGCAATGCTTATTTCTATAATTGTAACATCTACCCCTTCTGGTGGCAATACAGTGACAATTCCATAGCAGTTTGTGTAATTGCAAACAAACATAATCCTAATAATAAGATCGATTAAACTAAAATAATTCGTTGAATTCTCTAATCTTGCGCGATGAACAATTATTGACACTAAAAAATTAATTACAAACCAAACGCGCCTAAGATATGCATTTTGCATTCTGCACAATCCTAAACAGAAATTTAATGAAAAAACAAAAACAACAAAAAAAAAATTGTCATTCCAACTCGTGAGAAATGTTGATAGAAAATAAATTAATAATAGTAAATACTATTATTGAATAATTATCATAAACTACATTTAAATTTAGCAGCAAAACAATCTACTAAATTTTTTACACGTGTCGAGTGCTAGTGTTTAAAAGCGCGATAGCAAATTAAATTCAAAGTGTCAATCACTGATCATTAATTATTTTTATTAAGAAACATGGCAATTATTTGTTTAGTATTATGTATGAAATAAATCATTTGACTTTCATTTATTTTTCCAAACAGCCATTACATACAAGGTAGGCAGACCAAGAAGTATGCACAAATATTTAAAATTCATCATGATAAACAGGTAAGTATTCCAAACATAAACAAATTATAAATTTCTAGCGGTTGATTTCGATTTAAAACAAATTTTAATTGTTGAAAAGAACCAATCATACTATTTTCGTCTGGAATGTATAATGAACAGCGTCCCCGTTTCTTTAATAACTGTAATTTAATGGAAACTACTTGGGTAAACAGTTTAATTTTGGATGTATTCTCTAATCATGGCCATAAAGAATAATATCCATACGATTTGACGAATGTATTTTGGTCATTGTCAAGGATTTTTGACTATTATACAATTAATTTTGAGGAATTTTCTTAACAAATCTAATAGACGCAATAAAATTTTAATTCTAAAATCGCTATTACTTTATTCCATATCCCTCTGACCTTCATTTCCACATGTTTCTGTTATCGTTATCACAGGATAACATTTATCAGTTGTACTTACTACTACGTAATGTTTATATATCACACATACGTAAATCGAATTGTACCTATAAAAATAAATTGTATTACAAACATACTGGAAACAATGAATGTATAAATACTCTGTATATTCTCGATTGAAATTCTATTTTAGGCGAAAAGCGAGCGATCCATTTTGAATTTCGATTCCAATTTAAATTGATAACAATTCAAATGTCAATAACAAAATTGCGCGTTTGTAAATTTAAACATTACGTTATGTTTATATGTTATAATAAGGTATAAACGGTTCAAAAGTGCAATGCTAAAATGCATTGCATTATTAGGTAATCATTAATTATTCTTACAACAGTCATCATTACAATGTTGTTGTTTGAATTCCTGGCTGAACAGCAAAATAAAAGGCCGAAAATCACAACAAAAGGAAAAAAACATGGTCAATAACCCAGCAAAAATGCTTTCTAGCATTACAGCTGTCAGCTGGGTTCTACTTCAGTAAGAGGAATTTTTTTTTCAGAGTTAAACATTCAAATGAAATTCCCAAATTATTATACAACTGCTTAAAAACAGGTATAATATACACTCCTATCTAAGCAAAGTATAATAAGGCCTTGAATTCTAACATTAAATCGGCATATTTTACTATGGAAATTGAAATATTCATAGTTAATTTTTAGCGAAAACCTAATCAACATGAAATTTGCCTTTAAAAAATCAGGATGATGCAGAATATTCGCCAACATCGAGCCGAATTTGAACTTTCCCCTGTAAAAATGTTTACCCAAATTGATGGACGAAAAAATTAGCAAACAATGTAGCTACTCGCGTGAAAAAGCGGCGAATGAATTAGCATAATAGTGCAAAAATGTTGCAATGACTCCGTGTGAAAGCAGGGTTTTTGGGTATCAGAAACTTTCATTATGTGGCTACAGCAACGAGCCCGCATAAACCTGATTAATTTTAATTAAAACATTTTATGTACAGTAAAAAATCCGAAATAAAACTGTTATCTGTTAACTATCGAATTATATTTTCGGTTGGAAATGTTCTTACAAAACAAGTTTGTTTTGAAATTGTATAAATATGTACCAAAGTCTCATGGGGATTAAGTCCAATGCTGTATACACTCCAGACATTTCTATAGATCTGATGGGCTGGTTCTTTTTTGATAGATATTTGCAAATAATTCTTTATTTAGATATACTTAGTTGTAAAGTGGTTTGTCCTTACCTTATATGTAAGCAAAAAAATAAAATTCAATCAGACGACCTGGCCTTAATTATGATCTCTCTAGTTTAAATAGCCATAATCTTACATACTATGCAGAAAAGTGAGCATATAAGGATTTCTTAATTACAAGAGATTATGAATATTTTTACTAGTCAAGATGTAGTCGCGGATATTCTATTTTTATTTATTTTTTTTTGAAATTGTATAACAATTGCTTTCTAATTTGAATTAAGTAAAAAACATATTTAATTGAGAAATGAGTAAGACGCATACTTTCTACACTTGTTGCAAACAAGCCATTCATAAAGTCATTCACAATAATCACAAATTTGACTCGACATTCACCATATGAAACTTGATTTTGAATCACAGATCTTACAATTTAAATTTGTATAAATTGAAATAGTTAAGCGTAATAGCAGTAGATTCGAGTTAAGCGTATAATTCTAGTTATTTTAAGATGTGTCCAGAACAAGCTAATTACCTCTTGCCAAATTTCATTCGGATCGTAGTACGATCGACACCAGCTCGTCCATGTAACTTTTCGAATTTGGATGTCATTAAAAAAGGAACATTTTTTTGTAATATGTAGTAATTTAGGGTTAATTCTCCTGAGGTATAAATTGGAATACGGGTGTTCTACACTCGTCGTCCGAATCGTAATAAAATTGCTTGGCAGTAAGTCCTAATTGTACCCTTTTCACAGCCTCGTTCACTAAACTTCCATTCTTTAGTAATTTTTGTAAGAGTTCATAAGGATCTTCGCCGCCTACTTCCTGGGTTTTGTGTTTACCCAAACAATTTGTGTCACAACACCGTCTATCACAACATTTGGGAGGTCTGCTGTATGGCGAAGCCCTGGAGGATCTCCTGGAAATACTGCGAGGTATAGCTTTGTACTGTATAGTGCCCGAAGCCGCCGACAATCGCAGGTTCTCCTTAATTTCTAAAACTAGGCCTTCGATTTCCTTAGAGGAAATACTGAATTTAGAACTATTGGACGTCATGTTACACATTTCTGCTGACGGCATATTTCCTTCGGCTAATACACTTCTAATTCACTAGCGGCGCACTGAATAAAACAACGGAAAACTCGAAAACGGAGCAATCAGTGCTGCGATATTGTCTTTTTCGCCCAGCTTCGAATAACTAATACGTAACCTACAGAACGAGAACGTGTAACGTGGGACGAATGAAACAGTATATCAACCTCGTCAATTTACATTTACTACTAAAGCTACACTGCTCGTTTTGTTTGGGTGCCACTCCGAAACCGTGCTCCGGCGAAAAGTAGATCCACGTAAATATTGACGATTTCGATCAAATCGCCGCGACTTTTGGGCGATTGTTCACGCTGAAACGGCGTTTTGCTCGCGAATAATGTCGTATAGCACGAAAACAACGCTATTCGAAACCTATTAAAGCGATTGAAAAATTATGTAAACAAATCATTTTCCATGAGTCGAGTTGAAACGGTTAAATCAAGGCTAAGCTTGTTGATGTTGATACGACTTGACGTCAGCTGGAAAGAGAGGGGTATTGTTTATTTACATTTTGTGAAGGCACGAGAGTGGAACGGACAATATTGATTCTCTCTTTTTCTTTTGATTGTTTACGATTTACCGATTTACGAAACGATCTTACGGAATAACAACAGAAAAAAATAACGTAATTATAAACGAATTGAAACGTGTTCATCGAAATTATCGTCGATTAGTATCTCCATATTTTATTTACGCCTTCCATGATTTCGAAGGCTCCCGTTGTTCGACAAATTTATGTCGCAATCATAGAGAAAGAAAGATTTTGTATATGGTCGCAATCACATGTCAATCAATGACAGGCAACAAAATGTGTATTGAAAATCATCTAGTTTCTTTTTATGTAAAAACTACACGTATATTTTTACAAAAAAATAGTTTTATTAAAAAAAAAATTAACAAATTCGAGAACAAATTTACGCAGCTAAAGGTGCTGGTAAATTCGTGCAAATGTTTATTCAACAGCTCATATAGTAAATCTTATTATAAGCAACTCCTTAGCTGGATTTAAATGCGATTTCGATATATGGATACGTGTTTTGCTTCTACTGAAAAACCAGCAAGAAAATACGTTTTGCAGCAACGCATAATATTCAAATAATAATTCGAGGTTATATTGGCTGTCAGCTGTCAAAGTAGCAGAGAAGAGTATGGAAAGTAGGCAACACAAATTACATCTGTTAATTTCCCTTATCTACTTTTGAAAACCTGTTCCAACAATTTTTCTACATACAACAAAACAAATTCCTGTATACATTCTTTACTTTATTATTAAATAATCAGAATTTATTACCAGCTGAGTCAAGGTAGTATTCATTATAAACATTTTTACTACATGTGCTAAAAATATGACCAGTAAACTCCAAATCTTCTCCGAATTAGAAATTGCTGGAATAAAAAAAATGCTTATATTTCTTTTATATTATTGTAATTATGTTTACCTTTGTGCGCTAATAATTGTGATAATGTTGTATACATTGATACAAATAATACATGGAATTCTTGAATATAAGTTTCCCAAATAAGAGATGGCAATAAGAGGATACTTCCGCACGTAGATAGAGCAACAGCTTTCCATATGACTTTAAATGTAACAGGTTCAGTTTTCCTCAGGTAAGAGTAACCAGCTGTTAAGAAATAGGCTACAATAATGAAGCTGGAAAATCCTAAAGCGGTTTTAATGCTCATTTCGTAAAATTTTAAGTCATCTTGGTAAATTAAATCTTTGTTTTGGAATAATGTGCTATTTAAGTCTTTTAACGATCTGCTCGAAGAAGATTCTTTGAGGAAAATCCAGTCGGAGTATGTTTCTAGGAATATCAAACCAATAGATATTTTCCAAAAAATCTGCAAAACAACTTTTGATTTTATACTGTGTATCCAGTAGTAGTTGTAATACTAACCTTAAATTCAGAATTTAGTAGAATATGTCTATAGGCCATAATTCTTAACAAAATTAGATCTATTACCACAATAACCAAGTCATACTCAACGTATTTATCGGCGATTCTTTTACATGAAGGCTGAAAATAAATTTCCTTTTAATTTTTTACCAGACATTTCAAAAGTAACTTACACATTTTGTTAATTTTAAAACCGAAGGACTATATTCTTTATAAAGCGATTTTACTTGACTGCCGCAATTTATGCAATAATATTTTTCAAGAATTACATCTCGTTTTTTCATTATTATTGTTGATTTGTTTATACTGTTGACAATTAGAATTAGGAATGACGTTGACAGTTTCAAATTTGTATAATTTGATCTTTTTACTGTCGGTTATACAACCACCAATCTTCTGTTTTATAAAAATAATTAAAAATTGGGGTTTTCAAAAATATTGAAAAAAATGTTACAGTTGTCACCTCTTTTTAACAAAAAAATATATTTTTTTGTAATAATCGTAGAAGTAGAAAATAAATCTAATTTAGTAAGTCATTTAATTGAGTCAAATTAATTATTGTAGTTATAATAATAGAGTATCAGTGATTGGAAATTTGGAAAAATTAGCCTCCAGCATTCAATGTAACATATAAATTATTCAAAATTGAAGAGAAAAGATTCGTAGGCAATAAAATTGTGTGAATTGCATTAATGATCTACATAAAATAGTCAACTGCATTTGAATAGTTGGATTGAATATATTATTTGCATTTCTATTGAACTATTACGGTGAACGTCAAGGTTTTTCAGTATTTATGGCTAGTTTCGTATTATTTCACAGCTCCCCATTCAGCCGTTAACGTCAGTATTTTAAAAATAGTGAATATATTCCCCTCGTAATCATTTTTTTTATCTACAAAATATTTGTCTTTGATCTTACAATTTATTTTATTGTGCAAAATTTTCGGCAGCTGCGTGAAAATACACCGAACTAAAGTAATTATTGTAAAATGGTGGATTAATTTTACGTAAAAGGGTAAATTTGGACAGAAAAGGGTAGATTGATGACAAACAACTACCCATTCAATACAACAGGTCAGATCAATTCGTTTTGATCTTTTTCCAGATTTGTGTAAAACTACCACGTGCGGGTAGCTATTATGCAGGGGTCTTATCTGTTCACAAACAGAGACGGCACTAAAAAAATTTACCTTGGATAACACTGAGAATAGAATAATCACACATCCTATACATAAGAAATATATAATTAAAATCATTGGTTAAAAATCCTAGTCTTAAATAGATAAGAACGTAAGATTTCAATGTTCATCGTGCAAAGGGGAGCTTTTTAGGGGATGAAACAAGTTAAATTTGAACGATGAAAAAGCAGAAAATTACACGAGCACTAGCCCTATAGTTTTGTTGCTAATAATCGTGCTTTTCCCAGGATGGGAATATTAAAAAAAATTAAAATGAATTAAAACTGCTACAGTAGTACTAGATGGAACACACGCCAATGGTTATAAATATTAGGTAATCTTCCGTAGGTCTGAAATCCTACAATGAAAGTCTGTCTGTCAGGCACAAGCTGCCAACAAAGCAGCAATAGGGCGAAACGTCACAAAAACTAACGAATGAAAGAAAAACAATTTTTAAGCAAACGGGGTAAAATCGAAAGCGTGCCAGCTGTCGGATTCTTTAAAAAAAACGAGAATTAACCCCAATATTTTCTACTTAAATTTTATTAAGGGTGATTACTCCGGTGTGATTTAATCTTATGGATTTTGTTGAATGTAAACTTCGCACAATATCTTTTTTTGTTAGCTGCTTTCGAACGATAAAATGTTTCATTCGAATAAACTTATTGTTACCAACGTAACTAGTATTTTTACAGCTTTCGGGAATCCAATTTTTCATTAAAAAATCGATAAATATCATTTTAGTTTATGTACGTTACAAAAGAGCATAAGTTATGAATTTGTAGGTAGATATTTTTTGTTGATCTCTTCAGTGTAACAAATTTTTTTAAATAATTTTTTATTTTATCATCCCTTGTTTCCCTGCAGGTATTTTAATCTGCTAATTTCCTAATTAAAATTCTCTGCAGATTTAAATATTTTATAAATTTTTACAAGTAACAGATCAACGCAAATTTTCCAAAGCTCCCTACAGATAGTCTTTATAATTTTCGAACGGAAATTAAATGAGATCGACTCGTCGAAATGCTTACACATAGCGAAGGGTTTTAAAATTCGGCGTTTGTGACCTGGCGAAACATAGTCAATAATTCACATCCCGAAAAACACACAATTGATAAACCTGACCATAAATTTTCCAATACATAAAAAAATGTGAGCTTTTATTTAACAAATACCGGCTTTTGGCTGCTTGACTTGGAGGAGTTGCGCACGGCGTCGTTTTTCGACGCTGTCCCTTAAATTATCAGTAGGTACAACGCGCTAGTGTCGTATAGGTGCCCTCAATGGCAAATTTCTGAAAATCGACTTTGGTCTCTGGTAAGTGCTCTATTATTAATTTCTAATCTAAAACATTCCCCGTCGATTTACGGAGGCGCAATATTATTATGGTTCAACGTGCAAATCCGTCGAGCTTTCTTGAGGGAAAGTGCTCTAATTTACATATTAATCACAATTACTATTTGATATTCCCCGTTAGCTAATTTTTACAGTCAAATTGATTCTAACATGTAACATGAAGAGAGTGGGATGATGTGATGTAAATATGCAAAACAGCTCCTCCTGGTAGCTAAACTTTAATTATTGCCAGGATACTCAAAGTTTGAATAGCACGTGGTGTAGTGATATAAACAACATTCATAAAATATTATATATTCTGGGCGAAAATCAGAAAGCTTGACATGATTTTCCAGTTGCACAAAAAAAACCTATGTCGTGTCACCGAAGCCGACATCCAGAAGCGAGGAGGATGTGAAAAGGTTTATTAAAAATTGCTCATTTTATTAACGTTAAAACGCCGAAATCGATTTTTTTTTGCGAATTTCGTCGAAAAGGGCGGCAATTAAAAGCGAAGAAATCGGACATCATCAATGCGATCACCAGGAAGGAGGAAATATATTTTTTTGTTAGGCGTGTCTGTCATTTCTGGCATAAAATGAAAGTTGCGCGACTGGGCATTTTCTGTTTTCTGACCACTGGTCGTGAGCGTGGGAGCATTATTGATCGTGGTGGCCATACTTATACACGCATCTAACGCACATAATATACACATACTCATCAGCCCACCCCACTTTCTCATTTGTGCTGTCCGTTACGTTTTCCATTCATCATTATATTTTCTGAACGTACTCAATCTCATGATCAATACTATTTTCTTGTAAGACTTCAAACTCTACAACTCATTTTCTTTTCGACTTTCCGTTTTAGATACTCGCAACGTATTTGTTTTAGTAAAAAAAATATTCCTGAGATTATTGTATCTTCGGTAATAAATAAAAATACTTTTGCGTTTTATATTTAATTTTTTTTTTTTTGGTTAAAGGGGGAACATATCGTGCTAGTCGCATTTCATAAATTTTAATTGAAACGTATAGGTGGTTATCTTTTATCAGTTCTATATTTTATTGATTTGTTAATTTTATCAGTAATCGACAGAAATAATTTAATATTTAAATAAAATTCAACGGGAAAGGCAGTAAATAAAGATAATGGGTAATCGAAATTAAAACCCGCACACATACCTAATATTGATTTTTCCCTCTAGTAATATTTAATAACGCAGATAAATTATAATTTCTAACGAAACCACCTGTATTTACTTTTGGAAAATAATAGGGTGAGCTGAAGCACGATAATTATTTCAATTTGTGCTTACCCTTCAGCTACAAGCGTTTTGATAGAAAATCGTTTTAGTTCTTTCGAAATAAAATATCTCCAAATTTTATTTCGTATACTAAAAATCCACATATAATACAACATTCTACAGAATATAACACTTAATTCCATCGATTATTTTCTATCTTTATCTTCACGGTTGGTAGGTGGACGTAATTGAGTTAGTTTACACCCCGAACAAGTCGATTAATAATTACCGTTTCTAATAAATTCCATTTTTTTCCTTCTCTTCAAATTGAATAAATTGAAAATATTAAACGCGATCGTCACACAAGGTGGTTTCAATCAATTGATTGGAAAAGAAATGATTTCGCGAGAGGGTGGGGGCGGCAAGGGTGGCTACAATGGAGGGAGAAAAAATGTTACTGACGCACTGAGCGCGGAGAGCCACTGTCTCATAGTCTCATGGAATGGTGTAGTCATGTGTTAGTCGCCGAGGGTTGAGGGTATTTTATGTTGGATTTTATTTTTTCGAAACTATGTGCGATATTTGTTCTGTGGTTGTAAATACTTCATCAGTGGTTGATTGCGTCTCGTATTTATGAATTCATCGAAGGTACGTCGTATTTACTAATTTCGTTTTTTCAAAAATCGTCTTCGATATTTACGAAAATATATTTCGATTTATTGCGGTGCATTCGGAATTTTTATTTACTGCGTAATAACGCCTACATCGCTCATTTTTAATTAAAGAGTTGATATAAATAACGGAATAGATAAATAGAGTAAACAATTAAATGCGATCAATATTAAATTTTTAACAAAATATTATTCTCATTTTACGTGTAGATTATTTTATTTACAAGTATAATAATTAATTACTAAACTCGCAATTTTATTAATTAACAGACAGTAAGTAAAATAGTAATTATTTCTACATTTTTATAAATAAAACTACATAGTATTGTAAGTCCAAAGAATCATTACTTTTAAAAAAAATTCAATGAATGCAATAATAAGCGAACGCAGCTCGCTCCCCTCGTTCTAAGTTTCTGACATATCTTTGGAAACCGGCGAAATTAGAAGGGAGATTTCGAAATTGAGGGAAACTGCATGATTCATCCTTCTTTATTATATTTATTTCGTACTTAAGCATAACTGCGCCAAAATTTACGTTCGAATAAAATAGATAGAGGATCATGTGTCAATAGAGCCCTTTATCTAATAAATTGGAATGTTGAAAAACGGCTGGAAATGTTTACAAAACTATTTTTGAATTTAATTATAATTTTATGGTGACAAATTTTTAGGGTTGATACCGGTACAGTTTAAAACTGAACCAATAAAATTAATCTACAACTAAGAATTCATAAAAAATTGCTATTTATTTGTGAAAAAGTGTAAGAAAATCACTACATCACGTGTGAATATAGGGAAAAAATCATTTCATTGGACAAAAAAATAGGTATATGATAATTGAGTTGATAGATAAAATATTTTTTATAGGGACCTATACGCTTGTTGCATGAAGCCTACAAGGAAGCACGATGACATCTGTCACATTGCCGTCGAGCTCGGGTACATTGAATGGAGGATATTCATCATCGGTGGCAGAAAAAATTCCAAACACCAATACAGACTTCGAAGCTTTACGCACAATAAAACGTTCCCTGAGCATCACGTCATCTGAGTCATGCAAAAAACGAAGGAAACAATCAACTCCAATTCGAATATCAACCAATGAAGCAGACAATGTCGAAGGTAAGCCTATCGTGCCTTCACCCGAACCAATTATTCGCCGTTCAGTTTGCCAGCATCCCTTCTCGAATTCTGAACAGCTACAGAACCACGCGTTATGCGAGCATCCTCCATTAGAGTGCAAGAAAGAACCCGAAGAACACTCCAGCACGCCTTCATCGTATTTAGAGCCGTCTGAAGCGCCGATGGGATTGTCAATGATGCGCTCTGATATGTCGTGGGTAAATGAAATGCAAAGCAAAGAGTGGATGGGTTCCAACTTAGCCAACCTTCCTTTCAATCCAACCAATCCTATGTTTATGGCTTTACCTCAATTCTCGCACACCGAAAATATTTCCTTGAAGCCAATAAGGATTTTCAATCCTGACGCTTACTGTGATCTCTGCAACAAGGAATTCTGCAACAAGTATTTCCTCAAGACACACAAGGCCAATAAACATGGAATTTACACAGATTGTCCCACATCGGAAACATCGCAGCCAACGCTCGCAACAAACATGAAACTAACGAATGCCGTGCCAACAATAGAACAACCAGGAGGAACTATTAATACCAATACGAACGAAGCGAAAACCCCTGTGAATTTGATGAGTGCTTTCGGCAACATTTTCCAGAACCCGTTCAATTCGAATCCGAATCCCAACCCGATGAGCATGCCGGAGAACGAAGTCAACGACAACGTTGCCGTATCGAACGGAGTATCATCTTCTAGTGGAAGCGACAAGATATTTTCAGACGATCCACACGCCGAAGACAACTCTAGTCCTTGTAATATACAAACCGAATCTACCTCAATAAAAAACGATCCCGATGGATTGTTTCAAGATACATCTAGCAAACTATCGTCAGATCAAACAGATTTATCATATCGTTTAAGAAGAATCGGTGTCATGAATCCTAAAGCTTTCTGCGAGATTTGTTGCAAGGAATATTGCAACAAGTACTTTTTGCGGACACACAAACTGAAGAGACACGGAATTTACATTCCGGACGACAAAGAAAAAGACGCTAAACTGGACAACGTCATGACCAACGTGCAAACCAGCCCGTTGAATCTCATCATGACCGAGCAGAACAGCTCGGACAGCAAAATCACATCGCCGACCAGCATCGGTTGCGACATCTGCGGTATAAAATTCCAGAACGCCAGCCTTGCTCATTTACACAACGTCAGCGTTCACGGAAGGATGTGCTCGGACGACGCCGAACGGACCGAATCGAAAGATTCCAACAAGGCCCCGGAAAAATCCAATCCCGAAGCCATCAGCGAAGACTTACAGAAGCTCCAAACGATGATTCTCCAATTGAACGACATCAACACGAACAAAGCATCGGCCAATTACACCTGCACCATTTGCAGCAAAGACTTCGAAAACCGGTTTTACCTACAAGCCCACATGCTGGCCGAGCACAGCATGCTGGTCGACGGGGAGCTGGAGAAGCCGGACACCGAGTCGTCGTCCATTTGCGAAATATGCGGCAAGGAACTGGCGAACGTCGAGGAATTGTCCAGACACGTCGTCGATTTCCACTCCAACAGCCAAACTTTGAACGAAACCATCAAAGACGAGACTAACGATTACAACAGCGGCGGGGAGAAATTGCCCAGAACGCCGATACCCGGCGGGCACGTTCCGGAACGGAGAGTCTCCATGAACATCACGCCGACGAGCAGCTACTGCGAAATATGCAACAAGGAATTGTGTAATAAATATTTCATGAAGACGCACATGCAACGGATGCACGGCATAGAGATCGAGAATGGCGCGCAAATCGGTGGAGTCGTTTGCGACATTTGCAATAAGGAGTTGTGCAGTAAATATTTCTTGCGCGTCCACAAACACAACACCCACGGCATCATCGAGTACGGCAGTAACCTGCTGCCGACCAGGAAATCCGACGGGGAGTCCTCTTCCATTTTACCATCGAGCTCTGCTCCGTTGGAAGTGGCCGATCCGGCGTTGAAGCCGGGCGATTTGGCCGATCTCAGTCACCGATACTTCAGCCACTTCACTGAAGTCTGCACGATCTGCAGCCGAAGGTTCAGAAGCACGAAATGGCTGAAGGCCCACTTGGTCACCGACCACGGGCAAGCGGGAGCGGAAAAATGGGCCGAAATCGAGCAGCAGCTGCAACAAAACCGCGCTAACACTAAATCCTCGACCCCGTCGGCTAGTCTCGAAGGTAGCCCGAACATTAAGATCCCCAACGGCGGACAAGAAGCTCAACAGAAAGTAGGAGTTCAGAATTTTATATCCAGCTTATTTGGAATAGACGAAGGTAATAAAAAGATTTATCAATGTTCTTATTGTCCGTTCACATCACCGTTACTACCGCTGCTATTCGTTCACGAGAGATCGCATTCCATCAACATGGAAGGATTCCCATTGAAATCCCCGCAGACGATGGTTGAAAGACAACCACTCCAACGTCAGATGCTATCGCAGCATTCCTTCCTCTTTCCGAATGCAATCAAAGAAGAAGACGGAGGGAACTGCAAGGAGAATTCCGAGGATGCTAGTCGCCAGGATGCCATTGACAAACAGCCCGGCTTTCCAGCTAAAATGAAGCAGATCGAACTGTCGTCGGAGATAGAAGAGTCTTTGAAAGACGTAGCCAAGAGGATGCAATGGCCGGCAACGTACGCGATTCCTCAAAATCAAAATTTGAGCCAAAACGAACAGGAACAGGAGCAAGACGAGGCGTCTCCGTCTGCGTCCGCGTCAGCTTCGGCGTCCGCATCTTTACCATCAGGACCAGGGTATGTAATGCAGGCATTTCTTTTGGAAGAATCGACTTCCGAGCGCCGGGTCATGCCCTCGGTTGTTTTCCTGCCCATGCTACAGAAACAACCAACTCCTATCACTGTTACTTTTACACTGACCCCGGCCTAACACATCCTCACATGTAGTTTGCATATATGTGTTATATTTTTTTAAGAAACAATCGATGGCGATTCCACGACACCTGTGATTTTTTTAATTTTAGTTATAATTATTATATAATCCTAATATATAGATATATAAGCGATTCCTATATTTGCAAGTTACCTCATATATTATGAGAAGGAACATATGAGCACATATTTTTATGCAAATACGGAAAGACTGAGTGAAATTTTTATATAGTCTGTTAATTTTCACTTTAATATATCGAGATACTGATGTTTTGTACGATAAAGCTTTAGGTGATGTTTAAAGAAGTTCCTATTTTATATCTCGATATAATAATATAATTCACAAGTATGTACGTATTATTCATTTGTTAGATGTAGCTTGCTCAACAGTCAGTTTTAAATGTTCCGAGTACCTAGTCCAAGTAACTCAGGGTTAAGCTGAACAAAAAGTACAATCAAATAACAAAATATTAAACAGCCATTACGCAATTATTGCGTTTAAGCGTCTCCACAAAAATTGTTTCCACTCGCAACGACGCTTTCCTTAACGAGTTCCTGACTAGTAGCATTAGGATAACAAAATGTATGTCGTTCAAATCATTTTTTTTAACTTGGATAGATGATAGATGATCTCTACTAATTCATTAATATTTCGAATTTTTGAAAAAAAAACACACAATTACCAAACGATTGGGTCTCGTAAATTCAACTCGTTTAAAATTTACAACCAGTACAAATTAGAGTATTTTTATTACCGATAAAGAGAGCATAAGATTTTTTTCCTCAAAATCAGTTATACATACATAACCACAGTCTAATGGAGCATTTCCGATAATTTACGAGGCTCACTTTCCGGGCAAAAAATGTATTTTGCTCCGGTACATTACGAACAAAAAGAGATTCATCTGTCAAGTCATTCACTTGTCCTTCCTCACACTTGCGACTTTTTCTATTGAAAACGAACTTGCTGGCGATTTTTAAACCATCATCGCCTCGATATTTTTTTGAAAAATTCGAAACGATAATACGAAGGTGACGCACTCGGCTCATAGTCACTAGAATGAAGAATTTTACGGTTTAAATGGGCGCTAATGGACAATGTAGTTTCGATGTTCCCGCGGCCTCCCGATGGCAGAAAAATACCAGAAACGTTTAGTAACAATATTGTTATTAGTTTTTTATACAGATTTTTAAAACTAGATTTTAGATTACTTATACATGAAGTAAAGGAGCTATTGCTTTTGAAGTTCTAACGAAAACGGACCACATCTGAACCCAATAACCGTGTTTATTTCATTTTTAATATCATTTTAAAGAGCAAATGATAAGTAAATCGCGCTGTTAGGAAGATTAATACAATTTTATCGTTTATTTTCGACCAGAATAATATTAGATGCGTTTTATTATTTGCTCTAAATATTTTAAATTTTAACCTAACTGTGTATAGTCCGATGAACGAGTGTTAGAGAAATATTTTTATGTGAAACAATAATTAGTGCAAATTGTTAAATTTTTCTTGACACTCGATTAACTTGCCAAAACACCTAAATTTATAGTGGTAATCCGAAGGGATTTCTCAGGGTTTTTGAAACACATACAACATTTTAGATTATTTTTGAATATATCAGACAGGCTGTGACTATAAAATGTCAACTAAACAATCTCGTACCTACACCATCTACCTCCAAAATAAACTAATTTTTAAATAGATGTATAGCAGAAAGTGTTCCATAATTTTTGGTATTTATTCTGCCAATTGACGGCGGCCCGATGTCCATTAGCCATTTTTTTTATTAACGTTACCCAATTATTCTGGTTACGATTTCCATTAGATACATAGTTATTTTGCAAGTTGAAATAGTTTATTAAGCAGCAAGTGTACATATTGTGTGATGTATATAGGATGTGCCTATGTTGGGCTATTTTTTATTATCCTCTACTTAATGAATACCGTACAATTTGTACTTTCATTAAGTTATTTTAGGTGTACCTAATTCAAAATAGCCCAATTCGACTGTAATTTTTCTGAATTTTCCTCATAATAATTGATATCATGCGAATATATACTTAAAAGTCACTCAGAACCAGAAGTCAATGGAGCTAGTTTCAATGTACAGGGTGGCCAAATAAGGATGGCTCTCGGCCATATCTCGCAAACTAATTGTCATAGAGACTTGCGGTAAAAAATCTTATGACTAAATCGGCAAAAAGAAAATGCTGGAAATAATTTTCAGGTCTCTAAAATGGCCGCTAGGGGAAGTATCCGCCATCTTGATTTTAAAAAGTCATTTTTTTCAAAATTTTCCTAAATAAAGGTATCAAAAATGTGTTTTATTTTGATAGTTAAGTTAATTTCGATTATTTTTGGTAATATATTTTTGACTCTATCTTTTAAAATAAAGTGGTGGGGGTAGTTTGAATATTTTGACAAATAAATGTTAATAACTTTTAAATGGCTGAACCGATTTTCAAAAAAATGAAATTGTTGAAAAGGGCTTTCTTTGGTCTATAATTTACGCTATATAAGATATTATTTTAATTGCTTGCTTTGCCGCAAGATGGCGTTTTTCGACATTACTTCAAACAACACCGATTTTCTCAAAAAAGTTAAATGCAACGATATAACTTTTTCTTTGGAGAAAAATAGTCAAATAATTACCAAACAAGCCTGTGAAAACCGAATCTCGATATCTCCTTCCTAACCTAAAATATATCTGAAAAAAGAAAAAATCAAGAAAATGCGTATATTTTTGGTGCACTACCAGTATAAAAATCTCTAATTAGCGTTGTTCCATCCACAAAAATTATCAATTTATTAATAATCTTCAAGTATGATATTTAGAAACACCAAGCTAAGTAATATTCATTCAATAATTATTGGATTTCCCTTCTATTCGCACTAGTTGAGAACAAACGAAATAACCATGCCGTGGAAAATAAAAAAAACCAAAAAACTGGACGCAGAAGGTCCAGAATAATTAAGGACGTTGGTATCAACGTGTGGTGTGGTATACAAGGTGAAAGTTGTTGTTCCCTGGTTTATTTATGGGCGACTCAACGGACAAATATTTCTAAATTATCTATACGTAACGATTTTCCTGGGTTATTGGTAGATGTTCGTCTGGAAACTCAAAGAAATATGTATTCCCAACCCGATGAATGCCCAGCTCATTTTTGTAGACTAGTTAGTTAGATTTTTTTGTTTTTTTTTTATTTTCCACGGCATGGTTATTTCGTTTGTTCTCAACTAGTGCGAATAGAAGGGAAATCCAATAATTATTGAATGAATATTACTTAGCTTGGTGTTTCTAAATATCATACTTGAAGATTATTAATAAATTGATAATTTTTGTGGATGGAACAACGCTAATTAGAGATTTTTATACTGGTAGTGCACCAAAAATATACGCATTTTCTTGATTTTTTCTTTTTTCAGATATATTTTAGGTTAGGAAGGAGATATCGAGATTCGGTTTTCACAGGCTTGTTTGGTAATTATTTGACTATTTTTCTCCAAAGAAAAAGTTATATCGTTGCATTTAAATTTTTTGAGAAAATCGGTGTTGTTTGAAGTAATGTCGAAAAACGCCATCTTGCGGCAAAGCAAGCAATTAAAATAATATCTTATATAGCGTAAATTATAGACCAAAGAAAGCCCTTTTCAACAATTTCATTTTTTTGAAAATCGGTTCAGCCATTTAAAAGTTATTAACATTTATTTGTCAAAATATTCAAACTACCCCCCACCACTTTATTTTAAAAGATAGAGTCAAAAATATATTACCAAAAATAATCGAAATTAACTTAACTATCAAAATAAAACACATTTTTGATACCTTTATTTAGGAAAATTTTGAAAAAAATGACTTTTTAAAATCAAGATGGCGGATACTTCCCCTAGCGGCCATTTTAGAGACCTGAAAATTATTTCCAGCATTTTCTTTTTGCCGATTTAGTCATAAGATTTTTTACCGCAAGTCTCTATGACAATTAGTTTGCGAGATATGGCCGAGAGCCATCCTTATTTGGCCACCCTGTACAAAATGTTCTCAAATTGCAGGATAGTTAATAATTTACAATGATTTTTATTTGGAAAATTCAATGGAAATGGGCGCACTCTGATTACACGAAACGAAGGTGATCAGGTCAAATTCAAAATAAGAACCATTGCGGGGAGATTTGGCCTGTAGATGTTAAATATGCAAAGTGGCTCGACATTTTATATTCAACCTGAATGTCAACAACCAGTTAAAAATCGGTGCGATCTATGGATTTTTAAGCGAACGCACAAATAGGCCATTTTGCATATCGATTCACTCGACGATTTGAAATACATTGGACATAATTTGGGTGAACAATATAACCTTTGTACATCGAAGAAGCCAACGGTATATTGTCCAAAATATTTCATGTTTTTTCCGAACTATTAAGAGTAAGAGAGGTACAAAAATTAAGTCTACGCATGCTCTAATTCTGGTGGAAAAACTAGTGAAATAGGGTAATCAACTACTGCTTTAATTATCTCTCTTGGCTAAATTATTTTTGAAGAAATCTTGTTAATATTTAAAATGCGCAGGTTAATTGGACGTTCTTAATTAATTAGTAGGTGTAATGAATTCAACAACGAAAGAACGTGTTTAAAAACGATAGTATTACCTAATAAGTATTAATAAGATTTTTTCATTTATATTTGTATATTTTACTTAATTACGAAATTGATTGTTTCTTTAACCTTAAGAGGTTTTACTGGTAAAAGACACATATTGTTTAATGTTGTATAGTACAAAACCGACTACCTTTGCTAATTACTAGTTATAATATACAAGCTGTGTGCCTTCAGTAATTGCAAAATGACCTGCTATTTCATATTATAAGAGCCTGGGTGCTATGAATTATATCTGTTTTACTATAGAGTACAAACGGTTGGAGGAAAGATTGAGCGAATAAATTTAATCTAACTTCAAGTACGTAGGTTAGCTACACGTTTTTTTACGAACTGCCTTAATTGAAATTGAAAATCGCGATCAAACAAGTTCGAGTTGTGCTAGATTTATCGAGGGGTTCGAACAATCTTTTCCTCAACTACAAAAAAAAATGCAGATGTTTCCTACGAGTTTGTATTCAAATGAAGTGAAACCGTACACCGTAAAAATTTACCAAATCGCATGAATTTATATTTTTCGTGATCATGCAAATCAATTTCCATTTCTTTATAATTTTTGTTCCATTATAATGTTAGGGGTGCCGTTTCCTGAATTCGAACAACAGCTGCAAAACACATGGCTCTTCCCTTACCCTCGCCCTCGCTGACCACTGCAAACCCTCCAAAATGGTAATTTTTTTGTTAAAAATGCAACTGCTTATGATTTTTTTTTAATTAGAACAATCATTCGGATACAAACTCGTACGTTAATAACAGTCAAGCTATACATGTGTATAAAAAAAAACATGCATTTTTTAAATGCACAAATGCATGTAGGACCCAGTGTAATATGAACCTTTATGAAAAATATTCATTTAAGACCAACGCTAATTTCCCAGTATTATACAATTCCGCTACCTTAACTCGATCGAAGTGACGTCGTTTATAATAAAAAATCTTATAATATACAGGGTGCTATCGAATATTTTAATTATTAAGATGTTTTATTATACGTTGAATGAATTTCGTAACGAATTCCGTGCATATTTCCAATCATTACAATATCGAAATAATTGTTAAATTGTTTTTAGGTACGCGCGTGTGTTATTGTTATCGTACCTATTAATTTTTTCTTCTGTGGTGATAACGATTTTGCAACTAATCTGCCGCCCTCGACTTTGATCAATATTGATCTGCCGGCGCCTTTTGCACGTGGAATGATCGGATATTATTATACATATTTCTAAAAGGCAGCAAAAATATTTAAAAGCGAATTTGACCGCAAAAGGGCAAACCAAAGTCGAATAGGTATATAAAATAAGGTCAATTATTTATTTTTATAAAACGCAACTGCTTTCACGAAAAAATCATTTCGCAGGGTTGATGTTCTAGATTTTATTTGAATTGTTTACCCTACTTAGGAAACGGAATATTAAATATTAGAAATATGCATGTGTAGGAAGTTAAGCGAGCATTTTTGATTGATATACTGCGAATAGGTGGCAGGTCTGGAAGTAGATAAAAAGGATTCATGTTACTAGAGGAGATAAGTATTGTAAATGAGCATAAAATCAAAATCATGGATCGTATCTTGCGAATGTTCAAAATGTTAAGTATAAGTTGTTCTAGGATGTTCCAGAACTCTCAGGGTACGATACGTGGACCAAAACTTCGTTGAAAATATTAATACGGGTTCTATATATACATTCATATATATTATATAAAAATATATATTTATTGAGTTAAGCTAGACTATATTCTTATGTGTTATTTACATTAATTACCATACCAAAAAACGCGTTAGAAATTCAACATAATTATGTACATGCCCCATTATCAAACTAATCGTCACTGATACTTTTTTAATTAAATATATAACGATTTTTTTTCAAATGCTTATTACCAAATTAAATTTAAAAATATATATATTTATTATTATGTATAACTTATATTAATTATTAGCAATTTATTTGTGAATTTCGTCTAATTGAAAACGTTTGTGCTGCTAATTAGAGTTGAAAAACTTAAAAAAAAATCAGTGTCTTAAATTGAGTAGTTCCTATAATATATTTACAAGGCTATTTTAGTTTCGAGAGAAAGTGAATTATTATCGAGAGTCCTAATTCTGTATCCAGCCACGATTAAAGTCTAACTTTATTTACCTCAATCTGAATAAATATGCGAGTAAAAATAGAGTAATATTCGAGCGTTAAGAAGTAGGTACTTAATATATTATGCAGGATTGTTGCGCTTATCAATCAAGCTATCAAATTGGTAATGATAGAAAACTATGTGATTTTTAAATCAAAATCAGTGTTGTAAATAGTTAGATGTTTTTTAAATGCGGTGTTGTTTTTCATTGTAAATATGAAACGATTTACTTATTAACATAATTTTAGTATCGATTGGAGCGATGTCGTTTCTGGTTTATTAATTTCTTGTTCTCTTAATTAGCTCAAAAAAAAGTATCAGTAAACGATCTTAATTTATAAGTTATAGCACAGTGTCCAAACCTTGTTATGTCTATGTAGATCTAAGTTTTTCTTTGAATTGTGTGTATTTGTAGACCTTCTCATTAGAAACATTTTAAAAGCTAGTCAATGTATTTATTTTGTGTATTTCAGTTTAGTCAATATTCTAGTCAGAATATATGTTATTTTTTCTAATATTTTGTCTAATTTATATATTTTTATTGAATAAATTATTATATTTTGATTGGTAAAATACTATTGTCGTTTATTGATTTCTTGCCTTACAACCACTAAAACACATAATTCCATGTACATCCAATTTATTTTTCAAAATTAAAATACAAATAGCTGCTACATAAATACAAAAATAAATCTGCGAAAATGTTATTTATTTAACAAAAACCTAGGTATCCAAAAAAATTACAGTCTTGACTAGTGATGCTAGAAATGCATGGATACATACTTTAAGTACATACTGATGGATTGTTTTTGAGTGTTAAACAAAGAGCTTTCTTCAAATCCTTTAATATCAAAGCCTGCGACACTAAATTCTGGTTACCATTTAATTCTATAGTTGGTATAAAGGTAACCGCTGGTTTCAAAGAATGCGTCCTCTCTCCGTTCTCCTTCAACAATATCGTACCTTTCGCGCCATTGGCACACTCGGATATCGCGTTATATTTAATATCTTCGAATTCTTTGGCACACTGGAATAAATATAATTAGTTTTTTTTAAACACCGAATAATGATTAGGTTTACCCTTTCACCTGCATCGTCTGGTATAGTATTATCTTTTATCATACACGATATGTATTCCAACTGAAGAAGCGGATCACTTATCAAGAATATCGAGCAAGAATGGATTTTATTTGCGAAACATTCGACTGCATCATGTTGGCATTGGAATTCTATCTGCCCGTCTGTTTCTATCGTCTAAAATATTTTTATACGCTTATTTATTATTTCAGTGTCTATTTTAGTATATATGAAAGGTAGCTCATTACCTGTGCTTTTCCGTAGGGTATTAAATCCAAATTAACGTACTCTTGAAAATTCTTGTATGTGGGAAGTAATTGATATGCTATAAAAAACCTGGAGTCAGGACACAGCGCCTCGTAATATACGGACAGTTTGATCTTGTCATTAATTGGCTCTTCTAGATATTTTTCTTCGTTATTCGATTGCAAGTAATGCAAAGTCTTATATAACAGAATTATTACAACAATGAGTAACAACAGCTTGGTAATTTTTATATTCATCGCTGCGGTCTGTCGATTTATCACTTATTTAACATTATTTAAAAACTCTGAGTGCAAAAGTATAAATAAAACTTTATTATCTTAAAGTTACTTTACATGAATCACCATAACCTCTATTTACAAGTAATCAAAATCAAAACAAAATTTCAGTGCTACCAACTAAACGTTGAAATGACAACGTCGGATTGGTTTGCTGTAAATAGAATGTGTTGGTTGACGTGAGACGTGAAATTATTTGACACATCATATGTCAACGTCAATGTCAAAACTAAGCATAAAATAAGATGGTGGTTGTTTTGCAGAGAATACTTTTAAAATGTTTTTTAATGTCAGGAGTTGTTCTAGCTTCTAGAAAATTAAAATTGTAAGGAATATGTGCAAATATTAATTGTAAATAAGCGGTAAGTACATACAATAATTTACCACGGCTTGCATACTGAATATTGTTTATTAGGGCAAAAGTTGTGAAAAGTTTAATCATCATAATTACAAGATTTATTCAGATATTCATTGGTCAGGAACGGTAACTACTGCGAATGTTTATAACATTGAAATAGACCGGAAACGGTCGAATTATCTAATTCTGTATTTTTATAGCTTGCTAAATATTTTAAACTAACTGTCTTATTGTTCCCCTTGTTTTTTATAAAAGAATACATTCGTTTAAATACATACTAGCGTTTATTAAGCGGATATTTGGAATAATTTATTGGTGCATAAAACTTATTCAAAGAAATTGTTTAAAACAATAACATTGTGTCTCTTTCAGTGAAGTGTATTATGATAGAAATAAAACTGAAAAAGTGATGACAAGCCAGAATTCATCATACACACAGGTATTCCGTTCAATATACAAACATTTCAAGAAATTAATCATTTGAAACCATTTCAGAGGTATCAACCTTACATTTTTGATCAGTATCGTCAACCCGATGGGCAATGGGATTCATCATCGATCCCAAACCCGCCATCTGTTCCTGTTAGAGGAGTCAAGAGAATGACCCCTAATGAAGTGGCACAATCATATGAAGATTCTTCTTGGGTGAGTGATTCGCGCATCGGAAAAGAATTAGATGTGCAATTTGTACGGAATGTTTATTGCGCGATTAAAAATATCTGCATTTACTAATCTTAATTGTATTTAAATTGTAGTTAGTAACAATTCTTGCGGTACACACGATTAATTCTGTTTTTGCAGATGGGACCTCAAGAATTACCCCAACAAATGGATATTGATGTGCATCAGTGCAATCTACTCATAAGGCAAAACAATATGAATACGAATCCAGCCAATGCTACAAACTTTAGAAACCACATTGCTAATACTGAACATGATGTAAATGTTAATCACGTACAAAGTCCTCTGAGGACAAGTTCAAAATATGCTTTTTCTCCGTAAGTTTTGTGCAATTTTTTTTTTAGTTTTTAGTATGATTGAATCCATTGCAGGTGGTACCATGGTAAAATATCTCGAGATGAAGCTGAAAACCTATTGCGTCCAAGGTCCGATGGCCTGTTCCTAATAAGAGAATCAACCAATTTTCCGGGGGATTATACCCTGTGCGTGTGCTTCCAATCAAAAGTCGAACATTACAGAGTGAAATCAAATAGCGGTAGGTTGACGATCGACGATGAAGAATTTTTCGACAATTTGGAGGAGCTCATAGAGCACTACAAAAACGACGCGGATGGATTGTGTACAAAATTAGTAAAAACCTTGTCCAAAGAAAACGAAGCCTTATATACGAACACCAACAAGACTTGCAATGTTAAGGAAGGAGACGATCTGTTTGTTATACCCGAACAAGAACTGCACGTAAGTAATTTCTACAATAAGGTTTAAAAAAGTATTTATGAATCGTTTCTTTTAGATAAGCGAATCTATAGGAAAAGGCGAATTTTGCGAAGTAATGCTGGGAAAGTGGAAAAACAATAAAGTTGCTGTAAAAGTATTAAAAGATTCGAGCGAAGCTGAAGCAATCTTAATGAAGTGAGTAGCTAATACAAAAAAAAAATCGCCACGTTTCTAACGGTTTACTCCACAGATCTCTGCACCACGAAAACTTAGTCAATTTGTTGGGAATCGTTAGGAAAAAAGACCAGATCTATTTAGTAACCGAGTACATGAGCAAGGGAAGTCTCGTGGACTACTTGCGATCGAGGGGCAGACAGCACGTCACCAAGAAGGATCAAATTAATTTCGCGTTCGACACCAGCTCGGGCATGGAGTATTTGGAGAAGATGCACGTGGTGCACCGGGATTTGGCCGCGAGGAACGTGCTGATAGCCGAAAACGGACGGGCGAAAGTATCGGACTTCGGGCTGGCGAGGAACGAGAAAAACGCCACTTCCGAATCGGCTAAATTGCCTATTAAATGGACCGCTCCTGAAGCGCTCAAGCAAAACGTAATAGCTGTATTCATATATTCGCTACAAGCTTTAACTGAATTGTTTTTTTAGAAATTTTCGAACAAGTCGGACATGTGGAGTTTTGGTATTCTTTTGTGGGAAATTTACTCGTTTGGAAGAGTTCCATATCCGCGAATAGTAAGTAGCGAGCATTTCGAATTGTTGGTTGTTAATTTGGTTTTATTTTAGCCGCTGGCAGATGTTGTTAAGCACGTGGAGAAAGGCTACAAGATGGAGGCTCCCGAAGGATGTCCTTCAGAAGTCTATGAAATCATGAGACAGGTACGATTTTTTTTTGTTAGTGTGTATTCGTAAGATTTGATTGCATTAAATGTTTCAGGCGTGGGATTTGAACCCTGAAAAGAGACCAAATTTTCATGAAGTCAAAGGGAAACTTGGACATTTAAAACAGCAAACCACATTGTGAAAAAAGTTATCAGATATATTTATATTTATACACGTATACAGGATTTTTTACAATGAGCTTTCATTGCATATTTTTTATGGTAATTGTATACATGTTCTGTTTATTGCAGTATAATTTGTTTCGCGTAAATTCATTTAAGCCTCTCTGCAAAAGATCCTCTATATACATCGAGTAGTGTTTGTTAGAGTGGATGTGGTACATATAGTATTTATATATTATATACATATTTGCAAATACTTTTTTTAATGTAATTTATCGTTTTTACTATCATTTAACAATCGCCAATTTTATTAACAAAGTCATTAATTTTCAAAATTATTGAAAAATTAGATTTGTACAAATAACACCTTAATTGTGTTCGAGTTTTTATTTATTGAATTCGTTTATAATCAAGTAGTGGTTTAAAATTTATAACATATAATATAAATAGCATTAAATGGATGTTCTATATATTATAATTCATTTAAGGTGTTTAAAGTCATTTTTTGGACGGTAAATTGTTTATATTAATTAGAGTAGTAAATAGCAAACATTCTGTTATAATTTGAGTTGTGGATACGTAATTTCTTATATATGTATAATAATCTTATATGTAGTCATATACATCTTTCTCTTTATATAGGGTGTTCTGGAATGATGCAAAAATGAAAGCTTTTCTATTATTTTTTCCCGAGTACCCTCTAAGGTTTGCCAGAATTTTTTTTAATTAATTTGACAAGAACAATTAAGAAAAATCGTGACATTTCTAAATTCCATGACGTAGATTTAATATTCTCGTAATTATTTACTACTTAAATATTTTTAATAATCTTGAATATTGGTGAAATTGTCAGTGGTACAGGGGATTGTAAATAAACAAAATTTGCCCAGAACGCTGCGAGTAAATGGTACAATTGTGCAATATTGGAAAAAAGTTTTGTCCTCTGAAATAAAATTTTTCGAAAACAAGCATTTTTATAATTTGTGAACATTTACACGTGGCAATACTGGAGCATTATAATTAAACTAAGTTGTAATTATTTATCAAAAAAATAATAAATTCGCCTAGTATTTTCTTGTGATATTTATGTATCTATTCGACAATCGTTCTTTCGACAAAACGATTGAGTGGTCAAATAAGTAGTATTAATTTTTTTAAACGCCCTGTATACACCAATAATTTAAAATTTCGTAGATGTGACGTAATTGTATATTATACCGTACTTTGTTAATGAAGCATTTTCTCAAAATATATATACCGTACGTGCATAATTTTTTAATGAAATTTTGGCAGTCAGGTTCAGTTATAGGTTTGTTTGCTTGTTTTTTGATTGTTTCGAATGAATTGTATTGTTAAGTTGTATTTAATTATGTATATTTTTTATTTCTATTTTTAAATTCTCTTGGAATTTGAAAAATAAACTTTTTTGTGTTAGCGATGAATTATTTTTATGCAATTAAATTCTCTCTGTTTCCTCACGATGTGTCACACACTGCCAGGAATTTGAATAGAAAATAAAGGCTAATCGTTCAGGTACAAAGTGTATTTCAATGAAGTTCGACTCAGTCAAAATTGCTTTTGAATTTTTTTATTAGTTTTCCATTTTGGTAATTTTTTCAATACTTAGTTTCCAGTTAGATTATTTTTTAACTAGTATTAACGATCAAATCGAAATGGCATGTAAATTTATTGTTCGTGTTTATCCTACGCTAGAAATAAAAAGGGAGAATAAAAAGATGTACTATAAATCCCTAAAATTATAATTACAGCTATTGAAAAACGGAAAACTTAAAAACCAAAGCCCAAATAATTCATACGCAGATTTATGTAAGTCAAATCATTAAATATATGAGAAGTAATAACGAATACAAAATGATGGAACAAATCGTAGTTGTGCTTAATTAAAACAATCAAACACCATCTGTAATTATAGTTGGCTTTCCCCGACGGTTACACATCCTTAAGTTCGGGAGGCACCTCGTTTTTGGGATGTTTATTTTCAAAGTGCTGTTTGTAGGTTTTTGGGTCAGGCATCTGAGCCTAAAAAGAATCATTATTAACCCGTCATTTTGATGTACTATTTAAAAGACTTACTTTGCAAACAGCACAAACGTGCACTAGGGCTTTTTGAGCAGCTTTTTTCTGGTCAGTAGCGCTATGTCCTTGCTGTTTTTTCGCCTTCGCCGCGCGTTCGGCCGCTTTGGCTTGAGATTGGAGTTTCTGCTGTCCTCTTGCCATTTTCTAATACACCAAACAACTGAAATTGAGCGAATTACTTCGAAACTATGTACGAAAATTTACAGTTACTCCAGCAACTATGAAATAACCTATATAGCAATGTGCGTGCTCAATCGCTACCGATTCGGCAATTTCACTTACCTGCTACAAGAATTACAATACAAAATGCTTTTACTGGTTCTGGTTCGAAAATTTGGAATTCAGTTTTTGAATTTTATTTTATTTAACTATGACAGCTGCAACGCAGCGTCAACTTGAAGCATACACCATTCCACTGATTTTCTTTTCCTTTTCCTGATTTCAATTTTCAACAAATCACGAAACACAAAACTATCATCAATCAATTGTCACTTTTCGACTAATTACAGAAACAAATCCCACTGTTGTCACATCACCTACCCTTTTATTGATTCAACAAAATAAACGAATAAAACACAATGAAGCATTAACTACTTGAACTGAATCGAAAAATAAACCGATTACATACAGAAAACAACCTAAATTTTTGCTATTAATACATTATTGATACATTTTTTTTCCTAACCGAAGTCATCTTTGAGTAAGGACCACCAGCAGAGTTAACCGTCATAAATTATTTGTTGACCTTAACCTAAAATATTACAGATTCATTTCAATTTCTAATTTCGCTTCAACATTCACATTCACCTTCAGAAAAATTGCTGGCATAGACAATTTAATCCCAAGCTTGTTGCTCGTTTAAGGTAATGCTCGATTTAATAATTAACAATCGATTCATCTAATTCTTTTTCAGATTATTCTATTCATAACTCGAGCTGCAAAATGGATACCCTGTGCCCAGAGCAAGTTTTGAAATTTCTGGACTTGGTGATAAACCTGAAGCACAGCAGCAGACGAGGCTGGGAGCTGTGCAACGTAAAAAACCACGAGCAAATCGCCAGTCACATGTACACAATGGGTATCATGACGTTCTTGCTTGGAAACAACTCGAAGCTGGACCGATTCAAATGCTTGCAGCTGGCTTTGGTTCACGACTTGGCTGAATGTATTGTCGGAGACATCACACCCCATGATTCCATAACAGAAGAAAAGAAGCACGCAATGGAAGACGAAGCTATGAAGGAGATAACTAGCTACGTGGGATCCGAAGTCGGCCCTTTGATATACAATCTGTACAAAGAATACGAAGCCAAAGAGACCCCAGAGGCGAAGTTCGTTAAGGATTTAGATCGATTCGACATGCTGTTTACAGCGGAGCACTACGAACGAAGAGATGGCACGCCGAAGAAATTACAAGAGTTTTTCGACACCACCAATGGAAAGTTCCAGGATCCATTCATTAAAAAACTTGTATTATCTCTCGAACAAAGAAGATTGTAGAAATGTAAATATTCGTTTATTTTAATTACTGTAGTTTTTTGTTCATTCTAAGAATGTTTTATTTTTTTTTAGGTAATTAAAGTACCTATTTTTTATATGTGTTGACAATTTGTGATCTTTTTGTTTCTGGTCTTTATTTAAATAAACTTTTTGATGAACTAAGCATTTTTATTATACTTGGGCACTGTTTGTTAAACCGAATAACTGTTTCAACGACGTCCACTTATAAAAAAATAAATGATGAATTCTTCTGTCATTTCGTAAGTGTCAAAATACAAGTGTGCAAGTTTTGATTTGTTTATCAAGTAAATACTACAGATGAAATTGATAATTACTAAATATATTAAATGAAAATTACTTGCAAGCATATTCTACTGAATACTAGATACAAGATTTACGTTTAATTCGCGTTCTAACGATACAAATCCTTCCGATTTTAATTTATCAACTGCCTAACCTCCTCTTGGGTTGCCTGTTTTAATGGCTAAAATGTCCAATTTCATGAATGAAAGTGTGTACACGCACACTTTTACACCTAAGGAATATCAAGTGGAACTACTGGATTCTGCTAAGGCGAAAAATACGATCGTTTGTTCGAGCACCAGCTCATCGAAAGCCTTTATTGTTGTGAAATTACTCCAGGAGTACTCCTGGCAGATGCGAGTGCCTTACGGCAAGAAGGCTTTGTTCATCTTGGATCCACAGAATGTACCAATAATGACGTGTCACGTGAAGTACCTCACAGATCTAAGTTGTACGAGCATCGAATGGAACAGCGAAATCGACTACAAAAGAATCGAGCAAGATTTCAAAAAGAACCAAGTGATTATCTCTACGGCAGAAATGTGCGTTGATGTGTTCATGTACGAGAACTTGCTAGCGGACTTTTCGATCTTCAATTTAATAGTAGTGGACGATTGCCTTTACGGACACAGGCAGTCTTTGATTAAGTTAATTATGAACAAATACAAGCATTTATCGAGCGAGAAAAGACCTCGTATTCTTGGGTTAACGACCGGTTTGCTGAGCTCCGAATTGCAACCAGATCGGTTAGAAGCGGAATTGATACGATTAGAAAAATTACTTGATTCACACGTTGACACATCATCAGAAATAGTTACGCTGATCCGGTTATCATGCAGACCACACGAATGTATAATCGAATGCCCCGGCTGGGAAGGCCACGACTTAGAAGAGTATATCAAAACTATCGTAACAGACACGATAGAGTTCCTCCTCGATCACCGGTTCGATCCTAGCGAAATATACGACGACGAATTATTAGAAGAATTTAAGCAAGTTCCTGATCCTAGAGATGTCCCGTTAAAGCTCTTGAACGAGTTTCTCGAAATCCTCGAAGACTTGGGCCCGTGGGGTGCAGACAAGGCAGCTTTACATATACTTTCGAAAATTGAAAAGCTGAAGGTGAAAGTACCCTACGAAAGACACTACTTGCTTCTGTGCATTACATCTACCACTTTAATTAGCGTTAGAGCGGCCTGTGATAATGTTTTCGAATCCTACAGCGACAGCCTCGAAACGCTACATACCTTTTCAAAACCGAAAGTATTAAAGTTTATACAAGTGTTGAAACAATTCAAACCTCCAGGCAGCAAACCCGAGCCCAACACGAACGCAAACACCAAAGAACCAACACCCGAAGAAATTTCAATTACAAAAAACAGAGGCAGGAGTAAACCTTTTAGAAGGCCCTTCGCGTTTCAGAGGCCTCAATCGGATGACAATTTATGCGCTCTTGTATTTGTGCATAGCAGATACAAGGCGAAGGCTCTCTTTACTATATTATGTGTAAGTATAGCTTCATTAATTCACTCGAATATACTACAATATTATCCATATTTTAGACCTTATCCCAAAGCGACGACGATTTGTGGTGGGTGTCCACGTTGTTTTCCGTAGAAAAAGTAGCGGACTCCGTGAGCGAACCGAGAGAAGCGGAGAACGAGCACAAAACACAAGAAGAGGTTCTTAGGAAATTCAGGTGCCATGAGTGCAACATACTCATAACCACGTCTATTCTAGAGCAAGGCTGTGATTTACCGAAATGCAATCTAGTGATTAGGTTCGATTTACCGAAAAGTTTTCACAGTTACATTCAAAGCAAAGCGAGAGCCAGGGCGGCGGACGCTTATTACGTGTTATTCAGCAACCATAGCGAAGTAGAATCGTTCGTGAACGACCTAGCGGAGTACAACGAGGTGGAGAATATTCTGTTGAGGAGGTGCTATAGTTTAGAACCCGATAAAGAGGAGGAAATGGTGGCGGATAAGTACACGGAACTGTGCGTTCCTTACAAACCGCTGGAGGAAAAGGGCGCTCCGAGCATTACGCTGTTGAATTCGATACCGTTGTTGAACAAGTATTGTGCCAAATTGCCCAGCGACACTTTCACTAAACTAACGCCTATTTGGAAGGAGGAAAGAATCGACAGCAGTTTCGTCTGTCACATCCGGTTACCAATCAATTCTCCCGTCAAACAAACTATATCTAGTCCGCCGATGCCAAATTGTTTGTTAGCTAGAAGGGCCGCTGCCTTTATGGTGTGCCAATTGCTTCACAAATCCTCGGAATTGGACGATTACTTGCAGCCGATCAACAAGGAAAACTTCAAGGCTACCGAAGAAGACTGGACTAATTTTTCTTTAGACGACTCGGAGCCCGATGACGAGTACACGGAAATCCGACCCGGTGAGTAAAACGCCACAGTAATCCTGCAATAATACATGTTTTATTAATTCAGGCACTACTAAACGCAGGCAATACTACTACAAAAGGATAGCCGAGGCTTTGTTAGATTGCCATCCAGTGCCTGGAAAACACACGTATTTCTACGAAGTCGTTATGATATTAACATGCCCTTTGCCCGAGGAACAAAACACGAGAGGCAGGAAGATTTACCCGCCCGAAGAATCCGCACAAGGTTTTGGAATTTTAACTTGCAAAGTGATCCCAAAGGTGAGTCAATCTTTAAAATCAATTAAGTAAAGTACAATGAGTGTAAATTTCAGATAAGTGCCTTTCCGATTTTTACGAGATCCGGCGAAGTGAGCGTGGACCTGCAGCTGGTATCGGACGATGTAGTTTTAGACGAAACTCAAATTAAAAAAACCAGGGAGTTTGTAAATTACACGTTCACCAGTGTGTTACGCTTACAGAAGTACCTGATGCTTTTTAACCCGGAAGCTTCGTTAAATAACTACCTAATCGTCCCCACTATAAGGAGTAAGTTTCTACGATTTTTTTATGCTCCGTTTACACTCTTACATTTAATCGTAGGAAACGATCGAATCGAGGTGCACTGGGAATTCATCGACGTGATATTCGACAATTTAATAGTAGCCCCAACGTTTATACCGGACGAGCAACGCACCGACTACGAATTCAACGAGGCCGAATACTCCGACGCCGTGGTGATGCCCTGGTACCGCAACCAGGACCAACCGCAGTACTTCTACGTCGCCGAAATCTGCAAGAACCTGAACCCGATGTCCGCCTTCCCGGGCTCCGAGTACGCCACCTTCGAGGAGTACTACAAGCGCAAGTACGGCATCCAAATCCAGAACATCGGCCAGAACCTGCTCGACGTCGACCACACGTCCGCCCGCCTGAACTTCCTCACGCCGCGCTACGTCAACCGCAAGGGCGTCGCGCTGCCGACGAGCAGCGAGGAGACCAAGCGCGCCAAGCGCGAGAACCTCGAACAGAAACAGATCCTGGTGCCGGAGCTCTGCGCCATCCACCCGTTCCCCGCGTCCCTGTGGAGGAAAGCCGTGGCTCTGCCGTGCATACTCTACAGGATCAACGCGCTGTTGCTGGCCGATCAAATCAGGCGGACCGTCGCTAATTGTTTGAACTTAGGCAGGTCGGATTTACCTAACGATTTCAAATGGCCGTCGCTCAACTTCGGCTGGAGCTTATCCGATGTACTAAAGAAATCCAGAGAAGAAGAACTGAAGAAGCAGCAGCAAGACAAGCTTCCCGACGAACCAATCGATGATAAAACACCTAACGATTCGACTATAAAAGAATGCAAGGACGGCGAGTTACCCGTCGAACCATCGACGGAGGAGGAGGACGAGGAGACCAAGTGGATCGAAATCGGCACGTGGCGCAACGAGATGGCCGACGACGTCGGCGCCGACGGCGGCGGCGGCGGCGTGCGCTACGCCTCGCCGACCAGCTGGATGCCGGCGGAGGCGGCCTTCGACGACTTCTCGGACAGCGAGAGCGACTCGTTCGAGGACGAGTCGGAGTCGGAGTGGGGCGGGCTGCGCATCGAGTTCACCGGCGAGCACCAGGCCGAGGCGCTCGACGACGACGACGACGACGACGACCGGCAGGCGTTCCGCTTGTACGACGACGCGAACGCCTGGAAGATCGAGGAGGAGAACGAGCTGACGGAGGGCCTCAAGAAGGAGTTCCACGAGGCGTGCGACAGGAACAAGCGGAAGATTTACACGAGGGGGATCTTGGTGGGAGCGGCGGGTGATTTCAGGAAGAGTTGCGCGAAAGACGACATGACTGGGTCGGTTAGTACCGTGAGAATCGAAGAGGATGTGAATTTCTCGTTGTTGCACGTGGATTTACAAGTCGAACTTACCAATAAACTTCACTGTGATAATAACGAGTATGTTAACGATTACGACAAATCCGAGGAATTGTCGTTTAGTTTCGATAAACAGCCTAATTTGGCCGAACATCCCGGTCCAAGCCCGAACGTGCTACTCCAAGCTCTAACCATGTCGAACGCCAACGACGGCATCAATTTAGAAAGGCTCGAAACCATCGGCGACTCGTTCCTCAAATACGCCATAACGAACTACCTCTATTCGAAATACGAGAACGTGCACGAGGGCAAGCTGAGCCACCTGCGCTCGAAGCAGGTCAGCAACCTGAACCTCTACCGGCTGGGCAAGCGCAAGTCGCTCGGCGAGTTCATGATCGCCACCAAGTTCGACCCGCACGACAACTGGCTGCCGCCGTGCTTCTACGTGCCCAAGCAGCTCGAGGAGGCGCTCATCGACGCCCAGTTCCCGGCCAACTGCTGGTCGGCGGCCGACATGGCGGCCGCCAGGAGCATGACGCTCGACGACATCTGCGACATGGTGAGGGAGCGCGGCGAGGAGCACGGCTGCGCGCTCGGGCTGAACGTCGCCGCCGCCGCCGCCGTGCCTTATAACTTGGTCACGCAGCACAGCATCCCCGACAAGAGCATCGCCGATTGCGTGGAGGCCGTCATCGGGGCGTACTTGATCGAGTGCGGCCCGCGCGGGGCGCTGCTCTTCATGGCTTGGCTGGGCATACGAGTTTTGCCCAAACTCTCCGACAGCACTTACGGTGAAATCCAATTACCCAGATCTCCTTTATTAAGGCATATTCCGGATCCCGAAGGGGAGCTGGCTCGGTTGCTGGATGGTTACGACGCGTTCGAGAAGAACATCGGTTACAAGTTCAGGGATCGTTCGTATTTACTGCAAGCTATGACGCACGCTTCCTATTATCCCAACCATCTAACCGACTGTTATCAACGTTTGGAGTTTCTCGGCGACGCTGTTCTCGATTATTTGATAACGAGGCATCTGTACGAAGATCCCAGAATGCATTCCCCGGGCGCCTTAACCGATTTGAGATCCGCGCTGGTCAACAACACGATATTCGCATCGTTAGCTGTAAGAAATGGGTTTCATAAATACTTCAGGCACTTATCACCGGGGTTGAACGAGGTAAGTTCCACGTACATATACAGGATGTATCGCAAACTATTAATTCATTTGTAGGTAGTGGAACGGTTCATTAGGTTGCAAGAAGAGAGCGGACATTCGCTGGTCGACGAGCTGTACTTGGTGGTGGAAACCGAATGCGAAGAGGTGGAGGACGTGGAAGTGCCCAAGGCGCTAGGGGACGTGTTCGAATCGGTGGCGGGGGCGGTGTTCCTCGATTCCGGGATGTCGTTGGACGCCGTGTGGAAGGTGTATTACAGGATGATGAAGATCGAGATCGAGCAGTTCAGCAACAAGGTGCCGAAGTCGCCCATAAGGGAGCTGCTCGAGCTGGAGCCGGAGACCGCGAAGTTCGGCAAGCCCGAGAAGCTGGCCGACGGGAGGAGGGTGAGAGTTACCGTGGAGGTGTTCGGAAAGGGGCTGTTCAAGGGTATAGGTCGCAACTATCGCATCGCCAAGTGCACTGCGGCTAAATGCGCCCTGAAGCACCTCAAAAGGAGAGGTTTGTTGAAGAAAACGAACGAACCCTAAAATCGAGCGTTTTTGATTGTTGTTGAAAACTATTTATGTTATACATATTTATTTAAGTATTTAATTGGAAGTATTTTTTGCAATACATTGTGTCTGTGATTGTAATTTTTATTAAATTCGTTTTTCGAACAACATGATGCCTCACCTTAGATATTTGTTCATCTCATTAAACTTATTTCGTAACAGTTTATCGATCCGAATCGAGTCACTTAGACTCGAATTCTGATTATTAGCATATGCATGTTGCATTTTAGTTCTCGGATGTGTTAATGTTGTTAATTAAATTTTCATGCGTTCACATAATAAGGAAACACCTCGTACAAGCTGGTAATTGGTATTCGAGATTTATTGTTCCTAACACAAATTATTCTTCATTAACTTTTTTCTCGAGATATTTGAACTATTGCATTAAGTATATAGAAAATTGTCCGGTGATATTTTCGCTAATCGACGTCCATGTTTTTATTGTGGTATCTTATACCATTTATATCACAACTTTGTACTTTATACTTTGTATTTGTTGGAATTATATAAATGTAAATGATTAAACGTAAAAACGATAAATAAAATGATGTTATTTGCTCAATTATTCCTTTTTTTGCAAATAAAATGAAAAATACACTAATATGTTAATAACGAATAGTAGTACTATAATCTACGCATAAAATATTCCCTAACAAACGCCTAATTTTCTATTATTAGCCCGTAAAAAAAATTAAAATGACCCATATACAGGAATTTTCCAAATTGATCGCACAGATTGTAAATGGCAGGGGGAATTTATCACGCAACAAATTTAAGACACGATTCAGCGAAATGTGCAGTCTAAACGGAACGAAACGCGAAGCAACCCCTAGTGTGCCGGTGACCTTTAGCCGATCTACGGAGTATCCTCGCGACGTCCGCGTCGTTTTTTTCAACGCCGACAAAATGCTTAACCGGATTATTTGTCTGACGATCGCGTGCCATTGCTGCCTCGCCAAGGATATCAAAATCCAAGTCGACATCCCCGGCCAGGGGAGGATCCGCGGCGTGGAGGTCTCCAAGCTCCGCATACAGAAAATAATCGCCTACTACGGCATCCCGTACGCCCAACCTCCGGTGGGCAATTTGAGATTCGCCCCGCCGCTCACGGACCCCCTGCCTTCGTGGGACGGCGTCAAGAACGACACCGCTTACCCGCCGTCCTGCCTGCAGAACCAGGACGACTACAAGGACGCCGAGAAGCCCTTCCTGCAGCTGATATCGAAGTTGAACTTCACCCTCGACGAGAACTGCTTGTACCTCAACGTCTTCGTCCCCTACGGTGAGTACATTTTTTTTTTTCCCAATCAAATCCTCGATATTGTCTCCGAGAAAGCCGAATATCGGATCGAGAAGCGAGCGTAGCGTGTCCCCGGCTCATTACCATTATGCAGATTCGAGCATGAACGCGAAGTCCGCCGGGCGTCGCGTCACGACATAAACCCATAACACATCTTTTCCCTCGAAATAAATCAATTCCATTCGCGAACGTGCACAACCCACGATCGAGCGCCTGTTTCAGGTGACGAGCCGAAGCAAGGTTACGCCACCGTGATATGGTTCCACCCCGGCAACTTCGCCACCGGCACGCCCGCCATGTGGAACCCCCACACGCTGGTGTACCGCCAGCGAATCGTCATGGTCACCGTCGCCTGGCGGCTGAACATCATGGGGTTCTTCACCACCGGCGACGGCGAAGCGTCCGGCAACTACGGGCTGATGGACCAGCAGGCGGCCATGCAGTGGGTGAAGAAGAACATCAAACTCTTCGGCGGCAACCCCGACAATATTTGCCTCATGGGCTACGGAGCCGGAGCGGTGAGCGCCGGATTGCATCTCATCAACCCACAATCGAAAGGACTCTTCAATAAAGTAATAGCAATGAGTGGTAGGTATATTCAATAATAATGCACGCGAACGGTGTTTTGTAACGAATCGATTCCAGGTGATGTGTTGTCTTCGGCGAGTATAAAAAAACCCGAAGAGGACAAAGATCTACTGGACAGGTTGGCGGGCAGCTTCGGCTGCGACAGGAAGCCCACCTCGCAGCTGATACAGTGCCTGCGAAACGCGGACGCCGAGGCGCTGGTGCAACAGGCGGCCAACACCAATTGGCGGCCGGTGATCGACGCCAAGCTGACCAACGGCACCACGCCGGCGTTCCTCTCCGACCGGCCGGCGGCCGCCTTCGAGGCCTCCGACTTCGAGAAGGTGCCGCTGCTGGCGGGCTACACGCGCATGGAGCACGTGCTCGAGTACGAGGCCTTCAACGGCATCAACGGCACGTCGAACGAGCACCTGCAGGCGGTGCTGTCGGGCCTCATCAGCGGCGACATACCGGCGGTGAACAACAGCGAGTCCTCGTGCGAGTACAACCACGACCACATCGTCGACGCCGTGATGTTCTTCTACGGCGCCTCGCCGCCCGCCAAGGACGTCGACGCGTTCCGCGCCGTGCTGGTGAACTTCGTGACGGAGCGCAACGTGGCGGCGTCGGTGTACCAGCTGGCGTCGTACATGAGCAGGGAGCGGCCGGCGTTCGTGTACCGGTTCGATATGAAGCCGACGACGGCCGCCGCCGTCGAGCATCTGCCCGATTGGGTGTCGGTGCCGCACCTGTTCGATCTGCTGTACGTGTGGGGCGTGCCCTATTGGGCGACGGACTACGATTGGGACATACGGGACAAGAGGATATCCGATACCATCATGTCGTTTTGGACGCATTTCGCGAAGTCCTCCGATCCGACGGCTAACAGCATTTATCCGGTGGTTTGGGACAAATTCGCTGAGGACAATCCGGGGATACTGATCATCGATGGGAACTTCAACATGAGCAATTCGAAGAGCGTGAACTACAAGGCTTTCGAGTTTTGGAATAAGTATTATCCTAAAGTCAGGGACGTCGCGACGCAGTGCTGCGAGGTCAGGGACGGCGCGTCGGGGGTTTACGCCGGTGGGATTTATTTACGCCTGGTGCTTTTGTGTTGTATTTTCTTCATGTTCTGAATGAGATTTTTTTGATTTATATAGCGGGTTAAAATTCGATGCAAATTTTTAATATTAGGAAAAATTAACTACAAATTAAAACACGTAATATTCACTTCGTAAATAATTGTTTTAACCTGTTATATCTATACTGTACTTACTTGAAACTGTATATCTTCCTGGAATTGCCTTCCTTTTTACTACACCACTGTTTATACTATACTTGGTTATTTTTGAATAAATACCTATTTAAAAATATTTGTGTTTTTTTTTATGTAGAGGTTTCATTGCAAATATTTTAACACGTTTAATAAATTTTGAACAAAAAATGGTAAAAACTTTGATGATAAAATGAATAAAGTCGCCATTTTATTGATCAGAAACTCCTTTTCTGTGTTATAGTAAAGTTTGTTGTTTCCTAAATAATCTTGCTTAGATAAATAAATAAAAATTGTGAGATAATTTTCATTCGTCTAGAATAAATTTAATGTTACTATACAATTAAACAACAATCGAGTCGACAAATAAATGCACCATTTGTAATAACTTTTTACTACACATTTGTTTAAAATTGAATACATTTTTAACTTACAATTATTATTTGTTTTAAATGGAAGACTCAGTTTTAGTACAGCGTAGTTAAATTTACGAAATTAATAAATAATAGCGCATTTTTTTCTACAAAGGTAGGTGTTTAATTTTAGTACCGGGTGACTGGGAATGATTGCAACGATATATCGAAATATATATTTTAACCCACGCCTATGCCAAACTTACTAATTTCTAAATAATTAATAAGTAAAATCTGTCAAAATGACATTTTTTTGACATTTTAAAACGTCAAAAATAATTATCAAGTTCTACCAACATAAATTGTCAAAATTCCTACAAAAGCGTATAAACCTTTTCCAGTCATTCGATATAAATATAATAATGTTAATATATAATACGCTATAAACTAGAATTGTGTAATTAATGTACTAACTTACAAATGTAACAGTCTAACATTTTTTAACCTAAACGATACAAAATTACCCCGTGCAACTGTACAAAAATAACTCGAATCTAAATTCTGTTCGTATTCTTAATTGAACTAAAACTGAATAGAACTAATCGCTATTTTTACCAATTCTAATATACAAGTTGTGGATTATATGCATGCCTATCTCTATATTGTGTAATTAACACGCAAATTGTACCAAATCCGTTGGATAAAAAAAAACGAGACTGAAAAGCCGTTTTGTTTATGCACTAGTGAGTAAAGTAGATCACTTTACGTTATGGCATATTGGAATTGGTTTAATCTGTATGTCGGAGAAATTTCGTTAGAATTACAAATACTTGTTTATAAAAATGAAAAATAATAGATTATAAATAAATGGTGCTCGACAGACTTACATTTACATACGTACATTTTTATTTACAATACATGAATATACTATTCTATGTAACCTGTATATCAGTATTCACAGTTTTATTAAGTTTTATTTGTATTGTCTTAAAATTACATTTTTACGAATCGATGTTTAAGAGATAGAGAATATATTGGTAAAAATTTAATTTGACAAGGAAAAGCAATTTTATGTAGATTTTTCTTATCCTATAATATTGATATACCGTCATGAGAAACACAATTTTATAAACTTTTTGAATGGAAATAGGAAACATTTGGAACCATTCCATTTTCCATCAAAAGCTTCTCAACGTCCAGTTTTGAACCACTTTGTCAAAAAAAAAAACGTTTTACATATTTATTATTAATTTTATTAAGTACTTGCGGACAAAGATGATCCACCACAGGACGTTCTACATTAATTCACATTAAATAGTATTTTATTACGCTTTTGTATATAAGTAGGATATGCTTTTATATAAATTCAAGTTTTCACAAATATTATAGTTGTTACGCTAACGTGAAACGGATTTGCTGATGTTATTTTCATCGCGCATTTACACCTATCCCTAAAATTAATTGGAAAAATTCGCAAAGATAACCCGAACGGAGTTGTACTGGCCTAATTTAAAGTACAACCAGCGCAGGAGTTTGGAGCAACATTTAAAGTTTCGACATGGAAGGAAAGTATTCACGATAGCGAAAACTATTTGTCCGTTACGTGCGAGTATTTTTTATAATATCAAAGATGAATTTAACATTTTTCATTCAGTCTATTCGTGTTCATTACAGTACCAGAAAAAATTCCACTTAATAACGCCACCTTATACGACATGCAAGTTCACGAGTTTTTAAACATTCGGTTGACAAATTTCATACCGGGTGTCTCAGTAAGAGGTATTCTCCTGCGTCATACTATTGGGACACCCTGTATGCAACACAAATTATTGTCTGGTCGAACCAATGGTTGAATATTTGCTGTTGATATGTGAAATAATGAGAATTTCGATGGTCAGAAGGAAAGTTAAATTTAGATATGTAGGTAAGTGGATAAATTTGTTAGTATTCTTTTCAAAAATATATGTATGTCATCATTTCTAAAAAATCATTGATTATGAAATATTCGATATGTACAAAACACCCAAAATTTATTACTATTCTTATAAATTATATTTAAAATTTAACTAGTTCCATAATTTATCATCGTAAAAACATTACCTACTTTTTAACTATCCGCAAATAAAGTAACGTTTACATTTCTTCTAAACGTACGGAAATCATCAGAGATACATACATAATGCCAACATGGTTTTATCTTATCGTTTTCTATCGCTAATTTCGTACAAATTTAATCACGATATCAAAGCAACAAGGCAATTTATAAAACCTAATAATGATACGATAAAACTTAAATGCAGTACCGACGATCCTCCGCAGAGATGTATCTCTATTTCCTGCAAACACAACCAACATGTACCCACGAAATCCCTGTTCACCAAACAAAGCTTACCTCAGGATGGTAGTTGATGCACTTCGGAGGTCTCCTCCTATACAAGCTATTTTTCGGCTTGTGCAAGCACCCCCCGTTCTTCGAATCGTAATTCACCTCCTGCGGGATGATGCTCAACTGCTTACTGCCGCACGAGCACACCGTATCAACCACCAGCAGAATCAGATTACTGTGCGGTATCTTCTGCACGCTGAACGGCCTGAAAACCACCAACAACTCAACAACGCCCTCTAATATTAGCTACAAACACCGACCTCTCGCAGCCGCTGCTGTGGCAATTAGTCAGTTTCCCTTTCAGGGGATTCCCCTGGCCGCTGGTGTTCAGTTTATCGGGCTGCAGGACGTACAAGTCCACCTTGCGGTCGCACCGCCTCACGCCGAACTGGCCCAAATCCACGCCTTCCATCGGATCCGACTCGTAAGGCGGAATGAAAGACGGGGAATATGTGTTAGAAGTGCCCAAAACTGAATCGGTATCGTCTATAATATCATCGCTTGTCGGGTACTGTTCTACGTCGTAATCGGAATAAACGTCCAGTAAATCGTCTGTAAGAGAAGGTGTTTCAAGTGTGTTTTAGTTTTTAATGAAGCTGTAGTAATTACCGTCTTCTCTGTTGTAAGCTAGAGCTGTTCCGTAGGCTTGGCTCAATTTGTTTAACAACAAGATAGCGCCTTTGAAGAAGAAGTTAATCAAGCTTGTAGCGGGATTGAAGAGCTGAAAAATAGTGTTGTAGTGGATATATGAAGTGGGTGTATCGAAGGGTACTAACTGATATTTTATTGGAGCCGCCGCTGAAGTGGAACTTGCTGTTCGAGCAGGACCCCTGGTAATCGTACACCGGCACTTTGACGAAGATCCGGTCTTGCACCAGCGAATCCATGATGGTGCCGTCGACTTGGCCGAAGAACCGGCCGGTGTCTTCGTTGTTCTCCGATATGATGATGAAGCCGTTGTTGTCGAGGATGTAGCAGTCGAGCTTGTCGCTGGCGCAGGTCTTCTTGCACACGGTCGATCCGGTGCACTGCGAAACAAGACAATCGCGCTCTCACGCTCCCGTTTTCGAACCTCCCTAATGGAGCAAGCGAGCAAGCAAGCAGGCAAGCAAGCGAAGCCCGTCGTTCGTTTACCTTTGAAGTAATGTTGTTGAAGAAGTGCGCCGCTAGAATGGAGTGCTGGTACTGGAGGCCGACGACGGCGGCGGGCGTCCTGTGGCCCTTGTCCTCGACGAAGATGGCGTGCGTGGCCGTTATCAAAGGCTTCCCGTAGGAGCCGACGTCGAAGGGCACCGAAAACACGAAGCTGTCCGGCTCGATGGCGTGCTGGTCCACCGCCCTTTTGTACCAAGTCTCGTCCATTGCTCGCACGTTACTTTCGCTGAAGTGCCTTCGGAAAAATCACAAACGAGGTGTTGGAATTGCGGATCATTCCGCAATCATTCCTACTTCTTTCGTTGTTTGCGCCATGCGCTCGTTAAGGGAACCAAAGAAGTAGGATCGTCGAAGGGATGGTTTGTTGGTTGCCGCTAGATTAAATGGGGGTTTGTTTGGTGAACTTACGGTTCGTTGGATTTGGTGTCCGTCAAATTGGTCCAACGCAAGAGACCGCTGCGAGTCGCGACGAAGGACAGCGTCGATCCGAATATCTGAAATCCTTGGCTGCAAAAATGTTCTCCCGTTAATTCCTGATGCGAGGCCGGGTTTTTTTGGGGGAGGACGGGCGAGTTTTCATGTGCAATTTAAAGGAGTTTCCACTGATCAAAAACAGACGATTTATGGCGTAGCAGGGCAATTAGAGTTCGCTAGAGAATCCTATTAAAGGCGGGTAATAATAAATTGAATGGATGCGTTGTTAAATAGGGTTATTTAGTTATTTAATGTTTAGTATTCTTGGGGTTAAAAACGTTTATATTTATGATCTTTATCGGTCTGTTTTTGTATGGGTTTATTAATAATACAATTCGTTTATACTTTATACTTACAATCCCAGGCGAGCTAAATGTTCATTAAACATTCATGTAAACAATAGCGCAGGATAACCGATACAAATTACAGTCCTTTTTAATAACCATTAAGGTCAGTAAAATATCCTGTCTAATCAGTGATCCTGCTTGTTCGAAACGATCATTTCAATGTGTATTTGTTTATTTCGACTCGTATACCGCGTTTTAGGCAAAACAACATTCTAATTCTTTCTATATTATAGACTTTTCTCAAGTAAAAAAGTTTTACCTTGTACCATACCATTGTACCATAAGGTTGCCAATAGGACTAATGTGCAAAGAATGAATTAGTTAAACATATTTAGTGCGAGAAAATCAAATAAACGAAACATGCCACGAATATGCCACTCGATAAAATATGTACTTACTGTTTATCTGCCCGTACAGGGAGCTTTTCCAAACCTTCCGTAACGATAGCGTCTAAAACTAGAGATTGCAGTAATGTTTTGTCGCCTGAAATCACACCAACAATACGTCATTTTTCTGTTATAATTACATGTTTTATTCTTACAATAATAAGCCTCTTTGTCTTGTTTAGTCGACATGTGGTGGTGTTCTCTTTGTAAAGGCGATCTGGGCCTTAGAGACATCCATTTCCATGCGGGTCTGCGACTCCTTTTCAGGAAATGCAGAACCCTTTCTTCAGCGGTTTTGAACCACTGTTCTCCCGATGTTCCGCTGGTATATTCGCAATACACCCTTGAATAATCGATTGTTAATTAAATACCAATTGCTGCAATCGAAATATCACTTACCAATCGGGGTGAACCCGCCAGTTATTCCCTTTGAAATAATCGCTGACTGCGTTAGAAAAAAACAATAAATTTAAATGTAATTATTGTTAACAGTAAAGTGTTATCTTGTACCATTTTTTTGGCTGTGCTTTATTTCCTGTTCAGCTTGGTATTCGTACATTCCGTACCCTTCGGGAATGGCGAGACCCAGCGAAAAGGGCGTACCCTCTATGGGGTTGTAAAAATATTTATTTCGTCTGGTAGTAACCCGTCTCTGCGGAGAAAAAAAAATCGCATTAACGCGGATATTAGACTCGGATTTCGATCGCATTTACCATGTTATCGTAGTGGACTTTCACGGTGATTTCGGTCTCGCCTTTCATTTGATCGATCATATCGTGTCTCAACTGCAAGAAAACCGAATCGTAATTAAAGGTTTCTTTTAGCGGGAGATTCGAACTCACGTCGAGCAAAAGGGTGTTGTTTTCCCTCGGACCGCTTTCGTTATCGACCAATTCAACCTCCGTTAGATCCACGGACACGTATTTCGGTTCTAGCGTGTCCTCATACAGGTCGTTACCTTCCTGCAAGCACAATGCTTTTTTTACCGAACAATTCGATTGTAATAAATTAACCGCTTACCAAAGGCCTCAAATCGGGATGATACAACACGTGTCCGTTGTTATTAACGATAAACGAATAACCGTTTACGCCCAACTGGAAGACAATTAGACGGGTAATTGCGAGTGTAGGAAATTTTAAAGTTTACTCACTTTGTATGAAGGAACTAATTTTTTGATTTCGTCTATAGAAACGTCTGTACCTACGACTCCTAACACATTCGCTACACGGACCTGGAAAAGCATATACCTCATCGAATGTAGCTTGGCAATTGTATTAATTAATGGTATATTTTCTCTCTGATACGCGGGGTTTATATTTAATGTTATTTTTATGAATTCATGAAGAGTGAATGTGGTATATAAATAATTAAGCTACTTACAGAATGGTTCCTTCGGTCGAACACAGGAGTGGAGACAGTGGTCATTATTTGCCCGCGTTTGTCGTCCGAAAAACTATCCGCCTGCGAATAAAAAAAAAAGCGTCCGCAAATTATCCGAATAATTAGAAGCGCAATTAAAACCCACCCTTCCACCGACGTAGGCGGGGGTCCAGTATATCGGATGGTCGTTTTGGTACATGACCATCGGCCTGGCCATTACCTCGACGTAATGCAAAACTTGTTCTTTTATATCCTCGTAGCGTTCTATTCTGGCGTAATATCCTAAACAGAAGGGTCGTTTGGGCGCGTAAAAAACGGCGCTTTAATTAAGAAATGAATTTGTACCTTTATGAGCGCAGGCCATCCAGTGCATTTGGGTGGCGCTGCTCGAGTCCCTGCCAATCAGGTAAGTGAACATCCGCACCGGGCTGTGCGGGAAATTGTACATTTTGAAAATCTCTTTGTACATCGAAGGAGGGCCGTCCGTTATCAGCATGATGGCCTGGTTGCACTGGCAACCCTGCCCGGATCTGTTATACTGGAAATTGATACTCTTTTTATATTCACACCGTCGATTTGCAGTATTGGTTTTACGCACCTTCTGCAAGATCTCGAATGCCGTCACCAAAGCGGACGTGAAATTCGCTATGTTCTCGGGTTTCAACGAACCCAGCGAGTCCTTCAAGTACTTCAAATTTTCGTTATTCGCCTTGAAACAGCAAACAAAATCAACTCCCGAATTCGCGATCGATTCGCGTTGTTCTCCCTACCTGCACGAGTTGATCCTTGAAGCAGCCCACCGTCTCCTGCGTGGAATCGGAAAACGTGTAGATATTCACGAAGTCGTTGTCCGACAGCGTATCCAGCACCGCCTCGGCCGTGGCCTTGGCCAGATTCACCCGATGGCCCGTCATCGACCCCGAATTATCCACCAATATCACGATGTCCTTCGGAGACGTGGCCGCGTTCACGTACCAAGCCGAAGAGCGGAAATCGTACACGTTTCTATTCGCCCTCGGCCGTTGCCAGACGGTTGAAATCGTATCATCCGGCGGCCAGGCGATTCCTACCACCGCAAAACACCGTTAAAAACCGAGGATACCAATCCCGCGAACGCCAGTCACTTACCTGGATACCTCCTCAAGAAGCCGTTGGAGCTGCCGAAGAACTGCCAGGACAACGACGGGTCGCCTTCGTAGTTGTTGATGAACAGCGGATCGAGGTTCTCCGACCACTGGATGGCGTTCATAACGTCCGGATCTGCGAAAGAACTCGTTGCTGGGAGGGCGAATGAGATTGGGTGTGGGCGCTTACCGTTTTCGTCGACGTTGTTGGGCATGAGGATGGTGCTCAGGGTGGTGTTGACCGGCAAGTGGTCGAAGTGCGGATTGGGCGTCAGCACCATTTCTCTGGTGCCGTCGGCCGGTCTGCCGTCGTCGCCGAAAGCGTTCAATCTCTTGGCGTTGTAGAACCTGAAGGGCTGCCCGTTGTCCGAGCGCGGGGTGAGGGCCGCTTGCTCGGCCGAATCCATTATCCTCTGTGTAATGCAAATAGCGCGTTTCGACACCCTTGTGATTTGTTTTATTAAATTTTAATTACCATCACCGCGCTCATTTTGAAGTCCATCATGTTCTTCACCTCCATCGCCATGTCTTTGATCAGGATGAGACCGTCCTTGCGGACGACGTCCATCGTCACGTCGTGGTATTTCTGAAAAAAATTGATTATTTTTTCACCGATTGATGGGAGATAATTAACGCGACTCACGTCTCGCAGCTCGTTCCTCCGTGTCACCAGCTTTCCGTACTCCCACAAGTCCACTCCGAATTTCAGCGCCCAATTTTTCACCCTGGAATTCAGAGACTCGACTAAAATCATATACTAAGTGCAGTTTGTTGCAGCTAGGGCGTGAGAAAAACTGCACCCTTCCGTAGCGTAAATTAATAATCTCGAGTAATTACATCAGCTGATGCGAAGAGTGCTGGTACAATGAAACGAGGAAGAGGTAACGTTCGATCCTAATCTCAAGGAGAATTTTTCGATTGTATTTTTTCCTGCGTGTAAAAAATCCGAACACAATCGTTTTTTTTTTCTTTTTATTTGAGAATATTACGATCCTCCGCGTATGCTTACGTAAACAAAAGGAATAGGTGTTTAATTGTTTGTTATTGTGTATGCAAATTTTGTTTCTTTTTGCTTGCCACACGTTCGTTCTAATTTTGCGTTTAATTGGAACTTTCGTTTTTTAATAGCGACACCACGCGAAAATGTTGCCGGTTTATTGAAAAATTTCATATCGCGACGTCTAATTGTATAATTGGATGAAAATTTCTTAGCGATTTTCAAGCACACGGGGGTAATGGAATTAGGAGTCGTGCCGGAGGTCGATAACGTTCACATTGTAAATTTGATTTAATGGCTACACTAGTTGCAATAGGTGCATTCCGAATTTCTTATTATAAGATTCGAAAGAAACTCTTCGATGTTGAATTAATTGTGCCGCATAGCGTTTAAGAAATAGCACCTATAAAGACGGGTAGGTGAGGTGAGTGCATAACATCTAAGCATCTATTCTAGTTGCGGAAGATGGATAACTAAAACTTACTCGTTGTGCGGTATGTCTTCGTCCTGTTCCGGGTAAACTCTCATGATTTGCGTGAGAAACAACAGGAGAAGAAACAATGTTTTTTTATAAGGATACGAATTGGGCATTACATTATAATTTCCACGCAACATGTTCACTCTAACACTAGCCACCTACTAGGTCAAACTGTTGACTAGTAAATAGTCCTGCATTTTCTTGGTGGCGCCCAAAAGGCCATATCAGGAGTGCACGAATCAATCGGACGTACGCCGACGTTTTTACATATCGAATATCAAATTACTCGCCGAGGTTTTTCAGTCGAATTTCGACCCGGTTGGAGTTTCGACTATTGGGCCGTATAGTCGTAGTACACACCCGAGTCTCGATTCGGCCTATGCTATTTTGGATTCGTTTAGAATTTTCCGCCGTATCGCGCAAACGTCGCTATCTAATCGATATTGAAAAATACAATTCTATACAGGGAGTTCCTTCCTACCCACACCGGCCCAATTTCCCTATTTAAACATGCCGGTTATTAGGTAGGTGAAAATTCTCGAATTTATTACCCCGTGGAAAAGGTGCTGCATGAAATTATAAACTCTTTATTTAATTATATGATTTAATGCGGTCGATTTTATCGTATATCCACACCGGCGGGGGGTTTCTTTTAATAGGTATTTCTGAATTTTGTTAATTAATAACAGAAAGGAGTACCTAATAAATTGTTAGTTTTTTTTTTATAAAATTTATCAATAAATCCAAATTTATACAATGACTTTCTTTGTATAATTACGCAATAATCAAACATATTGAATATTAGGCAGGTACTTTCGAATTGATGAATTATTTACTCAAAAGAAAATTTAATTATAAACATTTTTTTAAATACAGCTAGTTAATTCCTATGGCGACCCAATTTTCCTAGTTAAACTGAATTCACAAATTGCAGTATTAAACAAGATTATAGTCCTCTTAAAATTTCTACGAGTTTGTTATAAAGTGCTTAATACTTAATAAATTTTCTTATAGTACTCATTTTCGTTCGAATTTCTTCTAGCATAAACGTACCAATTTCTGTTACGAATATATCAATATAAAGTGGTATTTATTCGGTTTCGGTGAAAACTGCTAACAGGAAGCAAAATGTTTGTATAGAAAGCGCATACCCACCGACTATAGCTAATACTATGGTACTGAAATTCACGAGATACCGCTAACAATCGGCAAGTACTGTTTTAACTGTTGTGGTGAAGCGTAAACAGTTCGTATTCGTATCCGCAGTTCAGTTGCTGGCAGTACCACGGCCGAAGCGCGCGGTGAAAGTACTACCTGCGTGTGCGGAGTACTACCTGTCGAGTGTGAAGATTACGATGATAGTTTTGGTATAGGCCGTACGATTTATTGTAGTGAAACGAAACGGATTAGGTGCCATCGTCCAAGGAATTTCGCTCCGCTAAGGGAATTTGTTGAGGTGAGAAATTTTTACGAGTTCCGATAGAAAGTTTCGGGAATAATGAATGAATGAATGAACTCCAATCGTGCACAGATCGCAATCGTTAATGAGAATTGCGGATGCATTCCGATCGGAATTCTTCGAGCTTGTTTAAGCTGACAACAACCCGTTTCTTTCCCGAATTCTTCTAGCATCCAGCACCGATATAACTTTCGGGATAAGAAATCAATAACACCGTTTTATAGTCAAGGGCGAAACATAATTTTTCGGGCCGCCCGCTAGTTTAATTAGAAACGAAACCCGCAAATCCGAAATCGATTTGAATAATGTAGGTTGTGTTAAATTTAATTCCGAGATAATGCGACGACCGTTAAGGAATACAAATACGAATAAAAAGTGAAAATGAAACTTTTGCTCAAGGCTCAATATCCGATCGCTCCGGAGAAAGAATACCTTTAAACAGTCATCCGCGTATGTGACCGTGCGTGCATTTCGGTAACTTTCATTATTTTAACCGGAAAGAACACACCTAAGCGTGAAAGTGATTCTAATCAAGGCGAAGATGCTCTCTTACATCTCGATAAAATCCATCGAGAAATTTTTAATTAAAACAGATATACCTACACGAGATCCATTCACAACTTATTTTTACAACAACCGATAAAACAAATAGTAAAAAAAAAACGCTATAAATATTTTTAATTTTTATGTTTATTTAACGATTTTATTTTAAAGAAAATCAGCAAACCGAAAGATTTCTCTAATTAATCGATACTATTTCAGTCTAATGAAAGTCTCCAAACAACTTTTCCCTCGCCAATTACAATCCAACAATCGCTTATAAGGATCGGCAGGAATTACATTTTCAAGTTAATCGTAATTATTCGCAGAATATGCATTTTCGAAAGCGCGCACGGTACTGATATGGGAAATAGCGGCAGCCAAAATACGGCGATCGAACTAAACCACCAAGAGGAAGAAAAATGGGCGCACTCGTTCCCGAGACCGTCGAACTCCCAGCCGAAATACCACTTCCAGCACAAGGTGCTGCCGGAGAAGACGCCCCAGCTGAAGCTCCGGTCCACTAACAACGGCGAAATCCTGCAATCGGGCGGCACCATCAGCGGCAGGCAAATCAGATCGATCGAAGACAAAACGGTAAACAACCGAAACCTTAGATTTTAAACGAATAAACGGTCGGGTTCTTTTTTATCAGAAACAGTACGAGGAGAATTTCCGGAAATCCGCCGTCCAAGGGGTCCAGCACAAGCTCGGCAACAGCAAGCATTCTAGTCAAGACGTAAGTAAACCAGACTCGATCTGATTGCATTTACAAACCGGAATTTTCAGAGGAAATTATTCGCGTCCGAGCCAGATTTAAGATACGCTTTGAAAAATGACGAAAAGAGATCCAAGAAGAAGTACAGGGCGCCTTCTCCACCGAAAATCAGAAACAAGGTACACAAAACACCACTATAATTAGAGTTATTTTAATTTCGTTATGACTATAGGAGGATAGTAGGGTACAAAACGAGGAAGGCGACATGAACCCAAGGCTGCCCATCAGAAAAGCCCGCCTGTTCAAAACCAGAGCAGAAACTAAAAAACAACCAAATCCTAGTCACCTCCACAGCACCGCCGAAGACGATCCAAGCTACGCACCGCCGGCGAAACCCAACATAAAGCGCCTGTCGCTGCCCGACGTGAAACCGGTGGACTTCAACGAGTTCACGAAGGAGCTGAAGGACGTCACGCAGCGCTTCAAGAACAACGCCTCCAGCAAGCCCATCCGGCAGGTGGTGGGCGCGCGCGGCGAGGCCTCCGGCAAAGAGTCCACCACGCCGGAGGCGTCGCCGGACCTGCGCCAGAAGCGCCGGCCCGCGCCCGACGGGCCCGCCAAGCCCAAGCAGGCGTTCTACTTCGGCATGAACGGCGACGCGGTCGGCAACTCGTCGGGCTCGGACCTATCGAGCGACATCGATTCGGACGAGAACGACGCGTGCAAGGGGAAAATCGACCTGCAGCTGCGGCCGATCTTGCCCAAGAAGCAGCTGGAGATTCCGAGGTTCTCGCCGGCGGCCGCCTGGAGGCTTCTGTCGCTGGACGCCAACGATGATGATAAAACCGCGCCCGGCGATGATACCAAACCGGACTTGGCGATACCCGAACTTGTAGCGGGTTTTGGCGATACTACGATCGCAGATGATGTGCCGTTGTTCATGGAGGAGCATATTGAAAAGTACTCCAGGCCTCTGCCTTCGTTTCTGAACACCGCTCAAAGGTCTTGCAACGATAAATCTGGAGATTCTGGAATATCTGGTGACGAAGCAGTACCTATAGTTTATTGCTACGATGATCCCGAAGAAGATTACAGATTCGGGAGAATCGGTAAAGATGAAAAGGTTAGTATTTTTTTACACAATTCTTCAAAACGTATTAAACAAACGAAATTCCAGATTGCTTCGAAAATAGACCGAGAAAGAGCTTCGTGGACACCACAACAAGATTTAGACGAATCGAGCGCCGAAGAAGAATTACTAAACAAACCTCTGAAGCAAAGAATGAAAACGGGCCCGTACGTGTTCAGCCTGTCGCTGCCCAGAGACAACCACATTTCGAGCTACATCGCGGACAAATCGAACTTCGGCCACTACAACGGGCTGCAAAAATTCAAGAAGTCCATATCGGGCGTGTGGGGCAACCTGTCGAGCAGGCGCGACTTCGCGACCAACGACGAGCCGAACAACAACTGGTTCCTGAGCAAATCCGCGCCGAACTCGCTGACCAACGTCATTCACTCGCTGGAGCGGCACAAGACGCTGGAGCAGCAGCAATATTCCGGCGGCAACACGCCGGCGCGCCTGATGTACTTGCCCGAGATGGACAATCACGCGAAGAAACCGCCGCATTCGAAGCTGCAGTCGAAGTCGTGCGAGAACGTCGCCGGCGAGGTGGAGAAGGAGGGCAAATCGCCGCAGCCGCTGCAGGACCCGAGCAGCCGCTTCGACGATTTCCCTTGGAGCTCGAGGAGGAAGCCGAAGAAGTACACCTTCCAAAGCACCATTCGCCAGATAGAGAAGAAGCGGCTGTCCGACAAATTGTCCAGGGAGGCCGAGCGCAGGGAGAAGGAGCGGCTGCGAGAGCTGAACGCGATGCAGAGAGTCGAGGAGGAGTTCCAAAGGAAGAGAGCTAGGTATTAGCGTTTGATTCTTTTAAATTAATCGTATTAATAAACTTGGATTTTAAGCGAGAAAGCGAACATTCGACAGCAGCTGCGATTGTTCTCTTTGGACGAGAGCACAGGTTACCAAAGCATGCCGAACTTCGACACGAAATATAAAGTTAGTGTAGTAATCGATAATCAGTAATGCAAATACATTAAATGATGCTTTTTCAGCGTCGTTCGGAGCCCGATGGAGCGTTCTCATCGGCCTCCTCGTCGCCGGTGTCATCGTTATCGTCGAGAAAAAGGGGATCTTCGAATAAAAGGACTCACCAACAGGTATCTAAACTCACACCGTCGTCTACTAAGGAGTTGTCCGAGTTCAGGCAGACGCAGGTGGATTATAAAGATTACAACAGCAACATGTTGAAGCACGCTAATGAGATGAGGTACTACAATAAGCAAACGACGATTCACCCGCAAGTGAGTTGCACCATGAGTCAAGTTAAAGGTAAGATTGTTTGGTTGTTTCGATTCGAAATTTAATGTGGATTCCTCGCCAGGTTTGAATGCGAACGCGAAGCAGAAGCATAATTACAGAAAAGAGTTTGCTTCTGGTATAAGAAACATCGAATCTACGGATAATTATAGGGAGTATAGAAAAAAGCATGTGAACAAACACTCGCCTTCTACAGGGTATGGAAACCATTTCGTTTCCTTGGAACATTAACGAATTTATAACCATAAATTTTAAATTGAATTATATTAAAAATTGTTACCTGTAAATACTAAAATAAATGTATAAAGTTACGAAACGGCATTTATGCTCTCAATTTACACAAGTGAACGAACCAATAGGAAATAACGATACAAAAATTCTTATCCACAACCTCGTCCAAGTTCTTCGTCTCCTTGAAATGCACCAGGTACTTCCGCAAAATGTCCGTTTCGGCCTTGCAAGCCGGCGACAGCCGCTCCGAGCCGACGAGCACCGACGTGATCTTCTTCACGTGCTCGTAGAAGAACTGCAGCTCCGAGCTGAGGTTGCGCCTGAAGTACGCCACGTTCTCGGGCCCGGCCGTCCGCACGGCCAGGAAGATCTGCTGCGCCAGGAACACCATCAGCGCCTCCAACGAGAACCGCACCAGCCCGAAATCGAGCCTCTGTATCCACGGATCGGCGAGGCCCGAGTACTCGTACATCGCGTACCGCAGGAACGCGCTCAGCTTCTGCGTGGGCGGGTTGTCGGAGAAGTCCTGGTGCTCGACCATGCCGAAGAGGCGGGGGAACGCGTCCTCCGGCGGCGGGCGCGGCGCCTCCGCGGCGGCGGCCCGGCCGGTGTTCAACGCCAGGGCGTCCATCGTCTTGCATAGGAAGTGCGAGAGGCACAGCAGCATGCCGTAGGTGAGCTTGCTGGAGATGGGCAGTTCGAATTTCGGCACCCCGAAGTCGTTTTCGATGGTGATCTCGGTGACGTCGTGCGCGGGTACGTCCAAAATGTCTACCAGATTCGGGTTGGTTCGGTACAATATCGAGAATCCCAGGCCGGTCACCGTTACTAACCTTAATAGCGGAATAATTAAGCGTTAATCGAGAATTAAAACGGTTTGTTGTTGTACGATTACCTATTCATTATCGCTACCATGAGTTCAACGGGAAATTTTTCTAATTGATTCAGCCGGTTGGCCTCGTCCAGTTGGTATACAGCTATGTTTTTCGGACGCAAGATAGCGTAAAGGCAGGCATTCACTATTTTTTTCACTCCGTTCTATAAAGAAATCGCTGAATACTCGCTTAGGATTTTAGTAATATACTTACCAGTACGAAATTGTATGTTGCATTGGATTTTCTGTACCATTCCACCCGCCATTTCATCAGCACGGAATCGATTAGGACGAGGGCGTTTTGGACGAGATCGAGGGCTTTCAGGGCGACGCTGGTTTCCAAAACGTTGAAAACGTGCAGGAAAATTTGCTCGTTCAGGGTGAGGAAATTATAGAAGCTGTTCAGGGCTAAATGCTGCAGAGATTGGAAATACGCAGTTTCGAATTTGATCAGCAGCGAGCAGGTCACCCACATTTCTTCCAACTGCAGCGGACTTATCTGAGAGTTAATTATTAGTCAAGTAGAAAACTTTCATTGAAGCGAACTTACTTTGTTATTTTGGCCTTGGAGTAACCGACTAACAAAAGGCTCCATTTTCACGAAAAACGTGTTTATGTTAACGTTGAGAAAGTCGAATGCGAGCGACGAACTGGCGTAGAGTCCCAGACCGTACAAAACCATCTTGACCAGCGGTAGAGTTTTGGAATCTTTCACCAACTGGCAAGCGGAATTCATGTACTTGTGAATAATATTTCTGTACGAAAACCACAGGCTGATATCGTCGAGATTCTTGTACTCGAATAAACCGTTGACGATTTTAACGCACACCATCCAAGGGAGGAGTTGCTCTCTGACGACGACGTCGAATTCGCTGGTGCTAGTCCAAGAGTTTTCTTCCAAGATGAGATACTCGTACTCCAGCATCGGTCCGAAGTACTCCAAGATCTCGAGCAGATCGTTGCAATACAATTTGAAATGATCCTGCAAACCGTCTAAGAGCTGTTGCACGATCGTGAGCACCGATAGCCTGGTGGAATGCTCCAAATCGTTGTAATACAATTTCAATATCTTGACAGTTTTGATCGTCTTTTGGGTCATATCGAACGAATTTTCCTTGTCCCTGTACAAAAAATAATTCAATAATAGAGTTTTGTGTAAATTTGTTACTCACTTATTAGGAAGTTTCCAATAAGACAGCTGAAGTAATAAGAAATCAGTCCAATTCTTTATGCAATAAGTATTAACGAAGGGCAACTGCAATCCTTCTAAAGTCATAGAGATAAACCTAAACTTATTGTCTTCGGTAAACTTCTTCAATTTGCCGCACCGCTCCAACATAATGATGAATTCCATCCAAGATTTGAGCAAAAACTTTCGGTCTTCGATATCCTCGACGTTCGTCGATTTGGTCTTGAACGTCAGCAGCACGTAGTCTATCCACGATTGGATCTGCTGCGCGTCGGTCACGAATTTCTCGATGGACAGCAGAAACTGCGGATCGTCGTCGAGCTGCGCCAGTTGTATGCTGTAGATCTGGAAGATGAACGCGTAGATCTTCGGCAGCTGGTCGAATTCCCGGTAAAGCGGGTTGCTGAGCAGCGGCCAGAATTCCTTCAGCGACACCACGTCGCTGATCAAGTGCTTCTTCTGGCTCGACCACAGGTTCGCCATGACGTGCAGGATGCCGATTTGCAAGGGGCTGCGCAGGAACTCCGGCGACTGGAAATGTACGATAAGTACGAGTTTAACTCGCCACGCGCGCGACTTACTCTTTTCACGTTGTGCAGATAGTCCACCATGAAATCGCTGACGGTGTCGATTTCGATGGTTTTTTCTTTGTTGTCGCTGTACCATTTCCTGGACCTGGTAACGTTGAAGAAAGCTGCCGTCATTCCGTGTTGGTAAATGACACAAGTGCCGATTAAATCGAGAATGTGCACTTTTAGATCGTCATCTTCAGTGGAATCCCTCAATCTATCCAAGTATAATCTCTGGACTTGATCGTAATCCAACCCGAGAAGGGCCATCAATGGTATGTTTTGATCCTGCAAATATACCAATATCATTTTAAACAATATTTTCATCTATTTCATTCTTATTTTACCTTGGCCAAAAGTTCCAAAAATCGACAAGAGAGTTTCCTCAACGCCAACGAATAGGGATTGATGATGTAAGGGGTAACAGCTTTAGCGAAAAATCCAACGTTATCATCGAGATTGTTTTTCTTGTTGACGATTTTAGCCTTGTGCTTGAAGAGCAGAATGAGCAGGACGAGCTGCAAACGCAGGCAGTCCAGGATCTCTAAATTAGCTCCCGATGACCAGTTGGACTCTTGCTCCATCAGATTCTGAAGGTAAAACTTGTCTTTGGACAGCACGGACATGTAACTGGATAAGGTGATGTCGTCGAACATGAACGAATCTAAGACCATTTCGAATATAACTACTGAAGCGTCCGTCACGTTGGACAAATGTCTGTTGAGTATTTCCACCATTATCGAAAAGCAGTATTTTGATATCTGGATTTTTTCCGATGGGTCCTCGTAATGCCACTGCTGGTAAAGAGGCAATGTGCAGTTAATAATGTACCATACCCCTGGCAATTGCACTTCATAATGATACGCGTTTTTCTAAAATAAAACTTGATAACATGGCTCTTAATTAAATTATTAACAAATCTTTTACCTTCACCATAAAATAAATAAGTTCCAAATACTGGAGCAGCAGAGAATGCGACTCTTTGCCTTCTTCATCTTTCAAACTCTGGTACAACAAACTTTTATTATGTAACTGGCTGTATAAACCATTTCTATTATCTTTATTATACACTACAACGTTCGGCATAAAAGCTTTTCTCTGTATGGGAGGAAAGGCTTCCATATAATCCAGCAAATCGTACGTTATTAAAGTGCAATTAACTTCGAAATACAACTTAATAAAATCGAAATTCTTGACTGGACCTTGACAGAATTGAACCGGTACGATTTCCAGTCTTTCCACGAGAGTCCTGAGCTCACTATCGTGCCTGTAATCACCTTTGTAGTGTTTGAGAAGGTGATTTATGAATTTGAAGCCGATATGAACTAGTTTGGTCAAATTTTTGTAGCAATACCAATCAGGGCCGATTTCAAAAGTAATCGTACTGAATGACTTCGTAAATTGTTCCATTAACAAAAAGAAACTAAAAGGGTATATAAATCTCGCGTATTCTTGTCCTTGATATAAATAACGCTCCACGGTTGTTCCTGCTGGTACAATGAACAAATCACTGTCTATGAACAATTTCTGAGGTCTACTCAAGGTGAATCTTGACCTGCAGTCGCTCCAAGGAATTTCTGCCAAGAAACCTGGTATTGATTTCAGCAACTTCACAACCTGTAAAAATAATATAAATGTGTTATAATAATTCTATGATGTTTTAAGTACAAACTTACATTGTCGTATTTTTCTGGGATGATCAGCAGAGACTTGCACATTTCCAAAAATGGCTCAAAAACAAACGGAAAGGCCTCCATGGAGAGTTGAAAAATTGGTCCTAAATTATCTAACACAATCAAACCTTTCTGCTTCAGTAACTCGGCAGTAATTTTGGTAACTCCAGGCTGTTCGTGGAAATAACCAAAGTCGGCGCAATTTTTCGAAAATTCCACCACAAGGGTATGAACTGCATCCACTAATATAGCCCCAACTTTACTACCCTAAAGCCGATGAAATGTCAAGAAAAATTGGATCAGTTTTGATGAGTATTTACCGTAAACATTTTGTGTATCAATAAACCGTACAGAGACATAAACATTTTCTTTTCAAGCACCTTCTCGATGATCATATTACAATTATCCATGTTACACTCTTGAGCATTGTCGTTATAGTATGCTTTAAACAAAGTCCATGCAAATAGTATGATGCTATTATCGTTCTGAATTTGCAATAATTCTAAATTCCTCTCAATAGTTTGAGGTAACATAACAACTTTCAATCTTTCAGTCGAGTTCCTTAAATAGAATTGATTAATTTTACTTTCAGAGGTAACGTTAGACTAATGTATACTTACCAATATTTATGAATGATTGTGAGAATTAAAGCAATTTCGGCATATTTGATCTCTTCTAGATCTTCTTTCCTAGATATTGATAAACTTTCGGAGGATAAATGGAGACCCGTAAAACCGTGTTTCATGAAAAGGGTGAACACTTGTTCTAACTCCAAACCCGTTAATTTGTACTGTGGTAAATTTAGCGTGTGGGTGAGTAACAAAATGACTTCAACTTGCTCTCGATTATTCCTGTGAATCCATTCTACAAACAATTTTCTAGGTATATTTCTCACATTAATGTCACTTATTTCATGAATTAAGTTAGAAAAGACTGTCAGTAAATTCTTCCACAACAGTGTAGAATTTATATTCTGTAGATACGATTTAATTTTTTCGTCATATTTGTGATCTGCTGAATCGCATCCTTCAAGAATGTGCCTTAGCGTTTTTAGGAGGAACATTCTGTCAGCGGAATAGAAATACCATATATTTTCAGTCAAATATTCCAATTTTGAGTTGAATTTAATTAAAGTTTTTAGTTCATCCACTTTTCCGTAGTATTCGTACATTAAAAAATTGCATATCACAATCCAAGCGACTTTCGAATCCAAGTTCTAAAAACAAAACAAAAGTGTATACAAAAAAATTACAAATTAAATTAAACATACGAGTTTTTTGCTTAAATTGTGAATGAAATTACACATTTCATCATCTGATGTTATTTGTTTCACCCCCAGTTCTTCCTTCCATTTATTAAAACTTTCTTTGCTGTAAGGTTTGTACTGCAAAAATACATCTGTTAAATGCTGTTTACAAATATTCAGTACATCCTCTACGACATCAGTCGTCACATGTGGATTGCTTGAAGCAATAACCGGGTAAATCCTCTTCCAAACTCTGCAAAATTTATAATAAATGTATTAAGAAACATGTAAATAAATATGTATAAAGATTAACTTACGGTAGGGTATCCATTTTGCCGAATATGTTTAGTTCAAACAGTACTACTTTAAGAACATTTTCGATGTTAGATTCATATGTATAGTATATAATGGAAACTAACTCACTAAAAGATTAAATAAAATTAATTTTTGTAATGAAACCAAACGTTTTTATTTTAAACTTGAAAAATATAGGTTAACTTTAAATGACAGCTGTCATGTAGTTAAATGTCACCCATAGACAAAATAAAAGACATCTTTCTTTCTCTATGATCGCTTGTTTGTAAAACGCCATACAAACTAACGTAGTTTTATGACATATGACATTTAAACATATGTCAATAAATGTCATAATAAATAATTGACAGTGACACAATGACAGCACTCCAAATTTTTTCTTGTAATTGAAATTCGTAATATAATTAAATAAATGTAATTTGAATTAATCCCAAGTTTAGTGTAAATGTGAAGGTATCTTTTTATTAATAATTTTGAATGAAATTCCTCAGCCAATTATTTTTTACAGATTTTGAACGACTAATGTTTATAATAACTTTATTTAACAATAAACTTTTAATAACATCGTCTGTGGTTTTGGGGACAGTTATCCTCTATCGATTTTTAAAACATAAGACAGTTTCCATAGCGAGGATGTCAAAATTACCTTCCCCTGAAGGAATGGACGAAATGGTTATTAGTGTCATATTTATCCTATGATTGAGATTAAATTTGTTTATTTTATTTTGTATCTAGATGACAGGTGAACAAGATTGTCTTGTACCAAAGACTACAGACACTTTCACCCTCGGAAAACTAATAGGATGTGGCTCGTACGCCAATGTATACAAAGCTATCCAGAAGGTTAACTTTTATACGAGCAATAAAAATTTTATTTCTAAAATATTTACATTTGTAGGATACAAGATCCGTGATAGCTATAAAATTCTACAAAATGAGGAAGAAGACTTCATCTGAAATATGTCGTACAGCTGTTGAAATGGCTTTTGTCAAGTTTCTACAGCACCCCAACATTATTAAATTTATACTTTGTGATATTAAATGCCGGTAAAATTCTACAATAATTCAACTTTCTATTTTCTAAATGTGTTCTTTCAAGGTACATATATTTAGGAATCGAATATTCCTGCTTTGGTTCCCTTCAAAAAGCGATTCCAAAGGACCACACAGCTCCAGAAGGAGTAGTACAAATACTGATGAAGCAGTTAATATCTGCACTCGTTTATTTACACAGCATGTCCATTATGCACGGAGATGTTAAACCAGAGAATATAATAGTAATCAGAATAGATCCAGATCCTTTAATAAAATTAAGCGATTTTGGGTAAAATAATCCAAATATTGATCTATTATAAATATCAATGATTTCATGTTTAGGTTAGCCGAGATATTTTTTAATTGTGATGAAAAAGGGAAGAAAATCGGCTCGTTTTTGTACATGGCGCCGGAATTGCATTTAGGTTTTCCCTATGACCTATCTACAGATTTATATTCCGCAGGCGTTGTTATGTATGAATTACTTTACGGAAGAACTCCATTTCCTTCTCAAGCTACCAAAGACAATTACATTCAACTCTTGAGGAAACGCATCCCCATTCAGGTAATAATGAACTTGATATATAGTATAATAATAATTATGGTTTTTAATTTTCAGTATCCTCAAGTAATTACTGCCCAATTATCCACTACCTGTGTTAACCTGTTACAATCACTGTTGCAATACGATAAGCAGAAAAGGCCTTCCAGTGAGGAGCTCGTCGGGCATCCCTTTTTAGATTTAAAAAACGAGTATTTAGTCAATAAAGACAATCACTACATCATGGGCTGCGATTGCCTCATGAAAAGCGTGAAACTAGTCGCCGAGAAGAAATTCGGCCAGGCTTACGTGGAAGCGACAGAAGCCATACTGCATTTAAAAATATACGCGAAAACTATTTTATCCGACGAAGGAATGTTTGCTTATTTACTGCAAAACATCCATTACTATTCGTGTTATTTGTCGCAAATTGAAATTAGGATTATGATTGAAAGAGACTACGAGCCGATCAACATGCCTATGCTTTCTGAAAGACTTAGGTAAACACATTTAATTGAATTTGAGCCGGAAATTGTAATTAAAATAATTGTTTGTAGGTGTATGTTGTCTTCTACGCCAGCATTGCTTACTGGATACGACATGTGTTTAGTAGGAGAAATGTACATTAACCAAGGCAAAAATGAAGAGGGTGTAAGAAAGTTGAAGGATGGTTTGGAAGTTTTATTCATGAATATTCGTCAGGAGCCTCTTGGTGATAGAAGGATAAGGCTGTTAAAAAAGGTCCAATATTAAGTTTACTATTATTCTTTCGTTGTTCTATAAGTAAATTTCGTGTCTTGTAGATGAAGCAGTGGGTGAACTTGTTAGAAAACTTAGGCAGCAATGCAGGACATGTGGAAGAATGCGTAAATGTAGAAGAGCCTGATAATGAAGCGAAAAATTAATCGCCATTTTCTATCGTTGAATTGTTTTATATTTATATATGTAGTTTTCGTTATTGTTATTTCAATTTGATTGCCAATTTGATTAAGTACTTTCTAAGAATGTATTTATACCTAAGCGTTGTTGTTGATTAATTTAGCATAGTAGAAAATATTTTCCTACGTTTTAAATATTTCATACAAAACATGGATCTAATAGACTGAATCTAATTTATAATTTTCAAAACGAACAAAAGATGCAAACACGAATTAATTAGAATAAGCAATAGGCCTATAAAATAGTCAACATAATATATATTTTTATCTATTTATTTAAAACAAGTTAAGACATTAGAGATTATGGGTACCTGCGTATTTCAATGAAAAATTACAGAAGGCTGTGGAATGTCAAGTGCATGTTTGAATATTTTTACTTAAATAAAATGTATTGTTTGAGAAGCAAATTAAAATGTTTGGTTTCATTTCTATTCAAAGTCTAACCCGTTTCTAAATTACTATAACTTTTGGTGCGAATTTAATTTTTAATAAATATATGGGTAAATTCAAATGTGTTGTAACGAAAGTTGTCATGGTTGCACCCACAGCCTACTTTGCATCTACCTGTATAATGGGAAAATCTGTTTTTTTAACACTCCAAAAAAACCTTTCCGTCAAAGCGAGGGCAAATAAATTCTCAGTAGGCGAATAATCTAATCTTATCTTGATACAATTTCACATGCGCGTTGAAATTTTCTAAAAATAAATTTTGTACAATTTAAAACGAATTAAATAATTCGCTTAAAACTACCCCTGGAGGAAAAGACCATTTTTCTGTTCGCAAACCCTCCGGAGCAAGATCAACAAAAGAAACCGGAATGAATGGGAATTGGGGAAACAGGTATATCAGGTAGGATGAAATTCATGCGAGCCGAAACGCAAGCGCTTTACGTGCGCATCTGCAAAACATTCCCTTCCCACTTACAAACACAAAACACATTTCGTCAGATCGTATTTACTATTTACCAAATTTAAATAATTATTTTCTGCAATAAATCGCCGCACCCGTCCAAGTGGTTTTCGATTCGTCGGTTTCCCGTTTCGCCCTGTTCCCGTGGAATTGTCGAGGCACGAAAAAAGGAAGAGAAGAGATGCTTTGTAGTGCGTGGTCACAGTGCCGCCGCCATTTTCAATTTAACACCGTCAATTTTTTCCGCTAGCAACCAGTACCCGCAGATAAGGCACACCTGATTAAGTTCGAATTTCGCGAGCTCGCAGCCGGCCATGACGTCAAGGGAATATTCTCCCCGAGGAAGAAGCATGAGCATTTCGCCCGAGCCGTACAGGAGGGATTCTCCGGGTTACAGGAGCAGATCTGGTTCGAGATCTCCGAGTCACAGGAGGCGCAATGGACATCATAAGAAATCACGTAAGTTTAATAATCTATTCACCCGCCTACTGAGTTTTAACGCTGCATTCGCCAGATTAAGTAATTCCCTCCAAAATGTTTGTACACTGAAAAACAAAGGCAATAAAAGACACGTTTGTACACAATAAACAAACACAACAAAAATAGGGGAGAGTAGGACACTGAGAGAAAAATCTACAGGAAAATCTTCCACAATTTAACACCAAGAGGCTACTTGATAAATTTAAGTTATTATTTTGATTGCAGACCATCACGATTACGATAGGCGAGAGAGTGACTATGAAAGTGACTACGAATACCGCGATAAAGACTCTTACGATGGTGACAGAGAGAAGAAAAGATCTCACAGTCCCGACTACAGGGAGAGGGACAGGGATAGGGATAGAGATAGGAGGCACCATCGCAGAGATAGGGAGTATCGCAGAAGGCGATCCAGGAGCAGCTCGCGCTGGGAAAGGAAATCTGAGGATAGGAAACGCGACAGAGATCGATATAGGGATGATGATAGGGACAGTGATAGGTATAGGATATACGGAATGGTTCTAGAATGTATTTAGACCTTTGTGTATTTAATAGCTCTTATGATTTTGACAGTGAAAGAAGTCCTGGCACGGCACCACTCGGAGCGAGCGGAGCTGAAATAATCGGTTACAAAAGCCAACCTCCTAATAATACCATCATGATCAGAGGCCTGGCTCAGCATATAACCGAGTACGATGTAAGTACAAGTCTATTTTTTCTAGTAAACTTGTACTAAACTCCGGTAAATTCTGTTGCAGATAAGACAGGACATAATATCTTGCGAGCTAATGCCGAAGGATATCCGGCTCATCAGGAAAAAAGATACAGGTAATAATTAGTCGCTTTGAAGATTGTATTAAGGTTTTCTTAGGCCGTTTATTGTGAATATATCACCTCGTAAGGTCGGGTAATGCCATTGGTATCTATTGTGCTGTTTAGGTGCTTCCCGCGGTTTCGCCTTTGTCGAGTTTGCTACTGTGGGTGAGGCTGTTCGATGGATGGAGATTAAACAGGTATCTTAATTTAAAGAAGACTCTTATCATTTTACCTGCGATTCGATAAGTATTTTTTATTATTATTACTTTTTTCTTTGGCCGCTCTTTTGCCTCTTTTTTTAACTCTTGTTTATTTATTTTTAGTCAAATTTTGTACATATTGAACAATACACTTGATATTTTTGTGTGTGCTAAATTTGATAGAGCATATAAGACTTATTACAATGTAAGGAGAGTTAATAATCCTGATTATAGATAGCTCGAGCAATCATTGATACTTATGGATTATCAACTCTGCTATTTAGTCGTATAATATGAATATGACGAAGGGGTTTAGCTAAGGTACTGCATCACGTTTATGTAATATGAGAGAAATTTTAATGTATGCGGCCTTGAATTTTGTACTTATCAGACATTTTGCATTTCTAGGCAGCAAAAGGGTCTCTTTAAGAAGAGGGGGTAGTTGTTAATTAATGGCAAGTTTTAATTCTTTCTCGTCGTTTCAGGGCGTCTTAATGCTACAAGACCAATATCGTGCTATTATGCAATATAGTATTCCCAAGGATCTGAGCTCGTCCGATAAACCTCCTTCCTATAAGGCCTCCGCTGATTGGTTTTGCATAAAAGTATATTCCGTTAACATTGAATTTAGTATTGAGTATTTATGTTTTTCTTTGTAGTGCGGAGCTCAAAATTTCAAGAGAAGAGACAACTGTTTCAAGTGCCACGCGTCTCGAACGGAAAGCGAAGAAGGAGGAAGTGGAAGTGATGAAATTTGCAATTATGCCACCAAAAGTTAGTCAAAAATTTACCACGTTATAAATTTCTCTAAACGTTTCTCTTTCAGCAATCATGATGAGAAATTTAGACGCTTTAACTACCGAAGATTCCGTTATGTCTGTACTTAGTACTGCTATACCTGATTTAATAAAAAGTATATCGGCAGTATGTATAGGAAGAGATCCTCTCACATCTACCTCAAGAGGATTATGTTACCTCGGAACGGAGAGTACAATCGATGCTTTAGCAATATTTGGAGCTCTTAATAACCTTAAAACACCCTTAGCTATTGATGGAAAAACTGGTAAACTCCCTCCTCATTCCCACCTAAAATTAACCCACTAATTATTGCATTTCCAGTGATATTATCGTATTGTAAATATAACATGGGCGATACCAAAAAGGCGTATTCGCAAGCGGACCACGAGGCCTTCCCGAACGCCGCAGTTCCCAGTACTTACGCGATGACGGACGTCGACAGTCTGGCCGAATACGCCGCCAGGCGATACGCCAAGACCCCCCAAGAGTACATGTCTTACATCGAATATTATAGGAACTTCTTCAGCCAGCAAATCAGCGCGGGAAATTCGATAACGCTGCAAGAGAACCAGATGGACGCCGCCAACGCCGCCGCCGCCGTCGCGCAGTCCGCCATCCAGCAACTAGCCGCCAATAAAACCACCACACCCTATTACGAGCAAATCCCGCCCAGCGGCACCGACGGCAAAAAATACCGTAAGTAGTAATTACCTATAAATAAATCGTAAGTGAATGTAAATGTTTTTGCAGCTGTTCCAGACGTTTCTCGCTACGTCTACGACAAGATAACGGGTTATCAGTACTGCTCGACGACGGGTCTTTACTACGATCCGAATTCTACTTACTACTGGAACAACCATTTGCAGAAGTGGCTGTATTGGGATCACGACAAGCACACTTACAGCCTGGCGCCTGTTTACGATTCCTCCACCCAAAACTCCCAACCTTGCGCGGAAGTCACCTCCACGCAAGAACCCGACAACAAGAAGCAGAAACAGGAGAAACAGGACAAAGTCAAAGTTGCCAAAAAAATCGCCAAAGACATGGAACGATGGGCTAAAACGTTGAACCAGAAGAAGGAGAATTCGCTGTACAAAGCGACGGCCGATTACAGCGTGAGCTCCAGCAGCGCCTCCGCCGACGTCGGGTTTTCGGTTCTCGAGAAGAAGGCCTTGGCGTCGCCGGCGCCGTCTTCGACGCCTTTCTTCAAGCCCGACAACGACGATCCGAGCACGTCCAATTCGTTACCGTCCGGAGCGCCCCTGGTGGCCGCGTACGGAGGCGAAAGCGACTCGTCCGGCGACGAGGAGGAGCTGCTCGACTACCAGAAACTCATTTGTAACCTGTGCAAAAGACAATTGGGATCGTCCGAGGCTCTCACCAAGCACGCCAAGCTCTCCACGCTCCACAAGCAGAACCTCGAGGCCCGCAACAAGAAGAAGAGCGACAAGGCGAACGAGAAGATCGTCTACCGGGACAGGGCCAAGGAGCGGCGGATGAAGTACGGCGATCCGGACGCGCCGAAGCCCAGTAAATTGAAAGAGAAGTACCTCAAAGCCAGAGATGCGGATATTCCTTTGCCCACGGCTTCCGTTACCGAACCCATCGGCGCCGAAAACGTCGGAAATCGTCTGTTGCAGAAAATGGGTTGGACGGAAGGACAAGGATTAGGGAAGCAGAATCAAGGAAGAACTACTATTATACAGGTAGTTATTTAGACTCTAAAATAACGCTTATTTTGTAACAGTCGTTACTGCATCTCTGTACCAAAAATTATTCCCACCTCTATTAAACTTTCATATGAAATGTCATTAATGTCAATTTTGAGTTTTTTGTGTTTATGTATCATCGAACGCATCTTAAAGTCCCACTTTTTCTCGTACAGTGCGAGGTTCAAATTTATTTCGAAATGTTTTTTTTTTTAGGCCGAACAACATAGTAGTACCGTAGGTTTAGGCAACAAACTTCCAGGTTACACAGCTTTAGCGGGGGAATCGTACAAGGACTGTGTGAAAAAGATGATGTACGCGCGTTATCAGGAGTTGACCGAAAAAGAGAACAGCAATTAAGTAACTACTTTATACATAATATTATATTAGTTTATTTTAACGATTTAGAATACTTTATTGTTTAAAATTCTATTTAATTAAGTTCCAAGTACTTAGTTCGGAGTAACAATTCTTTTTATTGTATATACATTTAAGTACTGTGAATATTTCGTGGTCCATTTTTTTCATAGGTAGTAGTAAGTGCCAAGTGATTGTTTGCGTTTCTTATTGAGAAATGTACTTTTTATTATGTATTTTTACTTTGTATTTGGATTTACATATTTTTTTTCTCTATTAATTATGATGTTTGAAATAATAAAAAGGCAGAATGTAAATGTAGCCGGCTTTATAGTAGAAAAGCAGTTTTGTTAAATAAATTCTTTCGTAAAGACGATTCGATTTTTAACCTTTACAATGTTCGTGACATTTTCAAACAACTGTTTATTTATGAAGCGAATAAAATAATTTGCATCTTCTCAAAATCTATTTTTTAGTAATAAAACACGCCTCGGAGAATTATTAATTCCGTTACATTGATATACTTATACCTCATTAATTCGTTCAATTGCGAAATACACATCGAAATTTACGTGTGCGAATGAATCATTTTCCGTTTTGTGAAAATGGATAGCAGAAGTGGAAAAATTCGTGTCGCAACGGAACGCACCCTAATTACAATAAGCACCGGTTCGGGTAAATTCCTCAACCTTAGCCTCGTTAACTAATTCCTGGATTCGCAAGACGTGGGTCGCGGGCACAATGTTTGTATGAATACGTCCAATGCTAAGCTAACAAGACGTCGCGCACGGAATAGCAGAGGCGAGTTCGATCGAAAGCGAGTTCTAGAAACCGCTAACGGGGTGGATTCCGCGTAAAAGGACCCACAAATCTTATCGCGATTCGGGCTAAGCGGCCGTTTAGTCAGCCGACAGAAATACTGTTGCTTCCGAGAACCATATTGATTATGTTCGGAATTTATGAATATAGGTTGAACGAAAGGGTGGAGTTAGATGTATTAATCATTTAGTTTTTCAATGAAATTGAAAACGTTCGGTGTCGACTGACAGTCGGAACGTTGCACATTATTCATTTCGTTATTTAAATGGATTTTATCGTGCACGATCGTTCCGGGACATCTGTCTTAAATCTTATTTGCAAGTATAAATACATGCGTATTTTAATTATTTTTTTATTTCGTTGAAATCAATCTGATCGAATCGGAGCGACTCTAGAAATGTATTATTTTTCAACAAAAAATTACGATTGCGCAAACACCGTATATACAGGGTGTTGCATATGAGAATCCCTAGGAATTACAGGAATTTATCACTTACGCATACACTAAAACCATCTATTACTAAATCAAATTCTTCTAAAGAGTATACAAAATGTGAAGTAGACCATTTAGATTTTTTAATCTAAATCGAGGAAAAATATTCTCTGAAAATATGCATAATTCAACTTTTTAATATGCAAAGGGTTTAATGATGAACCATTAAATTATTGGTGAATTACATTAGAGTTCTAAAATGTCCCAGTACAGTCCTGTTACAAATTTTTTTAGATGAGTAGAAATTCCATATATCCTTACAACTTATTTATGTGCATTTATTTATGTAAATCATCTCCCAAATATGCAGCAAAAAATCACAAAACTTTTTTTCTAGTATTAATAATTAATTAGTTGAAACGATCGTCACAATATTTTTCTCTTGTGATTTACAATAAACAACCATTCCTCGTTCATTACTATTTAGTTCTTTTGCCAAACGACCTCGCAAAAAAAATCCAAAGAACTACAAAGGTATGGATAAATTTGGAGTAAAAATCTTGCTGGAAAATTTTAGGGCGATTTCGCGTAAATGCATATTTTGATATTTCAATTGTATAGAGTTCCCGTAAGTACGATACACAGAAGAATGAATATGCAAATTAAAAGTGGAGTTGCCGTCGAATCGAACAGGATTAAGCAGAAATTGAAAGCGACCTTTTGGGGTGTTCGAATCCGAGAACAATTTCAAAACGGACGCATCGACATTTAACGATGTATATAAAAGTGCGAGCGCGTTTGAAAGCGCGAGTTAAACGCTCTGCGCCCTGCGACACCGACACACACGAACTCACCGGTCGACGTGCCATCGAAAAACCCGCGCCTTTTCGAACTGGAGAGAACGATTTCCTCGCGTGGCTTTTGGAAATCCTCCGGCGTTTCGGTTCTCGGGTGGTCTTTGATGTCTGGCACCGGACAGTGGGGCGCGCGAGGGGTGCGTTGATGCAGGCCGGTCCACGGGGTACCTGTCGCTTGCTATGGGCTTAGGTTGTCACATTTCGGCTCGTCTGGCCGCGACTTTTTGGACTACTGTTTGCCTCTTGAGGATCATCACCGCGGATCAGGGACTCTTCCAAGACTTGGGATTCAACGTTCTTCCAGATATTTCTAAGGTAACAAATACTCTTCTAATCTACTCTACGCAGATACATCTGATGTTCGTATAAAACTCGGAAGCTTTTGGTTTTCGATTTGCAGAGGGTTGTAAAATTTTTATTTTGGTGTCTTTTGTTCCAAGTATAATTTTAACTAATTGGGTAATACACCACTGTTTTTTTAGAAACTTTCTTTTTATTTTCTTTAAAATGATAATTTTTACGGCAAAAACGCAGGAAACATTTTTCTTTAAAATTAGGTAAATGATTATCAATAATCTTTAAAAAAAGTTTCTAACAGTGGCGAATAAAAAAAATATTTATACATTTTAAACAGTTTTCTCAAATTTTTACAAACCTACAAAACTTTTACAACCCTAAAGAATCAGCAGAATGACAAGATTTTGAATTATTCTCTCTAAAATAAAACAAATTTAAATACTTTCGTTGGAATTCCTTGACAAATTCGTAAAATATCATCTAATCACATCCTGTATATTTATTTAAGAGTTAATCACATAAGAAATACCCTATATTTATCAACATAAAATTGCACTATTATTCAACTAGCAACTATAACTGGAAATGATTTAAATTAATAAACAATTAGTTTGATTTTATAATTAGAACTTATACACCTTATGATTAAATTGGGTAATAATATCCACTAGGAAAATAATTAGCGTTTGTCCTTAAAGACCGGATCGGAGAAAAAACAGACAATGCTCATTATAATGTAATGTTGCTATTGAGTTACATGCTTCCGGAAATATAGCCGTCAATTGCAGGGAATTCCAATTGATCTCGAACCATGACTGACCTATCACCTGTCTTGTATCGCCAACGTAACGATCTTTTTCGCTGCTACAACGCAATCTAGTTGAGATGCGAGAATTTTCGTCAAAACATAATTTATACGGCTTAGAACTGGAAATTTTTTAATTGAGTCCGGTTGGAATTTTTAGTACGTTGAATACCTGAATAAATATGCTGATGTATTCAACAAAGCGGAAGGGCAATTGTCCAAATATTTGTAGTCGACTCGAATTAGTTGTCGAAGAAATTTCGATTTCAAGTCGCCCGATGATTTCTAACATACATAATTGTGATGGAGATTGGTTTATTTTCGTTATGCTTGTCGATGATTGACTAATCATTCGATAAATAGATATTTCGTGAAGCTCCGGCGATTTGTTGTCATCGAAATTTTTTGCTTTCTAGGAATAGTAGACTCCCGAACATTGTCACTACAGTGTTGTGGATCGCGGAGCCCGAGCTGCCCCAAGCTGATACGTTCAATGTCCCCATTTCTATTTCGGAACTGAGTTACACAGTAATCGAAGCATCTAATTTCGACTAACAGTTCGTGTCAAGTTTAAAATTTCCTTTGAAAAAAACTAGTTGAAACGTATCGGATTGAAAATCGTTTATTTAGGTCGTTACGACTTTTTTTTTAACTTAACACATCCGAAGTTCTGGCGCGACGCGAAAATGTTTTCAACGGAGCCCACTGTAGAAGTTATTTCCTAAGCGCCCACTTTCTGTAAAAGGCAATCCGATAAGTGTGCATTAATTCATTCGTACCTATTTTAATGATCCCCCCGACTTTATATACCTAATCGCTCCAGTTTTTTTTATACTTTTCCGCACTTTAATCGCTTTGTCGTATTATAGCATTACATTTTAATACACACTGAAATCATTTACTACTTTTTAATTGCGTATTATTAATTACTGCACAATTTTAACATGCGAAAAAACTGTACTGGAAAGATTATTGCTGCCTGTACGTTTTTATTGCTATTAACTTTATCGCTGTTATTACAGAAAATTAAGACATTCGAAAATTACTATCACTTTTTACGCTATCACTATTATGCATACAATAAGTACTTTAAGTTTATGTTAGTTCATTTATGTTTTGTTTAGTTCTCCTAGGACTCTAGGATTTTTTTTTTTGGTCTCAACTTCGCTGGTCAAGTAGCGACATTGTATAAATATGCAGCGTGTTAATTTTATTGCAGTGTGCGTTTACGCATTTCTGGTAAACGTAAAAAACCGCAGCTGTACTCGAGAGGCAGCTGATTTGCTTTATAAATACACGCAGAAATTTTTTGCATCAATTAAAAGTGTCGAATCCGATTGTAAATTAATTAACAAAATTCATCGCCCCCGGTGTTGGATTATTGGGTAAACTGATACTCTAATCGACGCCTATCGAAGACTATTATTTAACTACCTAGTATGTGATTTACAACCGGTTTATTTTCAATGATGCACAATTTAATACAAGGCGAAATCCGAGTTTCGCAACATCTCGCGCGTTTTTTCGAATTTACAAACCGATAATAAAACGTTTTTATGTATGCGATGGTATTTTTTCCAATCGCGCTGGAACTGGATTGATCTGAATGTTCTTACGTGTGCGAGCGCACCCACAATATCCAATTTGTTCCAGTGGGGTTTATTTTTTCAGAAAGATGAATCATCCTTAACGTTTTCGAAATTACGTGAAAAAAACGCCGAATTTAAACGAGGATATTTATCGGCTGATTCATCAAGCACGTCACGAGGGTACCAATGGTTTCTGTAATTTTCACACGCCAGTCAAGCTCTCTAATTTTACATTTTACCGCTCAATCCGAAGCTCTATTAAACCCACTAGCATGCCTACTGGAAATTAGATTGTGCGGAGGAACAGTCGAATCAAACAGGAGCAAAGTTTTCAGTCGGCATTGTTTGGGAACCCATTTTATTTTTGCCGGGACGTGCGTAAATAAACAACTTTCACAAAACTGATGCAAATTAATTAATTGATCGATCGGTACCCACTTGCACAATCGCCTTTGTGCGAGCGATTATTTTAAAATTAATTTATGCTAATACAACAGGCGAGTAAACAAGTTTTGAGAAATTCCCAATAAACCCATCAATAGGCTGCAATAAAATGCAACTAATTTCAATAACGCACGTTGGAAGGTACGAAGCGAAATTCCCAGGCATAAATATTTGCACAAATCGTGGATTTTCCGTTTTTAAATGTAATTAACAAGTAAATTAGCAGTCCTGGTTGGTTATTATTTAAGAAAACGGTGAAAGTTAGACGAACATTCGAAAAACGAAATAAATTTGTTATTTCATTTTAAACACCTGTTATTTAACGGTAACTATAACATTATGATTAATGATGTGAAAATTGTTTTTTTTTTCGCGTTTCAGATTAACATAAGCATCGAAGAGTACACGCGCATGATGTCGGCCTATCTGCAATCGAAGGAAAATTCGGGCGATGATACAACGACTGTTCCAAAACTAGTTCTATTTAAATTAGGTGAGTTGTTTGAATATTTTGGAAATTTATGGATATCGCCATTGGCGCCGTTTCGAATGAAAATATCCTGTTTAGAAATAGCTCGAATTATAATAATTACGAGCTATAAATACCGAATTATACTCCAAATTGTCAACTTTCTCACCTTGCCTTAGGCCAGGACTCGAAAACATATGCGGATGTATATCAAAAACCGCTGACATCACTGTGCATTACTCATGTTTTCTACGTGTCCCACCAATTACGATAATGGGTATATTAGTTAGTATTTTTCCCGACGGATCCGACTCCCCTTTTTTTCTACGAATCTTGTACTTTCAATTCCGCACCGTGTGTGCGACTGTAACATATCCTTTTATTAACTACAAGTCACCGACCTACAAAATTATTTTTATCTATACGTGTATTTTCGATGGTCGTAATATGGAGGTAGTTTCTGGTGTCTGGTTCGAAAATTCGTCGGTTTTTTTCCCACTCGAACAATAGGGCAAGTTAAACGGCGGGTTGCGGCGAAATGCGTTTTATGGTGGTTATGATAATAACTGGTCTGTATTGTTTAAAAGTACCGACATATTGAATATCCAGTTTACGACCCAGACGGGCACAGGCGCGATTTTTTCTTATTACCTTCGACGCGATTTTATGAATACAACGTGCATCTAGAAAAATAAACATTTTACCGTTTCTAGTGATGAAATTCATTGCGATATGACTTGACAAAATCGCGCAGTGTTTGCCAAACGAACTTAATTAAAATCGAGCCTGAGGTTCGATATTTTACGACACGAGCCATAGGCGAGTGTCGTAAATTTATCAACCGAATGCACTACACTCGTAATAATTCATCCGGTACATCAAAAGAATTTAATTAAACTTACTATGGATTTGAAATTTTTACAATACAGATATAACACATACGGTTAATCGATAATAAATCGATAAACAATCGACATGTACTTCACCTTCTAAATACGTTTGTTTGTTTGCAAAATATTTTAAATAACGCTTCGATATTTTGAAAATTTTTGAGTGATTTGTAGAATGTCACAATCAAATAAGTATACATACTAATACATCTCTTATACACTATTATGTTTTCAATTCAACAAATATTATTCATTGATTTTTAATATTTTAGTATAGGCATGTAGGTATATGCTTAGAGCATATTTAATGGCCGCAAACAAAAATATCACTTGTGATTTGGGTCGTTAATGTTATTACAATGGTTTATTAGTAGGATTTCCACAACAGATTCGGTTTATTTAACTGCTGTTCAAACGAAACGAGCTGTTTTAATCAAATCTAACTCGATTCCGAGCTGAGACATAAGACAGAAAATAAATATTTTTAGCGGCAACCCACTTAATCATTTCGATCGAAAATAAAGTTTTCGGTTAAAATTAGCGCCGGTTTTATGTAAAAATAAAACTATATACTGGAAATCGAAGCGCGGCGGGGAGCCGATTATATTTGCAAATATTTCGAATCGAATACGACGAATAAATATTGTGAATTCTTCGCTGCGAAATCACCGCGTTTCCTTCAAACCGTGCCAAAAAATTTCTTGATTGACTTTACGAATATTTTTATACGCATTCATTCAAAATTAATAGTACGCAGAATCCCATCGCTTCTCTACAAGATTCTTACACTATTTAGAATATGATGGAATTATTGAAACATATAGGTGCATCAATATATTCGTAGCCAACACCTCAATAAATCTTATTCGAATGAAAGATTCGTAAAAAAAATACCCAAACCCACGCGATGATTGTTAAGAGGATTTAAAAATCTCTACGGGGTGTTTCATTAAAACCCGCCGAGTCAAACTCGAAGCGCGCCGCGAACGTCGCACGATCACTCAGAACACCCTGTAGATCTTTCTACTATCAGCGGGCGATCGATTTCCATTTAAATCAAAATCTTAAACTCATCCCGAATTTCGATTAATAATAAATTAAACTGTAATACACATTTCGAACCGTCTTACGCTCGAAGCATGAATGCCAGTTGCGTCATAGTCGGAAATAATGACGGTGACGTTACCTGAGTGATCCACAAAATTATGTAGAAAGTGTTAATAATGGGAATTCGAAAAATTCGGAGTTCGATCGCCGCGGTTCCCGGAACGCGAATCGATACCGGCCGTTCGATTTCTCGGTAAAAAGCCGAATTTTTTCAGTAACAAGTCACAGCTTATTAAACCGGAATGATCGCGTGGAAAATAATGCGCTGAAAAAATACACTCTGTGCGGAGGAACATGTGGCGTGTCGAGTGCGCTGCAGTTTGGATTTCATCTGAACCGCTCATTGTATCAACAAAAACCGAAAAGAATAGGCGATTGTACCGGCATTATCGTGCACTTTTGAGAGCGCGTCTAAAGGGTTTTTAAGCAACTTCACTAACAAAGAAAACAATAGTTTTGTGATAAATTTAATGGTACATTGAGAGTAACAATTATTTGATGAATGCATGTGCATTATAAATTCGAAACCGCTTTACTTTTTTGTGGTAACGCGCTAGGTTTAATGAGGAAACATTCCAGGTTATTTATACACTCTGCAAGCAGGTATATTATTTAGAGTATCCCGAAAATTTACACTCCACAAATCTGTCATATATCATTAAGGAAGGGATTAGCAAGGCAACGGGCTTTCATTCATAACTAATAACTATCTATTCTATTTATAAACCCACCGATCCGTCGCGGGAGTATTTCCAGACGCTAACAGAGTTTTTTATTCATTGCAGATCGACAAGTATCGTGGAAAGGCAGAGGGTCCTCGGTGCTGCTGAGGTTCCCGGTGGCCGCCGACGCCGGCGTCGAGCTGGAGAGCGCCCAGCTGCGGATGCTGCTGCCGCCGCGCCGCGACGCCGACGGCCCGGCGACGGTGCAAGTGAACCTGGTGCTGGGCGCGCGGCGGCGGCGGCCGCTCGCCGAAAGGACCGTCTACCCGTCGCGGCGCTCGCCCAAGTGGAGCGAGATCGACGTCGGCGACGGCGTGGCGTCGTGGCTGGGCGGCGGCGCCAACCTGGGTTTGGAGCTGGTTTGCCTGGAGCCGGGCTGCAGGCTGGAGCCGCTGGAGGCGGGCATCACGGGGTTAGTGCGCGCGAGGCGGGCGGGGCGCGCGAAGAGGTCGCCGTACCACAACGGGCGAAGGACTGATTGCCAGAAGGGCAAGGGGAAGAAGCGGCGCTGCTGTCGGCAGAACATGAAAGTGACGTTCAGCAAGTTGGACTTTCCCGAGATGAATTTCATCGTGGAGCCGAAGGTGTACGAGGCCGGGTACTGCCACGGGCTGTGCCCGCCCAACTACAACCACGCCACGAACCACTCGAGGATACAGAGCCTCATCCACCAGATGGAGAGGAGGAACTCGTCGAGGACGAGCAAGCGGAGTATCGTGCCGAAGGCTTGCTGCGCTCCTTCGAAGTTAGGGCCTTTGGAGATACTCCTCGTAGATAAAGACGACCCTAGTAAATTAATGTTAGAAAAATGGGATAACATGAAAGTTATCGAGTGCGCATGTTCGTAGATAGTAAATTTATTTATATTTTTGTACGGGTCGAGAACTGAGTATTTTTTACATTTTTTACTGTGATATTATTTCAATTTTACTTTTGATTTCATGTAGTATTCTCAGAGTATTATTTTTATCTGATCTGTTCATTTTTATATAGTATTTAAATTTATATTATCTGATTTATTTCAGGATCTTTTATTTTGTTAAGTAAATATTTCGAAAACGCGCTGTCTTTCATTTCACTCAACAACAAACCCAATAGTTAGTATAAATATATTTCTCAATTTAATAAAATTACGCAAAGAATTAACAACACATAGAATTTTTACAACCACCGTAAACTATAAATTTACCTAATTAAAACAACTATATGGAATGCGAAGACGCCCTGGAAGGCACGCAAAAAACGAAATGTACTCGATGAAATGAAACTAACGAAACAATTTTATTATTACAATGGGTAACTGATATCACCTGATTAGTTCAGTCGTCTCTTTCGCTTAACTTTAGACTGGAAAGTATTCTGCAATAAATAAGGAGCATATCGTTGCGCAAGTGGTTTATAAAACCACTCGTACACTATATACTATGTCTTCTTAACAAATCCCGCCATCGGTGGAGGTTGGATGTTACCGGGTAACTGCATAGGCCTCGTAGGATCCACCCCCGCACCGTATAGTGAATTATTCTCAAACGACGGAGCCGCTCTTTCAATCGTCATAGATTGCTGCGGTATTTGACTATCGCTCGTTACTCCCATCGAAGTATAAATTTCCTATAAAACACACTCAATTAGCTAACGATTGACTCTATTAACGCAATAATATCACCTTTAAAATCATCAAAATAGTATCCTCGGACTCCCAGTAGCAAACGTGGCTCTTCAACGCGAAAAAGTACTCGGTTAACACCTCGAAAGGCGCTTCTTGCAGCACGTAGTCGATCCTCCTGCCGCCGTTGAGGGTCCCCAAGTTGATCCCGGCGGTGTCCTCGACTTGCTCCGGCTCGTCTTTCACTTCTATCTGCTCGTTGTAGGCACTGGCGACTTCCTCTTCCAGGTTCGGCGGTGGCGTTTGCTTGTGGAACATCGCCAGCTGGTACACGGAATTCCAGGTGTTCTTCATCGAATCGAAGACTTTCTGTTTCAAATCCGCGCCCACTCGCGCCATCGTTTCTTTCAATTCTATCAACGGGTTTTTTTGGTTAATAGATTGTTGGAGGGTGCGCGATAGGGCTTACCTAAGTGCATTCGTTTTCTTCCTTTGTGATGGGGTATCAGGACGGGGTTGAGCTGGCCGAGTTCGGGGTTTATCAGGGACTCGATTCTGTAGGCGATCGGGTCGTGGGGATGGAAGATGTTGTAAAAAGCGGGGCAAGTCGGTAGAGAGAAATTGTCGCCTAGCGTATCCAAACCCCTAACGATGATGAACATTCCTGTGGAAAACACGGTTAAAAAATTGCTTATTTGGATTGGAATTTATTGACCTATGGGCGAGCCTAAAGCGAAGAAATTCTTAGGCTCGAAGTTCAACCGGGTGTAGTGTATCTGAGGTTGACCCGTACCGATCGCGCCCATCATGTAACTGATCCTTTTGCTCATTTTCCTATCCTGCGGCGCGGGTTTTTCCGACGTTAAATCATCGCCTGAAACATCCCTCTAAGCATACATAAATTCCTACTCGTTCGCCACTTACTCTCCTCGCTATCCGTTTCGACCTTCGAATCCTGATGGCACAGCAAATCGAACAGAATCAAGCTGCCCAAACTGTGCCCGCCCAACGACACCCCGCCGCTGAACTCGGGATTCCTCATCTTGAACAGATCGTATATCCGATTCAGCTCGCTACCCACGGTAGAAATGATCTTCTGGCAATACACCGGACTGGTGTAAAACAGTATATCCAACAGCGTGTCGTTGGTGAACTTCCTCAGCGTCGGCACGCTGCTCAGCGTGATGCGATCCAGCTGGTCGTCGATGCCGGTCTCCTCCGAATGCAACCGATCGTGCCAGCTGATCGGCAACACCTCCACCCTGTGCACCGCGCCGGCCTCGCAGGACGTCCTGTAGTGGGACTGGACCAATTGGTAGGCGATGCCGCGGAACTCGTCCACCACCTCCTCCACCGTCCGGAATTTCAGGTCGCACACCGACCCGATGCCGTGCACCATGAACAGAATGTGGTCGACGCGCGCCGGCTCGCCCTCGTCGATGTCGAACTCGTCCATGCCTCGTTTCACCACCCTCGGACGCGGTTGTGTCTGAAAATCTAACGATTATTTGCGTTTGCGAAATGAATCGACGCGTTACCGTGGAGTTGCCCCAAGCGTCCGGTACTTGGGATTGGGAGAACAGCACCAATACGTCGGGACCGTGCAGGACGACGGTCTCGCCGTTGGGCAGCTCGATTTTCCTGTGCCACTGGTTCGATTCGAACGCTACCTTGTACTCCTCCTCCAACGTGGCCGCCACGTTCTCCTCGTAGGGCAACAGCCTGCCGTCCGACGAGTTCTTGTGGAACCAAGAGCACCTTCGAACTTCCGTCGGTTCCGATTTCCAGTAAACGGCGCTCCTCTGGCGCCTCAGAATGTTCACATCGTATCGACCGCCGTCGGTCGCTATCACCTTCTCCGGATCCAAATCGTCTGCAACAACCGACCGATCCAACGACTCGATTTAAAACGCGTTAAACCTACTTACTGGACGTGAAAGCGTGCTCGAGCGCCAGCGAATCGACCATCGAAAACGGCTGCCAGCTCTTCTTCTCCTGCCCGCCCTTCTCGAAGAACCAGTGGTGGTAGACCGGCCTGTAGACTTGGTTGACGGGAGCGCGAGCTTGCTCGGACTCGGCGCCGCCCGTCGAGGAATTCGAAGCCGAATCGATGCGGCCGTTGTCGCGGCCCAGCTCGCTGGGCGAGATGGCGTCCATGACGGGGCTCGGCGCGGCCTCCTGGCCGAAGTTCGACTGGAAATGCGCGACCGGCGACGGGGCCGACAGCGGCCTGAACGGGTGCTGGTGGATTTGAGCCGAGCTGGTCACCACCGAGTCGATCGACGGGGTGAAGAACGCCGACGTGAAGTAGGGTGCCGGTTGCGGAGGGGCGATTACAGGCGGAGCGGGCGCTGCTGGAGCTGGTGCGGTGCCGGACAGACCCGGTACTGGAGCATACGTGGGTCGCTTCAAGCCTCCTCTTCTAAACTGATTCGAAGTTTCTAAAAAAATGATCGAATTATTAACCGATAAATGACATAATAGGCGCGACTACCTGATGTGGTGGGCGGTTTCTGCTGTAGAAACTGAGCGCTGTCGGCCGAAAACAGCGGCACCGGGTCCGGGTTGATGGCCGGTTGCTGGATGAAGGTGTCGATGCCGGCTGGAGGCGGTACTGGAACCGGCTCCTTGGTGCTCGAGCCGCCCAAGCTGAGGATATTCGAGAACGACGAGAATACGGAGGACAAGTGCGAGGTGTTGGCCGCCGTTGGGGCTAAGTGGGGTTGAAGGGTCGAAATGTCGGGTAGATCTTGGGCGAAAGGCGGTGCAGTTTGCGCTGCGGGAAGGTCCTTGGTCGAGAATTCGCTGCTGGGTCCGGGTTCTGATGATCTCGAGGAATCGTCGGGTGATTTCAGCGGGTTCGAAAGTATTTCGTTCAGAAGTTGTTCTGTAAATAAAATAACAATGTTTATATATTTTTTTAATACAATTGAAATTACCAGTCTTTTGATCCATTTGTAATTCGATTTAATGGAATTTATTTCACGTAGGAATGATTTGTTGTAATTTTGTAATTTGTAATGAACTGGTATAACAATTAAACTCTAATCTACATGGTTAAGTAAACACGATTATTTGAATTAGATTTGTATAAATACATAAAAACTTGTTTTGAATTTTTAGACAACACCACTGCCATTATTATTATCGATGTAAAAAATAGATATCTATTAGCAGATTGAAAAAACATAAAACCCCGATTATCTCCTCTAAAGACGGCATAAGTTTTCATTTATTTAACTTATTCAAACATTCGCGATTAATTCTTACTAAATAGTGAAATTCCAAGATAAGCGTAGGCGTGTATCTTCCTGTTTTGAAACATACACCACTTACAGGCGCGCAATATTTTCGGCTACTTTAGCAAGAAACCGAACCTGTCCTACTTAAAGAGATCCTTCGCTCGAATCGCCGCGGGTTTTTCACCGCAATTGCATCAAAAAAAACGGTCGAAATGTAACGATAAGAACACAGATTCTGACAGTTTATCACAATATCCTGCCTTACCCAAAAAATTTGTCATATGGTCTACAAAACGAAAGACTCGACTCGTCTCCACCTCAGTCGCGCAAAATGCCGCGAATCGTCGTTGCCCTGGCGTTAATCCACTGCGTTTTCGGCGCGGAGAGTTTCTTCCCCGAAGCCAGAATTGCGAACAACCCGACCATCGACAACCCGGTGAGGAGGTTTTTGAAACACTACAACTCCCTTAAGCCAGTCGCCCTGCTAGTCGACGACACCGCCGAAAGCACCTTCGCCGCGAAGGAGTTTCTAAAAGAAGCGCTCGAAGCAGCGCGGGGAACCAAACAAATCCAGTACTTCGTATCAAAGTTCAACGAAACAGGTACTAACTCGCAATCGCTATTAAAAAGGTTTCTCGTGTTAGAGTGATAGTGCGAATTGCGATACTGTATTAATTGCGGTCTTCTTCTAGGTGCCTCCACGCCAATAGGAATCCCAGGAACGGACGCCGAAAGCATCTACGCACTCATCGATGGCGGAACGGGAACGGAAAACTCGGAATTGGGACACAAGAAATCGCCGGGGAGCGTCTTGTTTTTCGCCACTTGGAACGCCGTCGCCGCCATGCCCCCGGACGGGGCGGCGCTCATTTTCACCGACAGGAACCCGACCGACGAGGATCTAGCCCAACACGCGGAAATAGTGAGGAAAAAAAATATCAAAGTTTACGTAATTTGGGGTGGTCCCCTAACCACAAACGATCAACACCTTCTTAAAGAACTGTGCTCGTTCTCCGGTGGATTATTCCTAACCGAAGGCGTTAGAGATTTATCGAGCTACAACTACAGGAGATTCATCAACAGCAAATCCAACACCAGCACCGTGAGTTTTAAACAACCCACCAAAGGCACTACTAATAGTAATTTACGAATCCGCAGTCGGTGCTAGTCCTGAAACGCAACGTGTCGTCGCCGCTGAGCGTCCCGTTTCCCGTCGATTCGGAAGTCACCTGCGTGGAGCTGGTGCTCCAGCCGGCGCCCGCGAGGGCCGCTCTGGTGACGCCGACAGGTACTCGAGTTCCCTTCGAAGGCGCCGCGAATTAACGCGCGTTTGGTTTGCAGGGCGGCGCATCGACGTGGCCGACGACGCCTCGATCGCCGGCTACGGGGCCGGCTCGTTCGGCGTCCGGCAGCCCGGCGGCAGGGAGGTGCGCCTGCAGGACGTCGCCGTCGGCGCGTGGCGGCTCGACGTCGAACCGCCGGCGGGCGGTTGCAACGTGTCGGTGTTCGCGTGCACCGGCCTCACGGCAAGCGCTCATTATGTCTTCAATAAAGGTAAAAAAAAACTAATAATGCATGCACTTACTTGGTTGGAAGGTATCGGAGGATTCAACGGAACATGTGGATAGTGTAGAGTTCTGAATTTATCGCGAATTTAACGATAGTGGTTCGATTTCTGACCGTGACACCAATCTTATTATTGATTAGATTTATTTTGAATTTAGAAAAAAAAAGTTGCAGTTCGTACACTTACCAATATGCCGCAGGCGTCGATGGGTTGATCAGAACTGCTGATTGGTGTTCGGTAACGGTTAAGATGAATGCAGGTTGTTTGTAATTGTAAACTTTGTACAATGCGTCATAGAAGTAACTTACATTTTTTGACCTTGCGTTTACAAAACATCTCTATTTTACGAATTCCGAGTGATAATTTTTTGTTGAAGAGCCGCTACGACGTAATAGTTTGTTTTCAAAACACGCGTTCGATAAAAGATGTTTGATGGATACAGCGGAAATTCGGTTAGTGCGTTATAATTTGGCCCGACGTCAATTGAAATGTGGCCCGTTTCCAATAAACTTTAAAATCCGCTGACTTTCTATTAATAACTATGAAGTATTTTACGCAAATTGCAAGCGTGTAATCATTCATTTTTCTTTTCAATTTTGAGATAATGGAACTAGTAAAACAAACAGAAAAATAAAGCTAGACCTGGAAGGGCATTTAAAAAACATCAACAACATTGCTTTTATAGACCCAAATGGAAATTTAATAAACAACGATATAGAATATAACATTACGAGCGCGTCAGAACAAAACAAAAACGTAAACATTGAATTTAAGAGAATCCCTAATGAAACGGTCCAACTTCTTGTACAAGGAACAGACATAGAAGGTAACCAATTCCTCAACAACATTCGCCCATTATAAAATATACATTTTTTTAGGAAACAAATTCTCTAGATTAACCTACGTCAATAATAATTTCAACAGCAACAATCCATTCCCCCAACAAACAGTGTTGATTGACGTAGGGGTAGGTTCCCAGCTAATTACAACCGGAGGCAGATCATCGATTATAACATTCGAAGTAACGAATTTGAAAAACACCGCTGTAGATGCGAGATTTTACTGCTCAGATGAGCGGTCCATTTTGGGGAGCCTGCAACCCATTAGGTACGAAATGCCTCTTAAATTCCTTACTGGACATATGCAGGATAGTTGATTTCAGGACTCTCATCGCGCCTAAAGAAATGGCAGTGGTAACATTGACTTTGTCAGTCAAATACGGTTCTTATCAAGATTTAATAACCTTCGTAGTTTCGGTGGGATCGGAATTCATATATAAAAGAGTAGTAGTGGACGTGGGCACGTCGCAAGTTACTTCAGATAAACAACCACCTTATCTAGATTATTCTTATTTAAGCGATTGTTCAAAGGTTGTATTTTCCAATTGTGAGCAAGGAACGTGGACTATTGAAGCAAAAGCAAAAGATAGTGAATCAGGTATTTGAGTATAGAAAGTTAGATAAGGGAGAACTCCTTGACCTTTTACAACAAAAACTCTAACAGCACTCTTACTATACAGGTTTGCTGCAACTCACTTCGAACCCGAAAGGTTTGTATATTGAAAACGGTTTTACGACGGGGACTACAGAAGAGGTTTCCGGAATATACAGTGATTCTTGTTGCAATGCAGATTTGCAGCTGACTGCTATCGATAGAGCTAATAACAGGCGAACAATTACAGTCAATGCTTTCAGTAAGTTATCGAGTAATTGCAAGTAATTCCACTAAAATTTTGTTATTGGTGTTTTAGAGGCTGCGTGGGGACCTGGACCGATAGCTGCTTTAGTTTTAGGAATAATCTTGTTAATATTACTGATTGTATTGATAGTGTATTTAATCAGAAAGTGTCTAAAAAAGAGAGAAAACTACAACCTTCCAACGTATAGAGGGAGAATATGACAATTAATTAATTCTATTCGTGATGAACAAAAGTTTTGGTATTAATCGTACTATTCGTAATATTTTAAGTAAATGTTTTTATATGAGTTAAGTACAACTATATTTAAGTAATTATAAATACACTAACATAAGAGAGTCGTTTTTTTAATTATTATCTTGATATTCGTATGAACGTAACTGTGATCAATTCCTTAAGCTTTTGATTGAGTAACCAAAAGTAAAGAACTAAATTGCGACAAAAAAATGAAGTAATGATATTCAAACCAAAGTATGAACCTACATAAGACTTAAAACAAACAATAATATTCAAGTATTTCAACAAAATACTTTAAATAAACCTGTAAAATCGCACCTAGGAAGTCTCAAAAACAAATAGTATGACGATAATGGAAATTAAGCAAATAAATAATGAAAGATAAGAAAAACAAATAAATGTTATTCTTATTTAGCAGATAAAAACACTTACCCTGTGAAATTTTTAGGGAAGAGGGTGGTGGTTTTTCTTTCGCTGGTAATAATATAGCATTTTGGGAATAATCCTCTAATGTTGTACCAGTCACGAAAGCACTAAACAATGGATTTTTGAGTTTCTTCGATTGATCATCCATTTAAAAAAATTGTATGTATTCATAAAAATATATAAAAATTAACCCAGATGGTAAAATTTTGTTCTAAAACGTCAAACAGAAAAATAAGTATGTCTAACTACAGGAAATTTCAACTCAATGACAGGAAAAAGGCAACACTGTAGAAACTTTACTATTATTAAAACATCTGTTTTGACATAAGACTTGTCACTTGTATACACGTTGTTGCCTATACTCTAATGACAAACTCTTTTCATTAAAAAATCCTTTGCGAGGTATGTCAGAGTGTTTTGCATCTACCGATATCTTAAAAAATATACGACATCTTTGAATTAATTTCACTTATACAAGGTTTTTCTTGATTCTCGAATCTAACTTTACGTGCAGTGCGTGATATTTTGTCGAAAAAAATATCGCCAAAATTATATATGTAAGTTAACCAAAAACTCCGCTTACGGATTTTTGTTTTCAGGTTTCAAAATGGGCCGATACGCTCGCGAACCCGACAATGCGGCGAAGTCTTGCAAAGCCAGAGGCTCTAACCTCAGAGTCCACTTCAAGGTAGGATTTCCATTGCAAAATTCGATACATTTAAACTTAACCTAAAATGTTGTTATCCCTCTAATTTCAGAATACGTGCGAGACCGCGAACGCCATAAGGAAGATGCCCCTCAAGCGGGCAGTGGCCTATTTGAAGAACGTAGTCGTCCAAAAAGAGTGTATTCCATTCAGGAGGTTCAACGGAGGAGTAGGCCGTTGTGCCCAAGCCAAGCAATTCGGCACCACACAGGGAAGGTGGCCCAAGAAGTCAGCCGAATTCCTGTTACAGCTCCTCAGGAACGCCGAGAGCAACGCAGATTACAGCGGGCTTGATGTCGATAGGCTAGTCGTAGAACACATTCAAGTAAGTTTATATTGCTAAGAATAAGAAGGTATTCGAGAATGTGAACATGTAAAATTTATTATCAAGGTACTGTTCATTAATTCTCACGCGTTGCTAAGCAAATGAGTTGTGTATTTGCTTGTAAACTTCAATTTTTTTATAAACAAGTGCACGTGTTTTTAATAATACAGGGAGATGCCAAATTGTTTGCAATATTGTCTAAGGGTGCAAAAAAGACAACTTTCGTTAGTTACTTATAAAGAAAAAAGATAGTGTGAGTTTGGGTACTTTGCAACTTTCTTAATCTAGCTACTGTTGTTTTAATAGTGCTTCTTTATTTTACTCATAGAATTGACCATACTGCAAACAAACATAAGGTTACTTACATACTTAATTACGATTCTAGTTACTTTTGTACTCCGATACATTTGCACATACTCAAAAATTAAAGTATATATTTAAAGAATTTAACATTTTTCTCCTGCTACTAATGAAAGTTTTGTTGAATTGCAGGTTAACCGAGCTGCTTGTTTGAGACGTCGTACGTACAGGGCTCACGGTAGGATCAATCCGTACATGTCATCGCCCTGTCACATCGAACTCTGGTTAACCGAGGGAGAATCGTCACCTGAGGCTCCTAAGAAGAGCAACAAAAAGAAGGCAACGGAGAAGAAGAGACCCAAGTCGTCCGTTGCTGCAGTAGCGCATTGATTTTTTTACGTTTTTGTTTTAATTTTAGGACGCTACTATATTTATTCTCAAAAAAACATTTTGGGATTATATGAATAAATAATTATTATGAAGCGTGTTTTATTTTGTTTTATTTCTTTATAAAGCGTTGTGAAAGGTTTGAAAGTGATGAGGAATGTGAGGTTAGTTTTGCTTGATGTTAATAAAAATTTAGTTGGCAACATCGCAAAATTATTCCTATAATTAGATTCGTTTCTAATTCTTAAATTGTTATACTCCTTGAAGTAAAGACTAATAAAAAGTAATTGCATGCATTAAATTTAGTGAATCCACTCTTTTTATTAATCAGAACAATTTTTAAATTAAAATGGAATATTTTATTTCTTACTAAACTTAGGGATATTTGAAATTTCGTGTCAAGTCAATGTTGGCAACACTGATGTTGGTCATGTTGACTGAAAATTTTGACGTTCTTTTCTTTAGTCTACAAAAACATATGCATGATTATTTAAAAATAGTGTTTATAGAATAAATATTCGAGAAATTGAATACCCCATCGTACGTTAGTTAAGTACTAGCATGTCTACTCACCATTAACTTGAATTCTACGGCTGTATCTAAATGGTATCCTTGAGCATCCTTGATTGAAAAGCTACTTGAAAAATGAGTGAAAATACTGTTAATAGTGTCCGCAGGCCGAATTTTTCCAACATTCCGCAAAACGGAATTAGCAGGAACATTAATTTGATAAACATAAAGCCTACAGCGAAGAAGCTAGTGATTAAAAATCTGAAAAGTAAGTTGTCATGTCGTTTTCTAACACATCATCTAAAAAATTATCGTTTTAGGCGAACCGAAACTCCCAGACGATTACCGTGAACAAACATGGGACAAACTCCATAGCGCTGTGCTTGCTATTCAACAGTCAAAGCCAAATCAGTATTCTTTGGAGGAACTGTATCAAGCTGTAGAAAATATGTGCAATCATAAAATGGCTCCAACTCTTTATACTCGTCTGTATAACTTAACTGAAAACCACGTTTCTCACAACATCGAGCAGTTCCTGGCCGAATCGATGGATCGTTTCCTGTTCCTCAAGAAGATGAACGAAACGTGGTTGGCTCATTGTAACCAAATGATAATGATTAGAAGCATATTTTTGTATCTTGACAGAACTTACGTTCTTCAAAACCCGAACATTTCATCCATTTGGGATATGGGCCTAGAATTGTTCAGTAAATATATTATTCTAAATACTCTGGTCCAAACTAGAGTCGTAGAAGGTCTGTTGATGTTGATAGAAAAGGAGAGACAGGGTGATAAAGTAGATAGAACATTACTAAAATCTCTTCTGAGAATGTTAACTGATTTACAAATTTACGATAAGGCTTTCGAGCAGAAATTCCTGCAATCCACGGAGCGCCTTTACGCATCTGAAGGACAAAGACTTATGCAAGAACTCGAAGTACCAGATTACTTAGCTCACGTAGACAAGAGAATCCAGGAAGAAAACGAAAGAGTTCTTCACTATTTGGATTCTGGCACAAGATATCTGCTAATACATACAGTAGAAAAGCAGCTGCTTAGTGAGCATGTATCCAACATACTCCAGAAAGGGCTCGATCAACTTTTAAATGAAAATAGAATTACGGACTTGACACTTCTTTACCAGCTGCTGAGCCGCGTCAAAAATGGCTTATCAGAACTATGCACTTCCTTTAATGCTTACATAAAGAAAAGAGGCAAGACTATCGTCATCGATCCGGAGAAGGACAAGACCATGGTTCAAGAACTACTAGATTTTAAGGACACCATGGATAATATCGTAGCCACCTGCTTCAACAAGAACGAGAAGTTCGGCAACTCCCTCAAGGAGGCCTTCGAGCACTTCATCAACCAGAGAACCAACAAACCCGCTGAACTAATCGGTACGTATAAAAATGACTCAAAGTCATACCACGTGGCTGTCGATCAATCTACTAATTGATATTCTTCATATAAACATTCTCTTAGGTTCGTATTTTTTAGCGAAATTCGTCGATTCGAAGCTGCGCGCCGGCAACAAGGAGGCCACGGAAGAGGAATTAGAAAGACTTTTAGACAAGATAATGGTACTGTTCCGCTTCATCCACGGCAAGGACGTGTTCGAGGCGTTCTACAAGAAGGATCTCGCGAAAAGACTGCTCGTCGGCAAGTCGGCCAGCGTCGATGCGGAGAAGAGCATGCTGAGCAAATTGAAGCAAGAATGCGGCGGGGGATTCACCTCGAAGCTGGAAGGGATGTTCAAAGACATGGAACTAAGCAAAGACATAAACGTGGCTTTCAAGCAACATTTGAATGTTAATACTCGGAACTTGGCGCCCATCGACATGACTGTGAATATACTCACGATGGGCTACTGGCCGACTTATCAGGCGATGGACGTCACCTTGCCCGATCAAATGGTGAGGTTCCAAGACATATTCAAAGATTTTTATCTGAGCAAGCACAGCGGCAGGAAACTCCAATGGCAGCCTACCTTGGGGCATTGCGTTTTGAGAGCCTCCTTCAAAGCCGGACCTAAGGAGCTGGTGGTTTCCTTGTTTCAAACGTTGGTCATCCTATTGTTCAACAAATACGACGAGGTGACCTTCGAGTACATTAAAGCAGCTACTAACATCGAAGACGGAGAACTGAGAAGGACTCTGCAATCCTTGGCTTGCGGCAAGGCTCGCGTTTTAAACAAGGTCCCCAAAGGTCGAGACATTGACGATTTCGACAAGTTTCGCTTCAACAATGATTTCACCAACAAATTATTCAGGATCAAGATAAATCAAATTCAAATGAAAGAAACAGTAAGTCGACTAAAGTTTATTTCGAACAAGCGTTTTATAATTTTTTTTTTCTAGACTGAAGAACAGAAGGCTACGGAAGAAAGAGTGTTCCAAGACAGGCAGTACCAGATCGATGCTGCCATCGTTCGCATCATGAAAATGAGAAAAACCCTCAGTCACAACCTGCTTATTAGTGAACTTTACTTGCAGCTTAAATTTCCTGTTAAGGTGAGTTTTTCGTACAGGATGGCCGGAAAAATACTTTAGAATGATACATTTATTGTGTGTTTCAGCCGACCGATTTAAAGAAACGCATCGAATCCCTGATTGACAGAGACTACATGGAACGAGACAAGGATAATCCCAATCAATACAACTACGTTGCTTAAATAACTGTTCTGGTTCTTCTACGACAACTAGGTCATCATGTTAACTGTTGCGAATATTTCTAGTCCAGTGAGAAATTCTGGCTTTGCCCCCTTTCCCCTGTATGTATATAAATTTAGGTTTTATTCATTTTCAGGACAACGTGGTTTGCATTAATATTCTTGTTATTCTAATTTTTTTTCAAAGTACAAAAAAGATTATTACATGAAAAGGAGTTATTTAAATTAAAGCACAGGAACCAGTTAATTTTATTTAAACTCACTGTTTTAATGTATTTTATTTCTGAAATTTTTGAATCCAACACAAATAACCACCTTTAATAATTTTTAATACGATTTGAACAAGTTTATTGTACATTAATTTATTTTTTAATTATTATAAGTAAACAATTAGTAACAGTTAAAACTGTGATTTTTTACTTAACCAGCTTTAAGTATCATTCGAAACGATTTTTAAATAATACATATAAATATTTATCGTAACTCCTTGAATGGCAAAAAAAATCATTCAATAGTTGTGAAATGGTATTTTGAGGATAAAAATTTAAGTGATCAATTTTGTGGTAGATTAATTCATTGTCGTCATATATTTTGAAAATTTAATAAATTGCAGTTTACTTCAATATTTGTTAAAAATAATTATATGAAACGGTTTCGATGTAAATCTTTAATGTTTTCATTTCAATTTTGAGTAAATAAATGGCAACATCTAATTTTTTTATATTAATGTATTATTAATATAAGTGTTTCAACAAGTGAGTGTTTACTTATTTGTTCCTTAAGGTCTTAAAATGATTCAATAACAGCTGATTATTTTATTTACTTACAGATTAAAGATTTGCACTTATAACTTATTAAAAAATATGTTTCTATACATCACTTTTCGATTATATCACTGGAATAATTATTAGTAAATATGATATATGTATAACAATATTTCAACAAATTAGTGACTAAATTTAGCGATAGATTTAAAAATTCACAGCTATTTTAAATTGTTTAAAAAGTGTATAATCTATTTATTGGGAGGTTGAATTTCCATTGTTTTACAGACCCATCCAGCTATGTCTACATCTTCACTTTCTGCCTGTTTAATCCATGAATGATTCTGTAAAAAATTACATAATTTCATCATACATCCATTCTTTTTCTAACAACAATTTACCATTAGTGTCTTCAAATCGGCCCTCTCGTCGGGATTTTTCCTCAAACACCTGTCAACGAAATCTTTAAAATCATCTGTGAATATGCCTGATGGTAGTTTAGGAGGCGGCTCATTTACGATATAGTCCAACAATTCGAATATTGCCATCGGTCTGGGTCCTTTGGTGTGATCTGGTGAATCACTATCATTGTGCGGCCCGAAAATTGACGCTAATGTCTTTGCATCTGGAGGTGGTATGGGGTACATACCAATAGCCATTTCAACCAATGATAAACCCAACGACCAGATATCACTTTGCACGGAATAATGCGTTCCTTGCAGTCTTTCAGGCTGAAAACAGATAAGATGTAAATGCACAGTGAACCTTTTAAGTGTTTTTTTTCAAACTTACAGACATATAGCTCCTAGTTCCCACAAAAGAATTAGCCAATGAATCTATCAATTGTCCAGATACACCAAAATCACAGATTTTTATCTCACCACAGCTGTTGATAAGAATATTGCTTGGTTTTACGTCTCTGTGCATAATAGCATGTTTGTCTCTTAAGTAACTCAGCCCCTTAAGAACTGCGAATGTGATTTTACCTAATATGTTTTCAGGTATTCTACCAGCTTTTTTTAAAATAAGGTCCAGCGAACCAGCATCCATGTATTCCATGCATATGCTGATTTCACCATCGACGTAGAAGGCTCCATAAAAGCCAACGATGTGCGCAAAGTTGCATTTGTGTAAAACTTTTAATTCCCTAATGATCTGCTTCTTTATTGCAGGCTTCACCTCTAAGTGTATAAGTTTTCTCGCCATTATGAGGCCGCTGCCCTTGTGGCGGACTTTTGTAACAACTCCTCCGTTGCCAGAGCCCAGTTCACCGAGCTTCTCGAAATCGTCCTCGGAAAATTCCCCACCGATCTTCTCCTTCTGACAGAGGAAAACTTCTATTCTCTTCCTTTGGGTATCGTCCATTTCGAGTGTCGAGTCTAATTCTTCTAGTCTAGCAGTTAAGTTCTCTATACTATTACTTCTGATTAAATTAGTTGTCCTTAAATGAAAACAAACAATGAAAAAATTCATTAAAAAATTTATGAATAATACTTACACAGGCGCCTCTTGGAAAGAGGATGTGGGGGTTACTGCAGGATTTAGGTCTATTGCACCTGGAGGCAGCGTTAAATTTAATTTATTTTTCGACATCTTCCTTGAGGATTTCTTCTTAGTTTACATTACTATTTACTAGAATTTTAATATCTAATCGAAGGTATCCTATACTAATTCCTTAAGCTATCACAGATTGTAAAATTTAGGTTTAATTTGGTTATCACTTTTATCAAAATGGAACAATTAAAATGTAATTTATAAATGAAATTATAATAAAACAGGGAGTGACGACCATTTCCAATTTTCAGCCCCGACTCTAATTTGATTGACATAGACGGTTGACAGATTGACATTGACAATTGACATTATTTTACCAGCATCGTCCAATTTATAATTTTTTTCGACTTGAATTTTAAATGTAAATTAGCCATAATTTATTCATTTAAAAGCAGTAAGAAAGAGTAAGAAAGTAAGAGTGAAAAGTTTTCAATTTTTTTGCATAATTCTATATATAGAAATTAGGTCACTCGTCAAAAATAGAAAAATTTTATTTAGCATGACTGATATATTTCCTTTATTTAGACTCGCGTTTCACATAATATCGATATTCTAATAATAAGGTATTCCGTGTAAAGATGGAATGTGATGTGTTGTCCCTGAAGCTGTTACAGGAACGTTTGTGTTCTGTCCTTGTTTAATATCTCCTTTTCATTCTTTCAACATAACGTACTTCATGAGTACTAGATCCTCAGATTGTCATATTGACAGAACATTTGACGGGTGTCAAATGCCAAATAAATTGATGTGTCAAAACGAGTAATTTACAAATAATAAATAATAATAATGTGGTGTTCTTTTGAAAGTTGTAATTAACAAATAATACCAATTACAGATTTTCGTTTAAATTGAAGTGACAAAAACAACTCCTCTTTCCTTTGCTACGCAGCGCACACACCTCTAGTAAGAACAAGTAATCTTAAATCTAGTAATAACTGATTGGTAACAAAGTAATAAAGGAAAATAGTTTTTGTCATGCTGTGCTAAATTGTTATTATTTCCAATTTAGATCAATGCATATATAAATAGATGGCTTGGCTATTCTAAAATGAACACAATTAATAAAAAATATGATGAGATTCGCTGGTATTATGGGAAATTAACTAGGGAGGAAGCTGAGACGATCCTAACTCAAGGTAATAAAATAGTGACACTTAAATTATAGTTTTAGCCTTACGATTATTAAATCTATTGCAGATGGAAGAAATGGATTGTTCCTTGTGCGTGATAGCAATTCTTCCACAGGAGACTATGTCTTGTCTGTTCTTCATAACAGTCTAGTCAGACATTATCAAATAAGGAGACATATAGACGATGCCTTTTTTTCTATAAGTAATGCTATTTGTTTTTAGTAATCAATATACATGATCAATTACACCATCTGTTTTAGACGAGTGCCTTAAATTCCACGGTTTAGAAGTCCTCATTGAGTATTACACGAAAAACTCCATTAATGACGAAGGGGTTTTGACCGAATACATCCCAAAATATCCACCCCCGCATGATTCATTACGACATGGGCGGATTAATTTACTACACAGAGCAACCGATTGTGGCAATTACACCATAGTTTCCGAGTTACTGAAGACCGATTATCCTCACGATGCTAAAAATCAAGACGGCCAAACGGCCGTACACCTGGCGAGTAAAAACGGACAAAATGAAATCCTATCGAAGCTAATCGAGTGCGGAGCCAGCGTTAATTTGAGAGACTCCGCTGGATTCACTCCGCTACATGTAAACAAACCTCCGTTTATTATAATGCGCGTTATATTAATTCATCGTTTTTAGTATGCTTGTCAGAACAATTATCCAGCCACAGCTAGGCTGCTCGTGCAAGTTGGCCATGCTAATGTGCAAGCTAGAAACACGGAAACAGGATCTGTACCTTTACACGAGGCTGCTAGTCGGGGCCACAAGGAGGTCGTTAAAGAACTGCTGAGTTTAAACGCACCGGCTAGGCCTAGAAACAAAGAGAACAAAACTCCTGCACAATTGGCCAGGTCGAACAATTACAACGAATGCGCTGACATTTTAGGTATGTTATTTGGTCGATTTGTGGAGTTGATAATTAATTGTTTATTGCAGAATTGTATAGATACACAGCTAAGAGGACAGATAAGAGCGATTGGTATCATGGGACGCTCGGAAGGCAAGAAGCTGAAATGATTATTAGGCAGTACAGCGGTAAATGTGGCACATATTTAGTGAGATTTAGTGAAAGAAACAAGGAAGATGTATTAACGTTATTAAACGACGGGAGGTTTCGTAATTACATAATCCACAGCAAAGTAAGAAGTTTTAGTAAATATTACAAATGTGTATAAATAAATATGTTATTGTTTTATTATAGAATGGATATTTGTTCATTGATGATGGTCCTTACCTAGAATCATTAGAACATATAGTGGAGCACTACAGTTTAATGTCGGACGGTTTACCTATAGAATTATTGTATCCCGTTCCACCGAAGCCGAAACCTCCGGTTCCCGAAGTAAGTTAACTCGATTCCTTCTCTATATTTGTAACGATTCGTGTGTTGCAGTTTTCCACGATGCCGAGGCCAAACAAGAACAAAATCGCGCCGAAAGTAGCGCCGAAAACCATCCCTGTGGATGATTTGCACAGCAAGCACTTCCCTAGTCAGTTCGCAAACATATCATTTACCAGCGACTTCGCATCGAACAACAACAATTACAACGACGCCAAAAGTGACTACATCCCCGCGGAGAATCTAACGAAAGGCCGGTTGATCGGCGAAGGAGAATTCGCTTCTGTTTACGAAGGTATTAAATATATATCGTACAGTAATTTGAGTTAAATTAATTCGGTGTTTCAGGTAGTTACTTAAAAGACAACGGCGACAAGTTGAAGGTAGCGATTAAGATCCTTCACAACGAACAAATGGAGACCAATCGGGGTGCATTTCTATCCGAAGCTCAAGTGATGGTTAAACTGAATCACCACTGCATCGTGAAATTGATAGGGCTGTCTTTGGGGCCGCCTTTGCTGATGGTGCAAGAGCTGGTGCCGTTAGGGTCCATTTTGCAGTACATCGAAGTGAACAAAGATAAGATCAATCCGAATTACGAGTTCAAAATATGGGCTGCTCAAATTGCGTGCGGTAAGATATATCAAAAAATTTACTATTAAAAATATTGTGGTCATTTTTTTGCCCAAGCAGCGTACGGAAAATTTGTAATATCTTAGTAAGTTTGTTAAGGGTAAAAATTTCATATATTTTCTACTTCTTTTTGTTACTAAAGGAATGCAATATTTGGAAGAAAATCGATTCGTTCACAGAGATTTGGCCGCGAGGAATATCCTTTTGGCCAGTCAAGTACAGGCGAAAATAAGCGATTTTGGTTTGTCGAGAGCATTGGGCACAGACCACGAATATTACAGGTAAAATTTTAAGGTGTTTTAAGGAATTTTATTAATGCAATGTTTTTGTGTCAGGGCTTTGGCCGGAGGAAAGTGGCCACTTAAATGGTACGCGCCGGAATCCTATAATTACGGGCAATTCTCGCACAAGAGCGATGTTTGGAGCTTCGGCGTTACGATTTGGGAAATGTATTCGTTCGGAGCGTCTCCTTATGGGGAAAAGAAGGGTTCAGATGTAAGTAGGCTTCATTTAACTTTCTTTGCGAACTGTGTATGAAAATGTGTTGTTTTCTCAGGCGATAAATCTGATTGAAGCTGGGGAACGGCTGGAACAACCAGTCGAATGTCCAGACGAGATTTACAAAATGATTAAGAATTGCTGGGAATATAGAAAGGAAGACAGGCCGACGTTTAACGAGCTGGTGGAGTTTTTCACATCTGATTCAGAGTACATGAATATCAGAGAATTACTACCGACAGTCGATCTTGCTTAGTGCGTAATTTATTTAATCTAACAATTTCATCGAATTCTAACTCTTAAAAATATACCAATTTAATAAGCTGCCATAGATTGAATACTTTTTTATAGGCAAAGTATTTGAAATCATTTTATTAGTCTATGTTTTATTGATTTAGATTTATGAAATCATTTTAAGAAAATTTTTATGCTAACATTCCATGTTTTTATATATGACAAGGTATTTTTACATTTTTAGTAAATTTATTAAAATCGAAACACTAATTCAAAGCTTCTGTATATTGTAAATTTTTTGTCTATTTATTAATTTAAGTACAAATCAATGCATTTATAGAATACTTTTAGATTCATTTGTGTCATATTTTAAATTGTGCAATATCTAATTGAAAAATAAATATTTATATATTTACTCATTTTTCTTTCTGTCACGTTCCACATTTGAATAAATAAAACGCTGTTTCTGATTTAAATTTGTAATATTATCGACACATTTATGCTCATCAACCAAAAACTAATAAAATATAGGCTCCTCCATTTATTGATAATCCCTATTTCATCTGTACTCGAATCCATCAGCATCCCCAAATACACCAAATGTATGACATTAGTGAGAGTAAATAATAATCTGAAACAAATGGAAAGCAACGCTTCTCTCTTATGCTTGTGCTTGCAGCATCCCTTACAAGGATGCACCCTCATGCAACAATCGAAAGCGCCAGCGAAATATTCTCGCAGAGCAAATTGGAGGTACGAAAATATCCCAATTGTTATCAACACGACCGAAACTTTCAACTCAAATCCATGCAAGAACGACGACATTACAAACGTGGCAAGAATAGCGTAGAACTTTCCTAATGGTAACCACGACCTGTAAACATCTGAAAATTGCGTTTATTAATTTATGCTTGGAGAATATTTTTTGACTTACATTTTTTTAAAAAATCGTGCATAGGTTTATTCCAATGCGTCACAACTGTTGCTAAAGCTGTAGGGTATTCGATTTTTAATGGATTGACTATCTCGTAGCGCCATTTATCCGGTTCATTCCATATTTTGCTGTTCTTATACCCGGCAGAGAGCATTGTAACTTCAGACAGGAAGCTCACAAAATAGTGGCTCGTTCTGAACGATAATGCTTCTTTGTAACTCTGCAAGAACACCGGCATCTCCCCATCTATTACGTAGTTGCAGAAGCAGTTAGAGACAGTCAGGAAAAACAACGAAATCGCGAGTGTTCTGACAATGGAGAACATCCACCTGAAATTCTTCCTCGTTGGTTTGTCGTACATTAAATTGTACTCGTCGAAAGAAATCCACGGTCCAAAAATAACGTTGGCCCCGCAGAAAATGTAGCCGAAGTAATTGAAGAAGCTCGGAAACTGGACAATGTCTTTTTCCATATCGTCGACTAACGAAATAAGTTTCATGCTGAACACCATCACTAAACCTCTGATTTCCAACCAGGTCGCAGCATTCATTAAAAAATATTCACTAAAAATTTCAAAATATAATTAAACAGATATTACGTTTTTACTAACTTACCATAATACTAAAATTACTATAAGGGTGTATTTTATTATATTAGAGCTACTGAAGTAGCTGGTCCGATGAATCTTTTCCTTTCCCAGAAGACTTAAAGCTTTTTGCAGCAAATCGATTAGGATTAAAACTAAATACGATGAGGAAAATACTAATATTAACAGCAATTTGCCTTCGTAAAATTCTAGTTGATATATTAAGTACAATCCGCAAACTCCTGATAGCAGATGGAATAACTCCTTTTTTAATCTCACTGTAAAAGTTTTTTAGAATAGATTAAGTTATAAGCAAATATTTAGTTTTACATGCATACCTGTTGAAACGAAAAGGGCAAAAATAAAATTCACTAGGACTAGTTGGCTAAGAAAATAAGCTACACTAAAAATTGAGGGTGCAACGCAGTCTTCCCAAACGCCCTGTGAGGTTTCTTCTAATATTATATTATCATCATAAAATAACAAGGATCTGAAAAATGTTTAATAAAACGAAAGTAATTTATGAATGTAGAAATACTTACTCGTCGGTTTCAAACCATTCTGATGAATGCATTTTGTTAAAAAATCGTCAATAAGTTAAATTTTATATTAAATTAAAATTACGGTTGGATTAATTTAAAATTATCAATGATAACAGTTTGTTTATATTTGTGAAATAAACAAACATAACCTTCTTCTTCTTTATATTTTTTAAATTAAATGGTGCCTTCAACGAGTATGATAAGCAGCCACTTTAAATATTTTCCCACAGTAATGACACTTTTTAGCATTCGAATCAAAATCAAATCATATTTTTATAAAATTATATTATTCAGTAAAATATATTCCAAAAAAATGACATATATTTATAATATGCAATTACCGAGCAATTGCATAGAAAAATACATAAAATAGGAAAACAACATAACAATTTGCTAAACAAACATTCAACATGGGAAAACAATTTTTTAACGGACTCCAATTAAATGTAAAAATCAAATTCAACGCCACATTCAGATGACAATGAACTCCTACAGGACGCAACATTAAGAATAATTTCAACATTACAGTAGAGACATATTAAAAAATAAATCTGAGGTACAAAAATAAGTAAGGTATAATATTTTAGATAAGAGGGCTCTTAATTGTATGTACATGCATTTAACGTAGCTAGATTTACCTTCACACAGCACATTACTCGAGAATCCCAATACTGCGACCTACAAAAAGGCAGTGGTGTGTTGGCATTATTTATTCACTTATACAACAAAATGCAAGTAATAGTGGTCCACAGTTCGACAGTTTTAACGTTACTTTCCAATATAATAAGCAATTTTTTTTTCACAAACAATTCGTTGGCAGAGATTTGATATTCAGACTGTTAATATTATTTCAATTATAAATATAGAGTATTCACGTAGACTGAATAATGTATTCTTAACATGTGCTATGTGAGATAACTTTAGTACATCAATAAAAGTGAGCAAATTGTTTTTCTTACTATTTCAACTAAACGCTTATTCAAATTTCTTGGTACCCTTCATTTTCCACGCCGTGAGTAGGTTCCATGAGAAGTACATGGAAAACAGGTGAACTTGAATGGTTAACAGTATAAATGCATACCATAGCATTCCGTATGGATAACCCTAAAATGCAATAATTAGCATATCGGTCGTATGATGCAAGTTTGTGAGTGATTTCAACAGCTGCTCACCTGCCACATGTGAACATCTTCTAATTCATCTTTATCTTCGAAAGTTAAGTAAATCCAAACGTCTGAAAAATAGTATACAATTGCATAGAAAAGTGGTAGAAATCCAAAGAGCAACAATCCCGTCATATATTTTTTCATTAAAGATATTTTATTCTTTTTTATAGCTTCTAATCCCAAAAATGACAACAGAAGGCTAATACACCAAATGTATTCCCACCAAAGAGGCTAAAAATAAAATAATTAGGGACCTTTCATGTACAATAACTGGCATATTTACCTTAGGAATGTCCAATTCTTCAATTTCTAATATAAATATATCTAGTTTGTCTAAAATATCTGCAGAAAGCTTTGCTAACATCGCAAAAAACAGTAAATAATGGAAAAATATACAATACTTTAGTCTTGATTTATTTAAAGCACTAAAACAAACAACTATTAACAGTTTTGAACATTTTTTCAGTTTTTGGCATATTTTCAAAATAGTTGGCAATATTAATAATAAATTTAAGGTTAGACTTTTTACCTTATTTGATAATGGCTAGCTATGCGTTGTCTATGTTCATAATCGGAGCCGTCCATACAGTACAACCCCTTTGTAGCCATTTTCACTTATATTTCATAAATAATTAATTTCTCCTAAAATAAAATCAGCCTTCCTAGACTTGACACCTAACGTCAAATCATCAAGGTTTTTTTTTCGTTACCTTGAAATTCAAGCCAACATTTGCCAACACAACATTATAATCTCTGCCTATACGTGTTTTCAGCCACATTTTTTAAGTTACCCTACACTATTCAACACTGGTGTACAAAAAAAATGAAACGAACGTATCTATCCAGCTGCCACATTTTTGACGTAAACTTTTGATTGACAGTTGAGTGACAGTAATTGACAGATTCAGTCAATACATTTTACTATTCTCATTATAAATATATTTTCTTGAGTGTTATTTTAATTCCGTATAGTTTGTAATTCCTTTTATGGTTCTACTCGTTGTTCTCAAAATTTGTAAGTGAAATATATCGTTTCGCCCAGGACATCAGCGATATCTGGAAGATGGCTGTAAAAATTAAAGAAATTTGTGATAATGTTAGCCTAGCACGGGAAATGACGATGCTAGGAAACTATGAATCTGCAGAAGTTTATTACGAAGGTTGCTTGCAAATGATATCGAGAATAATCCTGATGATTTCTGAACCGCTGAGGAAGAGCAAATGGCAACAAGTAAGCGACTAGACTATTTTAGCGCAGTTTAAAAATACCTAATCGCTGCTTTAAACAGGTACAAAAAAAAGTCAGCACGGAATACGAGCAAGTTAAGGTCCTGAAATCGAGGCTGCAGACGTTACGAATAGAAACCAGTTCCGAAGTGCCCATCGGGGTGAGGCGCAGAGATGAGCCAGTCAGAGAATTCGGTGATATATCAGAAATGGATTCGTTTTCTCACGGCGACCCCGACGTGTGGCCTCCTCCGACACCCGTTGACCACAGGTAATCACCCCGAAACAACCGCAAATTCAACAAACCCCTAAACAACGCAAATTTTAGCACCGGCCCCAAATCGAAAACGCCCAGTATCAAAAAACCCGATTCGAAAAAGGGCAATTTATCGTCGAGGGCGAGCTCGTCGTCCGCCCGGAAATCGGACGGGCAGAAGCACTCGAGGAACTTCACCAAACGCGACGAGCGACCCAGCTCGTCCAAATCCGAGCGAATAATCGACAACAACAAACCGGAGAAGGAAAAGGACTCCGACGGCGCCGACAAAAACGACAAAAGCGAGGCCGACGAAGAGAAGAAATTCGAGTGCCATGGCATGGAACGCGAGCTGGCCGATACCCTAGAAAGAGACATCGTTCAAAAGAACCCCAACATCCATTGGTCCGATATCGCTGACTTGAACGAAGCTAAACGATTGTTAGAAGAAGCTGTCGTCTTACCTATGTGGATGCCAGATTTTTTCAGAGGTATTTTAATACACAAATACCTTCTTAATACAAATTTTTATCAATGTATATTTTTAGGAATACGCAGACCTTGGAAAGGAGTACTTATGGTGGGCCCTCCTGGTACCGGTAAAACAATGTTAGCAAAAGCAGTAGCGACAGAATGCGGTACTACATTCTTCAACGTATCCTCATCGACTCTAACGTCGAAATATCGCGGCGAATCCGAGAAAATGGTCAGGCTACTTTTCGAAATGGTGAATAAACAACGCACAACATCAATATCGCGTTTATAATTCGTTTGGCATTCGTTTAGGCTCGCTTCTACGCGCCCAGCACGATCTTCATCGACGAAATCGATTCGTTGTGTTCGAGGAGAGGCTCCGAATCGGAGCACGAGGCGTCGCGTCGAGTGAAGTCCGAGCTGCTGGTGCAAATGGACGGCATAACGGCGAACAACGACGAGCCGGGCAAAGTCGTGATGGTTTTGGCGGCGACGAACTTCCCGTGGGACATCGACGAGGCGCTGAGGCGTCGATTGGAGAAGCGGATCTACATTCCGCTGCCGTCGAAGGAGGGACGAGAGGCGCTGCTCGAGATCAACCTGAGGGAGGTGAAGCTGGACCCGGATATCAATCTGGCCACTATAGCGAGGAGGTTGGACGGTTTCTCCGGCGCTGATATAACGAACGTGTGCAGGGACGCTTCGATGATGTCGATGAGGAGGAAGATCTGCGGGTTGCGGCCGGATCAAATAAAGCAGTTGCCTAAGGAAGAGCTGGATTTGCCGGTGACGATGAGAGACTTTGAGGAAGCTCTGGTCAAAAATAATAAGAGTGTTAGCAAGCAGGATTTGGAGAAGTACGAGAAGTGGATGAAGGAGTTTGGATCTTCATGATTCGGATTTTAGCAAAAATCTAAATGTTGTAGAGAACAACAATTCGTATGATTATTTAATATTTACATTCGCTAAAATTGCATAACTTTTAAAAATCGTTAATAACCTTTTAAAACGTATTTTTATATATGGAAAATATAGATATTAAATAATTGTAGAAAGTCATGTATTGTTCTTAATTTGCACAGTCAGAAGTGCCTTATTAAGAATATGGTTAAAAAAATAGGTGGCTTTTACATTAAGTTATGGATAACTAACTTAATTTCAACTAATAGTATTAAAACATTTTTGATACAGTATAATAGTATAGGAAGTTAAAAGTTTGTAAAAAAACGTTTTGTTTCTATTCAATATTAAAAACTCACTTGTTAGCTGCATAAGTAGATTATTGTTGTTAGATAGCAGGATAAATGCTCATAATTGATATTAATGATAAGAGAAATTTTGAACATTCGTAGAGAAAATGACCAAAAAATACATTCTTGTTTTTTAAATATTCGGGAATAAACATTGTAATGTTTTGTTTTTAAAATTTAAATTGTGTACAGTTCGATAGAAATATGTAAGAAACACAAATTACATAAATCTCGGTTAATTCTTTTTATTATATTACATCAAAGAGCGTTTTATCGAACTAATATAATTTTTTTATATCTTACATTATTATTAATCAAGTAACCACTGAATTGTCACGTTTTTGTACCTAGAGTCTTTTGTTATTCCGGTTGAACTGTAGATAGTTGTTAAATAGAAATTTTTATAGCAGTTATTTAAAGTATAAATATTATGAATATACCAGCGTTTGAATGTAAAATTCGTTAATTTTGCTTCGACTGCGATTAATAGTTGAAACAATTTGTAATAGTAAGAGGTTTAAAAGTAATTAGTTTTTTTTTTAATTATCGCATTTATTTGAATTTTATCATTTTTAATTCGTCTCGGCTTTCGCGTGTCGTAAAAAAAATCAGTGTGATTATATTTATCTAGGAAAAACTTGTGATTTCGCTGCTAATTAGAGTTTTCATTTTATACTTGTGTAACTTTTTACTAACTTGAACAAAGTTGTCTCAAATAAAATTTATTTATTACGTTCGGTAGTTTTATTGTATAATTTTTAAATAGTAAGTATAAACATTACTAGAGCTTTGCTATTGGACTTCATTCATCTTACCTGACATATTGAATTTAGCGTTTATTACTTTATTGTTTATTAATTGCTATTAACATGTTGATAATACAATCAATACAGATATAAGTACAATTGTTTTTATCATTAGTATGATAAGTTTTATGGAAATATCATGGTTTATTTAAATGTTAATATTTTAGCATATTAAATAGTCTCAGCATTAAAATTTATTGCTAATTTAAATATGTACTAACTTAGAAATTGAGCGAATTTTATTTTTTTGTTTTTTCAATTAAAAATTATATTTTAATTGTTAAGTAATTAATATAATTTTAGCCTATTTTATTCTAAAATGATAATTAAAATTTATTAAAATTGCAAAATTTACAAAATTATGGGAACGATAGTTTTTGGTTTATTTCGAAAGGAATAAAATAAAAAAAATGTGTGTAGAGTACACAAGAAAGTAAAATTCAAATTTCCCGCGCCGAGTGTCCTGTTAAAAATACCGCGTTTACAAGTCTACGCTACAAAACAGCGCCACAGTAGCGTAAGAGCAAGCAGATGGAAAAATAGTTCTCGAGTTTTCGGGCATTTATTGGGTAAAATTGTGATAAAAATATCGAAAATAGATTGGAAATTGTTGTTACGTGCATTAGTAATCGGCCGATGTGAAAATAATAATCGCCAGTGTAGGAGAAATAGTGAAAAATCGAAGTAAAATGTTGGCGTAGGAATCGGACCTCTACCAATAACCGCCATAACCTCCATTCGTGTTATTGGAGTAGATACGGAATTAAGTTGTGTGTCAGATGTGTCTATCAATTTGGATTATTCGACAAGTTGTATCGTTTTATTTATTTTCAACGTAAAAAAGGTGATCCAGTGAGTAATTTATTATGTGTTTGAAAGGATTAGGGTGCGAATTAGAATACCAAAATGAAGAAAAGCTTCCGTTGTTGACTATAACGGCGGGGTGTTGGCAACGATCGGCCGTGCTACATCGCAGCCGTTTTTCTTAACATGGCTGCAACGCAGGCCGAAAAGCAACAAAATGACGTGAGTAGTGAAAAAGTGCAGTCGGATCAGCATCTGAACGTGAACGTGCGGAATTCCTTGTTGCAGAATGGGACCGATAAGAGTAGTGCTCGCGGAGATGGCGGTGTCGGTGTAGTGCATACAAAGGCAAAGAGCACCGCCGGCAAAAACATCGCCGTTGAAATGAGTCAATACCGTCAGGATAGCAGCGGTGGCGGTGGCGGTGGCGGCCCGGCGACGGTACCCGGACAGACGAACACTAACACTGGTTCGGGTGCGGGCCCCACGTCCACCACCAGTGTCTCCGGTCAGGGTCATGGGCCGAACGAGCCAGGCCTTAGTGGAGAGCCCGAACCGACGGCCGGGGCCCCAGCCGCTGCGACAGACTCAAATATCTACGCCACCGAGGGACCGCCGGCCCCTTCACCGGCCGCCGCCGCCGCCGCCGACGGTCACGGTTACGGTTTTCCTTACGGGAGAGACGTGCACAACAGCGCCGAAGGTGGCATCCACGCTTTCGGGCCGAGACAACCGTTCGGGGCGCCCAAACAGATGCCGCCGCACCAACACCAGGCCCATCAGCGTTTCGTAACGGGACCCTCTATTTCTCAGCCCTCGGGCCCCACGCCTACGTTAAATCAATTATTACAAAGTAATAATAACACGATGCCGCATCGATATCCGAATAGTTACGGTCACCCCGATCAGCATTACAACCAAGCCTGGCCGCCCCAGAAACCTATTCAACAAGGCTACGCTCCCGGGCCCCCGGGAAACGCCGGACCGCTACCGGCCGCGCCGCCGGCCGCCTCCTACAGGACACCACCGACAGTAAGTTCCATTTACCTTAAAAAAAATACTAATAAATCCAACCACCGAATCGCGTGTCGGACTCCTAAACCAAATACATCTTAGCAGGAGAAAACCACGTGCTACATTTGTTTACTATTTAACGCGAACAGGACCGGCTCCGGCGAATGTACCCCATTCGAATGTCAATTACGAACTTAACATGCAGCTCTCGTCCTTGAACTTGCACTGACAGCCGATTAAACACCTCCTACTTTTGTTATTATGCAATCAGCTGACGTGTCACAAAAGTGATGCCGGAACGCTTCCGTATGCCCACATGTAACATTATTTTAAACCCCTTTCGATTTGTTTTTTTATTTCGCTCGAAATGTCCCGTTTCCCATTGATAGCATAATCGCCTTATTGCTAATTGTCCTCATTAATTACGAATTTATTTATCGTTTAATAACCATCAAAATAAGCGCCTTATTGCATAACAGGTAGTATAATTTAATTGTTTATACTAAATAACTTTGTTTATTTACTAGAATATTACTTGATGTTTATTTCTACAGGGTTATTCGAAAGATTTTAATATTTTTTTCAAAGACTAATCAAAATAGCCTTGAAAATGACAGGTTACTAAATGGCATATAAATTGTTTTCAAAACATCCACAATTTATAAGGGGTAATTAAAATGTTACTAAAAATTTCTTTAATTTTTAATATTTCCAAAAACTAGACTATTTTTCTTATACAATACTATTAGATTATTCGACACTGACCTTCACTACTTTTCAATTAAAAGCGAATGCAATATTGTGTATTAACTAAAATTTTCCGCATAAAAAGAAAACCTGTTGTTTTGGACGCGTGCCAGATTTTATGAAAATATTTACGTTTGTTGAATAAGATTGAAAATAAATTTTAGTGGGTGTGACAATGTTGTGATTTAACTTCACTTTTAAAGTGCACTTTCCAACGTTCCTAACCGGTGGGCATTTTAGTAGATGTATACAATTTAAAGTACTATTCATGAAATCAATAGTAAAATTTGTGTAATTGGTTTATTCACAGTAATTATCATGTTATATTATAAAAACCAAGCTCTTATTTCCCGGGAATTTGCCATTGACATTGTTTTCTAATAAAAAAAATGACTTTATTCACTACATTATTTTGAAAATGTTACGTAATATGCAAAAATGTGCTCTATACTCTATACTATGACAACGAAAAATGATTTAACGCGTAGAAACATAATTTTCCGTCATTCCATTATACATTTTTCACAGTGAAAAACTCTTATTTGTTTTTTGATGCGAAAATAGGGATTTATTAGAACGTTCGAACTCGAAATTGATGATTTTGACACATTCAATTTCGCTAATGCAATTCCACCATACATGTTTGTTCTGCAAAACGTGTTTTTGTTTGCTGGTTTTTTTTTCTGTTATTCCCAACGATATTTACCATATTAATGCATATCTGACAAAAAAAAGTACCTGATGTGTGTTGATTATTGTTCCGTTTTATTTAACCCAGCTTCAAAAGCGTATCAATTTAAAAGTTGAATGAGTTAGGAACAGCACGTTTTGTAGCTTAATGAAAGTTTAGTGCATTTCATGTTTGTAATATGTAAAATCTGTTTTCAATTTATTTTAGCCGTAATTTATTTAATGGAACGGCGGAATAAAATACGATTTAAGCTTTTTTTTTAAGGTGAAGGTTACAGGTAGTAGATAAATCTTGAATGAAGTAGATACTAATTGATTGTTTTCTTTTAAATTTAACTGAAATCTTTGTTTTAACATAGGCTACATTCAATTTAATTTTTTTTGTCCTAATTTGATTTAGTTCAATTCCAACGTGGTAATTGTCTCTTCTGTTTATAACAATTTATTCGCCTAGTTGGGCTATTAACTCTTGCACTTTTGTCTCCTTGAGTCGAATTGAAAGTTGAAACACATTCACAGTATTGATTTTTGCAAGTGTTATAATCGATTTTATTTTTTGATGAATTATTTGTTAGGAAGGAAATAATTACAGATTTGATATTGATGTTCGACATCCAGTTCTCAACTATGATAGCCAGTGTGCTGGTTTTGTAACAACCGTTATACATAAATTAGTGTTGTCGAGCATGCAAAATGAACATCCATCTTATTCACTGCATATTCAATTTTTTGCTTATTATCGTCTAGGAAATCATCATGGCCTGTTGATGACCGTATAGAGTGTCCCAAAGAATGTTGTTGATCGTTTTTTTTTGTATTCAATAAATTATTTTTTATATAGTCCACTTATCATTTTAAACAATTCATATCACCATTAAAAATCCATAAACATAAAGACACTTGTTGATATACCGATTTAAAGATAAACATAGGCAATTTGTAGCTACAAAAATTATGATAGATGATTGCATATAAATTATTATGATATTTACGATATGAATCACCTATAATTTGGATATTAGTAATCAAGATATCGATAAAAGTTTGTTGAAAGTAAATTTCTACAATGAGGGTATTTAATTTAACACGTCAAGTTATAATTTTTTTGAAGGAGTAATAGCTTTTTAAGTAGAATTAATTTGAGTCTTTATTCAGTTTATGATCTATACAAGTTTAAAAAATAGCATTACCTTCAACCTATGTGCACCATAACTTACCTGTTATGCACAAAGAGCGCTTCTTGAAATCCGATAAGCAAACATTTAGATATTTCAACGTCGGTTGAATTTAATGCACAGGACAATTTATTCAGTTGTGTCAGAAACGTCGCCTTATATTTAATTTATATCCACAATCCGAACGTGATAGTAATTTAAGGAGTGTAGTTTTTCCAGTAGATTTTCGGCCCGCGGATGTTCCCGTTTAATTTGGAAGTTGTCTAGCCGAAAAACGAAATTTCCAACGCACCGATAATCCCGCAAACAATCGGAATGGTTTCCAACTCGCTAATTTTATTTTAATTACATTAGTAGTTGTTTCGGTGTGTAAAATCTGATTAATTTACTCATCGTACCCCGTTCGGCCAATGAAAATAAATAAACCGGTAATTCTATGGAAAGCCGGTGATAAATCAAATTGGTTCACGGCATCAGATGCAATGGACGATCACCGATGAACTAGGAAATGTGCTAAAAAATAATTATCTCGCGTTGATTTTCGCATGTTTTCATTATAACTTTTACCAACACGTTTATCCATAGTTTTATTTAAATACGTCTCTTTATTTAACGCCGTACAAACATTGTCTTTATATATTCTTTTTATTTTCTCCTCCTCTTCCTGTAACTTTTATCGGCAATTCGTACATTCACTCAACCTTTTGTTGACTTTCACCCAACTTTCATTGCAATTGTATTACAGGGAACACAGGGCGCTTTAAAGGCTAAAGGGAAATATTTTTTAATTTTATCACTGTAGTAAAATGCTCAGGTCCGGCTTAGCATAGAATCTACATTTTATTTTATCCTGTCTCCATTGAATTGGTAAACAAGTAGACAGTTAATTATAATTGAATCATTTACATTCAAACAATTCCCGAATGTATGAATGAACTTAAAAAAATTATATTTAAATTTAGAACGTTGGAAACATGTTGATGCGTTGCGTAACTGAAATGTTCAAATCCATTTCATACACAATTAGACAGCCGTGATGTTCAATCTATAAATATAAATCGATGAAATGAATAAAAATATGTATGTTTCTTTCGAAATCACGTAATTGCTGTCGGTTGAAGCACTTGTAAATACAACGGACACCTGTTATGCTTACAATTTAATATATAATTACGGGTTATTTTCAAAATTAGCATTGTTATGGTTATCAGCTGATGTGATTTTATTCCTTCAAACATCGAACAGTGCGATTAATTTAACGATTAGATTAAGTACGTTTGGAAGGCAATAAAACCGTAGGTTCGAACTGTCTGTCGAATTCCCGAAGGAATCGAGTCGATCGAGTTTTTGGTAAATTCGGCAAATTTTCCTTTGCAGTTGTCGCCGGCGTACGGCAGCGGCTCGTCGTCGAGTCCGGGCTACAGCGAGGGCAGGTCGAATTGGCAGAGCGGCCCGTCGGGTCCGGGCGGCCACGGGCCCGGGCCCGGACCGGGGCCCGGCAGTCCGGGCCAAGCGAATTCGTCGACGGCGCCGGCGAGTCAGCCGTCGCCGCAGCCGTCTCAGCCGCCGAGTCACTCGCCGGGGCCCGGACCTGGAATGCCGCCCAGTCCGCAACACCAGCCCCACCAGGGGTTCCCGTCGAGGCCGGCGCCGCCCACCACCCCCAACGCACACGGTCCCGATGCGGCGGTAAGTTTGTTTTTTTTTTCTTCTTCTTCTTATTGTTTAGTCACGTTGACGTTAACGTCGGTTTCGTCTTGTCTCGGATTCCAATCGGATTACGTTTTTATTATCTTTTTTTATTCGGCTTTGATTAGCGCCCTTTTCCTCCGTCGTTTCCTAACGTTTATTGGAGTGCGCCCGACTACTCGTCATCGACAAATTGGCTAATGCTATTTTTATTACAACGCGGCGCGATTACTGAATGCACTAACACCGTTTCGAAATTTTATTTAACGCCGTCACAATTCCTTTTGTTTATTTTTACAATTTATTTATTAATTCTATCGCTATTTATCGTAGTACAAAAAAAAATCCTTATTGTCATTTTAATTATCACCAGTCTGCTTAAGATAGCATCAATTTAAGAAAGGCATCCCGGAGGCGTCTGAATGAAACATTCTTTCGGAGCCGATAAAAATAATCAAATGCGAATCGGCATGAAAGTCCATTTACCGTGAATGACCCTCGTATATTATGCAACGAGTCTGGTAATGTTAAATCGAGAATGGATGATAAACGGATGGAAATACAACACGAGGAAAAGTGTTTTTGATATAACAAAGCATTTGGCATAACGGTTAAGATTTATCCACAAAGGAGTCGTGTGTTTGTAAATGCAAATGCACAAGGAAAGGAGTGGAATTTCATAGCACTTACGTCAGACGCGGTTAGGGCCATAAATAGTCGTGGGTTTTTTTTTTATTATTTTATTTTCAATGGATACACCGAGAGCTCAAGTCTCGCGTTAATATTCCTAAATTCGTTGACCGTTATTCCTTGAATATACCGAGTGGCTTATAAATTGAAGCTAATAATTTGTTTAAATGAAAGTGTTTGCATAGTCGTATTCTACGAAGAACCGTTAAAACGATTTCGTTTAGCCGCTCTTCGAATTCCCATCTATTAGCTAAATAATGTTGGAATATGTTTTTTATTTTGCGTACCATATCAGTATAAAGATAAGATTACTTTGATACGAAAATACTTGCAATATCCTACTTGATATTAGTTTATTTGATTAGTAAAGGTAGAAGGTATGACACAAATTTTCTACATATTTTTCTCAAGAAGTTTCAAAAATTTCATAAATTAAACCCAATTAAATCTCGAAATTTTATTTTGCAAGTTGTCGCAATGGTAGAAAATAATCTACGAAGCGTTACTCAATTGGTTGATTCAATGGAATAAGTCATATCGAAACAAGAGAGAATAAAAGTAATTAAACAAATTCGCGACGTAGTTAATGATGTAATTGTTTATTATTAACTCGAATCTCCGTTCGGAGTTTTCGGTACATAGAATGGGAGACTAATCAAATTTCCCAAAAAGCGATTGCACGCAGTATGGGGAAAGTAAAATAAACTGGAATACCGAGAGCTCAGCTCCGTTCGAATGTGTTGTGTGAATACGTAGGCAGCTATCCAAGGTTGTGTTTTATAGATTCTATCAGCTGTGTCTAAAAACGATTTGATAAAGTTTTGAAAGAGAAGCGAGTTCATAAAACTTCCGTGGAATCGGCTTGTGTGCGGCTTCGGTTTTGAAGAAATCCCAGGCGATAAAATAACGAACCAGATTTTTGCGAATCCGAATCCGATGTATTTAACGATAATTTCGTATGGTATTTAACCGCTTCCTTTCCATTCGAATACTCGAAAAGTTTTTCGAAATGGGTATAATCATAAAAACCATACTTCGAGCGTAGCAAACTTGGCTGGCTTGGTTCTATTAGCGGCGTTGCCAAGCGTAAATCTAATAGATTCCATTTTACTTTATTCTATCTACCTACAATCTTGTAGAGGTATCCGAAGTTTAATTTCAGATTCGATTCTTTCTTACTAACCGTCTTACAATAATTATTTTTTTTTTCGGATTAATAATTTACGTGGATTGCGAAAAGGTTGTTGTAATTTACAACGTTAAAGCAATCAATCCTAAATCATGTTTTAATTTACGCGCACGCGAAACCTCTAATCAATCAATCATTTCTGAAAAAAAAACACGTTATGGGAAGCGATTATGTATGAAAATCATCGTCAATAACGAGCGAGATTAAATAAACAGCAATCGTAAAAGTTTATCAAATAAAAGTAAATGGAACGCCGATGCAGGATCGAATCCGCATTAAATTGTTATAAAACCGTCCATATGGTTGGTGGATCGTAGACTTGGCAACGCTGGGACTACGTACGGCAAAGAATCGTCAAGCCGATGTTAAAACTATCGAGGCAATGCCTCGACGTTGCCACGTTCCATCCGACCGGCCGAGTGCCGGGGTTATTATTGATTGGAATGGTTGAAATCGGCAACGCGGCTTCTACAGTACGCTGCACTGCATTTTCGTTTAGGATATACTTTGTGAAGGTAGTGTTGCCACGTTGTTTGTTTGACAAAGTCCTCGCTAAGGTTCATGGAACTCGTCTCTGATGTTTTACGCTGTTTTTGTTCATGTCCTAGAATTAATGGATCTTTATATAGGGGCCCTAAAAGCTTTGTTTTTACTCTGTATATTTTGATCACAAACTGCATTTTTATAAAACTTGTTTACCTGTACTCCCCACGAATCATGGCAATTGTATTTAACGAACGAGCATTATCAATTGACCCTATTCAAAGATAAATATATTAAATTTCAATTAAATCACAATATTCGCGTGTCGTTTGTATTTTATCGTAATTAATATCAGTAATATTTCATACCTCAGTAAATCATCGAGGAAGTAAAGCGTTATATAAATACGATTTTACAAGTAAACAATAGTGAGTGTGTATTAGATAACCATCCCATTCATTGGTGTAGGTCAAGGAATATTCTAAATAAACTTTTGTTTATGATGTTTACATTATCTTTAATGACGTGTTGTGCTGCTAGTTTCTTTTTTATTCGTAAATTTAACAACTCGCTCGTTTATTATTAAAATAATCGTATCGTTAATGCAATTTAGCCCAAACCGCTTATTTAACAGGCCCTTTTAATGCTTCCATTCATTTTACACTAAGGGCGCATGATGCACGAACTCGAAGCCGAAAATATACAAACTTGCGAGTAATCCATCGACAAGCAATTAAAAACTTTATAATAACCAAAATAGTATCTAAAGAGCACCATTTTACCTACTTAAGGGTGGTAAAATGTATGCTAAAAAGACCCATTTGTCCAAAAGAATCGAACCAAAGAGGACTTTGTACAAAGACTCTATTCTAGGAAGTCAAATCTTTTATCTAATCAAAAGAGTAATTTCTATACCAAAGTATCCTGAAAGAGCGCCTTTTATTTACCGAGCTAAGAAAGTTGTATCTATACACAAGGAAGTGGCTTTAGGTCGGTAAGTAAAGTTGGTCGAAACTTGGCGACCTATCGATCTGTATCCGGAGAAAACGTTGAAAAATACACTTGGGCCGAATGAAATGGCGCGAACAGTTTTCCGCACCATCTCCCTAACTAATCGCCAAGCACGAGTTAAAGCACGCATTTTGGTACGGCGAATAAGATAGTGCAACGTCACCAAAAAGTCCCCCCGCGCGGGTTTCAAGCACCCACCGTTCGAGCGTTGATGCCAAATTTGGCCCGTGAAAAATTAGCCAAAGCGATCGAAATTTTTGCGCTAATTGATTTAACGGGAATCGCGATTTCGCTCCGTGCCGGCTTTCGGGCCCTAAGGGGGCGGCATTTCGAGGTGTTAATTAGGTTTGTTTGTTTCCGATTTTTTTTTTTTTCGGGGTAAAATTTAGAACGGATGGCAATGTTGCTTCGGAGCCCTCGCGCTCGCAACGACGAAACAAACCGAACGAAGAAGGGCTGCGAACGGCGTTGCCGGCTCCCTGTCATTTTCTGTGACTTAAAAATACATTAAGATCACCGTTCGTGATTGACGCGGCCGGAAAGTTTGCGTCGAACGTTTTTTATTTTTTACCCAAAGCAGCGGTTTAGTTTTATTTAAGATTATCCCGCACAAAAGCCTCTGTTATGCATGTCGAACACGCATCGGCAATGTTTGCTCTGAATCATATTTACTTGTAAAATCATTTCGCGAAAGAAAGCAAAAAAAAACCCTCGCCTGGGGCGGTCGGGACTGAGAGGGAGTACGACGAATAACCTCGGATAATCGACGAGGAATGCCCGAGGTTTTCGACGTATCGAATCGATTCGTGCGATTTTTTTCCCCCAACAATTTCGTTCGATTACTTTTTCTGTGTATTTCGTTGGGATTCTCCGCGAAAGAGTTTTCTCATTCGCAGCGGTCGTTGAAATCTTAATCTTTTTGGCATAGGGACGAGAAAGAAAATGGAAGCGATTATTTTTCGGAAGCGTACGGCGTATTATTCTTTATTTCGAATGGCGGAAAGTACGAGTCTGTTAATGAGGCTGTCAAAACTATAAAAAACACACAATACGTGGAGAGATAGAAATTCTCTCTCCGATACAACCCTCATTGACGTCTACTCCTGTTTCACTGACGCCCTTTAAACGTGGGGTGAGCCTTTTGATGTAAGTGAGGGTTGAAAAATGGTCAATGCAGGCACAGGAAATGGGGAGCCGGACCTTTTTGAACAATTTCGAGAGATGAAATTATGTAAGTTATTTGCACAAAAAAATTCATCGTTCGCGTTATTTTGGAAAAAAAGCCCGAATAAAAAGTTGATAGAAACTTGATTAACCGTGTTTTACAAACCATAAATAGTTTTCCAACCGCAAAATGCAATAAATAACGAAATTAGACACTAAATTAAATTCCTATCGAATTTCAATTTCATCATCGATTCGCTCGGCGTTTGTTTATTTCAATATTCGATACAAAGCTTTTATAACACAAAAATTAATTTCCATTTTAACATCCCCACAAAAGTCGCTGATTGCAAGTACAATCGCGACATTAAAAGAGCCGTAATTCGCGTCGGAACGGAAAGTCTACGAATGATTTATGCCTGTCACATTGTATAAGCATCCCGTTCGTTTTTATTTGGGCCCT